ATTTCTTTAAAATACTTAAAACTATAATTATTATCCTTTCCTTAACTTTTAACTATTATATTTATAATTAATATAATATTAATTTAAAACTTTATTTATAATATAAATTATAATTATATAATTAAGCTATATTTTTATTATATATTTTAAGTTTAAAAATAACTTTTTATATAGTTAAGCTAATTTAAAAAAAGCTATTTTTAGCTTAAAAACTTCTTTACAAGCTTTAATTATTATTATTTTTAAGTTATTCTCCTTAGTATAATCTTAACTTAATACTTATTAATAAAATTACAACTTATTAAGCATTAAATATAAAACCTTATATAAATCTTTATTTAAATTTTATGCTTTTATTTTTATAAATATTATTATTATTTAATTTATATAATAATGTTAATAATTAAGGTTTATATTAAATATATTAATTTAATTTATAAAATAAAGGTAATAAGCCTTAGCTTAGTCTTTAAGTATTTAAAGAAAAACTATATAAAATTAATTTAGCTAAATTTTAATATAATAATAAATATTAAAAAATATCTTTATCTTATTATTTAATAAATTATATAAGTTTTTAATATACTTATAAAAGTTATTAAAGATTTTTATAAATTATATTAATTTTACTAAATTTAAATATTTATTAGGAATATATTATAAAGAAAGAGTTTTATATAAGTTATACTTTTTATTTAATAAAGATATTTTTAAAGCAGCTTAAGGTTATGCTAAGTATAATATATATCTTTAATATAAGCTTTATTTTTATTTTTTTGCTAATAATAATAAGCCTTATTAGTTATATTAATTTTTAATAAATTATATTATTAAGTTTAAGTTTTATAATTATGCACTTAAAGCTAATAATAATAATAAAAGTTATCTTAAGAACTATTTTTTTAATAATTATTATTATTTTTAAAGTTATATATAATATTTATTTATGCTTAATTTTAAGGTTAATAAGGTATTGCAAAGCTTATTATTAATTTATTTTAATCTTTTTTTAGCTTAAGTTATAGCAATTAATTATAATATTATAAGTTAATTATTACATTTTATATAAATGCTTTATATTTAAAGAAAGACTTTTAAATATTATTAATAAGAATTTAGCAATACTTTAAATATTACTTATATTTATATTATATAATCCTTATAATAAGTAATAAAAAGGTTATTATTATAAAGGTTTTATTATATATAGCTTGCTAAAATACTTATTAAATAAATAATTAAGTATTTTAATAATGCTTTTTATATAAGGGCTATAAATTATAATTTTAAGTTAATATATTTATAATAAGCTAAGTTAATTAAAGTTTAAGTAAGCATTTTATTAATTATATACTCTTTAATAAGAGTTAATAGCTTTTTAATATTATTAATTATGCTTATAAGTTTTTATAATAAATATTATAAGAAATAAGATTAATAAAATAAAGAAATATTAATAAAATAAGTAATATTTAAAAGCAAGTTAATAATAATAATTTAATAATAAGCAAGTTATAATTATTAAAAAGAAAAAGTTATTAATTTTTTTAAGCCTTAAAAACTAAGGTTTTTTCTTATTATTAAGTCCTTTTATATTAATTAAAAGCATAATGCATAACTTATATTTACGTATAATATAACGTTATATTAGCTTTATAATTATAATAATTATAAGCTTTATTTATTAATAAAATAAAGTTTTTATTAAGTTTTATTAGGTTTTAAAAAGAAGTTAAAGATAAGTTTATAATAAGTTTATTTTTAATAAAGTTTTATATATAATAAATATATATTTCTTAAATAACAATAAATATATATATAAATATTATAAGGAATGCTACTTAATTTATTTAATCTTTATAATATTTATTTAAGGAGTTTAATAATATAAAGAGATTTAAAGAAGCAATTATTATTATATAACGTTTATTAATAAGGAGGATATAATTTTTAGGTTAAGGAAATCCTTATAAGATTATCTTTTTTATTTTATTAATTTATAATGCTTATAATTATTAATTAATATTAATAGGTTTCTTATATGTATGATAATTATATGGGAAGTAATTATATATTGGTATTATTCTATTTAAGTTCTAAGAGGCTATGTGCCCCGGAGGGGATAACTAAAGTAGCCTTCTGAGTGCGAGGGTCGTACTTGCCAATACTTCCAAAAGGCGGAAATGAACACAGCCGGGAATTTGACCCAAATCGATTGAGAGCTGCCATGTTGGGAGGCTACAACACTATGTAGGGCTGACAGGACGCAATGAATGAAACAGGGATTGTGTGCACAATACAAATGCGTCAAGGGAAATGGGAGCCTGAAGTCTGGTGGCTCGTGATCCGCATCTGTTTTAATGCCTTCTCACTGAGAAACTCCTCACAGCATGTTGCACTGCAGCAACAGACACGCAATTGGGAAACACAGGCCACATTGATATCGCCGTATTATCTCACGGCACTCAAGTCACAATTATTTTAACATGTATCGTCGACTCCAGGATCAAGGCATCGGTTTTGACAGCGCTGCGGAGATATTGCAGCTTTACTCCAGATAAGACTTTTGATATCCATGATGTTTGGCATCGCTACCGGATGAGTTATATCATCTTCGACTCAAACTAGATTCTGCCTCCCTTCAAGGAAATGTGTTCGCAGCATGCTGCCTATAGTGTAAACATAGGAAGATTGGTCGGGACGTTGGTTGCCTACTATTACCACACACTGCCACCTGACTCCCCAAGTTCCTTTGTAAACTAGCGAGGAACATTATGTTTCCCTTCATTGCCGAAAAGACCCTAGAGTACACTATAGATAAGGATGATCTTTTTACATTGGCAAAAGTTCGCGTTGTCGGAATGGATCTGGGGTTAGTCTGTGCTTGGTTGCCCAGTCTCACAGTCCTGTTGTGGTCACCACCTCGACGACATGTGAGCCAAGAACGTCCACGTGACTACTTGGGACCATCCTCCCGGATGATAATATGCCGTTGCACCGCGGGCGGCTCGTCCCTTGCCAGTACATCAATGGTCACGTGAAAGAAAGTGCATGGTTAAGCGCCCGGGTGGGCATGGATGCGTGTGGGTCCTGGCAGATTAGGGACCTGGACGTACGATGCTTTCTTGGCAGATATACCTAGATATACATAAATTCATTGGATCGAAGTAAATTGGTGTCTCAAACCATGGCGAAGGGTCTCGACCGGCAGATGCCACATCACATGTGCCATGAGCCTGTCTCGGTCGTTGGGCAAGATCACGCCGTGCTTACCGTTGGCTAAAGTTTTGTGAACCAAACAATTCATATATTCAGTCTCTTTAATTGATTAAAGCGGCACAAACAGTGTATATGAGTTCTCCGGTGTGAAACGTACAGTCAGCATGGCCGAAGGAGGTGCTATACTTAGCCATGCACCAACCAAGGTGGTCAAGTGGCAGAACACTATTCTCCTAAGAGAGAAGAGTCTGTACAATCTTCTCCAAACTACACGTCCATCAGTACGTTTCTCATCCTCTATGGCCAAACCCTCCAGCAAGCGCGTCTGAACACCTAGACAGCCACACCTCCCTTGTCACCGCATTGTATGCTAGCGTTGCAACACTACGCACTCACAACATTCGATAAGCAAGCAACTTGTACTATGTATCAAAGCTTAGCATCGAGTCCACAATAAGCTACCCTATCTCCACTCACAGATCCCGTCTTCTCGCCCGAACGCAACGAGATGCTAGTCTTGCGGAACCACCGGTATGCTCAATGTCGTACATCAGCCGTTCTTCAACTAGCTGGCGGCTTTACTAAGGCCCCGCTCGAGCTTTTATGCATATTCAGATACGTAAATGTCCCCCAATAGGGTTACATATTCTGCCACCTGGGTATGGGCACGTGGGCATGCCCCATCTTTTGTAGGACTTCTATGACACAACCATACAAGTTCGGGCTCCAGCTAAAAGTGGTTGCCCTTGCATAATCCCGATATAGATCTATGATTATAACTGTATATCTCGTATAGTATCTAGTCCACATTTGCTCCTAATGGCCAGTACAGTACTTGTGAGCTTGGTGAGACATCAAGCCTTGGTGATTGAGGAAGAACATGATTTTATTCTGACATTGTCACTATTGACGCACACTGAACGGCATACTGCGAGAGTAGGAGGAGAGGGAAGGGACCGAATCCTCTCTACGCCTCATTGCAAGAGCCTGTGAAACATGTGATTTGACCCGTGATACTTGTCGTGGAACACGGCTTAGTGACATGCTTTGTGAGTGCATGCTGTCACCTTCCCGTCCTTGACCCGCAGCCGACTCCCGAATGCCGGAAAAGTGGAACAGATCTCTCCGCGTGGCGGGAAGCTCTGGGTACAAGACTAAATAGTCTATGGAGAATGACACACAGAGGGGACGGCAGAAGTAGAGACCCACCAGCGTGCGCCGGGTGAGCTACGGACGTCCTGGAGCTGGCTAGTACCGCCCTGGTCCTGGTACCTCTGCTCCGGCACTCGGTGCCGATCTGGCCCAGGTATTTGGGACGGGCCGGTTCCACAGGCAGTTGCGGTTCGGCGGCTTGCTGTACATGACTGTCTAGGCTGTCGGCCGTGGGAGATACAAGGGAGAAGCTTGGAAATGCCCCAAAAAGGCTTTAAGCTCGTGCCTCCCAGCTGCAGTGGCATGATTAGTTTCGGTCAGCTCGACGTCCTAGTGAAAAGGGCCTGCAGGGAGAAGTCGAGGGGGCGAGACGGAGAGAGACTGGGCAATGCCCAAGGCGGAACTCGGCTCGAGTGCTCCACAGCTGGCGCCGGCTGGCCAGTGCTGGCTGGCGCGGCCTGGCTGAGGTGGAATGTGCACGATATACGATATCTACCATCTCTCTTCATACGATACACGGAAGCCTTGAATGAGGAAAAGGAAGGCTAGCGAAGAGGAAGCGATCGATCACACGAAAATAGTGAGAGAGCAGAACAGAACCCGTCCGTAGAGCGGGCCAACAAACAGCGATGCTCTCCTACGTTGTGGCCGTCCTGGCGTTCGTCCTGCTCTACAACCCGGTCACGCAACTGCTCTCCCCCTGCGCCGCCGCTGATCCGGCGGACCCCACGGCCCCAGGTCAACGAGACCTTGCTGGCGCTCGAGGACGTGACGAACCAGACGCTGCAGTGCCCGAGCGACTCATACTCAGTGCACATCTTCTCCAAGGAGCCGCTCGTGGTCTACATTGAGAATTTCCTGTCGGCCGGCGAGAGGTCTCACCTGCTCGACATCAGGTGAGCTGCGTGAGTTAGTTTGTGTAAAACCTGCTGACTGGAGTTGCAGTGAGCCTGTCTTTGAGCCGTCGACCATCACCCACGACGGCGGTGCGGAGACCCATCGCGACCAGACCGTCCGCGACTCAGAGGTTGCTTTCATTCCTCGCTCGGACGGGGTGAGGTGCATTGAGGCTCGTGCGAGGGCCTTCCAGGGCTGGCGGCATGAGGTCTGGATCGAGCGCCTGCGCACCCAGCGGTACCGACCAGGCGGCCACTACAGCCACCACTTCGACTGGAGCTCATCTTGGGGGGGATGGGGCCGGGTGAGTAGCTTCATGGCCTGGGTTGATGCATCCGCCGGCGACGGTGGTGAGCGTGTTGGTGGCGGCACGGAGTTCCCTCTTCTGAGACGCCCGAGCCTCGATGAGAGGTGGTGTCGCTTCGTTGAATGCGACCAGGTTGTCACTGCTCAAGATGGCACCGCCAGCCATGGAGTTGTCTTCAAGCCCATCTCTGGCAACGCGGTCTATTGGGAGAACTTTAGGCCGGACGGCACCGGCAGAGGCTGGGAGGAGACATGGCATGCGGGTCTTCCTGTAACCCAGGGCATAAAGGTGGGCTTGAACATCTGGTCCTGGGGCAGAATCGACTAGATTCATTTGAGGGGCCACAAATGTTGTCTACGGAGTATTCCACAAGGATTGAAGGGCGCCAGGCCCGCGTTGGCTTCGGATTGGCGAAGGCCTAGATTATGCAGCTTACACCGCCAGGAAAGCAATGTCTCGGATTGGGTGACACATCGTCGGCGTCGTTGTCCATCAATCGAGCCTTACTGCAGTCGGGACTGGTTGCTGCCCTCTCACCTCCCACCTACACGAAGTCGAACAATATACGGTGGCACGATGCCTTCCCCCGAGCCCAGCTGACCTTGGAAGGACTACAGAACTCGGTAGGATTGTCAATGGAGTTCTGCCGATCAAACCTGTCTGTCCACACCGGAGAAACCTGATGAAAGCGACAAGTGCGCGAGTATATTCATGATTCGGACGCGCAATCCACCTGATGCATATACGGAAATGTTCGGCGGCCGGGGATAGGTCATTTATCACAAGCCTACCGCTCCCAAGCTCATACCCGATCATGTTAATGCTCGAGGAGGGAGTCCCCCTATTCGTGGTCATTATATCACGAGGTACTTGACGGTGCTCATTATGTTAATGCGATATGTGGTACAGGTCCGGTGCCGGCTGGTCAAGGGAGCGACCGACAAGTCTCATCGAATGACAACTGCACGATTTGAGGAAGCGAGCCAAGGCGCTGGTCGTTGGTGAGGGAGTGAAGTTCCAGCGAAGGATTGGCTTCCCCACATGCTGCACGGTGATTCCAACACCCGACATGCGCGTTGGTGAAGCCTGTCGTGATTGCGTGAAACCCCCATCCAGCTCCCTGCCAGGCCTGGCCGGGGCCCAATGCGCCGTGGACGGCGTACGGCTTTAGCGCAGTTCCACCGCACAACGATCCACCTCCGCGGGATTAAGACAGAGGGGATCACTCTGCCGAACTTCCTCGAATCGCCATACCATGGCTGCCAGAACGAAGGCTCGAAAACTCAGCGACGACGAGCTGCGGCAACACTACGCCAGCCTTGTTGCATACGAGCAATGAGAGCATAGTCTAGTCTCAGTGGTTGCATCCGCATATGCGCCGTGGAAATTCTAGGCGACTCTTAGCACATAAGCCAGTGCGGCAGGTAGGGCGAGAGACCTCGACACAGATGACAACAGGCCTAGTGGCTAGCATGTGCAAACCGTGGTGTCAAGATTGCAACTCTCATGCGCCACCTACATACCCGAATCTATCATGTGGAACGGGGAGTTAGGTGACTGGGTGAGCAGAGAGCAGGAACCTCGCGTGGAATAGGTCCCTTTGGGGATGACGATCAAATCACGAGCAGACAGACCATTTCGAGAGGGGAGCACATGCACCGTCTCGCGAGCGCCTCCATCTCTTGTGAGGGGCACCATTCGATCTGGAACTTGGCCTTGGAATGGGAACCCCCACACCTGGATGCGACGCCCTGCAAGCATAGCAAGGTTTGAGGTCCCCTCCTTTCGACCTGCTGCATATGATACTCGACTACAGATACACACAAACTACATATACGTATATACTCTGTACCTGCCCCATACTAACGGACAGTATCGACAACCCGACAAGACAAAGAACAAATCATTGCAACAATGGTCCACCCAGGCAGCATCATCCAATTCGACTCTGAGCCTCTCCTGTTGGTCGTGGCGGACAACAAAATACCGTTAGAAAAACTCGGTTTGCCGTCCAGCCGGCCCACAAGTTCTACATGGGATTTTACATGGGCAAGTACCGTCCATGGAATCTACCGGGCGGCCCTCGGTCAACTTTCGGGTGCATCCATCATGACCAGATTGATCCTTGCAGGCTTTTGTCCTAGTTTTGCCTTGGTGTCATCTTATAGGCGTGCCACGGGGTGGAATCCTGGGCTACTGTTAGACAAAAGATGGAGCGAGAGCTTGGGAGGGTCGTTGTGATAGATCATAGGGGGCTAGTGGTGGTAGGGCCCAGTATCTCTAGTGCATAGCTGTGAAGACCACATACTGTTAGTCCTACTGATAATATGGGTAGTCTCTGTACTGCAGATGTGGTACCTGGAATCCTTGAGTCGTCTTGACGGATGTCGGTGCCGTTGTGCCACCCAGATGCGCCAAACAGTGACATTCTTGCCCTGGCATGCAAAGAGGCTATTCCCGCGCCCTGGACAGGGGCCCCATGGCCCACCGTCCGACGTCTGGGCGGCCCACCTGGGCGGGCGACCCCTCCATCAGTTCCACAGCCCCGTCAGTCCCTTCAAAGATGCCCCACGGCCGAGGGGTGGGCGATGAGGGGGCTGCAGGGTCTTCATGTCGATGGGGCCAGGAAATCATGGTCAAGATGACCACTCCATGATGTATACCTCACCCTCAGCAGGGCAGCCTCCCAACCACATCTGTCGACAAGAGATACTTTTGGCCCGAGGGGGGCGGGGGGCAGCAGCAGGACAATGACGTCCTTAGCCTCGCCCACGGCCCGCAGACGGACGACAGAACCCCCATGCCGCTTGCAGAAACTAGCAGCAGACCTTGCCTGCGCACCTTGCCCTCCTGGACCGCCCAGGTACCCTCTTTCCGACATCCATCTGGGTGCTTGCTGGACACGGTTGGGAGGGGAGTGCGACAGCCCGGTGTCTCGGCGGCAACTGAGATATGGGCAGCGGCCGGGTGGGATACGACGGGCTCCTTCCCCCATCTGTTTCCCATCCCATCCACATGTACCTCCCACATGTACCTTCCAGATGTACCATCTAGATTTCCACGGGCCTCTGCGTGGTGCGTCGTGGGCGATGCCATGTACCTTCCTCGGGCCCATCTGCTCGCCCCTTTGCCATGTATCTCTGAACCTGGGCCGGGTAGGAGCGAGGAAGCCATAACATAACGGAACAGAACAGCAGCGACGGCCGTGCCCACTCGTTGGCAAGTCAGTGCCTGGTATAAATAATCGTAGCCATACTGCCCGCTCGTAGCCGTTGCGTGCCAGAATCTTTGTTGTTTTATTCCTCATCTTGTTCAGTCCCCTCTCATCGCTTCTCCCAGAGTGTCCCAAGCCTGCCCGCTCATCCAGATCCAAATCAGCACGACAACATCCCATTGTAAAGATACATATAAACAAAGACGATCACCATGGCCAATCGTCCTATATTTATGGCAACGCACCCACGTGCGTGCTCAACCGCCTTTGAAAGGGTACGTGCATATCCACAGCCCTGCCAGATCCCGTCGTCCAGGGTTCTGGGGGCTCATTCCGCGATGGCAATACCGGCCCTGAAATGGCGTGCTCGCCAGTTAGTGGACAAACCCCCCAAGCTGACCTTTCCCGCCCCTCTCACAGGTCTTTATGACACGCCGTGACATCCTGCAAACCGCCCATGAGCCGTTTGGGGATGCCTTTTACTACGGCCCTGAGCGCCTCAGCGAGCGCTTCGCCGACGATGAGGAGGCTAGGGTCAAGAGCGGCTTCTCCAAGTCGACCTACAAGACCATCATGGACCGGCTCGAGAACGACAGCAAAGAGGTTCGATCCAACCCTCCCCAGCTTCTTGCTGTCTGAGCCTCCACCTTCTTTTCCCCCTCGGCTTTGAGACCACCCGGATCTGCCTTGTTTTCCTCCCTCTGTGCTCCCGGCCAAGCTGGGCTGCGTTTCGATACCCTCTGGCTCTCGCTCTCTGTTTGCTTCGGGCGCAAGTGCGCTCGTGCTCGATTGAGAGAGACCATGATGTGGGCGAAACTGCTGCCGGTCTTGGTTGGTGAATCCTGCTTTCGTGGCCACCGAAAAGCCGATCTTTGAGCCTAGTTGTTCGACCCTAGATCAGGTCGTACTGCTCCTCCCGCTCCGTCTGTGCGATCCCAAATGGGCGCCGCCCACCAGGAGGCGTCCCTCCGTTCGATGCGACGTGATGCGATCGCGAATCGAGGCGAAACGAAGCGATGCGAAGCAGGCAATTGCCTCAGCCGACCACTCTCGGAGATGTCAAGCTATGTGATATGCTCAGATACTTACCATCAGCAGGGTAAGCGTGTCTTCATCAAGGACATCGCTCATTATTTGCTCCCGCCCAACGGCAAGCCCGCCAACGTTGCTCCCACCCTCGTCGGCGGCCACAACCTGACCAACGGCTCCGACGACGACAGCAACGACGGCCAGTCCGTCAACGGCGCAGAACACACAGACGGCTTTGTCAACGGCCCCACAAACGGCGACGACGCTGCTGCGCCCGCCCACACAAACGGTTTCGTCAACGGGCCGACAAACGACAACGCCGAAGAGGACAACCCGACGGTGATGCCGACCGAGATGCTGCGCGGCTTCCACTGGACCTTCCTGATCCGGCACCCGCGGCGGTCCATCCCGTCCTACTACCGGTGCACGATCCCGCCTCTGAGCGAGCTGACGGGCTTCGACGAGTTCATGCCCTCCGAGGCCGGGTACGACGAGCTGCGCAGGCTGTTCGACTACCTGCTCGACCAGGGCATCATCGGCCCCGCCAAGGCCGGCGATGAGGCTCCCCTGGACGAGGCGCTCAACGACACGAGCAGCGAGCGGAGTGTGGGTTCGGAGCGCTGCTCCATCACCGTCATCGACGCCGACGACCTGCTCAACAACCCCGAGGCCATCCTCAAGACCTACTGCAAGGAGGTCGGCATCGACTACAGCCCCGCCATGCTGCAGTGGGGCGACGAGGACAACCAGCAGTACGCCGCCGAGGCCTTCAAGAAGTGGTACGGCTTCCACCACGACGCCATCGACAGCACGTGCCTCCGGCCGAGGGCGGGTCATCATGTGAGTTTTTCCATTGTTTCTTGCCCCTGGCCCCTAGACCGACCAGTAGATAAGCGTACCCGCTACGGCGTCCATTTCGCGGAGAACAGAGGCTGACTAGTGAATTTGTTCGCCCCGCTGCAGAAGGTCCCCACCGTCGAGGCTGAGAACGAGGAATGGCGCAAGAAGTACGGCGAGGACGCTGCCCGGGTAATTAGGCAGACGGTCGACGCAAATGTCGCCGATTATGAGTACCTCAAGTCCTTTGCCATCAAGGTCTAAGGCATACTTTGGGGAACTTATGTCTTTGCTTTTTTGCTTTCTGCTTCTTGCTGGTTTGATGAATAATGAGCGCATTGGGACACAAGGTTGCTATTGTGCTGCAACTACTCACGGTGGCATGGTTTTCGGATATACATAAACAATTGTTCTTACAAAGCGCCAAGTCGACTACAGGGAACGAACTCCCTTGTCCTCGGCTTTCTAAAGTAGCGTTTTCCACATGTCGCTTAACATGAGGACTTTTTACGATACAGTGGATATCTGTTGTCCGTATGGACACACCTCAATATGTTCTTGGTGGTTTTGCTTGCGCACACGTGACACTTTCCGCTGTCCCTCCTTTCTCCTGTATACTACACCCTAGTCTCTTGCGAGGAGCTCCCACTCTTTCCTCCCAGCCAGCCCAGCCATCCCTTCTTGGTCTGCGGCTTCTCCTCTTGCTCTGCCGCCGCGTTTGGCTCCACAACGGTCCCCTGGGCGTGGCTGGCATCTTTGGCCTCGAGCTCCTCCCATTGCTCTTCCAACAAGTAGCTGGTCTTGAACCCTGGGGTTTGTGATGTGCTCGGGCAGTCCAACTGAGTGCGTAACGTTCTCCGTCCATTCGCTGGCCCAGTGTTGGTCTGCGTCGTTGGACCAGTAGATGTTGGCCTTGACGAGCGTCTTCGGAGCCGTCGCTTCCACGGCCTTCGACTTCGCCTTGGCCTTGGATTTTGACTTTTTCGATGACCCATTCGCAGCCGTCGTCTCGTCGGTGTTCTCGGGCTCCGCCGCGCCCGCCGGCTGGGACTCAGCCTCGGCCTCCTCTGAAGCTTCTGCTTCTGCCTCTGCTGCCGCAGTCTCGGCCGTCCACATCTTGTTGCCCCTCCCCGCGCCGGCCAGCACTGCGGCTATGTCGGCGACGGCGTTGGACCTCTGGTTGTGGATCAGCACCCCGCGGTCCCTCCGGGACTTGGACAGCAGCTCCTCGGCCTGCCACCCCCACTCGAGCTCGTGGCGGTGCCGGAACTCGCGCAGCTTCTGCATGACGTTGCGGCCGACGGCGCCGAGGCCCCTGGGCACCTCGATCAGGCACAGCGGGGCCCAGTAGTCCCTCCTCAGCGCTGCTGGCTTCTGCTTCTTGACGGTGTAGGGGATCTGGGAGAGGCCCTTGTGGGAATCGCGCTGCAGGTGCGGGAAAGAGGAAAGTGTCAGTTCAGGGTAGGTCCAATCCAGCCGGCCTTGGGCCAATTGATTATGGGGTGTGTAATTATGCAGCAGGGGTGCTATCGTACTGGTAGTTCGGGCTCGTGTGTGTAGATGATCATGCCCTGGGCGATGTGGTGGTGCACCCAGATCTGCTCGCCGACGCCTTTCTTGAAGCCGGTCAATTCGTGCCGCGGCGGCTTGCGCTTCGGCGTCGTGTGGCCATGCCGTATGCTGACCCTGGAGACGCCGGTCGACAGTCGGCCGAGTATGCCGACCACGGATGCCGGCGAGGACTTCATGGCGGCTGGTTGTGTGGAGGTCGGTCGCGGGGGGCCCAGGTCTCAGGTGTGTTCGCCCTCGTTGGCCGTCGACGCGCCGAAGCAGAATTTCCAGACGCCCATGTTCCTTAGCTAAGCAGATCTTCCAGGGGACTAACATGCCTTATCGCTTATCGATCATGGCTGGGCTCCAGGGTTGATCTGGCAGGCTGGGTTTTTTTTTTGGGGGGGGGGCCTCTCTCTCGGGTTGCGGGGAGGGTTACCCCAAGCTGCTGGGTTGGCCGTTGGAGGTCGTTGGGGGCCTGGGCCGTTGCTTCCCGCAGCTTCCCGCAGGTTCCAGATGGTTCCAGATGCTGCCTGCCAATGACGTCGAGCAAGCTCTAGCAGGCACTGGTATCATCCCACCCTGTGCCGGCTCATGCCAGCCACTGCCAGCTTCAGGTGGAAGACCGCAGTCGGCCACATCGAAACTTGGAATTTCCTCGAGGTCATTCTGAGCAAGTCCACGACTCCACTGCGCAACCAGGATAAATCTATCGCACCTGAGAGCTCCAGGCAACTCTGACTTCTTCATCAACGACATATGACTTCTTTCTCACTTTACAAAGTGTTGAAGACCATCACAAAGAACACCAGCAAACGCTGTCCATAATCACTTCACTTTCACTAATTCTGTTCTTTGATTTACGCAACGTTCGACTATACGATTGCTGATTGATACCCATACACTCCGCAAACACGTACATACATTTTCTTTTCCTTTCACGCATCACATCGACCTCAACATAATTCATCATGAATTCCAAAATGGAGTTCACGGATCGAGCCAAGAAGGCTTTGGAGGACGCCATGGCCCTGGCAGAGCAATACGCACACAGCCAACTCCTTCCAGTCCACCTGGCCGTGTCTCTTCTTGAGCCACCCCCAGATCAGTCCAAGGATCAGCAGAATGGCCCTACCTCTATCAGCAGCACCCTCATGCGGCAGGTCATCGAGCGAGCACATGGTGACCCACAACTCTTCGACCGGGCCCTCAAGAAGACGCTCGTCCGCCTGCCCAGTCAGGACCCACCCCCGGAGAATGTCTCCATGGCCCCATCATTCAACACCGTCCTCCGCAAGGCCACGGAGCTGCAAAAGGTCCAAAAAGATACCTACATCGCCGTCGACCACCTCATCACCGCCCTGGCTGAGGACTCTGCCATAGCTAACTGCCTAAAGGAGGCAAATATCCCCAAGGCAAAGCTTGTGCAGGATGCCGTACAAGCAATCCGTGGCACAAAGCGGGTAGACTCCAAGACGGCTGACACCGAGGAGGAGTCTGAGAACCTGGCCAAGTTCACCATCGACATGACCGCCATGGCACGGGAAGGCAAGATCGACCCCGTCATCGGCCGTGAGGAGGAGATCAGGAGAGTCGTCCGCATTCTGTCCCGTAGGACAAAGAACAACCCCGTCCTCATTGGCGAGCCAGGTGTCGGCAAGACAACTGTCGTCGAGGGTCTGGCGCAGCGGATCGTCAACGCCGATGTGCCCGACAACCTGGCCCAGTGCAAACTGCTCTCGCTCGACGTCGGTGCTTTGGTTGCTGGCAGCAAGTACCGGGGTGAGTTTGAGGAGAGGATGAAGGGCGTCCTCAAGGAGATCCAGGAGTCCAAGGACATGATTGTGCTCTTCGTCGATGAGATTCACCTTCTCATGGGCGCCGGCTCCTCAGGAGAAGGAGGAATGGACGCTGCCAACCTGCTGAAGCCCATGCTTGCCCGTGGTCAGCTGCACTGTATCGGTGCCACAACACTGGCTGAGTACCGCAAGTACATCGAGAAGGACGCTGCCTTCGAGCGTCGTTTCCAGCAAGTCGTCGTCAAGGAGCCCTCGATCCCCGAGACTGTTTCGATCCTTCGAGGGTTGAAGGAGAAGTACGAAGTCCACCACGGTGTCAACATAGCCGACGCTGCCATTGTCTCCGCTGCAAGCCTAGCGGCTCGGTATCTCACTTCTCGTCGTCTGCCAGATTCTGCCGTCGATCTCATCGATGAGGCGGCAGCTGCTGTGCGAGTGGCGAGAGAGTCTCAGCCTGAGATCATCGATAGTCTCGAGCGACGACTGCGACAACTGAAGATTGAGATCCACGCTCTGACGCGCGAGAAGGATGACGCGTCCAAGGCTCGTCTGCAGCAGGCCAAGCAAGACGCTGCAAATGTCGAGGATGAGCTGCGCCCTCTGCGTGAGAAGTATGAGAGCGAGAGGAAGCGTGGCAAGGACATCCAGGAGGCTAAGATGAAGCTTGACCAGCTAAAGGTCAAGATGGAGGAAATGAGCCGAATCGGTGACCACGGCCGAGCTGCCGACCTGCAGTACTACGCCATTCCCGAGCAGGAAGCTACTATCAAGAAGCTCGAGAAGGAGAAGGCTGCCGCAGACGCTGCCTTGCACGCCAACCCAATGGATGGCGGCGGCTCCATGATCACCGATGTCGTCGGACCTGACCAGATCAACGAGATTGTTTCCCGCTGGACCGGAATCCCAGTCACCCGCCTCAAGACCACTGAGAAGGACAAGCTGCTCAAGATGGAGGGTGCGCTTGGCAAGATCGTGGTCGGCCAAAAGGAGGCTGTCCAGGCTGTTTCCAATGCCATCCGTCTCCAGCGCTCGGGTCTCAGCAACCCCAACCAGCCACCTAGTTTCCTGTTCTGTGGTCCATCTGGAACGGGTAAGACGCTGCTTACGAAAGCTCTTGCTGAGTTCCTTTTCGACGACTCTAAGGCCATGATTCGGTTCGATATGTCTGAGTACCAAGAACGACACGCACTCAGCCGGATGATCGGCGCCCCGCCCGGCTACGTTGGGCACGACGCAGGCGGCCAACTGACTGAGGCCCTTCGTCGCAAGCCTTTCTCCATCCTCCTCTTCGACGAGGTCGAGAAGGCGGCGAAGGAGATTCTCACAGTCCTGCTACAACTCATGGACGACGGTCGCATCACTGATGGCCAAGGGCGTGTTGTCGATGCCCGCAACTGCATTGTCGTCATGACATCCAACCTCGGTGCCGAGTACCTGGCTCGTCCCAATGCCAAGGATGGAAAGATCGACCCGACTACTCGAGAGCTTGTCATGAACGCCCTGCGGAACTACTTCCTACCTGAATTCCTGAACCGCATCAACTCGACAGTCATCTTCAACCGCCTCACCAGGAAGGAGATTCGCAAAATCGTCGACCTACGCATCAGCGAGATCCAGAAGCGTCTCAACGACAATGACCGAAATGTGCGCATTTCGGTATCCGAGGAAGCCAAGGACTACCTCGGCAACGCCGGATATTCGCCTGCCTATGGTGCTCGGCCGCTGTCTCGTCTCATTGAGAAGGAGGTTCTCAACAAGCTGGCTGTGCTCATTCTCAAGAACAACATCCAGAACGGCGAGACTGCCCGTGTTGAACTGATTGACAACAAGATCACTGTCCTTCCAAACCACGGCGATAGCGATTACTCAGACTCAGAGGAGATGTCAGTGGATGACGAGGAAGATGCCGTGGAGGAGATTGTCGGGGATGACATGGATGAGGACATTTACGACTAAAAGTGTCTGCTGTGCAAAGGCAGACATAGAAGCGGGAGCTTTGAAATTGTTATGAGCATGATGAGCTACGACGCATGGGGGTTTCTCAGCCCAGTCTTATGGGAATGAAATGGGCTTACAAAAAATGGGTATGGCGTCAGGAGCTTTGTTTATTTGTTGTACTTAGGGCACTGTCCCAGATAATACATCAAGTAGCGTTTACTAGATCCATTGACCATGACCATCGGTGACTGAGTGATTGTTCGACTCTGCTACAACACAGAGTCTCATTGCGTGCCAAAACGTAAAGTCCTATTTCCCGCATTCTCATCCAGTGTGACCGCTATGATTTCTTATAGCGTCAAGTATCGTAGAGAAACTTCTTGGTGAGGGGTATGATGATTCTGTCAAGTATACTTCACTGGGATTTGATATCCGTGAGATGTTCCCCTGTGCGCCTGTGTCTACTCAACCGCGAGCAATGTGGATATCCAAATGCTGGTTCCCTGGCGTACAGTTGTTCCCATTAGAAACGAGAGTTAAGTCGCTTGCGTTAATATGTTCCGCCGTCTTCTGTAAGGAGGTTTACAGCTCCTGCGACGGACACCTTGGGCACATTCTGAACATCACACGCTTGGCCTCAGTGTGGGTTGGTGAAACGAGTACCGTAAGGAGCAGGCAGGCGGCGCTTGAAAGCACTTACTTGGTCTTCCCTGAGGGAAATCTCAACAGTGACCACTTCTAATAAACAATACTCTTCCTTGAAAGCATGGCATACAATACATCACTAAGACGCTCCTTGTTCCAGGTCACACGAACGCACCAGACTGATATGGAGCAAATCGTTTATTCGATTGCGGCTAGCCCGCATCCTGAAGCTGATCATCGCGAATGTGTCGCGTCATTACCTAGGTAAGGGGCCCCTTGCATTCTGGCGTCTTTGCCTTCCCCATGAACATGTGCAACCAAAGTCCCAGCTGGACTGGCTGCCTCGGATAACGAGCGCCCTGCCTGCCCCTCGCCGAAATGGGCCACAGGTGCCATGTGCTGAACCTCCAAATTAACAACCCCCCCCCCATGCTTGTGGAGAACGCCATGCGAGGATAACGTATTTGACCAAGGCATTCAGTAGAAATGCCCTTACATCTAATTTGCGGCTTTCAAAAGCAGGCCTTGCCAGGCATCCACCCGCCGGAACACTTGCTGAGTTTGATATGTGACTCTCATTCTCTATTCTGTCACATCCCTGCCACAAAGCCCAAGCACTCTCGCCATTACAAGGAGGAGGATCCTCCTTTGCGACGGGACGCTTTCGCTGGCCAGAGTCTCTCTTTAACCCCACCTGCTCTCCTCCCTCTCCGCCTCGCTCTTCTTCAGCCTGGCCTCGTCATCATCGTCGACGACCTGCCCGCCCCTGCGGGTCCGGCTTCTCTTGGCGTCGGAGCCCCCGCCCGCGTCCTCGGCGCTACGGCGCTTCAGCCCCGTAAACTGCGCAAGCCGCTGCGTCTCCTTCAGCAGGCGCTCGCGGTTGCGCCGCTCGCGCTCCGCCGCGTGGGGGTCGAGCCCCGACGGCTTGGACGCCGACGCCGACGAGGATCGCCGGCTGTCCCTCCCCTTGTCCCGATCCCGGTCCCTGTCTGCGGCGGGGCCGGAGGGCGGCTGCTTGGCGGAGGAAGAGGGTGTGCTGGTCGAGTTCTTGGCGAACGCGCCCTTGATCTCGAAGCCCTTCGGCGCGTTGAATATCGAGAAGTTCTTGGATATGCTGCCCCTGGGGCCGGTGGGCGGGTTGAATGGCTTCACGTCCTCTGCCGGCTCCGTCGGTGTCGGTGGCTCGGCGGTAGACCGCTTGCTGTGCCGTTTCTCGCGCTCCTTGTCACGCTCACGGTCGCGCTCTCGCCTTCGCTCCCTGTCTTTGTCCTTCTCTCGGTCCCTGTCCCGGTCAGATCGGTCAGACCGGTCGTGGTCGCGGTCTCTGTCTCTGTCCCGATGTGATGAGCGGTGGCTGGACTTGCGCTTGTAATCCCGATCATCATCGGTGTAATCCCGCTCGCGGTCTCGGTCCTTCTCGCGGTCTCGGTCGCGATCCCGCCGTTTCTCCGAGTCTCGCTCCTTGCGACTGCTGCGGTGGCTCGCCTTGCGCGAACCAGCGGGCGAGGCAGACCTGGACCGGTCGCCGTATTTCTCGTCCCTGGACGATCGTGACCTAGGTTCCTCTTCTTCATCGAGATATTTCTTACTGCGGCGGTGGCGGTGGCGCCGTTCCCTGTCGTAGTCTCGCTCGCCGTCTGAGGCGGAGTGGTCTCGGCGGCTCTTGCGCTTGCGATCCCTACGCTCACCACTACGGCTGCGCGAGGGAGCTGCAGACTCGGAGCGATCGCCATCTTTGCCATGTCGGTCTCGGTGGCGGCTCCTGTCTCGTTCTTGGTCCCGGCTGCCTTTGCTTCTGCTCGCGCTTCGCTCGCGGTGCTGCTCTGGGTCCCCTTTACGCGGAGAACTACTCCGCGATCTATGGTGCTCACGTTCATCGTCAACTGGAGTGCCAAGGCCATTCGCTGGAGTACTAGGGCTCTGGACCCTTTTGAAGTTCTCGCCACCGGGAATCTGGTATCCTCTGGCTCGTAGGTTAAGCAGGCTGGTGTTTGGCAGACCCTGACGCATAGCTTTTGGTCCCTTGGGTGCATTAAGAGGTACGTCAGGCACAGGGGCTGCCGGAGGCGGCATAACCCCGAAGTTTCCACCGCGAGCTTGGTTGACGCCAAAAGGCGGTCCTGAACCTGGTCTCATACTTGGGTCTGCAGGTACAAAATTGCCGTTCGGCGCGAAAGTCGGGTCACCACCGCCGACGCCGCTACCACCTGAGGCCGCCTTGTCCGCATCGTAGGGCTGGCCGGGGCCGGCCGCACTGTCTGGTCCTGCTCCTGAAGCTTCTGACTTAGTGTTGCCGTCTCCATTCTCGTTTACCGACTCCGTCTTGTCGGCATCTTGCACGCCGTCCTGGCTCGCCTCGGGGCGGATGGTACGACCGAACTCATCGACACTCTTGTCCCCTTCGCCTTCACCCGATGATACGTTGGGAAGCGGTTGAGGGCCATTTGGGGCTTTGTCCATCATGTTTGAGCCATCTTGCTGATTCATGTAGTTCTGGCCCTGGATCCCCTGTTGCCCATAACCAAAACCCCCACGGCCGAAGTTATTGAAATTCCCGCGGCCACGGAATCCTCGGCCACCTCGATAGAAGCCCCTCCCGCGATAGGCATTGAATTGGTTGTGAGGGCCAAAATTACCTTGATTGTATCCTGCTTGGTAGGCAGAGTTAAAGTCTCCATAATCACCGTTACCCATGCCTGAAGCATTTGGATGATTGTAATTATTCTGGCCGTTATTCCACGATTGCGGTCCGTTCCAGTTACCATCGGCGCCCATGCTACCATTGAACCCTCCCATGCCGCCGTTCATCATGCTCATGTCCATGCCTGGTCCGAAGCCATTGCTCATCTGGTACATGTTCATCATCGAAGGGTCCATGCCCATTCCTGGCATTCCTGGATGACTCTGTCAGTCTGGGTCTCTTGTGAATGTGATCACATGTTTGCTTACCCATCATGGGGAACGCGCCAAAGTTGGGCGCCATGCCATTCTGCATGGCGATCATCATCTGCATCTGGTTGAAATCACCACCGAAGTTCATGTTGGGGAACGATCCGTTCATGCCACCGCCAAGGCCAAGGCCATTGGGGAAGGATGGATTTTGTTGGCTGTTGTCTTTATTATTCTCAGCGCCATCTGCTTCTTCTGAGGCTGCCTCGGCGTCTCCTTTCTCCTCGTTCAGTTCGTTTTGCTCTTCCGTTTGGTTGTCTTCCGGGTTCTCAGCCTCCCCTGACACCTGCTCACCCGATGGCTCGTTCTGTAGCGGAGTTAGTACAGATCAGGTGTGTAGCGAACAGGGCTTGCACAAACCTCAACTTCAGTAGCAGATGTGTGCTCCGCATTCGTTTCGGTGGTGTCGAGAGCGGCGTTCTGCTCAGCGGGAGGGCCATCCGCCTGAGGAGGTTGCTCGCCTTCTTGTTGTATCTCCTGGGTGGCGACGGCCGCCGCAACTTCTGCATTGGCGTCTTCCACGGGTGGCTTGTCATCGGATACGGTCGGTGTAGAGGTAGGTCTCGCATCGACGGGTGTCATTGGTGTCGATTCCTTCGCCTGAGAGCTGTCTCGCTTCTTCTCGGCAGTCTTCAGGAAAGCCTTGGTCGTCATTCGAAGAGCTTTATTAGGCTTGCAGTCGTCAGCCGACATTGGGGTGTGCTCGCAAACGGGACATGTCGACCGGAGGGCCAGTTTGCCTGTCCTTGTCAGCGGGCTAAAGGTCTCACCCTGTGGAAAGTGGAATACTCACAGTTCTCGCAGATCATCTGCTCGCAACAGGGTGTTCTGAAGGCATTCACAGCCAGCTTGCTGCAGATAGCGCAGCGCAACTTGATTGGGACCTCATCCTGTGGCAGCGAGCTAGAGTGGGTGTCAGCTTCTGCGTCGTACAAGGTGCTCCAAGATGGTGAGCATACCTTATGAGCTCGGCCAGAGCAGGAGTCACCGTCACGTAGGCTGCCGCCATGGTTTGCGATCAGAAGGATTGAAATGTTGGAATTGCTCGCATGCGCAAAACGAGCTGGCGGCGCGGTGACAAGACGCCGACGGTGGTGCTCAAATCGTGGCGGGGGAGTACTCCATCTGTGGACGATTGTGGCTTCGTCGCCGTATCTCGATGGTACGCAGCCTGGGAAATATTGAGTAGAGATAAAGCGTGCCCTGTCGAGTACCGCGGCGGCAATGCAAGTAGAGCGCGCGCGTCTCGAAAAATTGGAAGAGGTCGCCAAAATGGACACCTGGGAGGAGCTGGTCTGTGCGCTGAGCCATTCCGCGCCCCGACCCACCCGCTATCGCCGTCAGTTGGGGGAAGCGGGAAGGGGCGAGGGGTTTATCGTTTGCCAACCGCCCAGCACCAGCATGACATTCGGCCGGTTTGTAACGAGGCTTGTGGGCAGCGGTGTTGGCATTCTTCGGCACACGAGCAGCTGAGAATGTTGATCCATCAGGGGAAATAAGTAGTTACATTCGCTACTTGACTACAGTGACGGGAATGTGCTAACCGCAAGACGTATTACGCCCAAGTGACCTGCCCTCGAGACTTGCTCTATCACCCCAAGTTCCAAACATCCTTTGCGAGGAAGAAAATGCAATGCTTCATTTGAAAACCTCCATCTCGGATAACCGCCCCGTTCCGCCTCAGCTTCAGCACGCGCAGCCCTCCTTGCCGGCCTGGTCCCGTGGACCGGTGAGGTTGACCCGCTGCTCCTCGCCTCCCCTTCCAGCCGCCTGAGATGCCCCCTGGCCCCTGGCGCTCTTCAGTGACGTCTCCGGGATGGCGTTGGCGATGGCCGTAAACACCTCGGTGACATTCGTGCCAGTCTTAGCACTGGTCTCGAAGAACAAGAGCCCCTCCTCCTCCGCATACGCCTTGGCCTCCTCGGTCGACACCTTCCGAGCATCACCGGAGTCGTCGGCATCATCGCCACCCGCTGCTGCCTCGCCGCCAGCACCGCTCTCGCCCGAGCCGTCGTTTGTGAGATCCAGCTTGTTGCCCACCAGCGCGATCACGATGCCGGGGGACGCCTGCCGCTGCAGCTCTGCCACCCAGTGCTTGGCCTTGATGAGGGATGTGGGCTTGGTGAGGTCGTAGACGACGAGGGCGGCTTGGGCGTTGCGGTAGTACATCGGGGCCAGGGATGCGAACCTCTCCTGGCCGGCTGTGTCCCAGATCTCAAACTTGATGGTTCTCGTGGGCAGATTGCATTTTTGGGTGAGGAAGGCGGCGCCGATGGTGGGCTCCTTGTTTTCTTGGAAGTCGTTGTTTACGAACCGGAGGACGAGCGACGACTTTCCGACAGCCTGCGGGTTGGAGAGAATGTGTCAGTTGGGAATTCTCATCAGGGTGCGTTGCACAGGATGGTGTCTTCTTCTCACAGCTTCGCCGAGGAGCACCAGCTTGACGCTGCTGGAGGGTTTGGGCGCGTTCGAGTCCGCCATCGCGAATCAATCGGATGTTGCTAGGCTATCTTGTCGGGTTCCAAAGCGGTTTGGAGGTGAAACGTGTGTGGTCAACAGCTAGATTTAGATGAAGTTGAGCGGCGTCGGTGTGGTGTCGGTGAGTGGGTTTGATCGTTCGGAAGGCAATCCAGCAAACAACCCACATGCGTCAAAGAGGTGCCTGTCCAACGATTGGCGAGAGTGACTGGGCAACTGGGTGAGTGACGTTGGCGGGTGCCCTGGGGCAGTGCAAAGACGGCCCTGGCAGCAGGGATTCTGGGCTGTCTCATCAGCCCCCACCTAGGTACCTAGGTACCTAGCTTCCTCCCGAGGCCGACTTACCAGGCGGCTTATCTTATCACGGACCCTTGCCAAAAAGTTTGGTCGTTCTTCAGCTTTTCTTTTCCTCTTTTCTCCGTTCCAGCATTTGGCGCATACGAGGGACTCGACAGCCGCACATCGCAATCAGCGACTTGTACGTCGAAGAGGAACGGCTCAACAACCAATCTACAGAGGCAAGTTGCCCACCGCTGCAACTATTAGCCAGCATGGCAAAGAAGGACCTTTTCGACGAGGCCGACTCGGGGAGCGAGAGCATCGGGGGCGACGCAGATGGCAAAGGTCTGAAGATCAACGAGGACTATGCGCGACGGTTCGAGCACAACAAGAAGCGAGAGGAGAGACAAAGACGTAAGTGAGACGTGGGCGAAATTTCCTGGTAGACACCGGTGCGATCGATATCGAGTGCAACCAACTCCATTTTCAAGAATTGGCGCAAATATTCTGATACGACCAAATTTACGCTCACCCCTCCCCACTACATATTCCAAGGAATCGATGTCTGCTTCATAGCGTATATGCCAGCTGCTGACGGTAAACAGTTGAGGAAAAGGCCAAGGCGCGAGCGGTAAATGGCGAAGACGACGACTCCGATTCAGACTCCTCGGACGACGAGACAGAAGACGAGGATGGTTTCCTGGCAACCGAACAGCTCGATGCTGAGCTTATCGCTACCATGCAGGCCATCAAAAACAAGGACCCTAGAATATACGACCCAAACACGAAATTCATCACCGCATTGGATGAGGATGGCGCAGCTACCAAAGACAAGAAGGAGAAGCCAATGTACCTTCGCGACTACCACCGAGAGCGCTACCTGGCTGGAGACACCGGAGCAGACATCGAAGAAGAAGCCGATCAACCCAAAACGTTTGTGCAGGAGCAGGCGGATCTGAAAAAGGACATTCTGGCAGAGATCAACGCAGCGGATGCGGACGACTCGGACGATGACGAGGACTTTATCAAGGCAAAGCCTAGCGAGACTGCCGCTACAGAGGACGGGGTCCACCCCTCAAGGAAAGAGAAGGTAAAAGCTGCCGAGCTCGATGTTTCACTCGCCGACAAGGACCCGGAGTTGTATTTGTCAAATTACATGGCGTCGCGTGCGTGGATTCCTGAGACCAGCTCGAGGTGGGAAGCATTCGAGTCGGACGAAGGGGAGGGCAACGACGACGCGGACGAGTGGGAGGCGGCTTACAACCTGCGGTTCGAGGACCCTGCGAAAAGCAACGAGGTCCTGCAGTCCTACTCACGAAAAGTCGTGGAGGCACGATCCGTGCGGCGGGACGATGTCAAGGGACGAAAGAAGCAGCGACAACTCGAGAAGGAGCGCAAGGAAGAGGAGAAACGCCAACGTCACGAGGAGCGCGCCCGACTGAAGCGCCTCAAGATCGAGGAGGCGGAGGGAAAACTGAAGAAGATCAAGAAGGCTGCTGGTCTGAGCGGCAAGGAACTTGGAGAGGAGGAGCTAATGAAGCTGCTTGAGGGTTCTTGGGATAATAACAAGTGGGAGGAAGAGATGAGCAAGCGCTTTGGAGAGCAGTACTACGCAGAAGCAGAGGAGGTGGTATCAGAATCAGAGGAAGAGGGCTTCGGTAAATCGAGGAAGAAGAAGCCAAAGAAGCCCAAGTGGGACGACGATATCGACATCAAGGACATCATTCCAGACTTCGAGGACGAGGAGGCCAAACCAGACATCAGCCTCGTCGACGTGGAAGATGGGGCCGAAGCAGCTGATGACGGCGAGGATCAGTTGTCCGACGGCGACGAGCGCCCGTCCAAGAAACGCAAAACCACCAAGGAGCACAAGGCAGAACGCCAGGCCAGCAAGCAGGCCGCCCGGAAAGAGCGCTCCAAGATCGAAGCCCTGGTCGAGCACCAGATGGAACTCGAGGACCCGACGGTGCTGGCCCTCTCCAAGAAGAACAAGAAGGCCGCGGGCGCCGAGACCGCGGGCTTCCGGTACCGCGAGACCAGCCCGCAGTCGTTCGGCCTGACCCCGCGCGACATCCTCCTCGCGCCGTCGGACGCGGCGCTCAACGAGTTCGCCGGCCTCAAGAAGCTGGCGACGTGGCGGCACCCGGACAAGAAGAAGAAGGACCGCAAGAACCTCGGCAAGAAGGCCAGGCTCAGGGAGTGGCGGAGGGAGGTGTTTGGCAGGGAGTTCGAGCACACGGGCCCCACATTCGGGTTCGGCGGCACCAGGGACGACGAGGCGGATGCCGCGGTAGACGAGAAGGCCAAGGACTTCGAGGGCGGCGGTGCTGACGCCAGCGGGTCCAAGAAGAAGAGGAAGAGATCTAAGGGCAAGAAGAAGGGTTCTGTCGGTGCGTAGGCCGTCGGACAGTTGTAGTTCGTGGATACTGGTTTCGACACCCTTGGGTAATTCTTCGATCGTCGGCTGCTTCTCTCGTGTGGCAGCAAAGCATTTGAGCGTTCCGTGCTTCTAGAAGCCCATCTGGGCAAGGCTATAGTCAGCCCAATTCGCGAGGATTTCTAAGTGCCTGCCCCAATTCAGACATTATAGTGTATTTATGCGCCCTGCCCAGACCCACGTTGTTCACCCTGGACTAATACCATGCTTGCACTCGACCCTCCTTTCATGTGAATACAGGCTCTCCAGCGCCCTTACGCATGATGGATTATATCCGCAGATATATTTCCATCGAACGCCAAAGTTTTGATCGTATGGTCACCTTCAGCCAATGGATCTACCGTCACTGCCATAAGAAATACAATGCTGGTTCATCGCACAATTGTCTATTACCCTGTACAGTCTTCCCCCCAAGTACAGTATAATAATGCTGCACATGAATAATGAATGGGATGGGCCACGGTGAGTGCCCCCCATCTACCTGTTCCCATCCCTCCGCTGCTTTCCCATTTACCGTCTGGTATACTACCGAGCGAATGATTCCCAGCGCCCTTGCTTGCCTCGTTTTTTCCAAACTCCGTAATGCCCTTATACATTAAAATTGGCCACCGAGTGTCCGACGCCGTGGATGCTGCGGCAACTACATCCAACCAGGCCGTCTAAGAAATCATAACACCTCCACGCTTTGTGGTCTTTACCTGACCGATCATCGCCCTGGACATCTAGACAGCCATGTCCCGCCGGCTCATGAATTGTCAATGGCCCCCGCCCATCCCCGACCCGTGGCCCCCAGCGCCGGAGCCAAACATTGTGCCGAACCCGTCGATCGCGGACGCCAGCCCCCCGACGTCCCCCACGTCGGCCGAGTTGAAGGGCATGAACCAGGCCGCGGAGCCGCCGTCGTGCCCGTGGCCGTGCCCGAAGACGGTGTGGTGCGGGTTGTTGTGCGGCCCGTCGGCGGACCCGCGGCACGCCTCCCTGGCCCCGCCGTTGTTCTCGGCGCCGTCCCAGCCGGGCAGCCCGTCCATCATGGCGGCCGACGCGCTGGGGTCCAGCCCCGCGGAGACGTACGGCGGCCCCAGCATCGAGTGCGGGAGCAAGCCGTTCTGCGCGAGCTGCAGCGAGAGCATGTCGTGGCCGTACATGCCGTGGTGCCCGCCCCCGCCGAACTGCCCGTGGCCGACCGTGACCGGACTGATGGGCGAGATGGTGCCGTGGTACGCGGCCGAGTGCGGCGCGGCGCTGAGGGACGAGAAGCTGGCCGCGCGGCTCGTCTGGCCCCCAAGGGCGGCTCCGGGATAGCGGCCCTGCTGCTGCAGCCGCTGCAATTGGTCCGCGTTCATGTCCGTCATCAGCGGCTCCAGGGGGTGGCCCGTCCCGTGGGGGTCGCTGCGAGCCGAGCTTATGCTGTGCCTCTTCGCTGCGAGCGCCTTGGCCTTTTTCAAGGACATCGAGTTGGAGCGTGCTCCCGCTTCCTTGGCCTGCGGGGACAGCGTCGTGAAGAACTCCTCCACGGTGTGCAGCTCGGGCTTCTGCTCCAGAACCGCGTCTTCGCCCTTCTCTTTGTTTTTGTACATGGCCGGGTCGACAAAATCGGACTGCGACACGCCGTGGGGGTATCGATCGAACCAGTCTCCGTACTGGAAGATGGGGGACGAGGACGCGTCGCCCGGAAGAGTGCCACGCCGTGCTGCGTCGGCACAGTTGCGGTATTGATCCCGCAGGTTTTCTGTCATGAAATGGAACATGCCCCAGAAGCGCTTCATCTTCGAAAGCGACTTGATGTTGATTGCCAGATTCCTCTTTGATGTGGCCTCGATAGTGGGATTCCCGGAGAAAATACCGAAGATGTGCACCGTGCTGGACAGGAATGCGCAGTAGCCGACGAAAGGCGCAGTAATAATGCAGGACTCGGAATCCTTGAGGAGCTCGGAGATGCGGTTCGCCGCGCAGAAGGCCTTCGCACCGGCCTTGGTGACAAACGATTTGGGGATGTCCTGGAGAGAGTTCGCGTTCGGTGAAGAGACGGCGAATCGGCTCAGGAATAGGATATTTTGCTGGATGGCGATATGGAGGAAGAGGAATTGGTTCGCCATGCCTTCTGTATCATGTAAGTGGAGGTTGTCTGGGTTGTATACCAGCGATTCGGGCAATGAAGATGCCATATCCTCGGCTTGCTTGATGAGCTTCATGTACTCGGAATCGGCGTCCCACATTTGCTTGTCGTCCAGGTCCTTCCCGCCCTGGTTGAGGTAGTTGATCACACGACCCCAGATTGCTACCGCCTTGATCATGTAGGCGGCTACGCCCATGTTGTTCTTGGCGTCCGCTTTCTGCATGTGGTCTAAACCGGCCCCATTCGGAACTTCGCCCTGCAGATTTTCTGTCATGCCTGGCATGTCTTCAAACTGGAAATTCTTCTCCTTTATCGGCAGCGGAATCCTCAAGGTCTCCTCTTTGATAAAAGTCGGCCGGTCGGTTCCGGATGAGTTGAACCTGTCCATGAGAAAACATGCCCACATGGTCCTCCTGCGGATTTCACGATCCGTGAAGCTGAGCCGCGTTCCGGGTCTCAATGGATCGAATTCGAGATCCTTGTGCAATTGAAGAGCGAATGCCATCCTTATTGCTTGCCCCGCGAGAGCCCAGCTGCGCCCGCCGTGGCATGTGGCGAATTCATGTAGCCCCAGTATAAGAAGGCACGTGAGGATGGTGAGGTTCGGCCACTCGTATCTTTGTGACTATGTCTCGAGCAGCGGCAGCCCACTCCTCGCCTCTCAAGAAGGCCGGCGAAGTGTTCAGTTTGGGATGATTCGAGAATCGGGCGGACATGGCGCATACGGAGAGGATGAGAACAGGCGGTAAGGTGCCGGCCCTGCATGACTGTCAGCGTGTTCTCGAATCATGAAATATGATAAGAAGCCATCCCTACCTCAGCTTCCTCATGTAGCTTGGCTTGTGGAGTATGTGGTAAGCTTGCCCGTACACACTCTCGAAAAACACGTCTGCAAGATGCTCTTGGATCTCCCTGGATGGCAAAGACTGGACACCTTCCTGCAACAACTTGGTTTCCTCAGATTCGTGCACCATCATCAATGAAGTTGGTCTTGGCGGGCTTTCGAGACCTGATTTCACCGGTACCTTCGCCCAATGGTCAAGGTCCTGCCCGAAGGCTTCCTCGGCCCCGCGTTTTCTGGAGTTCCCCTTGCCTGATGATAGAGTGCCGGGGATGGCAGGCTTCACCACTGCGCGCGGAACAGTGGATGAAATGCCGTCCTGCTCATTCTTAGGAACGATCTTGATAATTCGCTCCTCCATCCTCTTGAGTCTTTTGTCGAGCATGGCCATGTAGTCTGTCCGTGGTGCGGCCTTTCGGGCGGTGACCTTGTACACACATGGTATCCGAGAGCGGAGGCAGTGTTTGCAGGCGGGCTTCTCACCCGAGCAACGTATCTTCTTCCTCCTGCAAGCGATGCATGCTAGAGGCAATCTCTTGCGCTCTTTGCCAGCCTTGGTTTTCAGCTCACTCCATGCCGGGGCGGTGTCGGATTTATCGTCCTTGTGTTTGGCGCCCAAGTCAGTTCCGTCACCGGGTCCAAGCGAAGTCAAGCCAAATTCGTCCGACACCGGGTCCTCTAATGAGTGTCCATGTGTGTTGGCATCTGGGCTCCCGTCATCTGAACCGTCCACGCTGGACCTTCCTCGGCTGGAATCAGCGTTGCCGAAGTAGGGAGCATGGGCTGTGATTGACGGCGCTGTCACTTGGGTGTCTGCCATGGTTGAGGAGATGGACTGGCGCTGTCGACTGGCATATAAGCCTGGTGCATGTTCCTCGGAAACAGCAGAGCTAATGGACGAGCGTTCTCTTAGCCCCTGGTAGGTGGAAAAGGCGAGGTCGTGGGTGAAGAGGGCAGAGTCTGTGAAGCCTTGTTGGTGGGACGTCGCGAGAACCGAGTTGTCGTAATGAGAACGGTTTAGAGAGTACGCTTGCAAGTTTGAGTCGTGTTCGGGTCCAACACCTCTGTGGAAAAGGTCGGGACGCAAATCAGCAGGGAGGGCCTTGATATTGAAGTGGGATTGAGCCGCTGACATGGCTATTGCTAATGCAGAGAGCTTGGGTCAAAAGTAGCAAGTGATCATCGACGGCGCCTTTTCGTGGTGCTGGTCTAGAAGCAAACAGGCACAGGGTGCTGAGGGGCAGGGCGGGCAGGGTCAGGCTCGAGTCGGAACCTCCTCGGAGTCCAATTTTGAATTCAGATCTTAGGGCGGGACGATGAAGATCAGGATCAAGGCGTCTCCAACAGCGAGCCTTCTTTTAAGTTTTAGGGCGGGACGGGGCCACTCCTCTCCAACTGATGGTCCGACAATTAGCCTTGTCTTCTGAGTTGTGTGTCAGGCAGTGTGATATGCTGCTGCTGCTGAGGTTGGAGAGGACGATGACGACGGCGGTATTGCAGGTGAGGGGGAGCGGAGCAGACAGTTCACCAAAGCACATAGGCCATGATATGCCTGTCCGCCAGGGTTGCCGAAAGGTCACAGGGGATTTTTGGTAAATCGGAGCCCAGCTTGATTGTTATGTGTCAGCCTCCTCACTATATGTGCCCTCCAGCGGCCCCCGGAGAGGCGGGCAACAATAGCTCGGGGGTGAGATCTGGGTCCGGGGCAGAATGGAAATAGACAAGGGGATTCAGGCTATCGGAAGCCCGTCTTGTTTGACTGGCCCGGGCTGGATGCAGTGGGCTGGCTCGTGGTTGTGGCCGGACGGGTTGGACTGGGCTTGGGTTTTGAAGAAAAGCGAACAGCGCCCCGGGGCAAGAGAAGCAGCAGCAAGACGGGCGGGTGAAATGGGCTGGATCTGGTTGGATCTCCAGCAGAAAGGGTGGGTGCTCCTCCACCGGGGGCAGAGGGAGAAGTGTGGATACACCTTTCACACACAGTAGTCAGGGTATGGGAATAGTGTACATACCTCCTGGTGAGAACCAAGATGATTGATTATTATTGAACTCTCTCGAGCTGGGGTTCTCCACCAAGCCCGGCTCACAGTATGCAGGCGGACCCGCTCTTGTGCAGTAGCAGCGGTGGCGGCAGGGTGAGAGGCAGTAGAGCAGGGTACGACTCTGGCTGGCCTGTCTGTAAGTGGAACAAGCAGCACTGCGTGACGCGCTGCACGGCGCTGCACGGCGCGACAGGGGACAGGGGACAGGGGCCCAGGGCCAGAGAGTCGTGTGCCTGCGACTTTGTTGGGATGTCGACGCGAGCTAGACCTTGTCTCCTCCCGTGGTGGAGGACGGAAGAGGGCGTTTTCGGCGGTCAGAGATTGTGGGGTAAATGGGGTCCAACGGTCGTGTGCGCTCCCGTGGCGTGGCTTGGGAAAGACCTCCACTTTAGTCCGAGGATGGATGGATGGATGGATGGATGGATGGACGGGTGGGTGGCTGCCCGTATGGCTGGTTGTATGCTTGTGTAATAATGGCTGCGCCGTGGAATGGTCTGAGTGGATTGCTGGTCGCAGGCTGGGCCTGGATGTGGGTGTGCGTACGTCTGTTTGTCGATATGTATGACCGTGGCTATCACCCATGTGATTTGGCAGGCAGACTCTGATAAATCGTTGGGAATCAGACTTGTTTGGCGGGAGTACAGGAATAGGAGAGACTCGAGAGAGAGAACAGATAGAACAGCTGGGTTGATCACAGCGGTGGGGGGTTCGTCTTTATGGTCCAAGTGTCCCAGATATCCCGAACGGCGTGTCGGTCGTTAGACTGGTGAGGCACTTGTAGGGAACGCGTGCAAGGGACACCATAAAGACACATCCAAGCACCTTTCCAGCTGGTGATGGGCAGGTGAAGCGAAGCGAGGTATATCCGGTCAAGGTGCAAGGGTGTACGAGTGATATTGTACATAGTACACCAGTGAGGGTCGAGGATCAGACGGTGCGTCCACTTGGCTGGGCGCTGAGGAAACGGCCGCCTTTATCCATATCCGTCCGTACATGAGCAAGGACACGAGTTGCTCGCCAGCCAAGTTGTCGGATGCGAGCTGCTAGCCGCGGAAGCGAGGGGTATGTGGCAGGGGAGACTTGCGTGTGATGGTTCCTTACGGCCAGCATGTGCTTACTGCACGCACGGAGGGATGGAGCAGTCAATCAGTGCGAGAGTCTTGTAGTGGTGTCTCGACGACCATGACAATGCGTCGGTGGATCTGATGTCAGTGAAGGGGGTTTGGATGCATGCTCAGGTTCAGCAACGCCGCCAATCAAGACAGCAGCGTCACCAAGAGGTTGTGTGTAGGGCGAGGGGGGTCACCGCCACAGGCGAGTCAAACATATCCTGCCTAGGTATACTTTACATGTATGCTCAAAACAATCTGCCTCCCTTGCACAGCACGATACCTCTCTATGTGTGTGTGTGTGCATCCCTCTTGATCAGCAGCCAGCTCCTGTGCCGATTCGCCCGGCAGCAATGCGCCTGTGAAACTGCAGACAGAGTTCTTGTCGCTGCCTCGGCTCGCATCAAATGGACGTGAAATGTTTAGCCTACATACATATCTGATGACTTTTATTTTCAACGTCGGGACGAATCTCAAGCCTCGAGCTGAGGTGTAGAACCTTGAAAATCTTTGCATGAGCATGGGCCGCAGAGCGTCATACCAGGTAATAATGAGCGTCGTGAACTCTGGTCGTGATGAGCCAGGGTGGGGGGCCGTTGCGCATCGGAAACCAGGCCGTTGCGAACCATGGGGCCGGGGGACAGTGCCGGATGCCTTCGCCACCAGGGTCTGCAGTGGCTAGCACGGGTTGCAAGTCGGCGGGCCGGAAAGCCCAACCAGCTGGGGCTCGCGATAGGGACGTTTCCCACGATGCCAGTGCCAGGATCCGGGCTGGCGGGGCAATCTGATCACCGACCACCCTCGCAATGACCTGTTTGTTGACTGTGTTACGCGCGGGCATATTTGGCACAGGCCAGATGCCGGGACCAGGTCAGCACTTCAGACCTAAAGAATAAATGACCCGACGGCTGCTGGGAGACGGCCGGGCGAATGCTGCGCAGACCGTAGGGCTGGTGGGGACGACAGGTTTCGACAACGTAGACATGGGCATGTGAGCCATGTGAGTCCAGTCCCCGCCGATCCTGCAACAGAGCCAGATGGGCGCGGGTCCAGACTATGTCTCTGGCGATCACGTCCTGCACGAGGTTCTTCGCAGCGAGCGAGGCTTGTTGCTGAGATGTTGCGAGCGAGGTCCACCATCGCAAATGTGACCAAGGTCTGGGGCCCGAGCAAGAGAGGAGGCCATGACCCCGGGGTTGCCTGCGGAGATAGCACGAAGTCAAAGTGGTCCGTTTGTGGCCCATGGTGACAAGCTTCCAGGCTTAGCTGTCCTGTCAAAAGGCGGCGGGTGAAGCATGAGGCCGGGGGCCGGGGGCGAAGGGCCAGTGCCAGGACCGGGGGCAGGGTCTAGCGAGCAGCCTATCTGCCAGATCACACCAAGATCTCGACAGGAAGCCGAAATGCATGGCAAGGCATGGGCCGTAGCGACGGCTTCCCTGCACTCCCAGGTGGGCAGCAACGGTGGTAGGTTTGGCTCCCACGGGCAGCCCGTTGCCTGAACTAGGCAGGTCAACGTCTGTGTGCGTGCTGGCCTTTTAAGGTTTGTTTGATGGGCTTGTCAAGACCGGATCTGGCACGACATGCCATCGCCCTTCCCGGGCGCAGAAATGAGATGAGGCGCATGATTCGAATGGGTTTGCTGAGACCAGAGCAACGAGGGGGCCGAATAATGACTTGCTTGAGGCATTGTCGATCATGGTGATCGCCCGTGTCCCAGAGTGTCTCGCGTTCCACGTGGGCCACGGCGAGCGAGGCTACCAAGGTGAGCAGCAGCACCAGCGGGCGGGCGGCGAGTGGCGAGCGGGTGAGCGGGTGAGCGTGTATGGTTGCAGCGTGTGATGTCACAGGGTCCCTGGGAAGGGCGATTGGTAGAGCATGGAGCACTTACATACTAGATACCAGGTACATAACTGGCAAGAGGGGTAGGTGCCCAGGTAGGGGGGAAAGGGAGACAACACAGCAATAACGTGTGCAGATAGAGTGCTGAGTGCTCAGCACCTAAACGTCTATCAGATGCTACATACGGTAGTAAGCTTAACTGTGCTTGCTCTCTGGCAGGCTCTTTCCAGGCTCCCGTCTCACAGCTCCTCACATGTCACACGCTGACGTGCGATCCATATCGACCTGTCAATCTTGTTGAGCACGTCAGGTTCGGCTGTCAGTACGTGAGGGTAGGACTTGGTGGGTTACAAAGCACAGAGGGATGAATCAAGCAGGCAATGCAGACGAAAGGTCGAGTGCGGTAGCCGGGCGGAGGACCAGTGCCGCGGGGGGGCTAGCGCGAGCCACATGTGCCTCACACCTCGGAGTAATAGTAGTTGGGGCGTTGAAAGCTTGCCCGACTCGATTGCTCTGCACGTGCCCGCAAGAGGGTCAAGCGAGGGTTCGCGAATGGATCTGACCATCTGTTCATCCACAACCGCCGACGACAGCTCCATCCTCAGGGCGACCCGTCCCGACTCACCGTCACATCCATCGGGGAACTGACGGGCGTCAACCGACAAGACGCCTCTCGAGCCGGTGTGCAGCACAGATAGGGTTTGCGTGATTTGCATTGTTTTGCATCTTGTCGCGCTGTGCTGCGCAGCGGCAGTGCTTCACCTGATCTTGCAGGAGCGTCTGCGGGCATGTCATGGGAAGTTAGGGTCGCGGCTGTGGCCGCGGCCGAGGTCGAGCTTCGTCATGTCGGCGCCAGCATCAAGACGCATTTGGGTTTTGGGCGTCGAACCGTTTGGGCGTTCTAGAAGCCATGGCTCGTGTCGATCCTGCGAGGGACAAACCGACGCAACAGGCACAAAGCCCGCCACCCCAAGAGCACAGACAAAGTTGAGAGTCATGTTGATCAGCAGCGGCACGGCGTCTGCGACGTGCGCCGACTTGCTCTTCAACAGCCATCCGGCCGTTCGGCCATTCCAGCTCGACCCGAGCCAGGCAGCTCCTTCCTCCTCTCTGACACCCCTGGCACCTGCGCCCGCGCCCGCGCCCGCACCTGCACCTGCACCTGCACCTGCCTGCATGCGCCTGCACCTGCCTGCAACTGCAGCCACAGAAAAGAAGCAGGAGGCTGCAGCAGCTGGGAGCTGGGAGCTAGGAGCTGCAACGCTGCTGGCTGTTCCCGCTTTTTAAGCTTTCGGCCGGGCCAACTCCTCCAAGCAACCCCCCAATCCTGTCATGCGTGCCATCCCAGCTGCCCCTGACAAATTGCTTCGTCAGCATTCGATCGTCCATCGTCTTTCCATCACTCTCCCGCCCGTCATCCACCACCACTGCATCACCATCCCGTGGACCAAGGGAATTTGGATATTGGCACAATGGGAATGTTCACCGAACGTGACTGCACGCCCCGAACTGGCTTTGGCACAGATGACGTCCCACCCCTTCTGTCCTTCTGCACTGCTGCCTCCTGCCTCGCGGCCCCTCCACCCTGCACCCTGCCGTCAACACCACGCTCTCCCAGCGTCGCAGTTCCAACAATCCGCACCACTACTCCGTCCTCACCCTTGGCTCCCAATTGGGAGCCCTGAAGCCTTGTTTCAGCCCTTTTTGCTCTCAGTAACCACACACTCACACTCACACTCACACTCACAGATCGCCCCGCTCGCCTGCTTGCCCTGCTTGCCCTGCTTGCCCTCTACTCATCTACAGTAGTACTGCTGCAAGTACGTTGCGTTGCGTCGCGTCGCTTTCGTTGTTGCGTGGAGTGAACCAGCTGCCGCCGCTAGCCGGGGTGTGTTGTGCTGCTCACTCGTGGCCAGTGTGGCATGGGCTTGATGCTGGGCGTTCCGAAATGTCTGGCTGGGATGCTGGCCTTGTCCTGGTGCCCTGCTACGGCCTTCGCAAGGCTTGCCTCCATTTGGTCGCCGTCCAATTCCAACCGCCCTACGTTTGTCGCCAGCGCTAGCTCCCACTCCCGGTCCAGCCTCGTGGGCTCAGGGTTCAGGCCCTTGTTCTCGCCGGGGAAGGCCAGGCCGGGCCAGGGTCTGCACACTAAGACTCTCTCACCCGCAATCTCAGGTCTGTGTCACCAAGGCTCCTTGCTTGCTGCAGTGGAAAGACATTTTATTATTATCACCTACGCCGAGACACGACACGACACGACACTGCACGACACAATACGATCTGCGCTTGACTCTCATGCTGTGCCCCTTGAGTTTGACACAGCCTGGGCTCCCGGGTACGTGCATCTCATGCGGTCGGGCCAGCATAGCATAGCATGCCACAGCAAGCTTGGGAACCGCTCCCGAACACCCCGATCTGATGAACAGGAGGCTCCTGCACTCGGGCCAACGGCGAGGCGTATTTTTCTGAAAATTCCTTCTGAACCTGTTTACCGGGTGTGCTGACCCCTGCCTCACCCTCTCGCTGGGCCCTCCTGGGTCGTGTGAGTGAGCCTCTGGCCAGAGCTGGGACAGGACCCCAACAGCAGGGCCGACATCACACCAAGTACTTCGACCAGATGTTGGGCAGTCCGAAAAGCTTTGTCAGTTTGTCAGAACCATATGCTGTATCCCTGTTGGTGGTGCCAAGCTCAGAGCACACCAACCGGCGGCGTGACTGTGCGATGAGACTTCATCTGATACTTCTTACCTGAGCCTCAGGATGCTACGCTTGCTGCTGTCAGCCGCCCCAGTACAAGGTTCGGATGGGACAGTTCGCATCACAGTGCTGACTTCTGCCAGGAAGCGTCAGCCTGGTCGCGCCGTCATCGAGCCGGGCGATAAGCCATGTAGCAAGTGGGAGCCAGAGAGAGCGCGCGCCCGTCTCTCGTCCTGAAGTTCAGGTGGTTTTTCTGTCACACCGCAGCTGCAGCTCTCAAAGTGCAAACTGCAGATGTTCAGCCTTTCCAAGCGAGAGCAGAAGGCGAGCTGCGTTGCATCATTTGCGCTGAGCATCACACAGCATGTTCCTAGTCAGCATCAGATTCAACAACTGGAGCCGCAGAGACACGCAGTACCCGAGACCAGGACTGAGACCAGGTCGAATGACTGGCAGGAAAGCTTTCGAACATTGTAGGATCCTTCTGGCGCACAACATGTCCGCCACACAACACCTGACGGTCGATCACCTGCAAGCCACCGCTCATGCTACACAAGGAGGAATCAACCGAGCCAGTCACGCGAGACCTCCAGATGATATTGCGAGCGAAATCCCATCGTAAAAGAAAGCGCATCACTAGGCCGCGACCGGGGCCGTGGTCACTCCACGTGTACCTCATAAAACGCTTGATGTGAGCTGGTTCTCTGCGAAGCAGGGGTGACACGTTGTAGCGCAAGCCGTCCGTTGAGAAGCAGGCTATCCACCAACGCCGGGAATGCGGACGATCTTCAAGTGTGACCGGTTGCACGGGAACGAGTGTTTCCGAATATGCAGGACTAGTCAATATCGCAGCCCTCAGGGGGTCCCAGCCTCATCGCTCACGTACACTACAGGGACAAGACACATGGAAACCTCCTCACCTGGATTCAGAACGGTAAAACCACGCGAACGGCGTGGCAAGACTTGTGATGATGATGCGCGGCATCGTCAGCAAATCAGTACAGCATTAGGTTCGCGCCCCATGCTTCTAAAGACAGGCAGGATCTGCTCCAAATAGGCTTTGACACCCCTGATGCTGCTTGTCCGGCCTGGACCATCGTCCCAACTCCAACCTCGCCGTGCTCACATTTAAGCACTACAAATTCAGCACGGACGGGGGGCTCCACTGCATCCATGAGACGTAGGGGAACGCATGCCATCTAATGAAATCTGGGCGCAACGAAACCGTTGTGTCTTGGCACGCCGTGAAGCTCCCGAACACAGCACACACAGGGCTTCCTGAAAAAGATTGTCATGTCGCTACAACCCCCACAAGGAATGCAACAGTTTCCAACCAATCACAACTTATAGTTTATACTTTTCTTCCATTAAACCAACACTGTTACAGCGAATTCGGGATGTAATGCTACAATTTAGCTACTTTTTTTCTCCTCTTTATTTAAGTTAAAAAGTTAGAACTATTGTTGTTAATACGCACAGACGAGAGGGAGAGTCAAGGGACCCTTCGCCACGGCCACGGAGGTCACGAAATAACCTTCTTTTTCAGGAAGCCCTGTACTTGCAGGGCCTCAAACTGCTCTGTCGTCCAATCTTTCTCGATCCCCGACCATGACCTGCAGGTTTTGCATTGACAAGCCCCCAGCCTCGAGGACCACGAGATTCACCTTGATGAGCGGTACGGGCGATCAGACCCCAAGACGAACACCCCTTGATCGCCTCCAGTGTGGATCGACCTCGCAATTCCCAAAGATACGACTGGTTCATCAGCTGCTCGACGCCAGCCAACGGGAGGTTGTAACCTTCCAGAGTGGTACGAAATACTTCAATGGCGAATTGTCGTACTTCTGGTGGCCATGCTCCCCCACATTTGTGGCCCCTCAATTCGTCGATGCTGCCATGGTCCTTGTCTTGCCCTCCATCCGTCCGTTGTCTGGCTGTCTGGCTGTCTGGCAGTCTCGCTACCGGGTTGCGTTTCGCGCCGTCGACCATTGACCCGCTCGATGTGACCCGGCATGGGATTCTTTACTACGCCCCCAAATCATGTGCCACACCTCGAAAAGTATTACCAGTAGTGTTCAATGGGCATCTGGCTTCACTTGGGGTGGGGGTTCCCACCAAATAGACGGTAGCACTTTCCTAAGGCTGTGAAGGAAACGAGGACTGAATGTCCAAGCCCACCAACTCCGGGAGCAACACCGGCGTGACAAGGTACTCCGTAATGTCCAGCATAATAGTTCACCGATTCGACCCACACCTATCATTTGTCATTTCTTCACATCTTGAACCGGGCTGGGAAATCGAATAACATGGTATCATATAGACGGGGATGTATTATCCCGTAAGGGAATTTGACCGCCAAGTACCTAGTGATCACTGGATGGGACTGGCGCTATCCTCCCAAAGTGGTAATTTGGCCACAAACCCCTCTACTGCCCCGACCAGGACTGGACTCATATCACAGGCACATACATAGCAACTCGGGGTAACAACAAGTTCAGAAGAGAGAAGCAGGCAAGCGCCTTTGATGCCCAAGTGGGTCATTCGCTCCCCTAGGCCGTCATCTCTTACTCAGAAGAGCCATGCTTTAATCTCTCACCGAGGGAACAACAGCTGCAACGCCCCAAACAAACAAAGCGTTTGTTTCTACGGACGGACAAGGCAGACCCCGGCCGACCTCCCGGGAGGCTGTTGCCCACGCCCGCTGGGAACTGGGGTGGGAGAACGAGAACAATAACAACGCACCCAAAAGCCTGGTCTGTCTCATTGGGGTGGTGGCGCGGCCCGCCGGGGATGGTGCGCGCTTCCAAGGTTCGTCGCGGGCCCAGCTCCAGGGGATCGACATGGCACTGCCCAAGCTCGCTTGCAACAGGCGACTTGATCCGGCTCACCGTGCTCTCTTCCTCGTTCCTAGTCGTGATTGTGCGTTCTCGTCCCTGCCCCTGCCACGGGCGCGGACTCGGGCAGGGGCGAGGATGAGGGAGCGGGCGTTGCGAGCATGCGAGCATCAGTGATCCCTCCCCGACAGAGAAACAAAGCTTACCTGGATTGGAAACTCCGCCTCATCCCCCCTGGGCGAGGCAGGGGGAGGTGGAGGAGATACGGGTGGTGAATAGGGGTGGTTGGGGGCGCGGACGGATGGAGATACAGATTGCTGATAGGATCTGAGCAGCACCGGCCGATCGCGAACGACACGATGGCCAAACGAAACAAGCGACGTTTCCTCTACGACGGGTAGGGTAGATCGCCACGGGGGAGCAGGGAGCGCCGACACGGCGCCAACGAACGAGTGAACGCACAAACGAACCGCAGGGCCCACGTAGATTTGTCTCAGGATGCCTTTGAACGCCAATATCACGGCCGCCGTTAAGAAACTTTGCTGATCACAGCACCACGGCTGTCGTGTTTGACATATCTCAGTTGTGTTCATGGCTCGGCTCGACCATCCGACGGACCGACCGATCGCAGTGAGCTGTTGCACGTCTTGTTGCCCCTTGAGGACTTGGTCGGTGGTAACTCGGATCCTCTTGTCACAGAGAAACGGCAGATTGGTTGGTTTAGCATGACAACTGTATTGGGAAAATTCACGTCCATTCATTCAGTCCATGCACGCTGCCAACGCCCAACACATATGCCTTTCCTCCTCCTAGCTCGCCTGGGAAGACAGACACGCTATGCTATCCATCCATGATGCCATGCTCGTGAGAGCCATGACGGAAGTAGTGACACGAAAACACCCAACGCCTTTGCTGTCGTCCAATACATTTCCTGTAAGACCGCACTCGTGCTCAAAGGGTCCCTCAGCCGGAAGGCAGCCGCTCTATCCAACACGATCCAATTACACAGCCCATCATGCATCCGTCATCGCCTCCCCGGGCCCCAAGGAGCGATCTTGGCTCACTCACGCCTGACGAGGACGGTCGACGTACACAGGTATGCCGTAGACACAGACCGCCGCGGCGTTCAGGTACTTGAACTTGCAGACGCCAGAGTTCCTCGCGCGGGAGACAGCCTCCGGCAGGGACGCGTCGCCGTATTCGCAAGCTGTGCCACCGCCAGCGCCCGCGGCGACACCGACACCGACGTCGCCGTCCACCGCCTCCGCTGCGGCCCTCCTGCGCGAGCCAGACCGCCCAGGCCTCTTGGTCTCACGTCCCGCGGCGTCATCATCAGCAGCGGCGACGCCACTGGTCGCCTTGCCCTTCTCCCTCCCGGGGAACGTGCCACTCGCGACCAGTCCCCACTCCTCAAAGACCCTCCCCGTGTACAGGTCGATGTCCCTATCCGTCACGTCCCACAGCGTGCCCACGACGGCCGGGCACCCGGCCAGCATGTAGCTCCAGACCAGGCCGTAGCACTCGAAGTCGCCCACGTCAGCCAGGCTCGCCGAGCTGCAGCCCATGAGCAGCGCCGCGGCGCGACACTTGTCGAGCCTGCGGATCGTGCGGTTGCGGATGTACTGCGCGCCGCCGCCATGGCCCATGTAAAGCAGGATGTCCGAGGACGCGAGGGCCGCCTCGAACTCGGTCTCGGTGGGCGCCTTCTTGACGATGCGCTTCCACGAGTCTCCGAGCGTCGACAGCGGGTCCTCAAAGGTGGCCTGGGTGGTCTTGAGGTCGCCGCTGGTATTGAGCATGTATGTTCCGGAGCTGATCGAGACGTGGTGCCCTGCTGGATGCTCTGAGCCGTCCGTGTCTGAACCTGCTGTGCGTGGCTTTTGCTCCAGAATTAGCCTGCGGAGACATGCCAGTGACGGCACCCGGGACACTGCCAGCCCCTGCAGGCACGGCAGTGACTCCCATGGGAAAGTGTGTAGAACCTTGTCCAGAACCAGAATCGTGTGGCTCCTGGTCTCTGCGTCTTCCAGGCTTTTAGCTTCGGCGTGGTACGAGTGGAGTGCGTCCAAGGTCTCGACTACCATGGAATCAAAATCGATCTCGTCGTAGGCATTGCGTTCGCCATGGAATTGAAGAATATCGACGACGAAGTATAGTAGATCATTGAGCATTTCGTCAAAGTCGCCTTCCGCGTCAGTGGCGTCTCCAAATCCGACGAACAGCTCGAGTATTCTCGTGTCGAGAGTGACTTTTGCAGCCGGTGCCTTGGACTTCTTTCCGCGGACTTGGCGACGCGACGGTAGGTGCTTGTCAAGGATGTTCGTGAAGCTCTTCTGGAACTTTGCAAGTAGCTTTGGGTGCCGCTTATGCTGCGAGAAGATGCCCTTGAAACCGCCAAGCCACACCTGCTCGATCCTCTCGAGCAGCTCCCCCAGACGTACGTCTAGAGCTTGTCGCTCGCCCCACCAGGCTGTCTTTGCGCCCTTGACTGAAAAGTCTCGCTTGGTGTGACAAGTCTCATTTGCCCGCTTGATAATATCAAGCAGTTCCGTTCGACCTTGCTGGAAGTCGAAGACATCACTGTCAGCGTCCCGGGAGCTCGCCCGCTCCAAGGGGAGCCTGATGACGAATGGACTTTGGCCAGCCTGCAATTTCGAGATACAGAGATCGTGCTTGTTGTCGCTAAGTGAGATGGAAATCACACTCCACTCTTGAGGGATGATGTCGATGTACTCGCGTTGGAACTTGCATATATCGACCACTGGGCTCAGGCTCGCTCGTCTTGTTTCCGGAGATCGTATATCCTCAGGCCAATCCAGACCGTTTCTTCCCGAGTTCTTCTCCGTCAGGAGCGCGTTGTACTCTCTGCGCCACGTCAGGTTCCGCGCCATTTCCACCGCACAGGTGGCGTATCCTGGATGTCCAAGGATGCCAGACTTTCTGGCTGAAGATGATGCCGCAGAGAGGAGAATGACAACAGTCTGTAGCATTCCCAGGGCCCTCCGTACTTCTTTGCCATCTCCGTTGACGGAAGCCAAGGCGTGAGCTTCCAGGAGCATCTCGCGTGCCTCCCGCAGATTCTCCAGATACCCTTGAGGGTCGTATGCTCCCTCCTCATGGGAGGCGGCGACAGTTCCTGCCTTGGGCGGAGATGCCTTGATCAGCGAAAATCGATCCGACTGCGGGATGCTGCTGACAGAAGGGAACGACAGCGTTGATTCTTGGATGACGGAATAAACAGCATCCTTAGACATCTGCTCCATGCTCTGCCCGAGTAGTGACCTTGCCGTAGTAAGGAGCTCGGATAATAGGTGTGAAGCAACCTTGGGCGACTGGCGGACCTCCTGTAGAAGTTGCCAGGCTCCAGACCAGTCTTTCTGGTGGATCATCGACGATGCTTTTTCGACCATGACGGATGCCTTAAGAGACACCAGATACGCGTCCTCTTGCTCGATGGTTGCCGAGCTAGTCGGCTCCGGCTTCTTCACTGCAGCCTTCTTGGGGGCGTTCCTCGCCGCTGCCGCCTTTGTTGTACGTGTCGACGTAGTGGTTGTAGCTGTTCGTTTGTACCTGATGGGAATCTTCGTCTTCATCTCGATGGTCGCAACCACTTCGCCCTTCGCAGCTCCTGCTTCACTCTCAGAACCGCCTGCCATGCGACTCACCATCTCCTCTGCCGCTTTGATCATGTCTCTTTCCGAATCGAAATCTCTAGTCTCGCGGTAAATGTTGCCGAGTCGGCAGCAAAGGTTGACGAGTCTGCTGGAGTAGTCGCCGACATTGAGCCTGGATCGAACTTGGCCCACCACCTTCAAAGCATCATCGAACTTGCCAGCCCTTGCTGAGATGAAAGACACCCAAGCGTCGCACTCGGCCAAGTATGCTTCGGAACCAGCAGCCTGTGCCACCTTTTGAGCTTGTTCGGCATAGTACACTGTCTCCTGGTACATACCCAGATGAGCATAGATGTTTGACAGGAAAAGAAGGCCCTTGAGAACGGGATGTGCCAGTCTCCAGGATTCCGGCCCTGAGATGATTGAAGGCGAGTCTTTACTCTTCTCCATCAATGCACTCAAGGAGGCATCCAACTGGGACGAAGACTCATCGGCAGACTTTTCTTGAGCCGCACTCTGCGCAGCTTTCGCCCTTTGTTCCAATCTCGCCCATTCCTGAAACAACACTCGAGCAGCATTCCTGGCATAGTTGAGGGCGCTCGGGGCATCGCCCCGGCCAAGAGCAACAGCCGAATAGACCAGAGAGGCTTGGGCCAATATCGCTTTGCGGTTCCTCGACCGGACAGACATGTTCATCGCTGAGACGGTCTCCTTCGCCTGAGATAGGACATCGCCTGCCTTTTCAATGCTTCCAATCTCGACAAAGTACTCCGCGTGTGAGAGAAGGAAACTGACGATATCCTCACGGCACTTCGTTTCTCCTGGACTTATTGACTGCTGGGCCTGCGCGAGAATTGTGTACGCTTTTGACGATTGGCCGACGTTTGTCAGCTGCAGGGCAAGTGCTGCTGAGACTTGCAAGTTCAACGCTGTGTCCAAGCCGGTGGCTCTGTGGCTCAGATCAGACGCAAGTTGCAAGGCATCCAACAGGAGGCTGTTGCGGTTAGACAATCGGGCGTAATCTGCAATAGATTGCAAGTGCTCCAACAGCCCGGGCAGGTCGTCGATTTGTTGATCAATACTGGCTGAGCTAGCGAGGATGGATCGCCAAACAGACATGGATTGTTCAATCTGTTCATGTTTCGGTGGTTGACAAGCCAGAGCAGCCATGGATTGCGAAAGAGCCTTCATGTGTGCAAGACAGCCCTTTAGCGCATTGTCCTCACCCAAGACTGCACCGCCACTGATCGTTGCTGCCTCTTCGAATTGAGCCTGGATCGACTCGCGATTTTTCGAGTCTCCTATATTGGCGGCCAGCAGCCGTGTCAAGATCCTCAGCCTTCTCACTGGATATTTGTCGACCGAGCACAGCTGTAGAAGTGCTTCAATACATGCATCTTGAGACCCGGCACTCTTAGTGCTAGAACCGTTACTCAAGACAATGAATTCGAGGCGATGCTCAAGAGCAGCGAGCCGTTCGGGTTCGTCCAAATGGAGAGTCCAATCAACCCAGCCCTGTTCCAGACGCCCTATAGACCGTAACGATGACGAAAGTAATTCTGCATCCTTGCTGATGGACCAGGCTTGTCGCGAAGGGAGTTCTTTGGAGGCTTCGGCAACTGCCCGAAGAACACCATCTTCAATCAAGATATTCCTGAGGCTCTGTAAAGACGCCAACGCATCGTCCGACCTGCCAGTCTCCCTGTACAACTCGCTGATGCGTTCGAGCTTGAAAAGAATCTGAGCTCTTGCCCGCTCCTTGCTTGAACGGTATTTAACGCATTCAATCGAGCGACGCATTGCTCTCAGTGCATAGCCGAGATTCTCCTTGGCGTTGGCTTTCGATCCTTTGCTTGCTTCCATGAAAATAGTGTGCTGCATGTAGTATACATGCGAGATCTTGGCGTAGTAATACACTGAGGGATCAACAGAGGCGAGGTCTCCCAGGCTGTCGAGAAGTCCGAGACAATCGTGTAAGAGCGATTCGAGCTTGTCCCATGCTATTCGTTTCTCATCGACGCTCATCTTTGCGAGCATCAGCGCCGCGTTCAGGACCTGGGGTGCCGATTTGATCATGATAGTCCGTCGCTGTTCATATCGAAGGAAGCCCTTGGTATCGTCTTGGGATGATGGTCGTTTTCCCAGCCATCGAATGCAGAATCGCGGCAGCTGATCGATAAGATGCTCCAAGAGCCCAGCGAGTTCTGTCGAAGGTCGATATTTCCTGCCTTCTTCGTCACTCAAGCCCCCATACAAGACATGCATGACTGAGTTCAGAGCTACGGTGAGGCTGTCCAGGAGATCGTCTAATTCACTGGTGTCGCCTCGAAGCGGCCCCTGAAGTCCTTCAAGTACTCCCTGAAGCAATTGGTCCTGCGACGGATATTTCCACGGTATCTTGAGGCGGCAGGCTAGCAAAAACGCTGAGTTTGCGTAACACTTGGCCGCTGAATCCTGACTTGGATCAGTTGTTTGGTCAACCTTCTCGGCCCATGTAACTGCATCGCCGTAGTGACCCCCTTCTCGGGCCAGCTTGGCTAATACCTGGTAGATGTTGGTCAATGGTGATTTGGACGATTGTGCTGGCTCAAGACCCTGAGCCAGCATCTGGGTGTGAATCTCGTTGAAGACGGCGAGGCAGCTCTTGTAATTTGAAGTCGACGTCTTCCCGGTTCGTCGGACGTACGCACGCATGCATCCTGACAAGGGTGCAAGAATATCCTTAATAACGTCACCCTTGTGACCGGCTAGTTTCCACCAGCTTAATCTTGACCGAAGGGCGATGCCCTGCAGCTCAAGGGCGGCCAGCGGACTGATGCTGAGTTTCGACTGCACGGCCACATCGTCCTCGGCGATCGAGATGCTTGGTGCCAGCGGGAGGAGAAGATTTGAGAGGGAATCGAGCTGACGAGCAGCTTTATCCTTTTCCGACTTGGTTGAACCGGCTGACAAAAGTAGGAGGCTTGTAGGCGAAAATTCATTATTGAGTCGGAGAGATCCTCGGGCCTTCTCGATGTCGACTGTTCTCTTCATCTTGGCCATGATCCTAAGAACCTGCATCTGTGTGCTGATCACTAAGTTCAGCGCCTGGCCCGACGGCTTGATTCCACGGAATTCCAGCAGATCGAACAGGCCGAGGGATGAGGTGGTAGAAGCAGCCTTGGACGGCTTTTTGTCGGCTGAAAGCAGGTCGTCCAGTGTCCTTTTGAGGAGGCGCAGTTCCCTCACAGCATGCTCCATCAGCCCCAAACCAATGAGCTTTGCAACCAGAGATGACATGCTGGCCTCCAGCTGGAGCTCTGGCAGGTTGATCTTCCCAGCGATCCGGAGTTGCCGGAGTGCTGACAGTGCGACTCGGGCACATTCGACGGTGGACAAGCAGCCTGTCGAGGCATTCAGCTTCGATGGGGACGGCGGGGGCTTTCTCTCAATCTCGGGGGACGTCGAGACTCGGTTGGTGGATCGCGGTTGCATTGGCGTCATGGGAGCCGAGTACGATCGTCGAAGGCGCCTCCTAGGAGCAGTCTTGACCAGGTCCTCCGCCCCAGCAGCTGGCTCCCTAGGCGTGGCTGGCGCAGGAGCCTTGATAGCATTTCCAAGGGACTTCGATGTTACGTTGATGATATGTGTTGCCAGTAATCCCTTCTCTTTTGCTGACAGCTCCCTCTTGTCCTCCACTGCTGCCTTCTTGGGGCCGGCGGTTCTCGACGCTGCGCCATTGCGCTTCGCGGTGGTGGGTCGAGCTGTCTTGGTTGTCTTGGCCGAGGCCGTGGAGGCGTCATTGTTTTCTCTGGAGAGGAGTAGCTCTTTCAGTAGAACGGTCGTCGCAGGAGTGCATGTTGCTATTGATGCGGCTGCTGTTTTGACCTGCTCAGCCTGGTCTTGTAGTGACGCCATGTAAAACTCTTTGAAAGCTGATGGTGACTTCTAATCATATCATGACCAAGACTGTACAGGATAATTCGAGAAAACGTGTTAGGTAATGAGAGCAAAGAGCAACAAGCAATCGCAAATGCAAAATGCAGATATACAGTGCAGCGAAGGCTCGTGAAATTCATGTATGAGCAAGGCAAGCTGGAGTCAATCGAAGCTCAACCTCACCCACACGGCTGGGGGCTGTTGGCACAGCAACCAGAGGCCCTGCCCCGATCTGCCGGGTGCAGGGGTGCAACTTCTTGGTCTAGCTAGTTCTCCCATGTGGGCAAATCCCCGATTTCGACTTGGCCATTGAACAATAATTTCTTCCACAAAGAGATTCATTCCCCAAACCCGAGCACGTTCATTGCTTGTGGGATGCACGAACAGTCCTCGTACACTCCCCTCGACCTCCTCCGACCTTCTGCACCAGTCCAAATTCCGATCAACAAGAGCTCAGCAATCTTGCGAGCTTCTTTTGAACACCAGTCCCGAAGAACCGTTACACAACAGCCATGGACCGACTCGCGATACGAAGGATGGCACGGTCGCCCGCTCTCGCGCGGCCGACGGCAGCACGGCACACAATCCTCCAGACACCCCGACACAACGCGCGCCTCATCAGCATGCAGCCACGCGTCGCCGAGACTTCCTTCTGGAAGTCGCTGATCCCAAAGCCGCTGCGCTCGGAGAACAGGGCGGCGGGCGGCGAGGGGGGCGCGCCGGCGAGAAAGAAGGCCAAGTCGAAGGAGTGGAACCCGGCGACGTTCTTCATCGTCATCTTCCTGCTGATCGGGTCCATGTCGATCCAGATGATCTCGCTGCGCAAGAGCTTCGACGCCTTCATGCGCCGCTCCGACGTGCGCATCGGCCTGCTGCGCGAGGTCGTCGAGAGGGTCCAGAACGGAGAGGCCGTCGACGTCGAGAAGGTCCTCGGGGCGGGGGACCCGGAGAGGGAGGCTGAGTGGGAGGAAGGTATGTGATGCCTCCGGATGGGCGAGAAAAAGACAATATGCGGACAGACACATACTGACACGCGCGCAGTTCTGAATGAGATCGAGAGGGATAGCGCGTCGCGGAACCAGAAGAAACAGGACAAGGCCAGGTCACCTGCGACACCATCACCTATCGCAAAAGCTGTCCCGGTGGCAGGACCTAAAGCGGAGGCTGCACCTGTACAAGAGCCGGCAAAAGGACGCACGGCATACTTCTTCTGAGATCTATTCTTGCTATGCAAGGCAGGGGTTCGCTATGAATTCGGGCAGATCTATCATGACAACATATCTTTGAACACACCGGCACCCCTGTTCTCCAGATGCGTCGCATCGTTGGGGACGGGTTCCTCCGGAGTCAACCGCCGCAAGGCACTGACAAGGTCCGGGAGTAATCGCTCCGTGGTCATGTCTACCCTCACCCCCTCGGCCCCGACCTGTCCGGCATGCAGGTCGGCGATGAAGGTCTCCTCTCCCCTCACGCCGCCCATATTTACAATAGCAATGGGCATTCCTCGGTCCTTGGCCCGCTTGGCCAGCCTCCAGGCCGAGTACGTGGCAAGCGAGGTGGCCAGCACGAGCATCCTACCGGACCCGTCTACGGCCTGCTCGGCTGCCTCCTTCACGCTACCCGGTATGCTCTCACCGAACATGATGACCGCAGGCTTGAGTATGCCCGCGGTGCTGGGTGATGCCCATGCACCGTCCTGGTCAATCTCAACCCTGTGCCGGGTCCCGTCTTGCGCAGGCGGCGGGTTGGCCAGGCAGTGCTGGCAGGCCGGGTAGCGGAAAGTGGTGTAAGGCGCATCCGGAAGGTCCACATCTCCGTCCGGGTTCGTGCGCATCCCGCGAGCCCTCCTCTCATCCGGGTTCTCCGTGTCAAGCGCGCCCGAGGCAATGGCCTCCGCCAGGAACGCAGCCCAAGCCGGGTTCAGCCGGGCCAGTTCGTCCTGGAAGACGTCTCGCGGGAACTCGTGGCGGCATGATGTGCACACCAGGGACCTTAGATAGCCGTGAAGCTCCAGGGTTGGGATGTCTGGGTGGGCCTTGGGGTGAAATGAATCCACGTTCTGAGTTATGACGTTTCGTACATTGCCGTACCGTCCCAGATCTCTGACGGCATAGTGGCCTGCATTTGGCTTTGCCTTGTTCAAAGTGGTCCAGCCCAAAAATGACCTGGCCCAGTACCTTTTCCTTGCCTCGTGTGAACTCAGGAACTCATGATAGTAGATGGGGCGATATGTCTTGTTCAGACGATATGTCCCGTTTGTGCCCCGATAGTCTGCCAACCCGGAAGCCACGGACAGTCCGGCGCCGGAGAGGACGACAGTATGGTCAGAAAGCCCCCGTCTCCGCGGGAGAGGGGACGTGAGGAACTCGCCCAGCGCGGCGACGGCCCCCTGGAGGTTGTTCGCCGAGGCCGGGACCACGGGAGGCGGAGCGAACTCAGCAGTATAGGGGATGCGCAGGAGAGATTTCTTCATTGCACCCTCGCTCGCTCGCGCACGCAGCCCTCCTGCTTCTTTTGCTCTCCTTCCCTTTTCTATGTGCAGTCCCGGGACTAGAACGCACGCTGGGTACGTAAGCCCCCCTTCCGCGTACGCGTATGCGGTCCTGCGGGCCAAGACTTTTTTGTTTTGTGGGTTGGGATGGGATGGGATAGGACGGGATGGGATGCGGAGAAAGATGTTCAGGGGCTGGCTGTGCTGGGGGGAGCGAGAGAAACGGATCTGGCTGGAGAGATGCCCTGGTCCAGGCGTGCAGAGATCAATGCAACATGGGGCGGAGTGAAGAAGAGGAGCGTATTGGATACAGTATGTCGGGACGAGGTGGGAGAACGCCGGTTGAGTTGCGCAGAGATGATACCGTATGCTTCTGGTTTGGCCAGGTCGTCGTCGTCATGACGCCCCATAGGCCCATGGGATAGGTGCCGTAGTAGGGGCCTTCGGCAGAGCCACGCCAGGAAAAGCAAAGCCCAGCGCCGCCCACGTCCGCTCCGCAACAAGGCAACGCAACGGAAACCCTGGTCGACGCCTCATGCCGAGGGGTCCCCATTTCCCGAAGGACCCCCACCTATCACCAACGGCTGCCAGACAATGCAATTCAATTCAATTCAAAATGGCCCGCTGCTCACTGGACGGGCCAGCATTCATCCCCCAAAACCCCTACCACTACTGCATCGGGCTTAAGGTGGCATTCAAGTGAGTGGTGTGACGGTTGGCGGGCAGGCCGCGGCCGATTGTCAGGAACAAGGTTTTAGAAGGTGCTGTCAAGTGATGCTTATTATGCTTGCCTATATCTGTGTACATGCGTAGCCTGCATATGATAGACCTAAGTGCTGTGGCTATTTCTGTTCGCGCCTGTGCCTGGATATACAAGTGTAGGTGCGAGGAAGGAAGAGGCAGAGGAAAAGGCAGGCAGGATGGGCTGGTGACTATGACGATGTACCTAGATTACTATACCCAGTATGACCTGGTGGGGACCGTCGCAAGCTGCCGTTATCTTCTGTTAGGGCGACTGGCTCGGCGACTGACTCTGCGCTGCAGGAGGGCGACAAAATCCAACATCTTGGGTAGATGCTGCTGGCATTGGATACTTCCCACCGTACTGTAATCCATGTGCCAGACTGATGTGCGCAACTTGCGACAGAAATCCATCCCGACCGTATTTCTAAAACCTTGGTTCGTGCTCTGCGCGACTAAGCCTCTTTTCCCACGCACATCCGGGCCCCCCCTCGGCTGCACATTGCCTTACATTACATTACATTACCCTACATACACTAAGAGGTCTACTCTACTTTTCACGTTGAGGCGCATTGTCCACACACCCACTTGCGCGTCGCCTCGTCCTGTCCATCTCTCCTTCCCACTCCCCGAACCCCAGTTACAAGGTTGTTTCGGCGTGGCCTCGATTGATGCCTCCCTCCAGCCCCTCCTCTTCTCTGTGCATGCGAATCCCGTCTGGGTACAAGTATGCAGGGCCCCAGCTCAGGCTCAGGCTCAAGATCTACAGCTCCCGATCCGCACCTGCTTCCATCCCCAGGTGTGCTTCGACCTGCTCCCGCGTCCAGACCACGTCAAGCCCCTTGAGGCCACCTCAACCCCATCGCCAGCAGACCCGTGTCTACCAGACCTCTCCCTCGTCCTGTCCCACCCCCTCTGCTTCTTTCGCTCCTTCACAGTCCTCTCCAACAAGACCATCACCAAATATATACACACAGTCGCAATTCGCCCACTCGCCGGCATACCACCACAATCGCTTACGGCCGACCTGGCTGTCTGGCATCATGGCGACCGCAACCCAGACACGGACGCACGCCGGCCACTCGCACTCGCACCATGACAATGTCTACCTGACCTCGCAGGATAAGAACGACGCCGGCGTGCGAATCACACGCATCGGGCTGTACTCCAACCTCGGCATGGCCATCGCAAAGTTCATCGGCGGCTACCTCTTCAACTCGCAGGCCATGATCGCAGACGCCTGGCACAGCATGACCGACCTCGCATCCGACATCCTGACCCTCGCGACCGTGTCCTTTAGCCTGCGACCACCGTCCGATACATATCCGACCGGATTCGGCAAGGTCGAGAGCCTGGGCTCCCTGGGCGTCTCGGGCATGCTGCTGGCGGGCGGCGTGTTCATGGGCATGAGCAGCCTGGAGTCGCTGTACGGGCACTTCTTCCTGGACCCGGCCGCCGCGGAGGCGTTGCTGCACCACGGCCACGGGCACAGCCACGGCGTCGGCCCCAGCCTGCACGCCGCCTGGCTGGCACTGGGGACGGTGCTGATCAAGGAGTGGCTATACCATGCGAGTAAGTCTTGAGAGAGCCAGCGATCCTCCTCAGGAGACGGGCCGAGATGTGTTGCTGACTTGTGCGCGCCGTGCTACAGCTATGAAGGTCGCAAAAGAAAGAAAATCCGCCGTCCTGGCCTCCAACGCCATCCACCACCGTGTCGACAGCTGGACGGGAATCGTCACCCTGCTCGTGATCCTTGGTGCGAATTTCCTGCAAGACGCGACGTGGCTGGACCCCGTCGGAGGACTCCTGATCTCGTTCCTGGTTATAAAGGGCGGCTGGGGCAACACGCTCTCCTCGCTCTACGAGCTGGCGGACCGGACTATTGACGATGAGGTCAAGAGGTCAGTCAGGAAACAGGTGACGAAGAGCCTAGAGGGCGTCACGGAAGGCCACGAGGTGGAGCTCCGAGACGTGTCGGGCATCAAGTCCGGCCAGAACTACCTGATCGACCTGGAGCTGGCGGTCCCCAGCACCTGGACCATCGAGGACGTCCGAGACATTGAGAACGCGGTGCGGACATTCGTCGGAGGCAAGGTCCGTGGGGTCAGGAAGGTCCGGGTGCGATTTGTGCCCAAGACCGCCGATGGCGAGATCCCCAAGTTCGACGAGTTCATCCCCGGGAGCGTCAGCCCACAATCAAGCCCAGAGCCGGAGGAGCACAACCACAGCCACGAGAACGGCAATGGCAACGGCAACGGACACCATAAGCAAAATTGAGGGCACGCGATTTATACGGGTACGGTCTGAGAGGAGCGACGAGGATACTGTATCAGTCTAGAGGCTTGGCTTGAATTGTACATACATACTACCTGAGGAGTAAAGAGATGCACCGAAGCCGGGCGGCATTTGGGCGGCGTTCAGGAGATACGGAAGAAAGGGGGTCACTTGACTGGCCTGTCACGATATGACCAGGAGATACACCGCACATCAATTCATTTGTCAGTTTGAGATACCATCGTCACGCGACAGCATTCTGCCCACCACCTGATGTTACGCCGCAGACGGCATGGTCGAGAAACGAGTGAAAAGAGTGAGCCGCAAACTTTCAGCCTACAGTATTACTCGTATATATGCAGCCCGGCCGGATGGGAATCAACCCAGGTCAACCGAAGCCCGGGCCCTAACAGAGAGAGAGACAGAGGACACGGCCAGGTACCGGGACTCGGTGATTGGTGCGGCAACATGTCAAGCCTCCCTAGTGCCGCGACGGCATTGGATCACTTGCAAGCAAATGACCTCAGGCTAAAGTCAGCGGTGGCTCGTCCGCCCACGACAGGAGCAAGGCTGATTGTCGACCTGCTCCCACCGTAAAAATAACCGTAAACGTGTAATGTCATGCCCCGCGATGCCCCACGTCCGTCCACGACGCCCGCTGCGGTCCGTCCAAGTTCCCAAGGCCCAAGAGTATATGTGGGCTTGCTTTCGCCACCACCAAGGTTGCTGACTGACTGACTTTCACATGTGTTGCATGTTCCCAATCAATCTGAAGCGAGCTTTCTAACCTGCCTTGTTTGGACCTGTCTGAAACTATCTTCGTGGCTTCGAACCAGTACCAAAACACATAGTAGAAGATGAGTGAAGACGGCCCCTTGTACCTGGGTTTCGACCTCTCGACCCAGCAGCTCAAAGGTGTGCCTCCCTCGTGCCCCTCGTCCCCGTCCTGGCTCTCACTCCCGCTTCCGCTCTCACTCTCACCTTCACCCGTCATGCCAATCACATCGCTCCCGTCCACGTGCACAGCTCACACAGCGCAACAGCCATCGTGATCCAGTCGGACCTGCACGTCCTCTCCGAGGCAAAGGTCGACTTCGACGCAGACTTCGGCAAGCAGTATGGCCTGACCAAGGGCGTCCTCGTCAACGACGACGAGGGCGAGGTCTTCGCGCCCGTGGCCATGTGGCTCGAGGCCATCGACCTCGTGCTGAGCCGGCTCAAGGAGAACGGCGCCCCGCTGCACCGCATCAGGGCCGTCAGCGGCGCCTGCCAGCAGCACGGGAGCGTCTACTGGAACCACGACGCCGAGAAGCTGCTGGGCGGCCTGGACGGGCGCGCCGGGAAGAGCCTCAAGGACCTCCTGGCCGGCTCGCTGAGCCACCCCTACGCGCCCAACTGGCAGGACCACACCCAGGCGCAGTGCGACGAGTTCGACGCCGCCCTGGGCGATAACACGAAGCTGGCGGATGTCACGGGGAGTGCGGCACACCATGTAGGTCTCTTGCGAGTACAATTCTGCTCACAAGCTATCCCTCGCACACGAAGTATCTACGGGGGAATTTAATGCTTACGCTCTCACCCATAGCGATTCACAGGCCCCCAGATCATGCGCTTGCGCAAGAAGCTGCCGGACATGTACGCCAACACGGCGCGCATCTCGCTGGTCTCGTCGTGGCTCGCGTCCATCATGCTGGGCGGCATCGCGCCGCTGGACATCGGCGACGTGGGCGGCATGAACCTCTGGGACATCCGGGCCAACAAGTGGGACGAGGGGCTGCTGCGGCTCGCGGCGGGCGGGCCGGACGGGGTGGCGGCGCTGCGGTCGAAGCTGGGCGAGCCGCGGCAGGACGGCGGCGGCAGCATGGGCGGCGTGTCGCCCTACTTTGTCCACAGGTACGGCTTCAGCCAAGAGTGCCAGGTCGTGCCCTTCACGGGCGACAACCAGGGCACCATCCTCGCGCTGCCGCTGCGCCCCCTCGACGCCATCGTCAGCCTGGGAACCTCGAGCACCTTCCTCATGATCACGCCAACATACAAGCCCGACCCGTCCTATCACTTCATGAGCCACCCCTGCACGCCCGGCCAGTACATGTTCATGCTGTGCTACAAGAACGGCGGCCTCGCGCGCGAGCGCGTGCGCGACTCGCTGCCTCCCGTCGCCGCCGGCGAGCCCGACAAGTGGGCCAACTTCAACGACGCCGTCCTCTCCACGCCGCCCCTTGACGTGCAAAACCCTTCCGCCGGCCGCGCCAAGCTGGGCCTGTACTTCTACCTCCCCGAGATCGTCCCCAACATCAGGGCTGGCACGTGGCGGTACACGTGCGGCGCCGCGGACGGCAGCGACCTCCGCGAGGCCGACAAGTGGCTGGCGGCCAAGGACGCGCGGGCCATCGTCGAGTCGCAGGCCCTCTCGATGCGCCTGCGCTCGCAGAACCTGGTGCACGCGCCCGACCCAGCCCGGCACCCGGGCCTGCCCGCGCAGCCGCGGCGCATCTACCTGGTGGGCGGCGGCAGCCTGAACCCGGCCATCGCGCGCGTCGTGGGCGACGTGCTGGGGTCCGCCGAAGGCGTGTACAAGTTGGACGTCGGCGGCAACGCGTGCGCGCTCGGCGGCGCGTACAAGGCGCTGTGGGCGCTCGAGAGGAGCGGCGGCGAGACGTTCGACGAGCTCATCGGCAAGCGGTGGAAGGAGGAGGGCGCCGTCGAGAAGGTCGGCGACGGCTACAGGAAGGGCGTGTTCGAGCAGTACGGGGGCGTGCTGGGGGCCTTTGGGGAGCTGGAGGAGAAGATCTTGCAGGTTGCTCATAACTAGACTTTTTGGTATTTGGGAGGCATTGGCTCAATAGATTGATCATTTGCGAATATGTTCAATATCTGACCATGCTGATGTCGCATTTGTTGAACCACGCGCTCTTTTATCACGACTTACAACCCTCAAACGGTCGGTTTCTGCAACGAGGTGTGCTACATTTGTATGCATTTCTTGGTTCAAGTACAATATTGTCCTTTCATCTCAAACAACTCAAGACGGTACACATGAGATGCATGCAGCATGAGTTGCTATCAAGAAATGAGCTGGTGGACCTGGTATATCTTACTACCAAAGTAGAGCTGAGAAATACCTTCAGGGGTGATCTGAGCCACAGCACTAACAAAATAGTCCGAGTGCCAAAGCACCCTTAGCTAGAGCTCAAACATACGTCGTCACCACATCATCTCTCCCTTTCCCTCGTCCCACCCGTTCTCACATGCAAAATGATTCCACGTTGACACTCGCCCAGTCATTCGTTGAGACAACAAAATCATCGAAATAGATCCCCTACCATATAAGAAGACACGTACATTAGAACCCCCTGCTCTGGTCGAATTCCTATGCAGTACACATATGTCAATTGAAGTCAGCTTCCCTTCCCTTTAAGAAAGAGCGTCACGCCCACGCAGACACGAACGGGTCCAGCTTGGACAAGAGAACGTGGAATTAATCATTTATTACACCACCGCGGGAAAATGATCCTGGGACCGGTGTCATACCTCGACTGCATTGTGTTCTGCATCTTCCTCACGCCGCAGCTGATACTCAACGTCGGCCTGTTCGAGACCGTGCTGACGGTGCTACAAGTGCTCCCGTTCTTAGGTACGGCGCCGACTAACTGAGACAAAGCCATTGTCCGCCCAGAATCAGCTGACGCGATATGGAATCGACATATAGTCTTTGAACTACCTGTGACCTTCCTCTACGAGCGCTACTTGTTGAAGAAGGAGGACCAACCAGCCTTCGTCCAGCAGGCCTCCCCCTTTGAGGACTTTGTGGTCCGCTGTGTACGGTATGCCTTCGCCAACATTCCTCCAAAGGTCGGCCGTGTTTTCTTCGGTAAGAAGGTCGCGCTGCCATGGTTGAGATGGCGCTTGCTCCGCCATGGCCACCTCAGATCACCCATCTTCTGGAAGGGGTACAAGGACGAGCACATCCGAGGCGTGTGGGCCATCCATGATCCTGCGAGAAGGCCAGACATAATCATATACTATGCTCATGGTAAGTTATCTCCAGCCCGGGTAATGGTCGATCGGTCGCTGAAGACGTTCAAGGCGGAGGCTTTAGCATGGGCTCACCATATTTCTACCTCGAGTTTCTCCTCACCTGGCTCTCGCTCTTGAAGCAAGCAGGCTACAAGAACCCGGCTGTTTTCGGCCTGGACTATACCCTCGTGCCCGACTCCAGCTTCCCGACCCAGCTCGCCGAGATGGTAAGTGGGTACGAGCATGTTCTCGGCATGGCTGGCAGCGACCCGTCCATCGTCTGTGTCGCAGGAGACTCGGCGGGAGGAACGCTGACTCTGAGCTTGCTGCTGCACCTCGCACATCCCGTGTCGGCCACCAAAGGCAGGCACTTGCCAGAGGATTCGCGCCATCTCGAGAAGCCTGGCATGGCTGTCCTCATCTCGCCGTGGCCGACTCTCCAGTCTGCGTTGTACCAGAACAACCGCAGCGACTTCCTTGACGTGCCGGCGCTGCATCTTTACGCTGCTCAGTATGCGGGCAGGGTCGATCTGCTCGACGACCCTGTCGCGTCGCCTGGGAATTGTACGAAACTGGCGTGGTTGAAAGAGGCAAGTCCGATGAAGGGGATGCACATAGTGTACGGGAAGGAAGAAGTGTTTGCGCCTGAGATCGAGCAATTCGTGCAGAGGATGGATAAGGCTGGGACGCTTGTCACCAGCCAAGGTGAGAAAGGCGGAATACATGCGTGGCCCGTCGCATCACTGTTTCTCAGCGGCACGGAGGAACAGAGGATGAAAGGCCTTGGGGGCATTGTCAAGGAGATCAGGAACCGTGTTCCACCATCCAAGAATTATAAGTATGCAGGTTGACCCTCGAGTGAGGACGCCATGTCAGATTAGATCAAGTAATTTATTGCCGTCACTGGCGCAGCTAGCCACGAGGGAACCATAGCCTGGGGCTCGGCTTCTTCTTGACTGCTGAGGATCGCCTCCGGGAAACGGATTGCTCTTCCTGTATCATCATCCATGACTGTGCGGCGGAAAGTAAATAGCGACGGTGCCAAGGCTTTGAGGTGATGGACCCCCGGCTAGCCGGGGCCTTGCCTCTCACTGGGACTGCACGGGCTGAGGCATCGGCTCGAAAATGCAGACAGCTTGACTGATGAGGGGCAACCCCGAAAGTAAACCTTAGCTACCTTCCTTACCTCCACAGCGCCGGCTCTTGTAGCTGTCATGGTGTCTCACCACGGGGCTTGTCATGATGATGGTGATGATCGAGGAGGGTACTTGTCCCTGTGCACGAGACGGTCGCGAACAGGCCGGGAGACAAGAAAAGAAAGCAGTGCAGGGCGTGGTGCCGATCTCCAGACGGAGGGAGTTGGGCATGAAAGGCGGGAAGGCTGATGGCAACCTCCCATGCCTCTTGAGGACAAGCGCGTACCCGAGGTGACCTGGCCTCTCGCGGCGGCTGCTTCTGCGGGCTGGAGGCTGGAGGGCTAGCAGAGGTTGGGCGGGGACGACGTGCATATAAAAATGGGCAGCATGTCCCACGAAAGGAACTCGTGCCGTGCCCCTCATCGAAAGAAGGCCCTAGCTCCGAGTCCACCCTCCCTTTTTTAGCATTTTCGTTCACCACGCGCAGTGCAGTGCGCAGTTTTCTGTCCGCCCAGTAGCCAGCCTCCTGGCGTACCGTGCCCAACAGCACCAGTCCCAGTACCGGTACCTGCCTCGACACGCTTGACTGCCGAGAGGGGAACATCACCAGTACCGACGGCTTGGATACCCATATTCATGACCACATTCGAGATCGGCCACCAAACACTGCCATTCCAGATCCTGCATTGTGCAGACTTGGTCCGATCCGACCCAGACCAGGCAGGCAGGCTCGGTTTTTGGTTGCTTCCTGGGAGCTCTCGGTCTCGGGAGTCGTCATCACCAGGCTGCAGCTTGGTTGCTCGCAACACAGCCGAGCCAACGAGGATTTAGCTGAGCCACCAGTCCGAGTCTCTGCTTGGTGCAACTGAAGGGTGACTTCGCACCCTCTGCAGGCTCAATCATAGTCTTGCAGCCGGCAGTCATCATCTGTTGTGAGACTGACTGGCTTTTGAGTCGAGACACACGAGGTCCTAGTTCCCCAAAAGGAGCGCGTCCGACCGGGGCACAGGCTGAGACGGAGGTGTCCAGCTCCAGCTCCACCTCGGGTCTGAGGATCGATCCCAGCAGTGTGCATTTGCCTGCCTCGCCAGACGGCAGCAGCTGCGCTCTGCTCGGAGCCCGAGGGTTGACAGCGGCGTGAAAGCGGCGTCGGTTGACAAAGAGCTGTTGTGGGCCGGCTTGTGGTGTTGCAGAGCGAGGCGGGAGAATTGAGTGCTGGAAGCTTTGGAACTGTGGAAGCTTTGGAGCAAAAGGCCTCCTCCGTTTCTGAGCCCACCCACGCCCACACAACCCAGTCTGTGTTCTGCATTAGCCCCCACCCACCCTGGCCTGTTACCTTGCCCCTCCATCGCCGTTCCCCCAAGGCGCAAGCCGCAAGGTGCTCCTGCTCCTGCCCGAGCTTTGTGTGCTCGCTCTCCGTCTAGCAGCCGTTGCCAGAGCAAGGTCTCTGACCTGGCTGCACCTGCCACTGGGTAGCTGCATTGGCGGGCACACACTCATCACACTGATCACTCTTATTATTGCCTGCACCGCCCAGGCACGGCAAGGTGCGCCGAATCCCAACGGTCCCACAAAAAAAGTATAAGACCCGTTAGGTTCCTGGTCTGGCCTTCTTTGTACTGTACCGTCTTGCCAGTACTGTACCAATAACCCCTGTTACGTTATTCGTCCTGAGAGGTCGCCAGTCTCCAGTTTCCAGTTTCCAATTCCAGTTCCGGCACCGTTTTTTTTGTCGTCTGCTGCAGCAGCAGGAAAGAGCGAGAAGGAGAAAGACTCTGTGTGTGTGTGTGAATGAATGAGAGAGTGTGAATCAGGAAGGAAAGGAAGGAAACAGAAACAGACATGTCTGAAGAAGGCACTTATGCACCTAAAAGCCCCGACCTCGCGTCGTTCTTTCAATCTCAACCTGAAGACCAACACCAGCACCAACAGCAGCAGCCAAATCCAAACCCGTTTCCGCACCACCAGCACCAGCACCAGCACCAGCACCAGCACCAGCAACCCCCACCTGTCAGCCCCTCGCCCCAGAACATTAACTGGTACCACACCCCGGGCGCCGACCAAAGTCACTCCCGATCTTATTCATATTCTGCCCTGTCTGCCTCTGCCCAGAGCCCAACTGGCCCGGCCTTCTCGAGCTACTCTTCTTACCAACCTTTAAGCGCAACGACGGCCTCATATTCGCCTCGTTTTTCGCCCCACCATCAACACCAGCAGCTGCACCCACATTCACATTCAGTTTCTCATTCTCAATCTCACTCCCAGTCACAACCTCAGCCGCCACCACCACACTCTCCACTGCAATCACAACCGCAACAGCAGCAGCCTTTTTATTTCCCGCAACAAGCACCTGCTCAGCAACAATCAGCCTATCAACCACAACAACCGTACCCACAACACCAACAACACCAGGCCTACCAGCAGCAGCAAGGTTATCCTCAGCCACAATACCCACAAGAGGTGCAGCCTTATCTTCAACCCGAGAATTCATTTCACCACCAGCAGACCAAATCGGACTTCTCGTCCGACACCATAAAATCAGAGGACAATCCAGACGACTCGAGCATGCCACCCCGACGTTCTGCTGCAGCAGCCGCCGCCGCAGCCGCAGAGGCCGAGGCTGCAGGAATGATGGAGTCACCAGTCAAGACCAAGTTCCCAACCGCCCGCATCAAGCGCATAATGCAGGCCGACGAGGAGGTCGGCAAGGTTGCCCAGCAGACGCCCATCGCGGTCGGCAAGGCCCTCGAGCTGTTCATGGTGCAGCTGGTGACCAAGAGCGCCGAGGTCGCCCGCGAGAAGAACTCAAAGCGCGTCACCGCCGCCATGCTCAAGACCGTCGTCGAGGCTGACGACCAGTGGGACTTCCTGCGGGACATCGTGAGCAAGGTCGAGCACGACAAGGACGGCTCCAAGGCCAAGGCCGCCAAGACAGAGAGCAGCGATACCGAGGACGAGGTCGAGCCCAAGAAGAGGAGGGGCGGTCGCAAGAAGAAGGCCGCTTAGGAGAGGGCCGCAGGACAATTGACGAATACCTATGGATCTCGCCCACTAACCGCAACGAATTCGAAGGAGGCTGCTGTGTTGGGTGGAGGAAGTGAGCGTGTCGCGTCTCAACCAACTGCCTGCAGGGGAGCAAGACAACGACTTGCAGAACTCGAAAAGGCTCTATGCCGTTATCCTGGTTAGTCTGTCGAAGGCATCCCGGAGCTGCAGCAGGGAATTTGGCCGTGGATAGGTCGACGAGATGGATGACCCAGATCCCAGGTCAACACACGGTGTCTTACAGATACATGACCGTCTGTGGAACTGTCGCTGTGGACACGAGTCGTGAGTGGGCGGGGCAGGGGACACTCGAGGCCGCGACCAACACGAACGTCACCCTTGACTGCACGCGCCTGGCAGTGTTTTGCAACGCTCCAGTGAGACGGGCGATCGGAACAACATGTACCGTGATACAGAACATTGGCACGTCGCGAGGTAGCGGATTTGAATGAACGCCCAGAAGGCAGATGAGGCTAGCTTGCTATTAGATGTCGAGCAAACCCAGTTGAGGTTGCTAGAATTCAGGCGAGTGCAAGACGATAAATACACATTCATACACACACCACGAGAGTACCCAATACCCAGTCATATTCGAGTGCCACCGGTAGGACGCCATGCGGGAAGCCCGATGCGCTCTTCTCTCAGTTGCGGTCTGCCTATTTGGGCTGTTTCCGCAGCCACAAGTCAGACAGATGTAGTAGCACACTTACCTAGATCATCCAGGGCCTTGATTTCTCTGGCTTCGGGGCAGGTCTCACGAGGTCGGAAGCGAAACTGAGGCCAGCGATACGAAAAGGCGCTTTCCTCGTTCGTGCCACACACAGGCCAGGGAGAAGAAACGTGACATTGTCTGCATTTGACATGGTGAGACATCATGTCTCTCGGTCATGCCCCTGCGAGCTTGGGTGGATAAATACACGGAGTAGAGGTATATATACGCCGCTCCAGCCCTGTCAGTCGTGTTCCCTCGTCGGGGAGAAGAACGAAGCAGGGGTCGACGTGGGCAATCAAGTTTTTTCTCTCTCTTTTTCGCTTCCTCCTTCCCCCTCCTTCCTCTTCTTCTCGAGACCCGACCACATTACCAGAACCAAAAATTCGATGGTCCCAACGCCTTTTCAGATGCTGTTGATGGTGATAGTGTGGTTGTTGTTGTGGTGGTGATAATTAATCATGCATGTCCATACATATTGTCATGGCTCAAATTTTCATCTTCTATAGTCGTGCGGTCGGCCCTCATTGACGCCTGTTCCTCTAATATATACCCTGTGTTCGATATTGGAATGTGTCGTATCTGTAGACAAAAGTCAGTATTACCATGATTCCACCCCTTTCCTCTGCACGGCATAGTAACTCACAGTCGAGTGTAGTAGCTGCCAATAGACTTGTTGATCAGGTCCGTTTCAACAAACTGCTCCGCATCATCGGCACTCAGCTGCAGCTGGAAGCGTTGTCGTAGGTTCGTTGTCACCGTTGCAACACCGGCAGCGTAGCACGGCATCTTGGAGTCACGGCCCATCATGGCAACGAGGTCGACGATGTTGTCGGCCGATCGTCGGAGAGCTGTGACGTCGTCAGTTGTGAGCCTGTGTCTGTCTGGCTGTACGGTCCCTACCTTGAAAAGCCTGCTTGCAGAGCCGTTTGAAATCGTCCCACTCTGGGGACCCTATCCCGCCCAGAACTTCGACATACTCGTGCGTGAGTTTGAATGGTGCAGCCTCGAACCCAACGGAGCCCGGCGAGTTCGACAGCATAAAACCAAAGTCAATATGTACAATGTGGCCCTCGTTGTCGATCAGGACGTTCCCGTTGTGCCGGTCTTTCAGCTGCAACACGTATGAAATAACACTGTACGCCGCGAGCGACCTCTTGAAAGCATCGACGCCAGCCTTGTATGGCTCGCTGTCGGGTGAGCCAAAGGCTTTGGCGAAATGGTCTTTCAGCGTCGCGATTCGCCTCTTCGGGTTTGCGCCGGCCTCGGCCTGCGCCAGCGTCAAGCTGCGCTTGATAGAGTGCAGCGAGACGCCATTCGTGATCGTCTCGATGAGGCCCGAGGATTCGCCCGTCACCAAAATCCGCATTACCTTCACCCATACTCCAATCTTGGCATCGGTCCAAATCTTGTCGCAAACATCGATGAGCTGACAGGCGAAGGCCTCTTGCCTCAGGTCAGCACCAGTCTTCACAATGACGCTCATCAAGTCCCAGTTCTTCATCCAGCCGTACGGCGACGACCGTCGTATGCGCTCTTTCTTCATCTGCCAAGCTTCGCCAAAGACTGCTGCACTTGGATCGTCCCGGTCCCCTTTTTTGAAGCCCGCCAGTCTTAAAGTCGTTTTCCATTCGTTCCACGCCGGCACTCGCATTCAGGGCTGGATCAAGGTTCGTATCCTCATCGACTTCTTCGGGATTGGTCGCCGCGGTCTGGACCGTGGTCTTGGCCATGATCTGATCAAAAGTCGGCCCATGTCCGTCATCTGCCTCAAAGTTTTGTTCCTCCAGACTCTGCATGCTCGCAATAATCTTCGCACGGATTGCCGCTACCTCATGCTTCGGTCGTTTGCCACTGGTCGCATCCAATTGGGCCAGCATCTGTGAGGCAGTCCGCATATGTGTTGCCAACGCAGAAAAGTCCGGCTGATCCACCGATGTATTTCGGGGGTTCGTGTTGATGGTCATTCTCCGCAAAGAGCGACTGCTAGGGCTGCTAGAACGACTCGTTGACGTGGCTGAACTCCTGGGGGTCACCAACTCGGAACTCGTCGACACTGTTGGCGTTAGACTGGGCAGGCGCTGGGGAACTGGTTTCCTAGTTTTTACGGCCTTGCTGTCGATTGGCTTCAGCGCGGGTGACGTACCGAGATCTCCAGAGGAAGGCTCAAAAACGCTGTCAGCGGACTCCGTGGAGGGCTCTGGTATCTTTGACGTGGATATCTTTGGTCTCTCGGATAGGTCAAATATGCGTCTCCTCGATCCTTGCTCCGCCACGAGTGTTGCCAGCAGTCTCTGGTTGTCTTGCGAATCGGGGTCAAAGGTGAAGTCGTCGCGTAGGATCTCGATCATCAGTAGGTAAGGCACCTTTTCTGCGCTGTTAAGAACAGTTGCCTCTGCCGGGTTGATCCTTACGACCCTGTGATGTTTGCTCCTCGACGGAGACCCATCGGTTAAAGTTGGTGGACAGATTACGGGAATATCCACCTCCGCCCTATTCGACATTCCAGTTAGTAAATTCGACAGTTAAATTTCCCTCGATTTGTGTGACATGACAGAGGAGCATGTCTTAAGAGTAGACCTTTCAGGGTCCTACACTTCCGGGTCGCGGTAACAAGTGGGGGCATATATGGGATCACACGGTCGCCAGCCAGCGGGACATGGACAATCTGATCACTTGTGATCACCTGGTGCCAGAGTATCACCAGCTCAACCCCCGACAACAGAGGTTGAATAAGCTGATATGCCTCACTTTCTGGGGGCCCAAATACTGTTACCGCTGCCCGGCTCCTCAATCACGTCTCACAAATCACATCATAAATTTGAGGGAAATATGAGGCGCAGGAAATACTAACGGCAAGTCCTGCGCGATCAAGGCCAGCTCGGCTCGGAGAGCGCTCAGACGAGCTGCCTTCGGGACGACAACTAGCCTGTTCGAAATGTCCTCCAGCGCGGTCAGAAACTGTGTCTGACATCGGAAATAATTCTGTCTCAGAAGTCTTGCTCTCTGGACCGTCGACATATCGCTATTGCTCAACACGCCTTTGGCGCGCTCAGAATGCCGGCGGGTCAGTAGCGCATTTTCGGACGGTGGTAGACCTGCGGTCACAGGAGTCGGAGGCCTAGGCGGAAGGGGCGATTTCACTTCGGGCAGAGGAAGGGAGGCCGTGCTGAGCCTTGCATCTATAGCCTTCATATCGAGGTGACTCGTTGGTCGCTTCGGAGGTTGTCCGGGGGTAGGTACGTTCGAGCCAGAGGATGAAGTCGGTCGAGAAGGCGGGAGGTTCTGTTTCCGCGGGGTGCCTGGCGAGTCTCTAGGTGGTGAGCCCCTCGGATCTGGCGCGCTTGTAACACGGCCGCCATCTCTGGTCGTACGCCTTGCCCTGTTGGCCTGGGCGGCTGAGACGGTTTGTGCCCTGGCTATCTTGGGCTGGGTCGGTTCCAATACCACGTCGTCGATGGGCTGTGGCTTCTTGGCCTGCGCAACGGCAAGAGGGCCAGCCCAGTGGGGCAAGCCGGGAACAGCCACGCTGGACAAGATCAGACTCGCCAGGACGGTGACGGGCAGCGGGTTTTCCTTGATCTTCTCATGTCTAGCAGTATCTCCCAGCCCAAACACTATGTGTTGGACCTTGTTATAGACCCTTCGACATGTTCTGAAAGCCTCGGAGTGCGGGTTGGAAGAAAGGTCGGTCAGGTAACTCTGGAACAGCCAGAAGGCCTATAAATATGGATTAGTCGGGGAGGCCATAGCTTGTGCCGGGGCAAGGACACTGACTAGCAGAGCGCCGGAGACGGATTCCTCGCAGAGATCGAGCAAGAATTCCTCCAGTGCCATGGACTCATTGTTGACGCTGATGATGAGGTGGCACAGCTCGGGCAGGAAGAACTCGACATCCTCGTAGGGGAACTGTCGCAGCTTGTTGCAGAGGACATAGTGGATCCCGACGTGGTCGGCGTATCGACTGCGCACGACAGATGTTAGCTCGGACGGGTGCTGGGTATGGCATTGTGGCTGGCGCAGACTCTCGGGGACTATCTGGGACTCAAGGACGCTGGAGGACGTACGTGAGGTAGGAGACGGAGAGAAAGGGGTTCTGGTTGAAGACGTCGCTGTCAAAGAACCTCTGCAGGAGGTCCCACGACATTGGGTCCGCAGGTGGTCGAGAAGCAGCTTATTTTGGAAGGCTTTCGTCGACGCTGGTCGGGACGGTCGGGACGGAGGCGGAGGGCGGCGAGAGACACGGGATGCGAGGCAGTTTATCGAGTCGGAGCGGGCGCGAGGAAGGAGTGACGGGGATACAAGCCGCGAGCGCGGATTGCTTCATATAGATTCGACATGAAAGTGTTGTAGCGAGTAATGAACTTTCATGGCCGACAGCTCAGCAGGGCATGGGCAGAGAAGAGGACGTGGTCGGCGTCGTCCAGCGGCAGAGGGAAGCGTTGTGGCTGTGGTGTCGTGGTGTTATACAGCTAGTGCAGCAGCAGAGCAGCAGGGAAGGCCAATGAAGTTGGAGGCAGCCAGGCTGTATACAACCGACGAACTGTACAGTACGGTAAACTACCTTCTGCGATGGTCCGCTCCGGGGGGCGGGAAGGGTCTTGTTTGGGTGTAGTTTGACCCCTCGGCGGGAAGCTCCCCGAGGCCATCCGGCACTCTGGCATCTCTGGCAGTTCTGGCAGTCCCTGGTACCTCGCCCAGGTACCGCGCTGTGGTCTGGCACTGCAGCCCATTTGTCAACGTGCGCTTGGAGGAGCTCCCAGCCGGCCCCACCCTGCACCGGCACCTGCGCATGCACCTGCTCTCATTTGTCAGGTCAGGTACTCGGGTACAAGATACTCTACTACCACTTATTACTGCGATGCCGTATATGTGTCGCCTATTCACCGAAGCCGCTTTGGGCTGTCACATGTTCCAGTACTGTCTTCTTCGCGATATCACGCTATTGTCTCTCCAGGAGTCTGTTCAGCAGTCACGTCACCAATGATGTCGTCTCGCCCGGCAACTGACGAACAGCTTGGCAGTAGTCGAATTAAGCTCACATACTTTGGCCACGTCCGAAGTGTGCAGACAGGAGACAGGCTAGACAGTTGTGTAGACAGACTGTGAGCAATGCCAGCCAACAATGTCTCAACAATTCAGCAGCGTGTGCCCTGCAGCGGTACCAGCAATTACTCGCAACTCGAACATTCCGACACACACAGGATCATGATCGCCATCAATGGTCCTATCCGCAGGGCCCCCACCGCTATACCCCAGCCCTGTCATGGCAGACACTGACTATGCGCTCCTCTGCAAGGCTTGGCACGCTTAAGATTATCTCCAGTTTTAACCCCTTTTCTTGACATCATTCGTGAAATTCTTGCCTGCTTTTTCCTGTGCTCGAAAAAACACCTCGCGGCGGTTGACCGTCGTAGGCTGCCTTTCTTGCATGGTAGGGGACATTACCACCTGTTCAGGCCGCCCGGCGTCCCCTTTCGGTTCCAATCTGGGGTCCTCCCGTGGATCCTCCCGGCGGTGGGTACTAGCCAGGTTCAAAACACCCGAGACGGCGTGACGTGGACAGACCCAAGGGACAGGTTCACGAAGCGGTACTCGCGCAGTAGCTACCGGAAAATTTCATCTGGAGTGGTTAGTGAGGTCGCCCACAAGCCGTATGAGTCAAGACACAAGTGTCTCTGAAGACCACGCTCAAAAGTGAAGAAGCTGGGAGAGCCTGCCACTTTCCCTTTTGGTCTGACCCTATAGGATAAAACAGACTTTGCCAGGCCTTTCAACGACAAGGTCCGGATGAATGTGTCGAGAGGAGACTTAAGCAAGATGAGAGACTTCAGGGTGTCAATACTTCGCGAGACAGATTGCGGTGGTAAAAGCATGCAGGCTTGTTTCTTTGCTCTTTTTCCTTCTCAAACTTGCCTACCCAGAATCCGAAGCTCGGTCAGGATCTTAAGGCACGCGGCGGTGAAAGCGCACCTCACTTGCTCTGTAGACCAAATGACATCCCCAAACCAAGGCTTCTTCTCACGTGAGCAGACGACCAAGATGGGATTCCATCCTTTGGAAAGCGTGGGAGTTATTGGGATCAAGCACTGCTGGCAACAAGCTATGCCCTCGGTACTAGGAGGACGACGTGGAGAGATTCCGTGTCACAAGTATCTCATGAAGTTCAACATCAAACTGTCTAATATGCTGAGTGCGACTCAGTCAACATATCGAAGCTTACAGACGTGCGGGATGAGTAATACCGGTTTTTGGAGGATTCGCATACACACAGAAGCAGCTACCATGTAGAAGTGCTGGTGCGACGGCCACTTTTTTTCTGGAAGGCAACATGCCAACGCGTTTGAGTTGAAATTTCAAAGTACTCAAGCTTTGCAGGACGAAAATTGGGTTATGAGCCTCTGCCATGCCTGCTGCGTTGGATTGATCTTCTCGTATAGTACGCAGTTGTGGTATCTGGGTATGTCTTCAGCACAAGGTCAGGTCTACCTAGGAATTGTCTGGGTACTTGTAGTTGCCTGGTTAAAGCAGAGATCATGTGTGTTGTCAGTGGTCAGTGCCACATATATCTGGACTGCTGTTGATGCACTACATGAAGTCATTGAACTAAAGGCAGCCTCTTGAAAGTTTACCTAGACAATTTCTTTCATGTGAGCCAATGGCTAGCTGTTTGTGTCTTTCACTTCCCAGTAGCCAAGTCATTGCATCAGAGTTGAATTGGGCGTTTGAAAAAGAGACACCACAATTTGGGGCAACTGATGCGATTTTGTATCGAGTGCTACGGAAGTGCTTCATTGAATGGTATTGTTCGGTTAAAAGCACAAGTACAATGACCAAAACCTTCTCTGTCATCCAAACTTCACAGGAGCTCTTTCAGTGCCGGCATTGTACTTTTTTACACTCCGTCTCCGTTCTCTTGACTGACTGGAGCTGCAGTGGAATCGCTGCCTTGCAAGTCAAGGGAAATCAATCTGAAAGTGATGCTTGCTTTTGCCAATCGGTGTCGCTTGCTCCTTCCTCGATCTTGACCACCTTTCCTCGTTTTCTTGTCCACAAACCACACTCGACGACCTCGTCCATTTTCCCACTCCAAACTCGACAGCAAATTCCTTCTTCTTCGACTGTCAAGATCAGTTCCCTCCGCGGCATTCGTGACGCGCTCCTTCAGTACAAATCTCAAACAACTCTATCATCGAAACACAGACCGCCCAAAATGCCTGAGCCAGTCTACTCACCCTCCTACGACTCGCCAGAGCCCGAGGCATCCCGTGCCTTCTGGAAATGGAACCACTTCGAAGTTCGTACCCTGGTCTGCCTGATTATCAAGGGCGAGCACAAGATTTCCAAGGACCCCATGGACCTCACCGACAAGCTCAACCGCGCCCTCAACCCTGCCTCCTCGGGCACCCAGCCTGCCTACAGCCGCGACGTCCCCCACGCCGAGGTCCAGGCGATGCTGAAGCGCATTCTCTCGAAGAAGTCGCACGCGGTGGACTTGTCCGATCGCAACTATAGCGCTCCAGTCACACGCGCAAAGATAAACGCCTTCATGCGCAACCTGGACTTCAATGGCAGCAAGGACGAGTGGGAAGAGGGCAGGGACAAGGTGGTCAGGGTGGAGACCCAGAAGAGACTGGTGCGGTTCATGGTCAGGAAGCAGGGCGGTCGACCTAGCCCTCGGTTACGGGACGAGAGAGACAGGCGGAGGATGCTTCTTCGCGATCCAAGGGCGAAGAGACTTTTGCGTGGTTGGGGCATCGGCGCCAGTTTCTGGGATGATAGTGAGTACTTTCTTCCGCTGATCCTCAGGTCCTCGGGCAAGTGCGCTGACTCTCACTTAGGAACCAATGGCGCGGACCACACGGTGAGCGCAAACAAAGACAGAGACTCTTCATCTGCGACTGTCAATCCTGCCAGGCCACCCTACCATACCGACAAGGCCATCCATGCCTGCCGGCGGTTTCGTCAACATTCCCAACACGCCCAACTCAGTGGCAATGTGGGCCGGAGGTTTTGCTTCCTCGGCAGCGACACCATTGGTGGGTGCGATGGTGCCGCCGTCCACGCCACACATGCGCGGCCCAGATGTTGCCCAGCAAGCCACCATGCTCGACTACGGAAGCTACGGAGGGTTTGGTAGCCTGACCGACCCGCAGCAGCAGCCCTATCAGTGGACTGGAACAGAGCAGAACAGGGCTTGGGGCGGAAGTGGCGCACCGGCAGGTGACCAGCGACACCCCAGCCGCAGCCAGCATGCAGGCCGCGGATTCTAGGAGCCCGGACATGTCGGTTGCCGAGAACTTGATGGTAGTGTTTGCAGTTTTTGCAAGCAAGGTTACACAGAAGGCTCGCATACTCAAAATCCAGAACATCACCCAGGCTAACAATACGGATGCTCGTGAGGGAGCATTGCTCAGTTTGGAAGGGATTCGATAGAAGCAATAAGAGAGGCTTCATAAATAGATGAGGCAGCTGCGGCACCCCTCTCCAAAGCCCTGAACCTATCAATTTGATATTCTCGTACACAGTATCTTGATTGTTTCATGTGATTTGTCAAGCCGTACTGTACGCCAACTTATTCATCCTTGTAGATCATACAGTGCCACCCGAAGCAGCGAGATGGACCAGACACAAACCCACGTCTCCAGGAGACAATGATGATCTGAAGTAAGAAGTCTCAGCTCAGCCCTCAAAATCGGCTTGAACTGAAGGTAGGGTGAAGTATTTAGATAGAATAAGTTCAGAGGTGCGAATTATACCCACACATAATGCTGACCAAAATATGGGAGCCAAGAAGAAAACCGGTCTACGGATCTCGTAATACACCCCAAGCCTTTCGTGTACCAACTTGCCCTTGTAAGAATCCCGTACATTACCATCGTATTTGAGCGACTTCCAGATTATTCGACATTGTAATGAGAGGGAAGAAAGGAAACCCACTTCTCATAAAGACCCAGTTCCCAAAACAACAAGGTGCTCAAGCAAGCGTGAAGAAGGACCCGGCCGGCCCAACATTAGTCACCACAACCTCGAACAGCGGCAGCTCGCCCACGCCCGCGCCCGCCCTGCCGCCGCCCGCGACGCTCGCGCACAGCCGGCTCAGGTCGTCCTCCCCGTACGTGGTGAGGTCGTAGCTCTCGCCGCCGGCGCCGCCCCCGGTGCCGAAGACGACGCGCGTGACGTTGGCGCGCAGGTGCCTGTCCGCGGGAGGGCCCGCCACGCCGTTGCCGTTGCCGTCCGCCTTGAACGGCGGCGGCGGGGTCCCGAGAACGTGCCTGAACAGCGAGGGGTTGTACTCGACGTATCTCAGCGCCGCGGCCCGCACGTGCGCCCGCGTCGGCGGCGTGCGCACAACCATGCGCTGCTCGCTTACGTCGCCCGTCCCCGGCACGCGCGACTTGATGCACAGCCGGTAGTCGAGGGCGGCCGGGAACTGGGCGGCGGCTGCTGGCGCTGGAGGAGCCGGAGCCGGTTGGGCCGGGGCCGGGGACGGGGACGGGGACGGGGGCTTGTTGGGCCCGACCCCGTGAGTGGGCGTGGACGATACTGAGGTTGATTGGGACGGGGCCGACGGGGGTGGCGCGCGCGCGGTGGTTGGGTGGGTGTTGTGACCGTTGGACATCGGAGGCGAGGATGTTGGGGATGATCCGGCGCTGCTGTTTCCGTTGAGGTTGGCGTTGGTGAAGGTATACTTCACCTGAGGCTGTTGTGGTAGAGCATTGGGTGGTGGAGGCGGGACCATTCTTCCAGTCTGTGGCAATGGTGGGGCTTGGATGTGGACATCTGCGATGGATGGGGCCTCATGCCACCCATTGGGACGTGGTCCGAGTATACAGGATGTCCCACGTTCCCGGCCATGACAGGCGGGGGCATTGGAGCTCCCGGTGCAGCTCTCCAGGTTCCAGGTTGTACCTGTCCCGGGGCGGCCGGTGGTGGCGCCGACCCAGGGGGGACATGGCGACCGATGGGGATACCAGCCTTGGGGTTGAGCATTCCCACGGGGCTGGAGCGGCGGCGCTGAACGGGGAAACTGTGCTGGGGTGCGTGGTGTGGTCCTCGCGGCTGGCCTTCATGCGGGAAGTCCGGGTCGTCCCGTCTCGGTGAGCGAGAAGAGCGTCTCACCCACTTGGGGCTCATGCGGGAGTTGCGCGAGGTGTGGGTGCCTCTCGCCCTGTCATAGCCGCCAGCGCAGACCTCACTCTCTGTCATGCTCTCGTAGGCAGACTCGGCGTCGAAAGACAGGGCGGAATCCCCTAGGTCCTTGTCCAGGTCGCCGTCCATGACTTCAGACGCTGACGAGACAGAAGAGACCCCGTCATCGTCATCATCGACCACAATGCTAACCTTCTTGGAGCAGGGAGGGAGTTCGAAGCCATTGGCGGTGATGTAGTTCTGCACCGCATCCGCAGACTTGACCAGAAGCAGCTCGTATGCTTTCTGAACCGTCTCCGCGCTCTCAGAGGACAGCAGCGCGTCCCTTTGGCCGCCCTTCTCAGCCCGTATGACCACTGCCTTGAAGTTCCCCAGGGGCTCACGGGTGAGGATGACGCCTATGTGGGCATCCCGAGCAGAGAAGAAGGAGCAGTTATCTATGAATAGGATGTGTGAGTACCCAGTCTGAAAAGTACCAAGACGGAGCAAATGTGCAGGACTGCATGTGCAGCTTAGCAAGAAAGACGACATATACAAGGCTGGCTTACCAACTATCTGCTCGCGATATCCGCCCATCGTCTGTGTCCAGGTTCCACTCGTCGCCATGATAGTCCCACAAGGTGCCGAAGGCTGGGTCGAAGTTGCTGGATAGTGAGAGCAGAGGATGCACTGGGGAGAACGGAGGGTCATGGGGCGTAGGAAGCACAGACAATTGCGCCTGAGGACGAGAGGACGAGTGATTCAATTGAGGCTCCCGCAACGCAGGAGACGAAGAATGAGCACATTGTGTCCTTATATACCAGGTGCAAAGCTGAGAGTATGGTTCCACGACAGAATCGAGCCATGCCAACACAAGTACTGCGGCAGCTCTTCCCGCCTCGTTTTCCCTGATAGGCTCAAAAAAGACTTGCCAACCCGGACATGTAGCATACCGAAAATAACACCAAAACAGCGCCTCGGACGGATACTCACATGGGCGTGACAAAGTGGCCCTCAAGTCCGCGGAATCCCGCACGTGGTCCAGGCTGGAAAACCGCAGGCGGGTTTGCTTCCTACTGTAGAAGCACACGAGCCGGTGGGAGCTGCGAGGAGGCTTGGCCGCGGCCACTGCAGCAACCCCCAATGCAACTTAACTCCAACCTGGGACGACACAGCCGTTTGTGATACAGACCAAGGACCAGCCCCAGCTCTCCTGACTGCCTCCCTCCTCTGTTCCGCAGTCGTGCTCGCTAAGCCACCGGGCTGGTCAAGCGGTGACGCGGAATCAACAGGGCGGCTGCATTCTGGACGACGTTCGATTTGCACCAACGCAGTCTCGGCCCATCTCGAGTGTCTCGTCCACCAGTCTCACCAACGCCAGAGCGGTCGAAGCGTTGTGCTGTCGTCGTTACGTGTAGCCTCCAAGCCTGGCTCGCGTCACTCTTGTGGCAGAGACACTGGTCCTCTTGTGTCGCCCGAGACGAGGACTACCGGGCGGCTGCTACCCAGACGTTCCAACGGAAATCCGGAGTACCTGGAGATGTTGTCCTCAACCGTTGAAATCTTGCAAAACTGTAAGAATCATCTGATTGGGTTGCCTTGGTAAGATAGTGTCCGTCGCATGCATTAGATTCCCGTTTGTGCGGGTGTGAAGCAAGGAGATTGCCATCGTTCGGCGACCGATTTCCTGAGTGGTCAATTGGGAGTACGAGCAAGGCAGTGCCCGGCACATATTCCAGACAAGGCAGGATTGACCCGTCCAGCCGCCTCATTAACGCGCGAGGCTGCAATACCTGCCGAGCAGTGATAGTGGCAAACAATTCCGCTGATCGACAAGCAGTGTTATGTCGTATTGGCTGATTGTGTCTTGACTTTCCTTTTTCTCTCGCTCGGTGCGGCTGCTGATCCTTGCTGCCCTGCACCTTGCAGCCCTACCAATCCTGAGTAGCTCACCCAACCGTCAACCTCTCCAACCTATCTTGTAGGGCATCTACAAGAGCAGTCTCCCTGTCCAAGAGACTTCTGACCTGGGATACCTTGGCCTTCCTGAGCTCAGAGGGTATCCTGAGGCTCACTACAGAAGACGCTGGGCTACTCTCCGAATTACCATCACCTGCCCTCTCCTTGCCCTCCAAGCCTGCCACCTGCCCTGCCAGCTCGTCCTTGAGGCTCCTGATCTCCTGGATACGATCCACTGGTCGTTGTGACTTGGGCGCACCGGCAACCACTATTGCCCCCATGTCGCTTTCGCCAGACTCCGACAGACTCTGCTCGACTGTCTTGACCTCCTCTACCCACGCCTTTTCCTTGTCACTGAGTTCGCGGGGCGTCTTCTGCTGGATCTTCCTCCTCAGGTTCTCGAACCTCTGCATCAGCTCTTCCTGTTTCTTTCGTCGCGCAAACACAGCCCGAGTGAGGCGTGTATCGTCCGACTCTGTTCCCTCGTCTCCGCCCGTGACCCTGTCGATCCTACTCTTTAGCTCATTGGCCTTGACAATCTGGTCCTTCAGCTCCGTCCGCAAAGCATCGCATCTGCGGAACAGCTCTGAGACTGCCTCATTAAGACGCCCAGACTCCGTGCTGATGATTTGATGCGCGTTGGAGAACACCTTGAGCGTAGCTGGCGACAGGCGGATTTGCTGCTGCATCAGGGCGACATGCCTGCTTGTCATCAGCAGTTGCTGCATCTTATGCAAGTTTGATGATTGGTCAAAGACTGCAGAGGGCTGGTAGGCAGGTCGTGGTGTGAACATCTCCATTGGGACTTTCTGCTCTGGCGTGGGCTCGTAGAACGGCGTAGGGGAAGATGACGATTTGATCGGTGGGAGTTCATCTCCAGGCGTTTCGAGTTGTAGGGCTAGCGGATCAGAGGGCGTGGCTGAAAGAACGAAATAGCCAAGGTCGGGGTCGCGGATGGCGACACAAGCAGCCAGGGAGTTGCCGGGCGGCCGCTCGACGTAGATTCTTGCGAAGGCCGATTTTCCGCTTGCAATCAAGCCGATTCTGAAATCCGACCCAGCCTCTGACTCCGCGTTCAACTCGCTTTCGAGCCGGAACACCCACGGAGACAAAGACACATTAGTAATACCGGAGTTGTGCGTGATGAAAAAGGAGTACCGAGAAGTCGCATCGTCGCTGAAGACGGGCCAGCACTCAGGCGTCACCTCAGACAACGCAAGGACGTCCAGCGTCTCGTATGTCAGCAGCGAGGGCAAGCCGTCGACGTCAGTGAGCACGCTGGCTTTCGATTTGACACGGGGTGGCAGCCACTTTGCCTCGACACCATTCAGATCCAGACAGATTCTGACTTGTCCACTTGTAGATAGAAGACAAATCACCGTCAATGACAGGCCCTCCTGTTCATTTTCGTCAAGTTCCAAGACCTCATCCTCTCCCAGCATTAGATCGTCGGTCTCCATTTTCTGGCCAATGACGTAGATATCGGAGAGCTCCATATCAAGGTCATCCTGTTCGTCTTCGTTTGGGTCCATGTCAAAACTGAAAGGTCCTTGGAGCCTGGGTATCAATCCTGGGTGTGTTGGGCGTCGGTACACCTCGATTGGTGGTTCTCCAAGGGATTCCTGAAGAATCTTGGGCTCCTGGTTATCTAGATCAGACATCCACTCGAGTTGCTGCTGTGCAAGTAGCTTGTCCTGTGGAGACACCTCGGGGTCGTCCTGGATGGCTGCCAGCTTGGCCACGATCGAGACGGACAGGGAAGGAACAAGAGTAGGAGGCGGGGCCCAGAGCTCTGGAAGAAGTGGGCATAACGCGTAGACGTCGCCTCCCCTCATGGCGATGTACAGAGTCATTGAAGACCAAAGCCCAGAGCCCCTGGCAGCGAAAGATGCAGCCGCCACCTCCATGTCGAACATGTCGGGAGAGAAGGAGGTATTTGTCGCCGTCGTGGATGCTGTGAAGTCCTGATCCAGAGTGACGCCATTGGCCAATTTCTTCAGATCGACGGACAGCGTTGGAGCGTCAAATGACCACCGATCGGCGGGGGAGACTTCCCAGACTCGAACGACAGCATCCTCCGTGACTGTGACAAGTGACGTGCCTTTGACACCCAGAGGATGCCATATCGCGGACATAACCGCGGGTTTTGATGTGACGTGAGTCGTTGGTCCCAGCGTGAAGAACTTCGGTTTCAGAGGGGTGCTGTCCGGCGCGGTGAGATGTGAGGAGTCGGGAAGAACGCAGATATGTACGGTGTGGGCTGTCAAAACTGCCAGGTAGTTCGAGTTGGGCGAGACGACGATTTGTCTGATCTCATCGGCCACAGGAGTCTTGATAATCTGCAAGTACTGTCAGCGCGGCGCCCAGTCGCAGGTGAACGCCAAGTCTCCAGCGATATCTACTCGCTCCAACTTACCCTGTAGCCCTCAGCAGGTCTGCCGTCTGAGCCTTCGGTGTCGTTTCGTGCCTCATCGTAGATAGAGAAAGAGCCGTTTGAATCCTCCCTCTTAATGCGAGTACTGGCTCCCATCTCCGCCCAGGACTCCTTCAGGTACACCAAGTCGCCCCATCGTATCTCTCGGTTGACTGCCACAAAGACCTCGGTACCACGGCGTGCGATGGTTCGTCGCGGACCAGGTCTCGCCCTCTTGTTGGACGAGTAGGGGGAGAAAACGGATGCATCGAGGTCTTCTGAGGTAGCCTTGAACAGAGTGTGCCCTGGAGCTGGCTTGCTCAGCCAGCTCGGGGTGTACGATTTGACCTTGATGTTTGACATGTTTTGCGACCCAGGCCACTGCTCCTGGAGGGTAGCAATGCTAGCAAAATGGGCTGCCGGCTGCGGTGATTTGATTCATGCGGTATGTCGTCGACAGAGTTGGAAGGTTGGCCAGGTTTGGATCGGGAAAAAGGTCGGCGAAGACGAAGGTGAAAGAAGCAGAGCCCAACCCAACAAACGTGCAGGCAAGGAAGGCGGCAGGGGAAGCTTCACTTGACATTTTTAGCGCGTCCTTTGAGCTTCCTACCCGCGCCTGGGCAACCTGGAGCATCCGATTGGGACCCACCCCCGGACCTGCAGCTGCAGCGGTCTTCAACTTACACCAGAAGAGCAATTGCAATCCGTCCAGTGGATCGATTCCTCGCCATCCGCCACATTAACGACAACATGAGACCACACGTCCGAAACACGGTCGATCGGCTCGACAGGCCAAGTGCCTATTACACCAGTCGGGCAAGTCTTTCCTCCTTTTTCCGCGCCACGAATTCGCAGCTAACATTTACTCTCCTGGGCCACAGTTCAACAAGCGCGGCCGTCGCAACGACCGCGGCGATGAGCACAACGGCGACGGCGAGCCCGAACAGCCCCCAGAGGACCCCCTCGCGAACGCGACCACGCTATACGTGGGCAACCTGTCGTTCTACACCACCGAGGAGCAGGTTTACGAGCTCTTCTCCAAGTGCGGCGAGATAAAGCGGCTGGTCATGGGGCTGGACCGGTTCAACAAGACGCCATGCGGCTTCTGCTTCGTCGAGTACTACACGCACCAGGATGCGCTGGACTGCATGAAGTACATCGGCGGCACGAAGCTGGACGAGCGCATCATTCGGACTGACCTGGACCCCGGTTTCGAGGAGGGCAGGCAGTACGGCCGTGGCAAGTCTGGCGGACAGGTACGTGCATCCGCAGCAGGTTCTTCGCCGAGCGCATCGCTGACCGAATCATCGCAGGTGAGAGACGAGTACAGAGAAGAGTTCGACGAGGGCAGAGGTGGCTTGGGCAGGGCTCTGCAAGGAAGAGAACGCAGCCTGGAGAACGACGATTACGGCCGCCTTGCTTAGGAGGCAATATGACCGAATGATTGAGCCAGACGAGCCCCAACGATATGAGAATACCTGGGGCTTCCCCGAAAAAGCGAGATTGGGTGAGGATATCAATGGTCATCGAGTATGGCAAGCATTCTTCAGGGCATTGCAGGATCCGCCTCAGAACCGTAGGTTCAACTTGCTTATCCCAAAGGGTAGGATCCCACAGGCTGGCTTCCCACAGGAGGACTGGTTAACGATGCAGATCACATTGATTCAGGAATGGCCAGGCGCGAGGCGCATTATTGGACGCAGAGCAGTGCCTTTCATCATGAATCTGGACTGTCTGCTTTTGCTAGACGTATCTACACAATGCTGATTCCGTCCAACCACAATCATGTTCTTACAAATCCATGTCAAGACTTTGCATGGTATCGCCAGAGCCGACGCCGCACATGCCGTGTTCTCTTCACCCTGAGACCACTGCTCATTCTCGAAGAAGCTCGCGAGGGCCTATATCCTCCTACCTTGTATCGGCGCGTCTGAGTTGCGTGCCGTCCCTAATTCGCTATCGCATGCTCGTATGCTTTGTGGCCAACCCCGGATGGACGCCGTAATCGACCATATAGAACGTAGCGTCTTGGTTGGCAGCACGTCGATCCCCAACGTTCTGAAGTGACCATATCGTCGAGTGCATCCGTCTAGTATCCAGGAGGATTGAGCCGCTGAGATACTCTCGTCCACTTGGGCAACTCTGCAAGCACACTCAAGTCAGTCAAAGGAAGAGCCCATTGCACACGGACTGCATTCCAAACTCCCAGTGAATCCCCTGGCACGACATACTGTGTATCCCCTTCCGGTACCTCTTCTCCTTGCGGTCGAAGATGGTGTACTTGTCCTTGGCCCGCATCTCCTCCTCCTTGGGCATCTCAGCCTTCCACCGCTCCACCGACTTGGTGGTCTCGCCCTTCTTTGCCAGCGCGCTGTCGAGCGTCGCCACCACCGAGTCGACCGCCCGGAGGCGGAGCCGCTGCCGCCGCTTCTGGAACTTGGACAGCCGCCAGGGGGTCTTCCATAGCAGGCCGCTGCTTAATGGGTTTGTGAATCTGAAGGCCCCGAACATGGCTGCTGTTGGGGTTGTGCGGTCGTGTGGGTGGGGTGGTTCGACACGACAGTTGCTGGGCGTTGTCGGCGTTGGAAGTTGGGAATTTTGATGATTGATCGCGCGCCGGCCGGGGATGGGCTGCTTGGATGGCCAAAAGAATGGAGCTAGCACCCTGTTGCTGTACGCAGTTTGGGGTGGGCCCAATCGGCAGGTACCGTGACTGTGGGGGGTTCCCTGCGGCCGGCCCACCTCACGCCGCAAGCTGGGAGGACCGATGATGGGCAAAGGCACTCCCATTCCGATCCTCAGTCCGTCCAGCCAAAGGTGTGTTCTCAGAGAGAAGCACGACCGTAGGAGAGGAGAGCCAGAAACCCTACCAGATGATCGATCGATAACAGAACCATGTCCTACTACTTTGCCATCATCGGCACCCAAGACAACCCCCTCTTCGAGCACGAGTTCGGCACCTCCAAGCAGGGCGGCGATGGGCAGTCGCGCTTCTCGGACCAGGCCCGCCACCTGAACCAGTTCATCCTGCACAGCGCCCTGGACGTCGTCGAGGAGGTGCAGTGGAACAACGGACAGTTGTATGTACAGATCGAACACCCAAAGACGACAGCCTCTTCCCTCATCGCACATGGCATGCCCCTGGCATGCCCTGTCCCGTCCTATCTACGCACGCATACATGCTGAGCGAGCCCCCGGCTAACCCTGTCCTCTCACCGGCCTAGCAGGTACCTCAAGGTGATCGACAAGTTCTTCAACAACTACATCTCGTGCTTCGTGACGGGCGCCAACGTCAAGTTCCTGCTTCTGCACCAGCCCTTCGGCGGCTCCTCCTCGTCCGGCTCCTCGCGCTCGTCCACCTCCATCGCCGCGAACCCCACCAGCGCCGCGACCGAGGAGGCCATCAAGAGCTTCTTCCTCGAGGTCTACGAGAACTGGGTCAAGGCCGTCATGAACCCCTTCTACAAGGTCAACATGGAGGTCAAGAGCCCTATATTCAGGCAGCGGGTCTTTGCCGCTGGGAGGAAGTACTTGTAGGCGCATGGGGTTGGTCGGTCACGGGGTGTTGATGACAAGTGCTACGTGGAGTTTGTCGGATGAGCAGGCGCTGAGCTAGGCGCACGGCATTGATCAAGGAATAGACATGAGGGAGTCCTTGGGCCTGGGGTCACCATGGAGACGGCAAGAAGCCAGACATTAGATTTGCTGCCAGTCACGTAGTATCCGTGGCAGAACACCTCACCGGTCGATGCACCCATCATCTAGTCCTAGGGGCATCGAGTCATAGATCACATCATAGTCACAGGAGAGAAGACAAGTAGTTAAGTATGTTCATCAAGTGTATTTGCGGCGCACTTGTCTTTCGACCAAAGGGCGGTCGTCGCCTCATTCCGACGCCCTGTCATTCCGGTTGATCCGTGATACCCCAACGCCCAAAATCAACAATTGTCGCAGAAGCCTCCGCCCAGCTTTGCTGCTGTATGATCATCAAACAAGTCCACTAAGCCCCATCGGTCCCCGACCTCTAGTTGCCTTGCCCATGCTGTATCGCGGAGGATGCCGAAAGCGCACAAGTGCAAAAACAACAGAATGCATCCATCCTCCACACGCGCTGCCCCCAGTCGACCAGTGTCGAGAAGAGAGCAGAAGCCGCTTAGCCACCGAAACCGTACAGGGTACGGCCCTGGCGCTTAAGGGCGTAGACGACGTCAAGGGAGGTGACGGTCTTGCGCTTGGCGTGCTCGGTGTAGGTGACGGCGTCACGGATGACACCCTCGAGGAAGGACTTGAGGACAGAGCGGGTCTCCTCGTAGATCACTGTCGGGATGGTTAGCGAGGTGTCCCAGGCAGACGCGTCAGCACGGGTGCAACTTACTAGCAGAGATACGCTTGACACCGCCACGACGAGCAAGACGTCGGATGGCGGGCTTGGTGATACCCTGGATGTTGTCACGAAGAATCTTTCGGTGGCGCTTGGCACCGCCCTTGCCGAGACCCTTTCCGCCCTTGCCACCTGTGGACGATGCATGTTAGTAACGAACGATAGTGAGACAAGACAAATAGTTGTGTATTTGTGAAACGGTTGGTGAGGCTTGACGCGGTTGCATGTGGTGTTGGTACAAGACGCGTCGGGGCGCAGTGTCGCCCCACCACCACCAACACGGGGCCGAAAGGCGGTGATGACGGATGCAGACAAACGCAGCAACACCAAAGCCGACGCGTTTCGAGGGCGGCGACAAGACAAAATGGATATTTACTTACGTCCAGTCATTTTGAATGAAGTTGATGAAGAAAAGTGTGATGTTTAGTTGATGAAATCGATGTCGCGGTGGACAGATGGATGGATTGTTGATGGAGTCTGTGGATGTTGATTGATGGGCAGAGTGAGAGAGAGGAGATAAGAGAGGGAGAAAGAGGTAAGATACGAGGGGGAAAGTCGGTTAATAAGGGGGGGGCGGGTTGACTGATCTGAGAGTGTGATCTGGGTTGTGGTTTCTGGCAGGCGCTAGTCAGTTTTGGGGCGTGCTCTTTCCAACGCTTCAAAAAACGAATTTGCAGCTGCGAAAGCGACCTCAAATCCATGCGGGCTTGGGCGTGCAAAACCGGCCCTTTCTCTGTTGTTTCGCCGTCGGGCCTGGCCCGTGCACACCGCTCCTGGCGTCTCGGCTTGCAGGGATCCGCACTAGCGTCCGCATTCTGCTAAGGTCACCTCTGCCGGACGGTTCACCTCGGCGGCCTCGAGCCAGTTATTATATCTACTCAGGACCGCCCACCCCTCAGATATAAAACACAGGCTTCTCTTTCAACCTCATCTACGCGTTCCCTTCATATCAGGATACTAACAAAGCCCTTTTGCAGCACCTTGGACCCAATGTTTGGCTCTCCACATAGCGATGCGCTACCCCGCGATGCCGCTCTAAACACATCGTGAATTTAGCACCCATGCTATATTGACGGCAAATAAACCAGGCTGGCGAAAATCAGCATGCACGGCAATCGACATCCCTGTCTGAGCCCTGGCAGCATGTTATTCCCGATACCTTGGCCAACGCCGAACAGGGTAGACGTGACAAGTTGACCGTTCTCTGCGCAGGCGCAGCTGCAACACGTCCTATTTTGTTCTTTGTCTGTGCTTTGCAGTTACCTAGCTAGCTGCTCAAAAAGTCAGGCCAGACATGCAAATACGCAGTCAGTCAGGCCGCCAGGCTGACTCAGCACGAGACTCAGCACGCACCTATGCATAACCCATCCTGACCGGCCTGAGTGCGTAGAAAGTGCGAGCGCATATGTACAGTACTACGCATACCAACCCATGCCAACGACCAACAAACGACAGACAACTTAGCCACTTCGGCATATTGAAGTTGGTTCCATGTTCTGGCGACTATATCTCGCTTATCCCTGTCAGAAAATAGTGACGATACGGTTGGTCTGGACTTCTTTTGTCTCTCTCCTGCGGGTAGTCCCCATAACGACATGGTCATCATTTTCCGAGGAGCCGCTCGAGGTTTCTTCCGGCCGCGCTTTATCCTCGACGCTGGGAAGGATATCTTGGTCGATTCCTTCGATGGCATCGGGCAGCTGTCGATTCGCGTCTCTGTTCAATCTCCTGCTGCGAAGCCCCACGGTGTCATCTTCACTGTCAACCATCTGGGAAGCGCTGCCAGGTGGACGGTACGTGCTCAACACCCTCTGTCTCAGCTTGGCATACCACTTTCTGTACGGCACACGATCCCGCCATGGGCGAAACTCAATGCCAACCCTTCTGAACGCTGAAGCCGTTCGGAAATCTCCATTTCCATCGATCGGTTGCAGCAGGAGGCAGATGCGTCCTTTCTCTTTATCTTCTGGTCTTGGACCATGGTAAGCATAAGCCAATGGGGGATCTCCGAGTGCGATCATGTCGAATACACAGCAACAGTATTTTTGTTTTGCTCCAGATACGTGGTCGGGAAATACGTAGCCGGGTGTGCCGTGAGAGAAGTCGTATTGCACGAGCTTTAGAGTGCCTTCGAGCGTGATAGAGCCGAACACCTGGCTCTGGGATCTATTTGCCTCGGCATCGCATGAAACGATCTGTGCTTTCCGCGTTTTCTTGCCCTCGTGCTCTAAGAGGTCGTACGAAGCTTCCCCGGAACGAGAGCCCCAAGTCCAGGTGGGACCCCTCGGGTCTGTAGTGTCTGGTTGCCGGATTCTCCAGCACAGGCTCTCAAGTAAGTGGTTTTCGCCTTTCCAGATGCCACCAACAAACTCGTCTTTGAGCACCATTGCAATGGAGTTTGAAATGGCCAGAAAGGCCGGGATTCGATCGGAAGGCTTCGTCATCTGGCGCCTAGTGAATTCCTGGACTTGCGCCTGCCACACCTTGAACGGATCTTGATCATCAAGGCTTGAGCTCAGGCCCTTCAAGGGGGGAAGGCCCTTGATTGCAAGTTTGCTGCGACGATTCTTGTAGAACGTGTGGTTTATGTTTGGAGCGTTCCCCTCCCAGCAAGGGTACGTTTCGAGGCGGTAATCGTGTAGGCACTCCCAATGCAGCAACCCTGCGCCAAAATACAGTAACCGAATGCTCATGGCCTGTTCTTGTAGTGTCCAGGCTCGCTGGTGCACTGGACCACTGACGGGGGTTTCTTGCGCAATTTCGAGTTTGGGGTGAACCGCAAGCTCGACCACACTGCCCTCCTTGAAAGGCGGGCGTTCCCTTTTAGGTACAAGGTGCCCAAAATTCAATGGTATAGGTCGGCAGACTCTCCGTGGTCGGGGTTGGAACAAGTCGTCTCTAGAATCTCCTGCAACAAGACTTGTGATTGTCAAGTCAGCTCTGGAGTACAACTCATGCATCACTGATGCCTCACGGGCCCAATCCTCTTCGTCGTCCTGTATAATACAAAGCGCATCAATCCAGATATAATCAAATCCTAGGGCTCTCGCAGTTAACACAGCCTGGCGAAGCAAGGCAGGAAGGGATGTAAGAGGTATGCCTTTTATGCGTTCGGATATGTTGGATTTTGTAGTAATGGCGTTTCCGGGACGACCCCAACAATACGATAGAATGCAGTAAGTGGCCCTAGTCCCGTTACTCTCGAAAAGGTAAGGGTCTCGGTGTTCAGCTCCAACATGTAAGACCCTAGTTGGAAGTGGGCCGAAGGGGCCAGATGAGATCTTTCCGTATGCTTCTCGGCAGAGAGAATGAGCGGGTGAAGTCCTGCAATCCTCCAGCCACTGCTTAGCAACTCCCAGTGCGCGCGACGAGCCAGTGCTGTGAATGTGGGAGCTTCCATCCTCTTGTGTGCCGAAACTCACGTCGAACCCTTCCAGCTCAAAAGAGACGTAGGCGGAAGGAGCATTCGCAAGCTCCGCATACACTAAACCAACCCGTGGCGGGAGCTTGCCAGGCGGTGCACTCGATGCTTCGCCGACTTGTAATGTGATGGGGGAAGATTCTAGGCACGATTCGTCCTCGACTTGTAGCCATGCCCCTTTGCCGTCGTCTTCTGTGTACGTTACCGGTGAAGACCTATCGCTTTCATCATAAACCCAATCGGCCACCAGAGCGCACAATGGGCAGCCGGCGAGCTCAGCACACTCCTCGAGTTCTGCCTTATTCTTGTGGATCTCGATTGGTTCTGACGAAGGGTCGATGCTGGTAAAGGGGCCGCGGCAGGACCGGGCAGCAAACGATTGAAATGTCAAACAAGGTGGGCAAAACCTCTCGGTCGCGGCCAAGCTAGGAATATTCGAGGCTTTGTACAAACTGGCGTTAAAGCTCCCGATCAGGCTGTCGACAGCTTCAGCCTCCCACGATGTACATTTCGGAATATGCAGAGAGTGCAGCAGGAATCGATAAATTGTGTAAAGATCCTTGGGAGGGAGAATACGGTCGCTCAGAGACACGGCAAGAAGTTCACTAGTCGCAGCAGCCAGATTGCTTGGCTGCGACTGGTGACGAGACTCGGAACGGTTCAGCAAAGGCGTAGGAAGCAGCCTGTGCTCATCCGACATGAGTCTTGCTAGTACCCCTCTCTCTGAAGCCAGCAGCGCAAGATCCGCGACTGACCATTCGGAGTATGCAGCAGCCTGCAATGATGCGCCGTGCTCGAGTAGGTCGAAGAACAGCTCCTCGTCTCCGTCGAGGAGAGCCAAGTGGAGAGGCACGTGGCAATCCCGTGAAGGTTTGTTAGGGTCTGCACCATGCCGTATAACGAACCAAACATCATCTTGCTGCCGGTGGTTAATGGCTTCATGAAGGGCTGTGCACCCTTGGTGGTTATAGATGTTGACATCGCCGCCGTACCGTAGAATTGTCTCCGCTGAATCGTGATCGGAGGCACGAATCGCGAGATGCAACGGGGTGTTCCAATGAGTCCAGGCGAAGTCATCAGTTACATCTCTAGTAGACACCAGATCATCTTTGGTCCAGAGTATATCAGGGTCGACGCCATCACGCAGGGCTGCTTCAACGGCTTTCGAGTTCCATGTCCTCTCCCGGTCGAAAAATTCACCCTCTTTATCAGGATCGAGCTTTGGGGGTAATGCCATGCAATTCATCCTTGATCCAGTCAATACTTAGATTACTGTGAAGGTAGTACATAGTTTATGTGTGACTTGTGCATACTTTTCCGAGTCGAAAGTGTCATTTCCGCCATCGCTTGACATGATGGGTACATGCCGAGGCCCTGTGTCTGAGGTAATTGATTCGAAGCAATGGCTGGTTCCACTGTAAGCAGTTGAGGTCGAATTTCAAGATTGGAGGGGATGGACCCAGGAGGTGTTGGGAAATGGAAACGCAACTGGGGAAAGCAGGGGACGATCTCGAGACATAGAAGTAGTGTCCATCCAATAGTAGTACGAGGCGCATAAGCGACACATGCCAAGGTACATAACGTCTTACCAAGCCTCTCCACACGGACAGTGGCAGCGTTGAACATCCTGAACGGTGTTGGCAGTGCATAAGATCAGCCCTGGTTGCCTCGTTGCCACTTGAGGTATTCCGGAGGAAAGGTACCGGTCATATACTTATGTGACTATCCGTTACCGTCTCCTGGTAGAGCCGTTTTTAACGGTATATTGCTTGGTCGTTTGGCTCAGCAACAAGTAAATCTTGCTGTATAGCATACCTAGCCATATTACTGCAGCAGGCTTAAACGCAAATGACTACCTAGGCAGTTACGCGAATACACACACCATGTAACTGGGGCAGAAACGACAGGATGGCCTGAAGAAAGCCTGAATGAGGCTTCCCGTCGTGACCACTAATTTGTCTGACCTATCACCAATCCACTTGCTTCCCCAACCCTCGTAACAGACACTATCAACGGCCAAAGGTTGACTCTACGTGTTACGTAGTCGATGTCATTGCATATTGTCGAGCCCACTCCCAACAGGAACAGGCCGCACACTTTACTACTAGCTTGGAGGTGGCAGTTCCGTACCATGCCTTGCCCCGGTCTACCGTACATCCCAAGCCGTGCTTGAATACTCATACACAAATATACGACAAGCAGAGAGGCCGTGTTCAGCTCCCGCCCTACCACGGATTCGAGGACCCCTCATCCAAGACCAAAGGCCATGATGGTTGATTACGAATGAGGCTGCTTTTTCCGTTGTCAAAATAAATGGAGCGAAGCAAACGAGAATACGCCTGCTGCCCTGCTGTGATTCCTTTGACCCCCTTCCCTCCTGCCCCACCCCGATACTTGAACGCCTGCGCCATGCCCTAAAACCTTGTCGTGCTCCATGCCATGCTGTTTCGTTCCTCGCCTGTGTTCGCTGCGCATTTCACCCTTGAGCAGCGCTGCTTATGTCCAGGGAGATAGTCGTAAGGTGGCCAAATCAAGCCCAGTCACGAAAAGCCAAGCCACGCCAGCCCAGCCAAAATCCTAGCTCATCATTGAATCATGGAATCGTCGAGGCCATCGTCCTCCTCTAGACTCTCTATCGCTTCCTTGATTCTCTGGCTCGCCTAGGATACAATCAGTGCCTGTTCTGCGTTTGAGATTGGGGGTAGGATCCGAACTCACCTTGGGGTCCAGGCTCAGCGCCTGGGTGAAATGGCGCACGGCCTGGCTCTTGTCGTTCTGAGCCTTGTACAGCTTCCCCAGGAGGAAGTGCACGAGCGCGTTGTTCGGCGCGAGGTCCCTCAGCACCAAGAGCTCCTTCTGCGCTGCCGGCAGGTTCCCCACGGCGAGAAGCGCGCGGGCCTTCCTGAACCGTGCCTGGGCGGCCCTGGGCGCCAGCTCCGTCGCCTTGTTGAAGTACTGCAGGGCTTGCAGGACGTGCTTCTGCTTCTCAAGCACCGTACCGATGCAGCAGATGAGGACGGCATTCATAGGGTGTATGACGTGTGCGGAGTGAAAGTGGGTATATGCCTTGTCATAGTTCCCGAGCTTTTCGTAAACCATGCCGATGCCGTAGTAGGCATTGTAGTGGCGTCGGTCCGCGGAGATCGACTGCCTGAACGCTGTCAGGGCTTTGTCGTACTCTTCGTTGGCCATGTGCTCATGGCCTTGGAGCGTGTAAGCATAAGCGAATTTCGGATCGAGCTGAGTCGCTCGCTTGAAGCACTTGAGGGCCTGTTCGTGGTCCTTCGCTAGTGACCATGCGTTGCCGAGGGCACACCAGGACTCGGGGGCGAGCCACGCCGAGTCCACCAGCTCATGTGCAAGGAACGACAGATCCGTCTCTCGTTTCAGGTGCCAGAGGATCGTCGAGTAAACCTCCATGTCTTGGAGACGAGTTGGGGATATTATCCTCAAGCGTCTGAAGAGCCTCTCTGCTTCGGGATAGGCTGCTTGCTCATACTGGGCTCGTCCCATCTGTGCCAGTACCCATGCGGTGTCTTGGTGCGCGCGAGGAAGTGAGCTAAACGACTGTAGCGACTCTTGGCAGTTGAACTGCGAGAGCTGCTGGTAACCATAAGCAAACCTCCTCAGGAGATCCAGGACGATCTTCAGCGCCTCTTCAGATTTGGGTTCTGGTTCTGAGGGCCTCTGGGGAACGCGTTGCACTGCCAACGGCTCCTTCGCCGGGCCTTCCGCATGATCGACATCCATATTCGCGTCCTCAGTTCCACGTCTGTTCCCACTAACCACACGACCGACTGCTGGATTCGGATTTGGTCTGACGAGGCGGGAGATGGGAGCTCTAGCCCTCTTCAGCTCGCGACCGTTGGATGGGCCAATTGTAGATGCACCGGTATTCGTTTTTGGTCCTGACTGCTTGAACATGTTCAACCTCGCACTTCGTCGCTGAGGAGCTTCCTCCCCATGCATTGGCCGGGAATGTACCGGCTGTCCAGACACGGTCCGCTTTCTATCAGCACTAATCGTCGGTTTGAGGAGTGATGCCGCCGTTTCGGGCGGCGCTTCGGCCTCGTGGACCTTCTCTCGCCTCTTGGTCATTAGCTTGTAGCCACCGCGTGGAGGGGCTTCTGGTCCCGTGTCTGCAACATGCGCCCTGTTCCTTCGAAGTGGCGCCTGAGGCGGCTCTGGATTCGTTGGCACCCGTGTCTGATGTGTGTCAACGTTGGACCTATGGTTGGTCGGTGTTTCCATATCGCCTTGGTTGACGGAAGGGGCTACCACAGGCCCCAGCCGTGACCTCGCCGCAACAATCTTGGACATGAATTCATTCGCGTCCGTGTCAGGCGCTTGGAGATTGCTGAACGATGGGATATCCTGGAATGCTGTCGAGCGTTGCGGCTCAAAGGGATCCGCAGAATCATGCGCGACTGCTCGTGACGTCCTCTTAGGAACGTGGAGAGGTTCGAGTGTATTTGGCGGAGGCTCCTTTGGGTCGACCGCAGAACCGTTCAGCATCTGGTCGAAGTTCTTGACAAGGCTGTCGTTGGGTTTGAAAATATTCGGAACACGGACTGTCACGCCCATGTCACACAATAAGGTGAAGGCATCCCACATCAGAGGGTTCGCTTTCAGCGCATCCTCAAAGCAAGCGATCGCCCGATCCTTGTCGTCATAACCTCGATGAAGCTTCCCAAGGAGACAGCTGCAGGCTGCAGCATCAGGATGTGGCGCTCTCAGCCCAGCGGCATGCTTCCCCATGTTATTTTTCGAAGCCCATAAAACCCTTGACTTTTCCAGCGCGGTGATGCCCTCTTTCCATAGTTCCATCCGCAAGCATGCCTGTGCAAACACAAAGGAACAGCCCAAATGTGTACCTCTGTATCCGGCAGCCTTGCTGACTTCATATGCGGAGCGGTCATCCCCAAGCCGCAGGTGGCACAGGGCGTGTAGAAAGGTAGCCTCGGTTTGCTTGTCCTTGTCCTGAGCGCATAGCCTCTCGGCGAAGAAGAGAGCATTCTGGGGAGATAGATTGTCGAGGTGGTAGTATACAGCCTGCCTCAAGATCTCGTTGGTGAGGGCTTGGGAGGGCGCCATGTTTGAAGGGTTTGTATTCCGGCGGAGCCCTTGTAGCAGTAGGGTATGTGCTGTCAGCGGCCCCTTCGATCCATGGGGGAGCGTGCAGAGAATTCGTTCAAGAGTAGTAGGTAGAGCTGACGATGGTTTCGTTCGCTTGCGAGAGGATCGGACAATGTCGGTAGGATATCGAGAAGGTCAATGCCGAGCAGTGGGGGAAGGCAATTGTTCGCCGCTTTCGTATAGATGATTGATGAGCTGGGTGGTGGATGCAGATGTAGCCCCTGTAGCGCCGGGATAACATGCAGGCATCAAAGAGAAAAGAAAAGGACAGAACAGTAGCACGGTAGGAGCACGCGCTGCCAGCAGTATTAGAAGCAAGTGCAGAGCGATGAGAATGGAGGCAGTCGAAGCCGGTCAGGTCAGAATCCTCGGCGCCGGAGCGACTCAGCGACCGTGCCGTGCACGCCCGGATGGTGCCCTGTTGCCTGGTGGTTGGTGGCTTCAGACGGAGTTGTCGCGCTTTCCAAGATTCGAGAGCACCGCACGCGTCGTGACAAAGGCTGAACCCGGAGGAACGAACGAGGTCATGTTTTGGTCCCCGTCGCGGAATTGACACAGGAAGGCACGACGACGATCGGATTCAGGACAATCGGGTCGACTTGCGGCAGCGAACCGGCAATTGCAAGAGGTTTCCCAAGGAGTTCGAGGGGGAAAGAGGCGACTCCGTGGAGCAATTAAGATCCCAGAGAATGGAAAAAGTGGCAGGTCGTGAAGTTGACGGCCCGGAGGCAGAACTGCCTCTCCAATGCTCGCCCCGATGTTGACGTTGGGCGCCTGCCGCTCAGTCCACCGAGGCAGCAGCGGCCAGTGATTGGCCAGCCACTCTGGTCCGCTGAGCAACCGCCTCTGTGCGGCCCCACGGGAACCCCAGGCTACCCGTACCACCAAAAAGTCTAGGTTCCCACTCTCCCACTGCACCGTGTACATGCGCATGGATGGATCCTCGACTTATTTTCAGCCTCCATCCCAAGCCCGAAGTGGACAGCGTGGGATCATCACCGACGTCGACTTCATCTGGAGGCTTGCCAAGCTCGTCCCCCTCACCACAAATACAACGGGCCAGCCACCAAACTCCCACATCGAGCCTCGATCTAAACTGTTGAGCTCTGTGAGGCTTCTTCCCCCTTGACACGCTCTCTTCCTCGACGTCACACGACCATATCACCAGAGCTTCATCTCCCTCATTTTTCCAAACACGCACATTTGAACAGTCTACGCCATGGCTCAAAAGGCAAAGAAAGACCGTGCAAAGTCCAACGCCGAGTCGCTGAAAAGCCTCCACATCGGCGCCGCCATCGTCAACGGCCTCTTCATCCTGTGGTCCCTCTTCATCAGGTCGCGCTCCCTGTGGACGTACGCGCTGCTGTCCCTGCCCAGCTTCGCCTGCCAGTTCGCGCTCGAGAAGGCCGGGCGGCCGTCGTTCGACCGCTTCACGGGCGCCCTGAGGTCCTCAGGCGAGGACCTCTCCGCGCCGGGCCTGACCGAGTACATGTGGGACGTCGTCTGGGTCACCTGGGCGTGCCAGGTGCTCGTCATGCTCTTCGGGAACTGGCTCTGGCTGCTCTGGGCCGTCGTTCCCGCCTACGGCGCCTACAAGGGCTACGGGCTGCTCGGGATGGCGAGGGGCATGGCTGGCATGCAGGGCGCCCAGCCGGGCCAGCAGGAGGCGGCCCCGCCTGTGAACCGGAAGCAGCGGCGTGCTGCGGCATGATCCGGTGTTGCGCAGGTGCACGTGGAGACGACTGTGTCTGGGATAGCGCTCTATGATTCTATGGACCACCATCTGTACTGTACGTTGATGTACTCTACTCTGCTGCGCAAGCGAACCAAGCTATTTGGCCCACTCAGCAACCACGGCCGGATCTGCGTCTTTGACCAGGACGTGGATGTGCTCTAGAGCGCGGACACTCTGCAGGGCGACCCAGTTCTTGAACCACACCACACGCTTCTCGCCTCCTGGTCCTAACTTGTCGGAAAAGTACGTCTTGACAAAGTCAACAATCAGTCTCCTGCTCTCGGGGGTCACGTCTCCAGTCTCAGGGTCTGTCGGAATGATGGTCCGGGTCCAGACGACGAAATGGGTGATGCCGGGCGTGAGGCCGTAGGGCCAGTCATTGACGAGAACCGTGTAGTCGGACGTATCTTTGAAGGGGGTCTCAGAGGCGGGCGTGAAAGGGATTGAGCCCCACGACTTTGGCAGGCGGTGTTGCAGCAGGAAGTTGGTCATGGATCCATAGGCAGCTTTCGTCTCAGCTGTCCACTTCATATACCGGCGGAGGTCTGACGGCTTCCGCTTCAGCACAGAGAGGTTGTTGGTCTCTGTGGGGGCAGTCAGGACAGGGGTTTCAGGATAATTCAGTCGTAAATAGCACATAAAGTCTTAGACTGGGGGCGTGGGCCTCACATACCAATGATCTTCCTCAGCTCCTCCCAGTCGTGGTACTTGAACTCCTCATCCGTCTGTGAGAGCACCCACTTGTCCACCTCCGTCAACGGGAAAGGAGCGTCCTCGACCTTGTCGCCCATTTTGAGCAGCTTCAAGCAGCAAGTCAGCTAGCACCCAGCAGGTCCAGGGTCAGCTCACCGGTTGAGACGATTTTCACGCGTACCCTGCACGATTCGATTGGTACGACAATCTCTGTCCTCCGAGAGCTTCAAAACTCTATCAGCTCTAATATAGGAAAGAAAAGTCCGCAACCCTGACTCCTCAGTCCTGTGGAAAGCCGCAAACTGGATAACTTGTGACACGGTTTGACATGCGCGCGACTAGCAAAGGGCGCCTCAGTCGCTCGTATTGCTGACTGGTGCTGAGTGCTGGGAGACATCCCCTGCACAGCCCCACTGTCTCTGTGTGCCAATTCGGCGAGACGGATTTGGCGTGCAGTGAAACGGCGGGGCGGCTGGCCGGCCGGCCGGTGATTCCGCTGCCCGAAGTATCTCAGTTTGGCTCACTTTCTTCAGCCTCAGGTCCAACATCGACTCTAACGCTTAGGTCGTCTCTTCCGGCATCGCACACTACCGAGAGGCCTGCTCATATATTGTGGGAAGTTTTATGTTGCTATGGACCTCGATCAATCTTTGGCCGGGCGACCCGATCCAACCTCATCGCGTACACCCTTCCTTCATTCCGTTTACGCTGTGACAAGAGCAAAATGCAGGAATTATGTGTCGTGACCTGAACTATCAACGACTCTGCTATTTCTCGAATTTTCTGCGACATGTCCAAAAGACCATTGGCTTGTTATGTTCAATGCTGCTTAGTCTCCCTAGTGAGGATCAACTCCGTGTAGACCATACACGGCAAGAACTACTCTTGGCATGAAATATTCATTATTCGGTAGTTAGTGGCGCGGCTCGATGTTTCAAAACGTAATTACACATAGACTTTCGTAGCCTTTCCCTCCAGCAAGTCTTTCAAGTAGCTCTCGAACGAGGTGAATTCCAAGTCCGGGTAGAGCTCCTTGCCCAAAAGGTACCCCAGGTACTTGGCGCTCTCGGGCGTGTTATCTCCACGAATGCCCCAAGAGTACTCATATTCGAGACTCCAAAGCTTCATTACTAGGCCAACGTCTGTTGGCTCAGCTTGGTCCGGCCCCAAGAGCTTAGCAATTTGGGACTGCAGCTCCTCCCCGGACAGCTTTGCAGACCTTAAGTTAGCGAAACGGTGACATACATAATAAGTGGTGAGGTATTAGGAAGGGTCGCATACATAGTTCAGCTCTATCTTCTCTCCGCTCAGCTCCTCGACCTTGGTGACAATCTGCTTTTGCGTCCAGAGCTCGTTGTAGACGAAGACCATCCTGTTCAGGGTGCGGGGATCGGCGATGATCTTCGCCACGTATCGGCCAATGTCTTGAAGGTAAGTGAGAGCAGAGGGCACCGAGCCGTCTCCTATCAGATATGCCATTGGAGCCATGAGGCCGTAGTCAGCACGCCCGGAAGGGACCCGGGGCGGACTGATCTCATACCACCAGCCCACGTCGACGAGCGTGTACGGAAGGTAGATCTTCTTGATGTGGTTGAGGATTCTCTCTTTCTGCGACGTCATCAGCTGCTGAAGCTTTCGTATGAGGAAGGGGCGTTGCAGTGTCTGCTCACCGTCTCGCGCAGCTTCATCACCCCCACCGGAGGACAAGCCGTCGCATAGGTGCATGGGATGAAGCGGCCAACGCCGGCTTTCTTCGCCGCATCTGCCAGGGGGATCTGGTCCAGCAAGGCTGGTGCAGTGATGCTCGAGATGACAACATCGGCGCCCTTGAGGAGATTAACCAGGTCATCCTCTGGCCCTCTCAGGTCTGCAGCCACGACCCAGACGCCCTGCTTCCTCAGCTCATCATTCTTCTTGCTGTTGAGAGATGCCTCTCGGGTCACAGCAGTGATGTCCTGGCAACGGGTACTTTGGGTCAGCCCACCGCCTCGGTGATCGCTTAGCTATGTAGGGACAAAAACACACGAATTGCGTGGTGGACTCAAGCAAGCCCTTCACGATGGACCGGCCGGTCTCTCCGGATGCGCCAATGATAATAACCTTCATGCTGGCGATGCAAAGAATGCTGCGCGTGGTACTGGTGAACTGCAATGGTTCAAATTCTGGCCTGAGACAAGTGCGGGGATTGCTCTTTCATATTTGCTGCATCGGGGTACTCCTGAAGTGCGAGGTGGATATAATAGTCTACCATGTGTCCTGCGCACTAGAAGCTGATTAACACAAGTTTGTGCATCCTTGGGAGTGTCGGACGCACTCGGCCGAAATGGCGGACGACTTAGACAAACTTGAAATCTCCGCAGTGGAAAAGGACTCTGCCGGGATTCTATCTGCATTGTTACATCTAACTCGAGGCTATGCCCTGGCAATATCGAACTACATACGTCAAGGTGACCAGGAAAGCAAAAAAGTCTCCGAGCGGTCGGCGAGATTATCAACCGAGAAACCCGCAGACTACTTGCGAGACTATGTGATGTCCACTTTTAGTCCCGATCGCCTCATCATGTGGATCTCGAAATTTACTTGGCAGTATTGACGCCCCAGGCTTTGCCCGGAGCTCAAATTCCGGCATTATTTTGTCTTCCAGGTGAACTCAGGTACCTAGGACCATGGTAGAGTCGAAAAGGAACACGTGATGTCTGTTCCGATATGTCTCAAGACATGTCCTTGTGGTCTTGCTGCAACTTCTCGTTGGAGGTTTGCCGTTGTATAGAAAATGACCTCCAATCGTGACGGCAATCAGTAATACGATCGTTATTCACGGTCTTCAGAAAAGTTTGCATGTAGAGATGGGTATACCAAGTTCTACTATCTCAACCAAACGTCACCTCATCCATGAGCTCCAACGATATCCTCTGGCGAATGCAAAATGTGATACTTCTCAGACGGAGTTGTAGGTATTTGTTTGGTTGGTAGGAGAATACGCTCGGTCAAAAATCTCAAGCGTAAAAAAAAAGTGTCAAGCGAAATGGGAGATAAAATTTGAATTACCCGCGACCCGAACTCGACCACCGCTCGTTCCTCAATCAACGCTGGCAGCCAGGGTGAATCAACAGACAGCTAATCCTGCTTAAACAGCGGGCTCCAGTCCTCCCATTCAACGTACTCCTCAATAGATGTCAAAAGATTCTCTGCGCCGATCTGTTCAATTCAAAGTCAGTTCTGATTCTAAGCGTGGTACTCGAACTTTTACCAAAAGAATTGTTCGAGGAGGGGAGGACTGACATCTTTCGGATACAGCATATCCGGGTCGCCGCCATCATAGCCAAATTCATGGGCAAATGCCCATGTCTCAAGCATATGCTCCTTATGGTCTTTGTCACCCCTCACCCGCTCGGCATACTCCATTGGCAACATCTGCTTGATGCCCTGGTCGCCAGCCAGGTTCTTACCAACAACTCGGGCCCAGGTACCGAGGTATTCCCTGTAGGAGGCCATCTTGCTGACCCCGAGCAGTCTCGCGCCGGGCGGCACATCCTCCACGAGCTTCTTCACCAGCGTCCCAGTATCCCGACTGATCCAGATGAAGGGAAGTTTCTCGCGCCCGTCGCTGACCTGGACGCGGTAGTACCCATCCGACTCGGGGTCCTTCACAATCTCCAACGGTGACCGTCGCCAATTGTCAACGTACACGCCAACGTGAATAAAGCTGGACTTCTGGCTGAGGCCGGCAGAGGTCATGGTAGGGTCGCGGCGGACGAATTCCTCGACCGCGGCCTTGCTGTCGAAATGCCAGACCTTGGTGTACTTTCCACTGGACAACCTAGTCGAGTCCGGCAGGCTGCTGTAGACGAAGCGCTCTAGCGTCTCCTGAACTACCGGCGCGGCCGCGGCGATGGCCATGTTTTTTCCGCGCTGCGTTTCTACCGAGGCACACTGCTGCTCGGCGGTGATTCCGCGCCCGGCCGCTGTGGCCCTCACCTTGGGGTCATGGAGTGGCGCTCAGTAGTCGGTCATGGCGAAGATGGCGTGTGCTCCCGTGAAGGCCTTCGTCAGGGAGTCGACGTCGTCCTGATCGGCGGCCACCAGCTCGACGCCTGGGGCTGTCCATTCCTGGGCGACGGGCTTGAATGGGTCTCGCGTGATGGCTCGGACACGCCAGTTGGTGTCAGCGAGAAAGGTATCTGCGACACTTCCTCCCTGATTGCCGGTGATGCCAACAACGACCACGAGCCTCGACATCTTGGGTACCGAAGCGCACGGTTGAATCGTCCTAGGATGGAGTGAGGTGTGAGTTAAAGAGATGGGACGTGTCAAAGCCGAGATGGGGGGATTTTACCTACGTATGCGGAACGGTCACTCGAGTCTTATTCTTAGGGCCAGTTGTTGAGCTTACTTTTCCAAGCAGCTTCTAGAAATAAGAAATATCACATGGAGGCCCAAATCGACTTCTTTTCAAGTCTTCGGCCACGGATGAAAACCACCCGGCAGCCGCAGTGATTAGAAATGATGTTTTTGCCATGTGCAGGAGACATTGTATGGAGTACATGTATTGCTCATGTGGAGTGCATACTCAGCCGAGTATCTGGGCCTTGCCGTCCTGGCCTTGGCCACTGCAGGATGACCACTTGGGCAACCTGCTGACAAATCTCAACATTGGATCCAAACAGGGCATACTGTCTGCTTGATATACTCTGGCCATAAGACATCACTCACTACCTAGATACCTGGATAGCTTTTGTAGCCCCACGCCTATAGCTGATCTGTCCCTTGAGGACCATTCCATGGCTTTGATCTCAATGGATAAATCCGACTGTCTGACTTTCGCAGAAATTTAAAGACACACTTACACATTACGTTTACTTATTCAGATACGTATGTGCTTGAAAGAACAACACTGGCCTAGATTGTGAAACAAAACATCTGAGCACGCGTACTTCTGTTCGGCCAGCTGGTTTCTTGAATGCCGTTCGATATCCGTATAGTCTTCTCCTAGTGTATTACATTAAGAGGAAGCCCATATTAGCTATATTGGCCTAACCCAGAGAACTATATCATGAGGCTCTACGGTATCCCAACATCCTGTTGTAGAGTATACTGCTGAATTCGTGCACTTACATATGGGACAGAATCTTACTTGCAGGGAAACAACTGACCTTACCAGTAACACCCAAATATCGACACATGTTTGGTTATCGTCCCTAAAACTAGACTTTTGTTTATAGGTCACTACCTGTTTCACGTGGTCTCGGGGGAAATTTTGAACGACAGATGAAATGTTGCCGAACGTTGACTCACGAGCTCTTACGAATACACCAATAAGACATATTCAGCATCTGCAAACAGTCCAGCCCATCTCCCAATCTTATCATTGAGACTTTTTCCGGCTTCTATCTCACTCAGGTATTGAAACCTCTTTAGTGAACGATTTGCATCGACAGAGGCAAGGGGGTCATGCCCGTGGAATCCTATGTGTTGATAGACTTGGGCCAGGCAGATTCCAGCCTTTCATCACACACTGCCAGGAAATGGAAGCTTTGAAAACACCCACTGCGTCCCTGACCCCTCTGATCCACTTCGGTCTCTCTGCACGCTCGAGTCAATCCATCTCGAGCTCGGTGTCGCCGTGTTTCCGTGGCTCGGCTCCTCCATTTCGCTTCACGGTGCTGATGATCCCTCCTCTCCAGGAGGTGAAAGGCATACTGTGAATATCAAATTTGCGTATAAACTATCCTCTCCGTACATAAAAATAACAAAGAAGAGTTGTGGAGTATTCCGTGTTCATGTCATTAGTAGAGGTCTACAGAGGCAGTCCGCGTCGTGATTACCAGCTGGAAGCAGCTGGATCTGACAGCTGGACCACGGGCTCATAAGTGGGGCCCGTCGTTCACTTACTTCGGGTACCGAGGTACCTGCCACAGTAGACCGGTTGGTTCTTGGCTGCGAGCCTAGCTGCCCCAGGTGTCTGGTTCGGAGTGTCATCGGCGCCAATTGCCATTCTAAGGCTGGAGCTCTGGGCTTGTCCCCCGGCAAAAAAAAAGGCGCCCCAGGACCCTTGCATCCTGTCCGTATGGGCCGATTCGGGCTCCGCCGTGGTCGAAGCTCCTCAACCGCGCATGTTCCTCTTCCCAACAGAGAATCCGAACCTTGACCGATATCCCCCGAGGTTCAAAGGCAGACCAATTCACTCTCCCCTCCTCCAACGCGGGGCACGTCTCTCTCCTCCAACTTGAGTGGGCTTTTGTGTGTACGGACAAGCTCACCGCAGTCAGCCCTTCTCTCGCAATGGCCACCAAGGAGCCTTTGAGCGCGAAAAAGTATGTCGACGGCATCTACATCCCCGCCGGCCTGCTCGTCGTCGGCGTTGCCATTGTTAAGAGGGAATGGCTCCCGTACGCGGTCCTGGTCACCCTCGCGCTGAGCGCCATCAAGTTCTGGAGGACCCGTGAGTTTTTCCCGTCACGACTGCCTCACCGGCAGAAACACTCGGGAACCGAACATGCCAGCTGACAGCACTACGCCGCAGAACCCCAGAAGGCCCTCAAGCCTGACATTTTCCAAGAGTTCGAGCTCAAGGAGAAGACCATCCTGTCCCACAACACCGCCATGTATGTTTGCGCCAGCACTTGCTACCAGCGCTACCGACTTGATCTGATCCGGCTGACTGACGACGCCGCAGCTACCGCTTCACCCTGCCGAGCCCGTCGCACATCCTCGGCCTCCCCATCGGCCAGCACATCTCCATCGGCGCGGTGCTGCCCCAGCCCGACGGCACGAGCAAGGAGATCGTGCGCTCCTACACGCCCATCAGCGGCGACGAGCAGGCTGGCTACTTCGACCTGCTGATCAAGTCGTACCCGACCGGCAACATCAGCAAGCACCTGGCCTCGGTCAACGTCGGCCAGACCATCCGCGTGCGCGGGCCCAAGGGCGCCTTCACCTACACCCCCAACATGGTGCGCCACTTCGGCATGGTCGCCGGCGGCACCGGCATCACCCCGATGCTGCAGGTCGTCAAGGCCATCATCCGCGGCCGCAAGGCCGGCGACCGCACCGAGGTCGACCTCATCTTCGCCAACGTCACCAAGCAGGACATCCTGCTCAAGGAGGACCTCGACGCCCTCGCCGCAGAGGACAAGGGCTTCAGGGTCCACTACGTCCTGGACAAGCCCCCCGAGGGCTGGACCGGCGGCGTCGGCTACGTCACCGCCGACATGATCACGGTAAGGCGCTACCACCATGTGGCACCCAGCAGCATGTAGCATACAGCAGTTCTTATGTGCTAAACTCCACTCGCAGAAATGGCTCCCCAAGCCCGCCGACGACGTCAAGATCCTGCTCTGCGGCCCTCCCCCCATGGTCAGCGGCCTGAAGAAGACCACCGAGGCCATCGGCTTCAAGAAGGCCAGGCCCGTGAGCAAGCTCGAGGACCAGGTCTTCGCGTTCTAAGGGCTACGCGGCAGAGGACTGAAACTTCGAGACGCTCAGAGGCAGAGCAACATCTGCTCATGCCGGCAAGGACTTGCTGGGGTTATAGAAACTCCGAGCGAACCGAAAACTTCGGCATTTCGGGATGGATTCGGAACCCCCGGCCGCCGAGTCATGTGTGGCTTCTTTGACCAGTGTTAAACTGCCCAGAAAGATATCTACTAGCCTATGCTCGAGAAATTGGGCCGCGGCGATCGAGAAGCATATAAAATGGGACTAGGGGAGTTGTGACAGAGAGGACGGGATCTCATCAAAGGTTAGAGACAGGTATACTAGAAGAAGACGTATTATGCATAAGAACACCACCGCCTGAAAACCATGTAAAACCAGTCCTGTCCCCCGGCCATTTGCTGCCTACTGCTTCTTCTTCTCCAGTCCCTCCATCTGCTGCTGCGGCCCATAGCCCGTCCTCAGGTATACGGCGAGAAGCTTCCATGCGACCCACCCGAAGCCGAGCAGAACCACTGCGGCCGTGCCGGCGCTGACCCAGCCGGACCTGTCCACGTCCAGCACTGGCACGCGCACCTCACTGAGCAGCTTCGCGCCCGCCGCGTCCGGCGCCACCGGGTCGACGTGCCAGAAGACGGTCCGCGGCCCGAACAGCCCGTCGTAGCCCAGGTTGACGCGCTCGAACGGGCTCGCGGGGAACTTCGTGCCCTCCTCGGTCGTGCACGCCCAGAACACGGCAGGGTGCGGCAACTCCGCCGTGCGGTATCCCCCGGACGCGGGGCTGAGGTAGCGGAGGTGGAGCGGTACCCCTGCCGTCCAGGCCGCCTTCTCCTCCGTCGTCTTCGGCGGCGGCGGGGCGAGCTCCAGCAGCGCGGCTGATCCCCAGGTCTTCAGGGCGTAGTCGGGCGCCTCGAGGTCGACAGGCTGCGAGATGTAGCGCAGGGCGGTCAGGTTCTTGGAGGCGAGAAACAGCGAGTCGGACAGCTGGTACTTGTCGGCGAAGATGACTCGCGGCAGTGTCAGGTGGGCGTGCAGCGAGCAGTGGGAGGAGCCGTCATCCCCGCCTAGGTCCGGCGGCGCCGCCGCGCCGCCGTGGAGCTGGAGCTGCAGCGTGGGGTGGAGGCCGGCGGGCTGCAGGAAGGCGGCGGAGAAGGAGGCGCCCTCGACGCGCCGGTGGCGGGCGGGGAACTTGAAGATGGTGGCGGCGGGCTTCTTGTCCTGACCGAGGACGGTGAGCGAGCCCGACAGGCCCAGCTCGTGCGGCTCTATGCCGTGGGGCTTGTCCGTGGCGAGGATGCCGACCTCGACGCGGTGGTTGCTGGCCTCTGGCGCGACCACGCGCAGGGGCTGGCCCTGGAAACCCCACGTGCCGGTTACCTTGAGGGCGTGGGAGATGGTGTCGTAGGAGATGTCTAGGGAGTTGGCGGTGGAGAGCAGGTCAACGCGGGAGGCGCATGATGACGTGCCAGTGGACGAAGTTGCAGATTCTGGCAAGGGGCAGAGATCCCTGCCGACATATTTGGTGAAAACCGAGAGATCCTCAAGAGCTTGGTAGTACTGGAAGGCGGTGGAGTGGGAGAAGCGGTCGCTTGGGAGTGAGGTGAAGGAAGTCTGTTGCGACGTTAATGAGTGACTTCGCGGTAGGACTGTCTGAAGACTGATTATATGTACCTTTGGTGTGTCACAGTCCAGATTACCAAATGCATTCTTCAGAGCCGCACAAAGCTGCTCATCACTGTGTTTCATCAGCGTGTGTGAGTTGGCCCCTGGATGTTGTAATTTGGGGATTTGAGAAGGACGGCTTACTCCTGGAAGGTCGAGTCTGCGCGAGGGGTGAAGAATACGTGAAGGCCGGGCGACAGGCGAGAGTAGAGCGGGCTGATGGTGTCGTAGTGATGAGAGCTGATCCATCTTATGTGAAGCTCATGGCAGCTCTGTAAGACCTGGCGCAGCTCCTCGGGCAGCTCCTCGAGGGCCAGGGTGATGCGGTCCTCGCGAGCAGCAGACAAGTCTGGCCCTGTAAGGCTGGTGTCAGTGACGACCAGGGAGGACGGGTCAGGAGCATCGTCTGGCTTGTGCAGGAAGGTGATTCTCTGCCTCATGTTGGCGTTTCGTGCAGCAGTCTGGACAGGTGCGTCGGGCGTAGACTATTACTCCTCCTGCTCCCGCTGCCCCCCTCCCTTGGCCAAGTGGATGCACCGGTTCGGATGGAACAGAGGTGGTCTCTGCTTGATACCAAGTAGGTGATAGAGCTATGCGGTAGAACTATGCGAGTAAGATGATGGTATGGGTCCGGCCAGTGCCCTCTCAAACTTGCGACCTGTGGAGAGGAGCTGTGCAGTGCGGGCATGGAAGCTACGGTGCTACATGGGAGGTATGGGAGGTGGCCCCCTGTCAGCCGACAGCTCGATTGCCTCACCGAGCTGCCAGACATCGACTGGGGTACGGGGCTACCTGCACAGTCCAAGGGCCGGGAAGCTCACGGGGTCCTCCACCTGTCGAGCTGCAGGCAGGCACCTCTCCGCCCCTGCCCGCCTCGTGCAGATAAGAGGCGCCGATCTTCCTCGGCCGCTAAGCCGAATTGGATCACCGACGACGGCCCTTCAGCTGCCTCAACGACGACACATCATCCCAAGCTTCCGCTGGTTGGCATCAATGCACCCTCTGGCCGCCAGAACATTTCCCCCCCGACGACATGTCTGACCACATTGTATGTCTTGGGAAATGGAAAATCCCGTGCCAGACATTTCACTGATCGCCCAAAGCGTCGTCGTCTCCCCCAGAAATTCTCCGTAATCCTCACCAACCACTTCAGATATCCTTTCTTGTCCATCTCTTACTCGTTGATACCCCCTGCTTGCAGAACGTGCCTTGCCTTGTCTTGTCTTGTCTTGTCTTGTGTGTCTTGTAATTTCTTGTCGTCGTGTATTTACCCGTCCTGCCGGTCTACCTTTCCAGTCTCCGCATTCGTTGATACCTTGCTGCTTTTGCAGCGCGCATGTCCGTCCCTACTTCGGTGATCCGGTCCAGATTAGAAAAGGAGTCTGGCCCGACTACGGCGGTCATGGCGAACCTGCAGCAGCCCCAGCCGTACATTGCTATAAGGACGAGGAGGCCGGACGGCGGAAGTTCCACGAGCAGTGTCGACTCCACTGTATGTCTGTCTGCGTGTCTGTCTCCGGCCCGTTGCCGTGCTTCGTTCGCCTTCTGTCCATCCCGTACCCCCTCCTCATGCCACGATGCGTCCTGAAGAGACTCCCGTTCTCAACTCACCGTTCCCTTCTCTACAGTATGGCTCGGGCATCGGTGATGCCCCCTCAGCTACACACGACACAAGCCGCGTTAGCTACCATGTCAAACACTTGGACACATTTGCCCAGACTCTTCAAGAGGTGAGATCTTCCCTCCTGCTGTCATACCGCACAGCATCGATCCAGGTCAACTGATATCGCCCTCCCCGGGGGACACAGTCTGCCAGCAGAGCCTTTCCAAACAAGGGCCGGCCCTCCCAGCGGTACAAGAACGTCCAGGTGCTACTCCTGCACTGGAAAACCGACGACCTGTTTGTGCTACCGGAGCTTGAGGACCTGGCAACATGCTTCAGTGGAGACTATGGCTTCAACACCGACATCTTCGCAATACCGTCCGACAACCCTCACCTGGATCTAATGTTGAAGATCGGTGCTCTAATTAAAGAGCACGAGTCTGACGATACCCTCTTTGTTGTCTACTATGGCGGCCATGCTAAGATCGACGAGTCGAGACAGAGCACGTGGTGCGCAACTCGACATTCCGGGTCCCCATCACTGCAATGGTCTGCCATTCAGACGCTGCTGGAGCGCTCCGTATCGGACGTCTTGATATTACTGGATTGCTGCGCCGGCGCAGCCTCAGCAACTTTCCCTAATGGCAAGAGCATCACCGAGACAATATCAGCCTCGAGTTGGGATGCCATCGCACCAGATCCCGGGAGATACTCCTTCACAAATGCACTCATAGAGGTCCTGGGAGAGTGGAGGCTGAAAACCTTCTCAGCAGCCATGCTACATGCCGAAGTTTTGGCACGCCTAAAACATCCTCGACCCATTCGTATCAATGGCAAACGGTTCGAGGCTCGGTCGACTCCTGTGCATTTCATGATGACATCGGACCACAAGGCACCAAGCATTGAGATGAGCAGGATAGCCCCCGACAGTCCACCGCCACCTTCGCCACCTCAGCCGTCCAGCTCCCTGGATGCCAGGCTCCTTGGTCGAAATCCGGTAGAGGATGGCTGTTTCACGGAACCAAATGAAGACAGGCCTCACGTGATGATCTCTCTGGCACTTGAAGACGACCAGAGGCTGGACCTGAATGCCTGGGAGCAGTGGCTTGCCAGCTTCCCAGCCCTGGCCAAACATGTCACGGTCCAAGGAGTCTTCAAGAGCCACTCCACCCTGCTCCTCCTCTCCATGCCAGTTACCATATGGGACCTTCTTCCCGAGGACCAGGCTTGCTCCTTCGTGGCCTTCATTCGATCCAACAACCTCATCAAAGCGCCTCAGGAGCCTGAAACCCCTGCTGAAAACCTGGCTGATCTGTACTCGAGCGACAGGGCTTCTGTCTTCTCGGGGACAACATTCAGGGATAGCATCGTTGCACCTTCAATGCCAACGTGTTCCCTTAGCCCGACAGCGCAGCAGAATGCCTCCCTGACCGAGGTTGCGGGACCCCACAGGGGCGGGAACAGGTCAGGGAACTGGCGGACCCAGACGAGTATGTCACTGTACCCGGAACAAATGCCTCCTCAAACACTCACGCGAGTGCCCTCGGGCAATTCAGAAAGCTCATCTCTCAAAGCTTCGCGCTCGATGGCCTCTTTCCGGACCGCTCCTCTGTCCGCCGTCATGGGGCTGGGAGAGGCAGCACTTGAGGGCGGAATCATACGCAAGCCTCTGCTCAACCAGTCGCGGAACTCCAAGAGAACAATATTCGAGAATGACAATGACGTCCCCGAGGGCCCAGCGCTAGCTGCCCATGTCGTCAAACGGCTAGAAGACTATTATCAGAAAGACCCACATCCAAGCGACGGAACGACAGAATACTATGCTTCCCACCTCGGTATCGAAGCAACAGATGTCAAGGTGAGTTTGTTTGCGCATCTTGACCAATCTTGTGCTGCTCAGGACTGACATTGCTCAGGTTTGGTTCCACCATCGACGGCAAAGAGAGAGGGCAGGGACCGATTTAGAAAAGTTGAGGACTGAGGACAACAGGCTCGATATCCAGCCTCCTCAGCCTGGGCCGCAGACTATTCTCGCTGGGCATTTGAACGATCTGCTTGGAATTTTCACGCCGGCACAAATCCTCTTCATTGACCTCAGGTCTCCATCAGAGTTCCAGAAGTCACATATCCACGGTGCAATAAACCTCCGTGTACCGCTGAAGTTCCTCAGGACTGCCAGCCTGGACATGCTAGGCCGCACCTTTACCGATGAGCAGAGTCGCAGAGCCTTCTCCAGATGGAGCAGGACGAGGTGTATGGTCGTCTATGATCGGAACATTGAGGCGCCATGGGAATGCCCCGTCGCTTTGGCGCTGCTCGAGAAGTTCAGAAGCGAGGGGAGCTGGTCCGGAAGGTGTTTCTTGCTGAAAGGCCCGTTCCGCGAGTTCTGTCTCTCATACGACAAGTATATCACGGGCGACAGGATGACAAAAGCGGCCAAGAAATATGAGGATGGGCTCAGGTGTGCCACACCCCCGACCGTTGAAACGCTCCGGCAGAAGCATGCGCGGTATGAGGAGTGGTTACGCCGGGTGGAGCGTGAGGAGCCTACAGCAGGACAGGATCTCACGCCGGCCGTGGCCGACGAGCGGGCCATGGTGGTGGACGAGCACCAGAAAGAACTCGAGGCAGAGTTCAAGGCGCGATTTCCCGACCTCTACAAAAACATGGAGAACCCACCACCCTCGCGAGCGCCTCCCGCGCCGCCCAGGCAAGACAAGGAGGTCGCGACCCATGATAATGATTATTTCAACAGCATGAAGGGACCTCTCGTGGGCCACCTCGCCACGGGCCTCGACAAGATGCGCGAGAACGCCAATGGCGGCTCACAGGCAGGCTACTCCTTCCCCAACGAGAGGCTTCCGGACAAGCTGGGCGAGATCTCGTCGCTGGACTACGACGACTTCGACGAGATCGACCCCAGAGAGGCCTCTCCATCGCCCTACTATGTCTCGGGAGGGGGCCGGTCCGCGGCCGCGACGGACGTCGGCAGTATGATCAGCCATACGAGCAGCCAGTCGAGCGCCACTGGCAAGAAGAACAACAGCCGTGAAACACAGCAGCAGCAGCAGAGACAGGGGCTCTGGAAGCGATTACGAAGCAACGGTGGGAAATGAGGCAAGGGCCGCATCACCGACCGCATCATCGACCGCTATGACGGTCTCCGTTCGGTGATCGTGCCACCACCCAACAAATGTATATATGCAGACCGGGCACCGACCGTGATATACCCTCCATAGATCTTCATCCACCGATCTTAATTGTTTGTGCCCCTGTTAGTGTCACCGCAGCACGGCCGTGCAGCTGTGCTGGAGGTCTGCAGCAGGGGCCAGCTGAAAAGACAAAGCAGTTGCCCTTCTTGCGACCTCAACGTACCCTTCTCGAGTGCTCCGTATAGTATGATCAAGCTGTGTTTCCATGTTTCCGTTAGATGGGCTCCATTGGCACAGATCGCCTCCCGTCGCACAAAACCAAGCCCGCGACCCCGACCGGCCAGAGAAAGTTCCAGCTGAGATCAACGCCCTGGGCCATCGGCCGTGCTAGAGTGCCTAGCGGAAGCGTGACGGGGCGTCGCGTTCGCTCGCCTGGGAACACCCGGTCAGCGAAGCGGGCGGGCAGGAGGCAAGGAGGGTGAGATGCCACCGCGTTGGAGAGGCAGAGTAGTACCGAGCCGTTTAGCATGGTAACCCACACACCACCACTCACCAACTCACCCTGCCATCCATACATCTGTTTCTACCTACCTAGTTTTTAGAAGCTACTGTTGGAAGCCAAGTCCCCCCCCCCCATGCCCGGCCCTTAAATCTCACGACTTCAGTTCGGTCTAGGTTCGTTGGCACCCCAGCAATAGCCCTGCATATAGTGCACGCACGATGGGAAGTGTAGCGGTCATCAATATCACCATCCAACGTGCCCGGAAGAACTGCCGCCGTGTGGAGAAGGACGATCGAGGGCGTGGGCAGATCTGAGGCAAGAAATTACCTTCCCCAGCCTCGCCGAAACCGAACTTCATCCGGTGTGTCACCTCGCCAGTCCGGGCCCAGATATCCCCCAATCTTGGCTCATCTGTGACCCCCATGGTCCGTCTCCTCACCGAAGACCTTGCCGGTGTCCAAGGCTAAGACCCCGGGCCATGCTCACAACAACAGCAACGAGAAGAAGAAGAAAAACCAACTCTGTGTCGGTAGGTATCCGTCGCGTTCCAAGAGAAAATATGCACCACCGATGCTTCGAAGCGAGATAACACCCCCCTCCCACCGTCAAGCCCACCTTGATCCATCGCGTGCTAGTAATAGCCCCCGTCAGCCCGCATGCAGGCGCCTGCCATGAAACCACCCCACTAGAGAAAGAGGGTTCTCTCTTCCTACGCGTACATTTTTTTGCTTTTGGCCGTGGAGAACTTCCTCCCTTGAAGCCGACGGGTTCGGCAACCTAGATGCGGTGTGCGACCAAGCCTCCCCACGCACAGCAGACGAGGGCGAAGGCCGAGCCAGCCAGCCTCACAGCCTGCATTGTGCTACGCCAGGCCAGGAGGAGGAGGAGGGCCCTGTGATGATGATGATGATGATGATGCCCGGTAGGAAGCTAGCACACCCCCCACCCCCCACCTAGGTACCTTCCACCCAAGCGGCGGCACTTGGGCGGCGATCTACTATGTGTACAAGGGGCCGAGATCGAAGCAAAAAGGAAGCACGAGAAGGAGGAAGAAAAATGTCACTCCCAAGAAACCATACGAGGCGGGCACACACCCAATCGCAGAGCTCCCCCATGGCCTCCCGGGGGATGCGCGATTGGTTCCCAAGAAACACAGTCGCACGTACATACATGAGCCCACATAGCACGCAAATCCGAACCCCCATCCGACGGCGGTCTGTACATGCCTACATACGTAGGGCTGCGTTTGGGGTGGCGCCGCCACCGCTGCCGCGAACACCGTCTGTGGTGCGCCCGGATCTCTGGGGAGAAGGGGGAGGGGGGTGTCTGTGTAGATTAAGGTTCAGTCAAGGTCGCAGGTTTACAGTAAACGCACATGCGCTTTTCGGAGGACTCAGCTGATCGCATGTGTGGCCCAGGCACCGCACATGGGTCCAGGGGCAAACTGTCCCGCGCAGACAAGAGACGAGAATGGGCGAGATGGGATCAAATTCCTGCGTGTATGCGTGTGACTGGGCCAACATATGCATAGTGTGAGTGTGTGTGGGCGAGTGTGTGTGTGTGTGTGTGTGTGTGTATGTGTGTGTTTCTGGGTATGCGGATTCGCAGCTTCACCCACTTTGGGAAGATGACATATCCTCCCTAAACACGAATCTGGGGACGGTCGTCTGGGCGGGCATGAAACAGAAGCGTCGGTCCGCCCTCGCCGTAACCACGCCCGACCCTCAGGTTCAAAACCAGGGCCGACCGTGAAAGAGGAACACCCCTCCTAGCCCGGGTCGGCAGGTACCGTGGGCAAAGGGTAGTCTGCTTATTAGGCTCAGAACTTTTGTTTCCCTTCCAAGCCACGGAGCCTCAGCTCACGGCCAGTTGCGATAGGGCGTGTGTAGGGTGGTGTGGCCCCGGGTTGTTTTGGCCCGTTTCTCCTTTCCTCTCGAGCCGCCTCTTGTCCTGTCACAGGATGTGGCTTGCCCGGCACCGGGAACGCAGGTTTCGAAACTCGGGACAGGGCACCGCAGAGGAAAAAACAGCAGTCGTTTGCCACGACTCGCCACTCCGTCCCCCTCACACATGCGTTTGGTCAAGAGTCCGATGCCAGACCGGAAACCTGTCAGTGTATGCACGTCACAGCCCTCTTGGAAATTTCGTCTGGCAAAGGACTTTGGTCGAAAAGCATGGCGTCCTCGGAGATTTTTTGGTCGATGTGGCAAGCGCGATTCGCTGTTGCGCCCAAAGTTTGAGACGTCAAAGGAGATGGGATGGCTGCGCCACGCTCGCCTCCTCCCCGTCAGCTGCCTGTCAATCGTCTGACCGGCTGTGCGCCCTGGCGACGATGTTCGTATCAATTCTTGTCGCCCTACCGCCACCAAAATGCCAGCGACGTGCGGGGCCGCTTTTCGCGACTGGCCAGAGTGAATTTCCTGCAGGATGTGCTTCTCGGCAGGATCCAGAGGCCCCTGCCGAAGACGTCTAATAAGGCTGGGCATCTGAAGAAACATCGCACCTCGTGCCTCATGGCCTTCATCCCTGGCCAACCTCCCGCCCGGATGGTGCAAGCAAACCAGCCCAATGTCACCCGGGCTCAAATGCGACAGGCAGCAGGATTCTTGCTACAACTCGGGCCCAGTCTTGCGGGTTATCCGGGCATCCCTACTCCCTCATTATGGAGTCCAAGCTTTGTGAATGGCCCCCCTTCTTTTACTACACCAGCAGCAGCAGCTCGGACTCGTGTCGACAAAGCCCCGTATAAACCCTGGCACTCCCAAAACCCAAGTTTGTTAATCCGTTCCCATGCGGTGGGATGGCGGGCGAGCACGGAGACGGAGATTTCCATGGCCTGATCTCTGGTACCAGACACTGGGGATGTCCTTGCGCTTTGCCGTGGAGCTTGTCACTCTAATCGCGACGGCCGGCGGGGCCTGGGATTTTTGACGGGGTCGATCTCTGTCGACAGGTCCCCCCTCTCAGCATCGAGGCAAGGGTTCCCGCCATCATGGTTCTCCCAAGTCAAGGGTGAGCCCTACTCGAGGCCCCTGGAGTGTGTCGCTCCTTCAGACGATCCACCAAGGGTTAGCCCGCGACACTGCGATTCGCTGGCGCTCCCCTGTCAGGCCGGTGATGACAGCTCGCCGCCCCGCCCCTGATTGCATTAGCTAGATGGAAGCCAGTGCCATCCCAGTCGGAAGCATTTCGAAGCCGTCGATGACAGCCGGCACGGACTCGTCTTGTCGCGGCTGGCGCCGCAGTGGGCTCGTCGTCATGGCATTTTCTGGCCCTGGATTGTCCTGCTAGGAGAGACCGAGTTTCATACACACAAGCAAATGTCGCTGCGCTGCGCGGTATATTGCCTCGTCCTCCCACAAGAGTCGTGGATGATGGTCCAAGCGAGCTCCTCGTATCCACACCAGTCAAGGAGCGGGAGACGCCGCTGACTCGACACTGGAAATATCCCGGGCCGGTGAGTGGGACTGGGCGTAGGAGAATTTAACCCGCCAGAGGCCGTGCCGATATCAAGGCAACGGGCCCGGATGGGCATATCGAGAGCTGTAATGCTCCCCGGACAGGATGTTGGACGGTGGTTTGCCTTTCCACATAGCAATATTTGGACGGAGATTAACATCGCATCAGGAGTGTCCCAACAGAGTTATCCCGACGGCCATTGACGCCGAGCCCACTCCGTCTTGCGAGGGCGGCAACTGCATGAGGCACTTCTTTTGTGGACCGCCTTCTATATACCGGGTCGAGATCGCGGTCGAAAAAGAGTATGCCGAGTGTGTCTGTGTGTACGAGAAAGCGCCTCTGAAGTGCTGCTCCTCCTTGGCCTGCTCCATAGCATGCCGGTCGGAAGTCGACCCTGCTCCCCAACCGTTGCGGCTTGTGGAGCTGGGTTGGTTGTGGCGATCCTTCCTGAGGACCGGCATGGGGGTTTGGGTGGGATGTGTGGGTTTTGACACCACTCGACGTGGGCTTGCTGGAGTCCTCTCCGCCTTCCACGCTCGGAGCAGACTTAATGTGTCTTCAGTCGCGAGTCCCACATGGGTCCCGCAGGCGCTGGGTAGCATTCTGGAGGGCACCAGGGGTTGCAACTCCAGCGAATCATCAACCTCGCCCGCGCCCCTTTTGGGAGCTGTCAAACCTGTCATTGACCGGTAATACTAATCCACGATCGTCTGATACCCAGTCACGCCAGTCATATATTATGATGTGTCATATGCCGCAATGCATGTTTGTAGCCGAGCCAAGTCGAATTGATCGGGGAAAACACACGGATTGTGTAAAGACACTGCCGTCTTGTCGGCGGCTGCACCTCGCTGCCGATGCATCCATCACATGACCTCGAGTGGCGGCGGCCATATTGAAGGCAACAATATTGCCAAGCAACCCCCGTTCTCTTCTATTCGCCATGCCTCAACCCCATTGTGTGTATGTCTCGCTGCCATTGTCCCGTCCGCACTCTCGGACCTTCAGTAGATGCCGGCTCGACACACGTGGCTTCATTTCGCTGGAACGTGGGTCTTGGTTTGGCAATAAAGTACGGTTGACGCCGCTCGTGATGTGACTCTGGTCTCAGTTCGCACGGGACCTCTAACAGCCTCAGGGTTCGAGGGGCACGCACGCGCTGTCCCACAGTACCGACTGACTGATGATCAGGAGCGCGGACTGGAGCGCTGCCCGCCTGTGGCTGCTGTGATGACGCGTTTCCTGCTCGTGTGGGTATGGGTACAAATCTCCGCGTTTGCACATTAGCCTGGCCAGGGGGCGGGAGGGGTTGCTGTGATCTAAATCCCGAATAGTTGGTCCCACAAGCAAGGTCTAGTCCCATTCTGTCGCCGTATCGAGGCGCGGTCAGTTGGTAGGGCGAGATTAAATATCGATATAACGATTCCACCATTCCAGATGATACATAAAGTTGATATGGGTTGTCTCAAGGCAGCACCCTAGCACGAACCCAAAGTTTCGAGTTGACAACCCCGGCCTGCAGGCTTGTCCCTGCCGTGGAGCTGGCGAAAGGCATCCACAGACGACACGGGGCGCGACATTCTTTTTGGAGGAGCTTGCGTGGGACAATGGTTGACAGCCGTGTTGCGCGGTTCGACAGATGTAGTCTCTCCCCTCGAACTTGGGGAGGACCAAAACTGCATAACTGCCCGGCGGAACCGTGCAAAGTCGGGTCCGAGGCCTCACTTCCGGCGGGAAGTCTCTTGATTGGGTCGAATCCAGATTCGTCAACACCCTACGTCCTGCGATTGGGAAGGTACATCGACGATGACCTGCACTTTCGGGTGTAGCAACAATGTGCTTCCGGGGTGAACTTGACACCCAGTCCGACACTGCATCACGTCCACCTGGCCGGAAATATCCAATACGAATGCTACATTATTCGAATGTCCGAAGCTGGGTGCAAGGCTGCAGGTCAAATACACATACATGCTGCTTTAAGCACCCGACGAATATGTCTCGAATGGGAGCTTGGATCGATTAAACACAGGACTCTGGGTGGGCTGCCCTAAGCCCCAGCCGGGACTTCGGAGTGGACATACGTGCACAGAAGACCGGACTCACTGTACTGCCGGTAGCTGTCTGTGGCCGCGGCCGTAATTGGGTCGGGCGGACACGTATGTCGGCGCAGGCACGCAGTCCGTCACCGAGAAGAAGGCTGACTTCGTTCAGGAGTGAAGCGCTGCCAGTAGATTGTGCGCTTGGCCCCTCCGTAGAATCACCTCTTTTCATTGTTCGGTAGCACGGCACAGCAAGGGCTGCGACGTGAGAATGAGCTGTGGCCGTCGTACAGGGAGTCACACAGAGAGGGTCGCGGCGAGCTGAGATTTGGCATTCTGATCCACGGATGCCGGCACGGAATACGACATATATCGTGGTCGGGAGAACCAGATGTTGGGGTTTGTGCCACAGGGCGGTGCAAGCTGTCATTGGCAGGCCCCAAGTGCTCGTGTCACCTCGCCATCCGCGTTTGTCATTCTCGAGGTGCGTGCGTCCGCTTGTGGTACCAGTCATTCTGGTCAAGTGATCGTGCTGGTCGCCCCGGGCCATGCCCACTGATTACGGCCGCGAATGTACGCAGCGCGAGGCGCCGGCAACGACTGTCGTCCCTACAAGCCACTGGTTTATGGTCTGCTGCAAATGCCGCCTGCCGCCTGCGAGATTGGCGAGGTCTTACCAAGCTGCCTCCGTCTGTGTCTCCCCAAGCCTACCGACGCGGTTTGGGTATCCTCCGAGAGGGAATGTCGAAATTTAGAGTCCGAATATGCAGCTTGCCCAATTCATCCGCCTCCGCCGGAGTGCCGCTCGCTTGGAAAATCGGTAGGCATGGAAAGCAAGGGCGGCAAGGTTGAGAAACAGGTTGTGGAATAGGGGCCGACAGTGTGTTGCGGCCAGGTGGTATTCGGGCACTTGAGCAGGCATTAAATTCCGTGGCCTTGAAACCTCCGCGAAGGAGTTCGTCCCATGTGCCGCGAGCTGACAGGACGGTGAGAGCCCCAGTGCTCACAAATGAGCATTTGCCGTACAATGCAATTTCATCTTGAGGATCACAGCCTGGTACTGTAGTCCCAGTATTATTATGCACATTCCCAAAGTACGGGCACGAGTTGTCCTCCAGCGAGATGTTTCTAGGGTGGCGGGATTTGCCGCCGCCATCGAGTTGGCGTGCTTGACAGCGTTCGGGGTTGCAAGGCCTATCCCCGTCGTCGGTAGCGACTCAGGTCCAATGGGCAAGTGGAAGCGGAGCTGGATCTGACAAGGCTAGCCGTGTTGCTCTTTACCACTTGAAGACATTGTCGCGAGTAAATCCCTGCTGCCGGCGGGAAGCTTTGACATCCGCAGATTTGGCACCCCCGGTCTCTGCGCCGAGCTGGAGATTGACGGGAGGATGGGTCCACATTCACGCCAGGGGAAGGTGACAATCTTGGAGAGCCGAATGCGCGTAATGAGTGCTATGTATCTGCCTGTCTGACCGAGTGTGGAGTCGTGGGCTTTGCGCAACGTCGTAAGAGTGGCTGTTGCGTAATGATACCGTGGTCCAAGTGTAAGACCTCGAGATCGCAACATATCCTCGCCATCTCTTCTCGACTCAGGGGCTTGCGGGAGCCGACAGTGCGTGAAAGACCTGTCCGGCCAAGGCTCTGAGTATGACGAGCACCGGAGAGGAGCAAGTCTCCCCAAAACCTTTGCTGTGCCTGACTTTGTCGATCCCGTCCAGTTGACCAACAACAACGGGCCGGCTGTTGGAACTGACGGGCTGCAGTCAGGGTGTCATATCGCCTCCCCCGGCTTCCAGAAGCCACATGAGGAGAAACCTTCGATCCAGAACTGATCGAAAGCCCTAATGCAAAGTTAGACACTGCGGTTGCTAGGCGGCTGCCATGTGGCGTTGAACTGAGTTGAGACAATTGATCTTAGTCAATATCGAAGACACGACAAGCCAGACAGATGTCTGTCATGTCTCAAACACCCCCAGACTCAGCACCGGTCTCTTATCTAGTTGCAGCTTGCAGTATCACCAGCTCGCACGACGTCAGATGTCGTACAGAATCTGAACATGAAAACCAGAACAGTCTTGGGAGAGAACGCGGCAATGCAGCCTCGACCATACTGTAGGAATGCGTAAAGGTGTGCAGCAACGTTGGCAGCCAGCATCGGATGCCCTGGGACGAATTAAAAACATCGGTTGCCCTCGCGATCGTGCCGCCAATGCATGGCCTGTAGATCGGACGGCAGCCTTACCAGACTAACCACAAATACCCACCCACAGCGCGCAGCGCGGGTGAACCTCGGGCAACCGCTGTAGATCAACAGTCCAATTCCGTCTGCGCGATTCCGAAGCCCTTGCTGATCGCTGGCCCCAGAATTAGGGCATATCCACCTGTGATTGTGGAGTGGGACAACGGCCGCGCATACAGGGCACATCGAGTGTCCAAGTAGGGCGTGTGTGGTGATGAGTGAGCAGCCACATGTTCACCGAGCCCCTTTGAGTTAGGGCGGCGTTACACGGGCAGGATGCAATAGCTGGCGCATTGTCCCAAGTCACGAACAATGTTTGTGTTCGATGATTTCGGTCGGTCTCTTGGATTTGCTTGTGTAAAGCCATCCAAGTCCCGACGTAGTGTCAATTTCCCTGCGACAGCGGCAGCAGGGAGTGCAAGACAAGGCCCAGTGCCCCTTTCGTCCTTATTTTGGTTGATTACGGTCCCCCGAAAAGCCTAGCAGAGAAGGATGTTTTTTTTTTGTATCCGTGATCCATTGCGAACGGGACGAGGAGGAGAGATCGGCGCTGTCGAACACAGTACATGGGAAATCTACCCGATCACGCCTGCAATACCGCACGCGAGTGGAGTTCCGCAGGGTGAGGGTATGTTTTGGGTCTGAAGCTGCACCGTGATCCAAGGACCATTGTCGTCTCGAGGAGCTGCTTGCTTGCTATCGAGGCGTAGGGTGCGTGCATGGGCCTGCATTGAAGCCGGCCTGCCTCCCCTCCTGAGCTGCTGCTGGCTGCAGGCTTGAGGCAATTATCTGTCTGCCCGGATAACTGCAGGTGGTGAACCACTCGTCCCGTCGACCGACACAATGGTTCTTTACCGGGCCCGCCTCTAGTAGATTACCGAGATTGACAGGACCCAATTGCTAGGTAGTACGTACCGGTGTAGCAGCCCTCCCGCGACGCCACAATCCAAATTGCACAGGACGGCGTGGCAGAGCATGGCAGATGGCAAGACGGAGGGCCAAGTCGCCGATGCCAGGTGGTGGCGGGCAGCAGAGTCCTCTTGGCAGAGTGCGGTGTTTGTATCATACGCAGTAGCTGTCCAACTGCAATCGTTTCCTCGGCGCACCTTGTGCAAGGTGGCGAGGACTCGAGCAGGCAGAGGAGCTCAGACAGCTGGACTTGATGGGGCCGGACGAGGTTGTAATGGACGCCGCAGGTAGCGGCAGCAAGGGGCTGGAGATGTGATGAGGATGGGACGTCCAGGCACAGGCAGTTCGAATCTTGGGTGAGACGTGGAATAGAGGGCCGGGCCCCGATTATCCATATCTCGGTTCTTGTCACATCGTCTATGGTATTTGTTGAAACCAGGGGGCAGGGCACGGTATTGTCTGAATCCCACAAGCGTCCGGTTGAGCGACGACGAAGCGAGGTTCCGTAGGATCTGTTCTGGCCACCGGGGAGAAGAACGGGGAGACGGATAAAGAGGAGCTCCAATCTCGGTGGACGCCTTCCCAGGTTGATGCACAGAATGGAGTACCTACACACATCAAAATGGGGTGCGGGCGGGGGACGGGGAATCGGGAAGCCACGAGACAGCCTTGCTGTTGCACACGTTCGCGGCCCTTGCACCTCTCGTGCCTCATTCCTTCTTCGCATCTCTCTGTGTCTCTGTCTTTCTCTATCCTCTGTTGTGAGCAGGCGACATCTTTTTTCGAGCCCCAAGGGGAAGGAAGGATTGCGGACGGGTACCAAAAAAGCGGGTCCCTCGTCACTCCTCACAAACGCGCGCATGTTATGTGATTAGGAGCAGGTCCCTCTCCAAGGGGTAAAGTCACTTCTGGGACGAGATGCTACCTAGGCAGCTTTGTACACAGGCCTGCCTGCTTGCAGAGCCAACAGGAGCACATCTGCACATCTGCACATGCCAGAATGATAGGGAGGTCTGAATAGACTCGAGGCTGCTCCCGTCATTGTGCAGTCTGACGTGTCAAGCCGGCAAGAAGATGCCTCTAGCTCCTGGGCTCTGGCGATGGGGCTTGACGAGAAGTCGACGTCCCATGCCGGCAGCGAGTCATGTACACATTGAATCTTGGATGGAGAACGACCAAGGCGGGCACCTACTGTGCTATGCACGGAGGAGTGCACAGTAGAGGAGACTACCCCAGCGACTGCCAGCCTGCGACAACCGGCGACCATCATGCCCGAGAGACTTGCCGACAGGACAGCACTGTACAGTAGTCGCATTCCGGGGAGCATCACGCATTCGACAATGTCATCACCCGCCGAGACCGTGACTTGGGGGACAAAACTAACCAGTAGTCGCCTGTGGAGTTGCAGATCATCAGTCAGTCCCAGTGTTGAAAGACCGAGGTGCTTCCTAGCTCGAGGACCCCCTGATGAGTAATGTTGCAGTGGCTAGCGATTCATTGCAAATGTCGCAGCAGCTCGCTCGCAGCTCGCACCAGAGGGGGTGGCAGGGAGGTTTCGAGAGTCGAGGCAGAGTACGAGAGTGTGTGAGAGAAGACAGGTGTGTGTGTGGTTGTGTGTGTGTGCCCACATCGTACGGTACGGGTGTACAACCTTAACAGTAGGTCACTGCATTATTCGCCATGGCAGAGCAGTAGACAGAGACCACAAAGACTGCTGCAATAACCAAAGAGGCTTGCACCGCGAGAAACCCCGGAGGCGGTGTCTGTCTGATCGAGGCTGGAACGCGGACGGGGTGTCATTTTGGTTTTTTTTTTTTTTTTTTTTTTTTTTTTTTTTTTTTTGATTTTCCTTTTGGCTTTCGGGAAGGATGTCAGAAAGATAGTCTGAACCTTGGTGAGCGACTGGTCGACGGCCGGTCCGGGGAGGCGCTTGTTTGGTCTTGGGTAACACAGATCCCCGAGGGGAACGGGATCGGGAACAAAGGGTTCGAAGGTCGCGGTCGTGCACATGGATGATGCGGGATGCTTAGCTAGGACGAAACCTCGCGGGCTGGCAGGCGGGCGGTCGGGCAAGCTCGTGCTGGGGGCGAGCCGGGCTGGCCCTGGTCCATCAGATGTCAAGCCGCAAATGACAGGAGGTTGGAAACGGATCTTCATCGGCTGCACCCACAGCCCACACCCTGCCAGCCTGCTGCTGGACCATTTGCTGGGTCCTGCCTGCGTGCCAGCACCTTCCTAGCAGCCCTGGTCCCCCCCTTGCCCTCCCTTCCCCCTGCCTCCTCCCCCACCCACCACCAAGCCGGCCAGAAACCGGATGACAGTGCAAGCGAGCCCAATCGCAAGCCTGCGCTTGTCAACTGACAGCGAGCCTGTCATGCCAGATCGCCCGTAAATATCGTCCTTCCCGGCAGATCTGCAGCCTGAACCAATCGCATCTCCCACCCGGCATCCCAGCACCAACTTTTGGTTCTTGACAAGTCGACTGCGGCGCAGCATGTTTGGCGCTCTCCAATCGCAGCCGCCCTTGGTGGGAAATCGAGGCTTGAGCCTCGATTTTGACACATCCGTCATCTGTCAAAAGGCTTGGGCATTCGGTTTGAGATCAACATTCCAGATCTCGGCTATCACGTGCTGGCGACCCTCCTTGGCAAGCCCATGTCTGCATGACAGCCGTGCCCTGGCCGGTGGCCGCCAACTGTTCCATCCTGGCCTTGGGAGGGTGGTCGGCGGTGGGTGGTGAGTGGGTGTGGGGTGCATCGCGGTCACACCTCTGCTGCCCGTCCCTGCTGCTGTTGTTGCTACCGCTGTTTCTGCTGCTGCTGCTGCTGTTTCTGCTTCGGGACCAACACTCAAATAGGAGCGGCCGGCGGCGGGCGAGTTTCCTCCATGCAGCAATGTCATTTCGGCCCATGCTAGTCAGTCTGTCAGTATGCACTGGGTAAGCACTCTGCACTCGATCCAACTTTTGACTTTGGCAGTTTCGGCGTCGTCTGCTTGGCATCCCAATAAACTTTGAGATCCTCAGCTGGTGGACCCTGGTTCCCAACATGTCAGTGGCGGTTGAGCTTCCACAGACTCGGGGTAGGCTGCCCCTATCTTTAGACCAGGTGTGTCTGGATCTTGGGCTCGCAGGCGCACACACACACGACGGAGAGCTGACCGGCTCGGCTGCCGCAGCGACATGCGAGATTGATTGTCCCGTTAATTGACGTTGTAGAGTGGCCGCCACCGTCACCAATGCCAATCAGGGCCGCCGTGAGGCTGGCTTGTGGTGTTGCATGCATGTTTGGGTCAATCAGGCTTGTTTCTGCCCCCTTCACGCCCATTGTCATGGGCCGAAAGACGTTGACCATCTTGGTAATGGCACCGAGTGGCGTGCTGTCAGGCGTGAAGCGACACACGTCAAGGATTCGAACCCCTAGTTTTGCAGGACGGCAGAACAGATGAATCTGACGTCGAGTGTCATCTAGAAGCTAACCCGGCTGATGTTTGAAAGGTTCGCAGCACGCGCCTTTTGTGTTCTTCCCAAATGTTTAGGCTGATCTGACGTAGGTGAGGTTGCTGAGCGATTGGCTGTAGGATGAGACGGTGTCTGCAGACAAACGAAACAAAGGGCAGGGGCCCCGACTCCGCACGCACACACCCTACACACGCGCACACCGGCCCAGTCATGGGCACCTCGCGGCCGGGTCCTGGGCTGCTGGGCCCATGGGGCCACGTCGGGACGGCAGCCCACGACTCGGTACAAGACAGGCCCGCCGTTGCAGGAATCTTGTCCATGTGTGTGAGTATTTGGGACGAAGTGGGATGAAGCAGCGTCACCACCGCAGGGCTGTAGTCATTCGGTCGAGCTTGCGAGAGCTGTCATTGTTTGCCATGTGCACGGTTTCACCACAAGACCCTTGGCGGCAGCAGATGACGGGAACGCATCATGCCCGATGGCCTCGGTTGTTGCCTCGTCCGCGACCCAGGCAGAGAGGCGTAGATGTGTTGATGAGCCCAGGACCGGGCCTAGGGTGGCCCAGCGTAGCGTTGCAAGATGCGAGATGCGGAGGGAGCGCCATCATCATCGGTGTGTCATGGCGGCAAGAAAATGGCACTTCTTGAGCCGCTACACTAGACACCGACCCGTGTGGGGACGAAGCTTCGACGTCAGCACTGGAAGGCCGACCTGGAAATAGTCCGGACGGTAGACACAGAGGCTAGAAGCCAGAATCCAGAAGCCAGGGTCTAGAGAAGGCAGAGAGGTCAAAGGGCAAGACGGCAAAACCGACGTGCTGGTACCACGCCCGTTTCCCAAGGGCCGGGTCGGGAAGGGGACAGACAGACAGGAGCTGCTGCCCACAGTGCACGCTAACGTGGCCGAAAGTCGTCGGCCTTTGTGCACCAGCCACAGCTGCACCAGGCGGGAAACGGAAGCACTACGTGTGTGCGTGTGTCTGCATGTGTACGGACAGGTGTGTGCTGCCTGTACGCAATCAACTTACTCGCATGCGGGATGGTGGTGGGTGGTGGGTGGTGGTGCATGGATGAATGGGTGTGTGGATGGCAGGGCGGGTGGTTCGCGGACGACTGTCCTACACGCCGACGGTGGGCGTCTCCCGCATTTGCTGGTGGAATCTCCAATCAGTCCAGATCCATCGGGTAATTTGATCGTTAATAAGGCAGAGATCCAGACTAATAATACGGGATCGTCGTCCATGGGCGGTCATGTCAACCTCGAGTGGTGTGGAATTTCAGCAGTCGATGTGCAGGGGGGCAGTTAGGCGCAGCAGATAGATCTAGTAGACGTGTCTGTCGCCTGGAGGAATCATTGACTGCCCACGGAAATGCATAGTATTCATAGCCACACACGCGCTCAACCACGCTTTTCTCAACCCAACGGCGTGTTGATAAGCAAGTCCTGATCCGACCCGCCAGTATTCTACCTCAATCCGTACAGTCCACACGACTCGAGCTGCACAGTGTCGAGGTCTAACCGAGGCCATAGGTCAGGCCAGGCCAGGCCAGATTCGAGCATCGACCCGAGCATGCACGCCTGAACCGAGCCGGCCATGCACGGTGGACAAATACTTGTACCGTACATAGCACACCTACCTTGGATGGACTTAGCTGACCGCATGTGGGCGGTGGGGAAGAAGAAGAAGCCCGCGCAGAGTTGGGCAGCTAGTCAGTGCTTGGTGCTGGTGGGCTGGTGGGCTGGTGGGTGGGCTGCGCGTCACCATGCTGTTTTATTAGCATGGGATTTTAGTAACATTTGCATTTGCATTTGGTATTTGGTATTTGAATTTCTGGTGCCTCTCCCGCCGTCCAGTCTGCTCCCGTTTCTGCTAATGACAAGCGCCAACGCCCTGACCGTGACCATGACCATGACATGTCCAGTAGCAGACCAGCCGGACCTATGCGCTACCTGCTTAAGCCCCATCAACGTCTTTCACGCTGCCGTTGCTCCCGGCCTTTGCTCCCGGCCTTTGCTCCTGGCCTTGTCGTCTAGCCTCTCGGAACGGAGGTGTCTGCTGTCTGCCTGTCTGTCGGTGTGTCGGTGCCAACCAGACTTTTCATCATCGGAGACTAGACAGGGCGCCTAGGTACCTACCGAAGGCTCGGATCGGGGACAGAGGCAGCGAGAGGCGGCGAGGGAGGCCGAGCAACAGCTGCTTTTGCTCGGGATCCTCACCCAGTGCCGTGCGCATCTACAAGCACCCAGGTATTTACAATACTGACATGGTAGAGACTAGCCTAGTCTACGTACCTGTCGTGGTCGTGCCGTGCCTGCGGATCGCTCCCTCGCCTCACGGCCCTGCTGCTCGCTCACTTTCCCATCATCGTCGGGCCCCTGACCCGGACTCCTCCCCTCTGGGCCCCTTCCTCAGGTCCGTCTCCTGCTCCATCCGTCCCATCCCAGTCCCACCCACGAGCCCTGCACCTGGCACGACGCAGCCCGGCAAAGGGACGGACGCCACCAAGGTCAATGGCAGGTCCACAGCGGGTCCGCTGCCATGGGAATCCCTGGAGTGGGTTCTGATACCCTCGCACCCTCCACGGCCCCAGGCCCCCCCCCCCCTTCCATGCAACGGGACCCGGGTAGGTAGCACTGACATCGTCCACTTCTCCTTGCCCGGTCTGGCACCTGCCCGCCCATTGGCCCTGTCGAGGGTGCGCTCCCAGTCCCAGCAGAGAAGGAGCTACCACGGCCAATGTACCCTGATCGCCTAGACGTACGTGCATTGCTGCTGCCCGCCATGTACATGTACGTACATGTAGCAGCAGCAGCCGGTGGGTGCTCTTGTCATCCTTACCCATGTCTCGCATGTCTGGGCTTTTTCAGGCTTAGTCCCTCCAGTCAACGGCACCTCTCCACACCCAGCATCTCGACGTGCTGGGATCATACATGGCCATCTTCAACACCTTGCTCTTAAATTGTTTCCTCCCATTGTTTAATCCTCCCGTTAGCTACCTGGGCCTGCCTCACCCTTTCCATTCTCTCCCTCCCATCCCCTACCACCTCCCGTGGCAGACAAGTACATACGTACATACATACGTGCATACATACAGACGACAGGCTAGAAGTAGCGACTTGCAAGCTGGACTCGGAGCTAAGCACCTGTCAGTTTCATCGTGTGCTGGTCCTCCTGTGTTGAAGATTCATCTCAGCTCCGACACCTGCACCTCTAGACCCCAGCCTGCCCACCCCAGTCCACATCCCGCGACTCTCAGCTATTACCCCTTTGGGCACAACCCTACTGTGTGTTCGTCCGTTACATTGGCGCCTTCGACCTGTTCGACCCTTACTCACGACTTGGTGACGCTACGGCACTTGGTGTCCTACAAAAGGATTCATATCTGCCCCCCGTCCCACCCTACCTGTTACTGATCACATTCTTCTATTTACAATCCAACTCTTCTACCCACCCTTTCCGACCATTCGAGAGAGAGATCGTCGAGCTAAACTCCGTCTTATTCTCTTACCACCCTGCAATCTTGATCAACCTCACCAACCTACCAACCAACCAACTGAACAACAAATATCCATCCGGGCCATCCACTCCAGTCTTCTCTAAACCAACCCCCTTGACATCCGTCCTGCAGCCCAAACTCGTGGTCCGATCCGGGTTTGTCTGAGGTAAGACATCCGCAGCTTACATGGTGGCAGGCCCAGACACAGACTCTCCCTGCTTGTCTGTCTGTCTGTCCGCTGGCTGGCCACTTGTCTCTGGAAAAATTTCCCGAAACTCTGCTAACCATAGAATTTGGCATTAGTAGCCGCTGAGCAAATCTCAAGGGCGAAGGCCAGGAGGTTATGGAATATAGTCCTCCAGGGACTGCAAAAAAAGATTCTAGTCAAAGCCAACCCGAGCAGCCTCCCACGATGTCGATGATCGCCATGGTCACTCCTACTCCCCACGCACCCTTTAGGCGGGACTTTTGGGACGAGGGCCGGTCAACAGACTACGCCTCTTCCAGGCCAAGGTCCGATGCCGACAGGATCGCTCTCCCATCCATTCGACAGGTAAATCCAGCGTTCTCGCCTGTCTTGGTTGTTTTCGCTGTGTAGAACCCGACTAATCGCCTCTCCAGGCTTTCCCTGAACTGCAACTCCAAATTCGACCACAGGACGCTTCAGGAAGGACACAGTCATCAGCTACGTCGCCTACTGGACCCGCGACGGGCGTGATGACGCCGCCAGAATATGTGCACTCGCCCAACTCAAATAAGCGAAGACGTCTGTCAATCGACGACGAGAGAGAGGAGCGGGCTAGTCGGGTACCAAGGCTCTGCAACAGTCCCCCACGACCAGCAGAAAGGCCACTCTTCCGACAAGCCTCTCCAGCCCCAGCCCCAGTTGCCAGGACACACGCCGAGCACTGGGCCCCATCGAGCTCCAGGACCAGCCCCTACGTTCCTAGTTATGGCCTTCCAGCAATGCGATCATCACCGGTGGCGATGGAACACGTCGAGCGCCCCGAGCCTAGGCCAACTCTGCCTAGCTTTCCACCTCCCATGAACCTGGAGCGTGGCTCTGCCCCAATGCCACGAGTCCGTGGTCACTCGAGCGACGATTATCTCCAAGAGGCTCCGAGGCAGATCATGATGCACCCAGCCGACTCGAGAATGGAAACCTCGCCTCTGTACCGTCAAAGTCCTTACGCCTACGGCTACCACCACCCTTCACGCATGCAGTCCTTGTCCATGGGCGCTATTCACCCCCTCGACAGGACACCCTTCTCAGCAGTCGGATATGGTCCTCATTACCAGGACTATATGCGTTTCGGAGAGCTAGGAATGGGTATGAGCGGGGACAATAAGCAGCGGAAGCGAAGGGGCAACCTGCCAAAAGAGACAACAGACAAGCTGAGGAATTGGTTTGTTGGCCATCTCCACCACCCGTACCCGACCGAGGATGAGAAGCAGGAGTTGATGCGCCAGACCGGCTTGCAAATGAGTAAGAACCCAAAGCACCTCAACAGTATCTCCAGCCCGGTACGCTAACTTTGAATCTTCAGACCAAATCTCAAACTGGTTCATCAATGCGCGACGCAGACAACTGCCAGCTATGATCAACAACGCACGCGCCGAGTCCGATGCCATGTCTTCGGGACGCAGCCAAGACGGCAAGGTCCTTCCCTCAACCGAGCGCGGTGATTACGATGTTGATGGCAAGCATCGAAACAGCCCCACCATCAGCGATGGCGGCGACAGCGCATATGACGACGACCTCGACGCTCGCAGGCAACCATCGCACCTGAAGCGTGGCGGAAGCTACTAGGCCTACCGTGCGCAGATGCAGCTCCTTTGGGAGGCTTTTTTCAAAGCCAGACGCGATTGTGTACCACCACTCATGATCTCGAATGGCATTTGTTTACTTGCAATTTTGTATGCGGCATTGTACATATTACCAACCACACCGTCCATATCTTGTGGGAAGACGTAATGATATTCACCAATAACGGGGCATGTACCTGGGTTTCTGGGTTTCCTCTCGTCAAGAGGGGAACAATCACACATTGGGATAGGAAGGATTGGGCAACATGGGCTGGCACCTCTGAAAACCAGGCGGTCAAATCCGGAGTACATTGCTTTTTTTTGGTTTTGTTTCCTGGGGGGTGGGGGGATGATTTCTGCAATGGACAGAATCAGGGCACCTGTACAAATCATCACGCGGGGCAAGGCCGTTCTCCGGACTAGAGAAGATACCTTTTGCATACAGGCTCGGCTAAGGGGGGGAAGCGCATGGTCGGGGATGTCCTTTCAGGGATTCTTTTTTCTCCATCAGCATATTTGTACGACAGGCATAGTGAGAGCAGAATCACCAAAATCAAAATCAGTCAACAAAACTACTACTACTGTACTATCACTACTGCCCAGTTCAGTCCATTCCTGTGCCTCATCCGAAAGTGGGACTCGTGTGAACCCAACGCCAGCCCAACGCCATCTTTCGATGGGCTCCCCAAGACAATGTAGTGGAGTAACACAGAGACAGGATCACGAACTGACGTCCTGTCTTGTCTCAAAACCGCATTGCGGGATGGTGGCCACCCCCCTCCCCCTTCCAAACCAAGGTCACCTGGTCACCTGGGCCCCCCGCGGGCGCATGTGAGTGCTCGCCGTCCTGCTTCTAGCTACATGATATTTTTTGCTTTGTCCCATGTGCGGGTTCATGCGGCGCCTGCAGGCGTAGGTACTTTTGTACCCACGGGTGGTTTTTGTTTTTCCTTTTCCTAGATACCTTTCCATGGCGCCGGGTTCTCATACCAAGAGGGAGAGGACAAGAAGGCCCCCCCCCATGCGCACCAGTGGCAGGCATTACTTCATTGTACTGTTGCGCCTCTTTTCTCTTTTCTTTTTCTGTTCTCTTTCTTGTCACACACGGCCTGCGAACGCCATGCGGCAGTTGTTTCAGCCGACAATCTCTCTCTGTGTGTGGCCGAGGCGGTGGTTCGCACGCGCAGTGTCTTTTTTTCTTTCTTTTCTTCTTTTTCCTTCCATCTTTCCTCTGGTCCACCCCTCGCGCTCTCCTCGTGGACGCCGGTGCATTTTTCTTGTGCGACCCAATCTAGATACATGCGTAAATGCGTGCATGCGTGCATGCATACGTACATACATACGTACATGGGAAGGGCGTGGCACACGACAACGGGATCTTTGCTTTTCCACCTTTCTCCTTCCTTTTTCTCTTACCTTCCTTTCCCCCTTCTGCATTTCTACTCGGCTGCCCTTCCCTGCTCCTTGGAAGAGAGAGAGAGAGAGAGAGAGAGGCGGCCGGCGGATAAACAACCACCCCCTTCTCTTCTCCCCCCTCCCCTTCCCCCCTGGCCCCCCTACCCCCGTGTCTTGCCCTCCTTCCCCTACATAGTCTACGTACCGTGCTGCCCATCTCCCTCCCCCCACCCCCGTCGCAGGTAGATTGGCGCTGGGCACACCGTCGGGGACCTGGGTCGGTCGAACTTAGAACCCGGCGGCGGCAGCAGCAGCAGGGCGGTCGCACGGGGCCAGATGCTATATTCCGATGAAAGCCACATGGCTATTTTGAGGTTACTCAGGGACGCGGCCGGTGACGCTTGGGGCGGAGGGTGTGGGTTCGGGCTTGTGCGTTTGATCTACCGGTCGCCGTTCACGTCTAGTTGCTAGCCTCCCGCTCAAATCAACACCCCCTGCTCCTGTCTGAGAGAGGACAGGCTCGTACCAGGTGAGGACCTCTCCTCGTTACGTGGGTAGGTTGGGCACTCACGCGTACCAAGGGTACCGGGTTGAGGAGAGAAGAGGCTGTGACCCCTCGTGCGCGACATGACAACGTGATGGTGGCTTTCTTCTCCTTGCCTTGTCCCTCTCCTTGGATCGGATTTTGAATCGCGCCACGGGCTCTTGTGTAACTATGTCGATCAATCACAGAAGCTCACAGCCCGCCCGCCTTTCTGTCTGACTTTGCGGGGACCCAGGAAAAGGAGGGTCCCTTGCATTCCCGCTGGATTTGACGGCGGCAAGCCGGTTCAGCCTTTCACTCACTCAACCCACTCCCTCCTCTCCGTCTCTTTCTCTCTCTCTCTCTCTCTCTCTCTTTCTTCCCACGCCCGCTTCCAGATACCTGGTCTGCTGTACCATGTCTCGAACTGGGGAGACCATCCGGGGCACACAGCTTGCTCTCACTTCCAATTCTAAAGACACACCCGTAACCATGTGCCGGTGATCCAGCCGTCATATGTGCATGGTACAGTATTTCCAGGGTGATATCGCGCGGTCTGGGATTTGCTCACCAGCAACCTGTTGGTTTCCACCCACCAGTGATTCGGTCAGTGGATCACCCCAAAAAGAAAACGAACATAAGGCCCAGATCCTTCCTTTGATGTAGCCCTGTGGGATCGAGAGCGAGATTTGCCCATCGCGTAGGGCTCACCCGCAGCGCAGAGTGTGGCGCTTGGGGGGGGGGGGGATCTCACTGCAACCTGCCATCCTCCTGCGTAATTTGGGGGCGTGAATGGGCCCAGGGGATTGCACCACACAGTTGCGGTGACGGCGAGTAACAATAAGCTGGCGAGGCGTAGGTTGAGAGATGACGAGAGGTTAACGCAGCGGTGATACAGCACTTGGCCACTAGCTACCGCAACGCATCATCATCATCGCACACGACATAACACGACACGACGTGTTGTCTCTCGCTGCTGCTGCTACTCGCTGCTGCTGCTGCTACATGGTCCTCAAAGGGGGTTGCGTGGCAAGGCGTTCCTCCCCCCTTTCAAACCCCGATCACAACCATCACAGGCGCCAGGTCGTAGCAAGGGACTGTCACCCGAGAACGCAAAAAAAAGAGAGTTCGGCGCTAACGCATGCCATGCTGTGCTATGTTGGCCGTGGTGGTGGTCGACCTGCTGCTGATCGCTGGGTAGTAGGCCCAGGCCAGCTTTGGAGGCGTACAGGCGGCCGACTGGCAAATACACAACGACATCAGCCGGGTGGAGCGATCGCCTTTGATCCGTTATTGCCGCAAGTGCTTCCTGTACGTCCTGTATATTGTACAGTAGACCGTCGAGGGCTCGTCGGGGGGGTTTACCTGCAGCGCAAGTGGCATTCCACAGAGCACCGCCTAGTTCCGCCTCCCCTCAGATCTGCACAGGCTGTCGAGCAAACTTCATCCACGGCGGCCTGGGCCATTGTCACCCAACAGTCCAGGACAGGCGGCATGTGGCAGCCTCGATGAGCCAATGAGACCTTGTGATCTCACTCGGATCGCGAGTGATGGAGTTGCAGAGCATTAGAGCTTGCAACTTGGAAAGGGCCCATCTGAGATGCTGACTGCTACGGTGCCATATCCTGTACAGGGATATCGTGGCGGCGGGCGAGGTCTGGTTGAAGATCTAGTCTAGTCGAGCTAAGATCTCGGCCTTTGGCGCGTTGCCGGGTGCCGGGCTGGCGCACTCATTATGGCTAAAAAGGGGGCTGAATACGGAGTAGACAGTCCCAGTTCAGGCTCTCGGCGAGGAAAGCCTTCAACCGGCGGGAAATAGAGGAGAAACCTCGGAGCGCGAACGGCCTAGGTTTGCGTAAAGGTACCGTAAAAGTCCCGGTGGTGTTCCGGCAAGGGGAAGCCGACCAGCAGACAAGTTGAGCACAGCTAGGAGCCATGACAACGCGCTCAGAACCAACGACGCCAGCGTAGCGTGCCATGCCAGAGATGGGGCTGATTCAGCGACCTGAGCAAAGCGGCCGGAGCATTGTCAGTGTCAAGGTTTCACGTTTTGCACATTGCTTGACAATGACACCTCGGGAGGCGACTGTGACGGGGGTCAAAGTGTTTAATAAGGGCCCCTGCAGAGTGTGAGTGAATCTGAATGCCTGCACCCCGAACTTGGTAATGCTGGAGGCTACATTGCAGGTTGCCAGCGGAGGAGACTCCATGACGCGAACCAGATTCATGCTCATCGTCGAGGACTCGGCCGCGCAGGGTGCTTTCCTGGTGGCGATGGGAGACGGATCGCATGCGCCCACCACGTCGGGTCAGGGCAACGGCGAGCCGTGTGAAAGCGGAAGTTCTAGTGTAGAAGCCCTAGGCGCGCGCCGTCGGCGGGTCTGTCGAATTTGCCAGCTAGCCAGGTAGCCTAGCAGCCTAGGGAAAACAGGCACGTCGAAGGTAGCTTCACTAGCCCAAGTGTCAGCTGAGGTTGAAGCCGGACCTCGCGGGCCTGCGACGGTATGGCAGAACGTCACCCCCGGCACGCTGCCCTGGGGTTGAGTTGATTCGAGACGGGCACTTCCCGAGAATCCTCAGCACCGTACATCATCTGCACGAAGATCCCTGGAGCGTCTCCCCGTACGGTCTGACAGTTGTGATATATGACAGAACATAGGCTGTGCCCCTGTGAGCCAGGATGTGGTCGCCCACCTGCAGGGCCGAGACCGTTCGCGTGGGTACGTTCTAAGCGAGGCTTGACAAGTCAACTCAACAGCGAGATCTATGGCGGACACGATCATGATGATCATGATCATGAGAGGATCAGCACCGGGTGGGGTGGGTCCTGGACGAGGAGGAGGATGGTGGTGGTCGTGGTGATGGAGGGCAGGGCGACGACGAGGATGAGGCGGAGGCATATTGGCATTAATGCCGTACTGTGTAGGCACGTCAACACGCGGAACATAAAAGCATTACCTACAAGTATTGGATGTACTGAGGTACCGGCAGCAGGCGTCCGTGGACTCGACGTTGTTTGGTTCGCGTCGGCGTGAGCATGATGTGATGTGTGTGTGGATCTGCCCGCCTCAAGGTGTGGGGTCCCTGTCAGTTCCACGCCGGTGGAGGGGAAGGGGTGGACGGAGGCAGCACGGACCCTGCGCGCGCAGGGATCAGGGTGGGTTTGATCGGCCCTGACAGTCCGACCCGAGATTTCCCTCACCACCAGCCTGCCAGCCTGCACGCCTGCACCTGCACGCCCGCACTAATAAAGAATGGCCGTCCAAAGGAGATCTCCGCCGCTAGACGGGCCCCCTGCTGTGTGTCTCCACACTGGATGCGAGTGAGTGTGTGTTCTGTCTGCATCGTGCAGCAGCCGAGATACATGATGAAATGGTACGGAATTCCTCCCTGTGTGTGTGGCTGCATGGAGCAGATGCCACAGCAGACTACTGATGTACAGTCATACAAGCCTGAGCCGGCCTGAGCTTGAGCAAGGTACTTGCAGAACTTGCAGATCGAGTGTCATTGCCAGGCGCGCCCGAAAACTGTTGAGCATATACTCAGATACTGTACGGTCTGCACGGTTAATCGGGCATAGGGAAATGCACTGGAATGACAAGGCATTCGCATGGCTCCACCATGCTCGGCGACTTCAAAGCTCCAGATCAGAGGCCAGAGTGGTACTGCGAGTGTGGCAATACACACATACACACACACACACTCTCTCTCTCTCTCTCTCTCTCACTCCCCCCCTCTCCCGCTCGCCAAGACCCGCCGTCATCGACAGACCGGCGACAGACTCTACCATACCAACTGCTCAGGCACGCCTTGGATACACAGTAGGTACAAGCTCTGCTGTAAGCATGCCGCCGAGTGCTTATCCCCGTTATTCCGCATCAAAAGCCATGGTCTGTTCCGTCCTTTTAGCCCCCAAGGCAACACGGAAACCACAAGTCTTGACAATCGTCACATCCTCCTCATGCTATCGCCAGCATGGATGCGCCTCGTCATTCTCTATATGGATCTGGACCTGAACCTGGACCTTGACCTGAACCCGTCACCGCGTCGCGCTTTGCTGGCTGGCAACCACCATCCTGCAGGTTGAGGCTATCTGCGGCTACCTGCTCTGGCTCAGATGTCTCGTCCCGTCATTCCCCCCTGCCGTTGAGATACGCGAGAGCTGATCCTGCAGTGACAGATCATCGTTTTCGTCTCCAGGAGACTTTGTGACGGTGGCATCCTATCAGCTGCCCGCCCCCCGTCCGTGGCTGGCTGGCTTCGAACAGCAATACAGCCGGTGAGGATACGACATGACTGCTGCGTCCTGCATGCCACCTTCACAGTCAGGGCTAGTGGCCCAGCTAGGTTTTGACAAGCCAGGGCCGTCTTGAACGAGGTGGAACGTCGAGGCTGGGCCCTCCAATTCGCCAAAGCTCACCGGAATTCTTGGGGGCCCCTAGTTCTGCAGCCACTCAAGCTCCGCCGCGGCAATCCTGCCCGGCACCAATGTGGGCGCGACCGATTCCCGGCGCATGTTGCAGGCCCGCAGTTGACCGGTCTCTAGATTTCTCCGGTAGCGACTGTCACTGCTGTCGTCGTCATTAGGCCGAACACAAACCCACTCCCGCCTGACGCAGATTCTCACCGGCTGCTGTCGACCAACAACGGCCCAAGGTGGCAAAAGATCATATGGCAAATGCAACGGCGGCTTCATCACCCGGGGATTAAATCATCCATGTGCCTTTTAGCCACCCTTCAGAAGTGACAGCTGACGGCCGGGATGTTTCGCAGCGGAGCCGACCCTCCACCCGCCCAGAGACTCACAGGACTAAGCGCTTGACAGGGTCCACTTCCCGCCCATCAATCTTGCTGCTGTCTTGCTGTCACCTGCGGCAATCGCAAGACCGTGCGCCAGCATAGTGGCTGGTTGGCGCCATGCTGTCTACTGTGCAGTACAGAGTACAACCAGCCAGCCAGAAGCTAGCCAAAATCCAGCCAAGACCTGGTCATACCCAAGGTCCGGCTTGAGGCTAACGAGATGTTGGTTGCCGACGGCGAGCCTGGATCTTGGGTCACTCCTCAGGGAGGCCCCTTGAGGAGGCCCATCGATCCCGTGTTCGGGTTACCGCCTCCAACCAAGCCAGACGATCAGCGCTCTCGGACTGTCAAGGACGCGATGGTAGAGGGCTGTCATGGAGAGGCGGTCAAGAGCGCGCCCCGTGTCTTGTCTCGAGTTCCCCCATCATCGCACAAGGCTCGACGTCCCGGAGCCGGTTTCATTGTCTCAGCTGGATCTGAGACCTGAGGAACACGACGGGCAGGAGAGACATACACACCTTGAACAGTGCCCATGAAGTGCTGACACGTGCGCCACGAGTCTCAGACTCCCGTCTCTGTGGGTCGTCCAGAAGGCAAGCCCCGTCCGCCTTTCAGCTTCTGTTTTACAATCTCCGCGGCCCGGCTGGCTGGGTTGGCCACTACTGAGCCGTGCATGCCGGCACGAACAGGTTTAACGCAGGGCCGCGGTTGACAGCCCAGCCCCATTCGCTGCTTCTTATTAGTTAGCCTACTCTTGCGTTGTCAGAGCGTCTTGACACCGGCTCGTGACCTCGACGCGCCCAGGGTCCGCGTGGGGGACGAGACCGGACACATTTCTTGGTTCGCCGGATATGGTACCGACGATTTCACCGGTGATTCTTTCGTTGCGCGGTTTGTCTCAATCGGCTTTGATGAAGCCCTCTTGGGCCCCTTATTTTATAACCGCTGCGTTCTGATCCAGTGACTTTGTGTGCAGCGACGTTTCGGGAATGGCTTTGCAAGGGATGGGTCTCGGTGATCGGCATTGGGGTTGCGCTCCATAAAGGAACATGAGTATAGCTGTCTGTGACAGTGTTATTATTGAGGTCGGCAGCCGCAACCTGCTCGGAGAAGGTTGATGCTGTGGTCACCAGTCTGGCCCGGGCGAAGGCAGCGGAGGAAACTTGGTGGCAGTTTCGGATCCGAGACCGATGGAGCGCGGGGCCATCCGCTCAGCTCGGCAGTCAGGCAGCGGACGGGGCTGGGCTATACCGCAATTGGAGAAGATGCTTCGAACGCGTGCCCATGCTGATGACCTCATTGCCGTCTTTGCTTTTCGGCATCTTGTTCTCCGCAACTCAAAGGAAGGTCACAAAATCCGGGGCAAGGCTGTAGGACGTGTTTTACTCATTGCCCGCTGGCCCCGAGCCCGAGAAGTGGACGTCCCATATCCCGCAGCCTTGCAGCCGAACATCTCAAAGCCAAGCAGCTGGCAGGCCTCAGCATCGAAGGAAGGACGCACTCAAGTCTATGACGTCACTACTTCAGCCTCACCCGCCGGTACTCGGCTCAAAGTCAGCCCGTCTGAGATGTCCGAGGTGCACCTGAAAAAGTGGCCTGCCATCAAAGGCGTGGACGCTCTCCAGATGGCAGCCTTGTATGAATGCAATCACGTGCCTGACTTGATGAGCTCATCCATCTTGTTGACTTGTCACTTTCAATGCTCGTCGGCCTGATAGATCATACGTCCTGAAGCCCTCATGATCGTTCAGGACACCGGCCCACTATGTCGAGCGAAGATATGCCGCCTGCCGATGCGGCGCCGGACCCGGAGTCGGGACCAAACACCGGGCTTGAGGCTCTGGCCTGTGTCTCATGCCGGGCCCGGAAGCTCAAGTGCGACCGGACAAAACCGGCATGCACAAGGTGCACCAGAATAAAGTCAGAGTGCTGTTACCCAGAGTCAAGGAGGAAGCCTGCTTTCAAGCGAAGAAACGTGAAGGAGCTCGAGGAGCGCCTGGGTACGTCTTGTCACTGGAACCCGCAGTGAGGAGCTGGACGGGTTTGACTGAGACTCTCATCACAGCACAAGTCGAGGTGTTACTAAAGGATGCGCCCAACAAACCTGCTTCTTCTTCCGAGGGCGACCCGCAGAACGTGTCGCCTCCTCAGGCCCAGGCTGGCCCAGGCCAGGACTCGCGGCACTCATCCATCCCCGACGCTTCAGATGGCGCGTTCAGCTGGAATTATGCCGGCGGAGTCGGACCAGCAGCAAATGAGGTCCCTGGTGGCAATGAACAGGGACCTCGACGACCTGTTTATCCTGAGTTCTCGATGGCGGGCATAAGCCATCGGCCCAGGGCAGAGGACGCGGGCGCGTCGCGAAATGAGCTGCTGGGCCTGGGGCTCTTTGAGGCCCTGCCCCCGACGGAGATGATCGAAGACCTGCATCGGACGTTTTTCATGAGGCAACATCCACTGAACCCCATCATACACCCTGGCCGGTACATGCAGGCCTACCACTCGGGTGTGCATCTTCGCCCGCCCATGGCCCTCGCATATGCAGTATGGACGATGGCTTCGAATGGTCACGAGAAGTACTCGTCATACCACGATGCATTCCATCGTCGTGCACGCCACTACCTGGAAGAGGACGAGCTAAGGGGAGAGGGCGAGCACTTCCTTACGGTGGCCCACGCCCAAGCCTGGGCCCTCCTCGCGACAGATGAGGCCCGCTGCATGTGGTTCACGCGCGCGGCTATGAGTACGGCTCGTTGCATCAAATTGATACACATGATGGGCTTGCATCGGCTGGACGACCCCAATGCTGCAGCGGAGATGGCGCCGACAATCGCCCCTCCGAGAGACTGGACTGAACTTGAGGAGAGGAGGCGAGTGTTTTGGGGAGCATACTGCGTTGATTCCCATGCCTCGATCAGCACAGGGTGGCCAAGTCTGATCGATATGAGTGAGGTCAGTTCAGCCAGTACGCGATGCTTGATGGTTGGAGTTTCCCATACTAAGAGTTTAATAGGTCACAACACATCTGCCCAGCTCGGAGGAGGCGTTCAATACCTGCACGGAAGAGACGACCAGCCGCGTCGAGGAAGTGTTCTCGGGGGCGTCGTACTCGTCATTCGCGGGGGCCGCTGTGATCTGCTATATTTTCAACCAGATCTTGAAGCATGTCCACCGCTCCAAGCCCGATGACGGCCGAGACAACTATGACTTTGGGCGGTACTGGAGCAAACACCGGGAGCTGGACAATTTGCTCTCCAGCGCCTTCATGTTCCTCCCAGAGCGCTTTAGGCTACCTAGTAGTCTGCGAGACCCTGTGGCCGTTCACACAAACCTCAACCTCCACGCATCGATAATATGTCTCCATAACAGCGCTTACGAGATGACGAAGGAGCACGGCCTGCCTGACCATGTCAAGCAGACAAGCAAGACTCGTGTCTTGACAGCTGCTCAAGAGATTGTTACTGTCGTCAAAATGACCAGCCACTCCAACGTGGGATACAAGAGCCCACTTGTCGCCCTTGCACTCTACGTCGCCAGCTCGGTCTATACGACCATGGCACAGGACGACGGCATGCAACCGGACCACACCGCGAACCTCGAGTTCCTCCTGGTAGCAATGAATGCCATCGGGAAGCAACACGTCATCACCAAGTCATTTCTCACGCAGGCCGTCGTCGATCTACAACGCGCCGGGCTCCTTGGCCTCGTCCGCATCCCTCAAATTGAAATGCCCGAGACGACCAAGATTGTCACGGCATGCGGAAATAACATACCACTCTTCGCCAGATCCAGACTCTCAAGAATCGCAGACATACAGCCGCCCCTGCCAGGCAAGCTGCCACTCAGCAACCCGGCCAACGTTCAGTACATGGAGAAACAGATTCGGCAGGTCCTCCAGTGGGACCGGGAGATGCCCCCCGGCCGCCGGGAGGGACAAGACACGGGCAACGCCAACAAGCGCAAGCGCATAGCCATCTCGCCGGAGCCAACCTCGGCGCCGCAGGACTTGACGCCCTTGCTCTGGTTCCAGCAGACGCAGGCGGCCGAGGTGACCCCCTCCGACACGACGACGGGGGGCTCGTCGCTCTCGTCGGGCTCGGCGGAGGACAAGTCGCCAGCCGGGGCCGGGAGCGCCGCCGCGGCGCAGTTCAGGCTCCCGCACCGCAGCGGCGGCGGGTCGTCGGCGGGCTCGTCCCCGCCGGCCGCGGCCAACAGCGCGTCGACGCCGACGACGCAGCCCAGCTCGGGAGTGAGCCCCGGGTACGACGGGCGCGGGCGCGGGCCAATCCCAGCGCGTGACCGGCGCCGCGGCGACGGCGATGCCGGGCGGAGGTGCCACGCAACAGGAGATGGTCGACGCGTTCGCTCAACAACAACAGCAGCAGCAACAGCAACAACAACAAGTGGACATGAACTTCTTCCAGGGCCTGAGCGCGTGGGACGCCGCGGGCGACTCGTCCATCCTGTTCTCGCAGGTGGCGGCGGCCATGCAGCAGGAGGGCGGCGTAGGGTTCGGGGCCGCGCTGGACGACGACAGCTGGATGATGATCGGCGACGCCGCGGCGGGCGGCGGTGCGCCGTGGGACACGGGCCAGCAGGGCGGGACGGGGGGAGTTGGTTAGGGGGCGTTGGTGGACGTGCTCATACGTTTGTTCACCGATGGGTAGTACGACGTCGACGTCGATGGAGTAGACTGGGCTGGGGGCATTGTTGTTAGATACCTCCCCTTATTGGGCATCTTGCGCGGAGTTCGTGTGTATGTGTGTGCTTGTGTGTTATTTTGGGCATGGACATGTAGAATACGGTATTATATTCGCCACTTTATTTACCCTCTGGGACATATATCAAACCTTATCCCCACATCTGACGGAGTCGATGTGTGGGTACAGCTACGAGTCCCTGCAGCCCTAGTGTCTCGTCGACCCTACGCGCACCGTCGGCGGTGCAAGAGGCGGCGTGGGAAAAGAGTTCCAGGCGATTAATTCCCCTTGCTCTGTGAGCACCCGCCCAGCCTCTCATCCCCCTTTTCCGCGCAGTGCACATCCACCAAGCCGTGCCTGACAGCCTGACCGCCAGCCCCTCCGATCGCGGGAGGGGACGTGTCCGGGTGGACGATCTGGGCGGGATTGCTCACCGGATGGCCCATTTGGTGTTCCGAGGCCTGGACGGTCAGGCAGGTCCCCCCCTTTTCCCCTTGTCTTGTCTTTTCTGGGGCTGCGATACAGACCCGTTGCCTCGTTGTCGCAGGTGCGCCGAGGCACAACTGCCTTTGCTGCTCTGCGCTCTGCAGGCAGGTTTGGTTGCTCGAGCAGACTGCGTGGATATTATTGTGGCGTGGTGTGGCATGATGTCTTGGTCGAAAGTTGTGATGAACCATACGGGTTTCATATTAAAGATGCACTCAGTCGCTTATCGGCATTCCGAGCATGGGTTGGGGGCCAAGTGACATCGCATCTTGGGTCTATCATGCCAGATTGGCATGATTTGGATATATGCTCAAGGTCCAAGTGGGGGAATTGGGGGGAGCCCGGGATACGCACGCAACGCGGGGTTCTTCGATATGTCATCACCCGCCAGCCCGCCTCAACCTCTCCCCTTCGCTCATCTGGCCGAACTCCCTACCTCCCTATCACCCTTCCCTAGCCTGCTTCATCTCGCAGCCTAACAGGCCGTAGTCTGTCACCGTCCGACACAAGGCGATAACACACGTGCGATACGATACGATACGCCTAGTCGGTCGGAATCCATCCTGGTCACATAACTCACTCCACAGACGTCCACCCATCCAGTCAGGTCTAGTTCGCCAATCCATATAGGCAGCAGCAGCAGCAGCAGCAACAAGCAAGCAGCGCGCTTGATATCTCATGATAAAACCTCACTGATCCTGTTATACATCGTCGTTTGGCGACGTTGTGAACTTCGTGCCTCTCCTAACCCGTCATTGCACGCATATGTGCACCACCCGCCATTTCCAGGATGCGACCGTTCCCAGGGGATGGTCCGCCACCGCGACGGAGCCCGCGAGGGGCTGATCTCGAGCCCCCGACTGCATTCCACCACCCCGCCGCTGGCCACCAGCAGCAAATAACTTCTTACTTCATCGGCGGCGAGGACGCCGTCGACGCGGCCCTGCAGCAGTCCCTAGCGAGCTTCACAGCCGGTAGCCGTGATTATCGCAAGGCGGGGTCGGCCGACGCGGAACCCAGCAACCCGGCCAAGCACACCGCACAAAGTGACCGTGAATCCATCTCGACATTGGACCCCGCAGATGCTGACGATATTTCCTTGATGTCTGATACTGCCCCGAGCAGGCTGAACTTGCCGGACCCCACGAGTAACCTCTCGCAGCCGATGACCCCCTTGATGCTGGCCACACCGGGATCCCCATCGGCCATCAGTGACTCGATGAGTGCGTCGTTCTCGGAGGAGATAGCAAGCCAGGCTCTCAGCTTGAGCCAGGACCTGGAGGCCATGGAGACCTCGGAGATGATGGACAGCGGCAGCGCTCCCCAGCTTGTCATGCCCTCTATTAAGATGCCCAGCCGGCGGCCATTCACCGACGGAGGGAGACGTATAGGGAGGCTCAAGGTGCTCGTGGCTGGAGACTCCGGTATGTGTAGAGTCGTGACAGACGGGTGTATGACCACCTTGCTGACAGGCGCTTGCCAAACAGGCGTCGGCAAGACATCGCTCATCAAGGCCCTGGTCCAGTCCTGCGAACACATTGTACACGTCGATCCGATCGCGCCCCAGTCAACGGCACTGCTTGGTCAGAATTCCAGCCCCCGACGTGGGAGATCCAAATCTTCCAGGAACAACACGCGGACAACCGAAATAGCAGAGATATTTGCGAGCACGAAGCCCTACCCAGAATGGTGGTCGGATCTGGACGATTTTCAACTGCTTAAACGTCGGAAGAGTGTCGATGATACCATCTTAGACAGGAACATTTGCTTTATTGATACCCCAGGTTATAGTGACGGCGCTTCTGTGAGTAGAAAGCCCCCCGTGGGAGTACAAGAGAGGGAAAGAGAGGCAAGGGGCATGCTAACCTAGAACAGAGCATGGAGAGCATTACTCCCGTAATCCGTTATGTTGAATCGCACTTCGAGAAAGTGCAGTCGAATGCATCGCCCGACGCTGAAATGCTAAACATGCTCGGTGGCGATGGAGGCAGCCAAGTCGATGTGGTTTTCTACCTTGTCCACAACAGCAAGTTGCTCCTCAAGCTCTTCGCAATGATACTCCTGGCTGACAATATCACGCAGAGCTCAAGCCGGCCGACATTAAATACCTGCAACTATTAGCATCCCTGACGAACGTTATCCCGCTTGTCGCCAAGGCCGATAATATGACGCCCGAAGACGTTGCACAAAGCAAGGCTCAGATCAGAAGCGAGCTGATGGAGGCAGGAGTACGACCCTTCTCGTTCACAGTGTCTTCGGCGGGAATTTTTGGTGATACCGAACCGAAGTATCCGTATGCCGTCTCGAGCACTCCTGGGTCAGACCACGATATTATGGACGCAAGTTTGTTGATGAGTCCGGACTACGTCCAGCCTCTCATGCAATCGGAGCTTGCAGCTGTGGTGGACCAAGTCTTTTGCGAGAACGGAGCATCCTGGCTGAGGCACGCTGCGGCCAAGAAATTCATCCAGTGGAAAAACGCGGACAACCCGTCGAGGCCAAGGGCACTCTACAAACCAATGGGCCTGCCAGGAAGCCCTTCCATGCCATTGGTAACTGCGGGAACGTTTTCCTCACCAGTGGGAGCAACCTCGCAGTACTCTCTGGCTCGGATTGCCGACCACACGCAAAGAGAAGAGCGGCTGGCCCAGATACGCCTTGCCAACTGGGCGTCGGAGCTACAGAGGAGCCTGGCAAACGAGCGGGCCCGTTACGACGCACTGGCGCGCGGGGAGAGGGCCATCTGGCTGACAGAGAAGCTTCACGAATGCGTGCAAGATGGGGAGCTTGTCCCCTTCGCAGGCCGGGACCGCAGCGATTCCCGGCTGGGCGAAAAGACGAGGCGGCGATCTGGCCGCGGCCGTTACCACAGCACTTCGACCACGCAAAGCCAGGACCCGCTTGGGCTGCTCCGTGTGGCTGCTCGGGTGAAGGCAAACGGATGGATTGCACTTGAGGTACTTGGTGGCGTGGGAATCCTTGGAGGGGCAGCTGTGTGGCTTTCTGGACAGGAGTGGCCGGCCATTGGATGGGCCGTTGACCAGTGGTCCGCGTTCTGGGGTGGTGAGAGGTGATTTTAAAGTGGATGGGTGCTCATGCTTGGGCTGGCGTATGGACCGTCCGGCATGGGCGAGGCAGGAAGGGCAACAGCTGCGGCCATGGAATGTAGGCTAGGTAGTCCAGCAGGCTGTCTCATCCTGGAGGCAATGGACAAACTCCCCACTGCCGTGTGTTTGGCATAGATACGAAATAGCGGCTTTAATCAGAACCAGAAGCAGACTGCTCTGGAAGATCACTCGGAAATACATGTTATAATACAAACTCAACTGCAGTCCAGTGTGTGACATTCGAAGGCGAAGAATTTGTAGACAGGCATGCCTAGGTACCTAGGTACCTAGCTGCGTCCCAGATGGCACTGGCCAGGCCGCTGGACCCCTGCAACGGGCACGCCCCACCGCCGCCAACCAGCGCTAACCACCTGCAGTACCTGGGTAGGTATTCAGCCGTCTCACCTTCCCAAAGCCCCCAAGATCGAACTTCCATGACCAGCAAGCCTGGACGGGACATCGCCAGACGTGTACCCGACAAACGACTTCGCGGTCGCCCAGACACCGCATTCTCCACGAGCATCTCGACGCCGTCATGGCAGCCGAAAACCAGTGGGGCGTGACGCCGCCTATTTCGACGCTCCTCCCGACCGAGGCCGAGAAGCGCGCAAACGACGCCTTGTTCGCAGAGCTCAAGGCGCAGAACACCTACGAGCATGCGACTGAGACGCAGAAGAGGTAGGCACAGGCAGCCACGACGCCGAACATAGCAACCCACAAGTGCAGAAAGGCCTTGCACAACACACGCAGACATCTCTAACACTACATGTCCGCTGTAGGGAGGTAGTCCTCAAGTCGATCCAGTCCATCGCCGACGTCTTTGTGCAACGCGTCGCGCAGGAGCGACACTCCGAGAATGCAGCCATAGTGAAGTCTGCACGAGGCCGCGTCTTCACGTACGGAAGTTATCGCCTGGGAGTCTTCGGTCCGGGCTCTGATATCGATACCCTCGTCGTCGCACCCAAATATGTCACCCGAGAGGACTTCTTCAAACACTTCCCAGGCCTGCTCAACGAGATGGCGCCCGCTGGGTCCATCGAGGATCTGACCGCCGTTACCGATGCTTTCGTGCCCATCATCAAGTTTGAGTACTCTGGCATCAGCATAGATCTAATCTTCTCTAGAATCGCTACCGTCACAGAGATACCACCCCTCTCAACGCCCTGGGACTTGCTGGACAACAACCTGCTGCGCGGTCTCGACGATGCTGAACTGCGGTCACTCAACGGTACACGAGTTACGGACGACATACTGAAGCTGGTCCCCGAGAAGACTTCTTTCCGACTGGCACTGCGGGCGATCAAGCTGTGGGCGCAGAAGCGCGCCATCTACGCCAACATCATGGGCTTCCCTGGAGGCGTGGCGTGGGCGATGCTGGTGGCCAGAGTCTGTCAGCTATACCCGAAAGCAAACGGCGCTGTCTTGGTCAACAAGTTCTTTCACATCATGCAGCGCTGGCCGTGGCCTCAACCCGTTTTGCTGAAGAAGGTCGAGGAGGGCCCTCTGCAGGTCCGAGTGTGGAATCCCCAGGTATGGACTAGCCAACAGCTCCTTCACAACCCCGACCATTGCGCCTCTCGTGCCTGACTACTGGGACAGGTATACAAGGGAGACTCTTATCATCTCATGCCCATCATCACCCCGGCCTACCCGTCCATGTGCTCGACCTTCAACATCACACACTCAAGCAAGACGATCATACAGAAGGAGCTGGAAGACTTTGCCCAAGTTGTGGATCAAATCATGGTTGGCAAACTGCCGTGGAAGTCGCTCTTCGTCAAACACACTTTCTTCACTCAGGATTACAAGTATTACATCATGGTCAACGCAGCCAGCACGACCAAGGAGAACAGCAAGATTTGGGGTGGCTTCGTGGAGTCCAAGATCCGTCTCCTTGTCCAAAACCTGGAGCGGCATGCTTCTGTGGAGCTCGCGCGCCCCTTCAACAAGGGCTATGAGCGCAAGCACAGGACCGTTCATGGCATGGATGAGTGGAACGCCATTCTGGACGGAAGTTTTGCTTACATCGTGAAGGACGGTGATGGCGCTGACGACAAGGTCAAGGCAGAGTCAGGTAATGACGTAGCAAAAGGCGAGTCAACGTCACCGACCGAGATCAAGAAAGAAGAAGGCGGAGACGGTGCCGAAGTCAAGGACGCCGAAGTCAAAGCAGAAGAAGATGACCAGGATGGCCCGAAAGATGTTTTCACCTCGACGCACTACATCGGCATCAAGCTGCGTGAAGGTGAGTCACAGCCCCCGGTCCAGACTTGCGATCACAGTCTCGGTGACATAGCCTTGCGACTTCTTTCTCCTTTTCGAAACGCGTATGTGTCTTAACACCAGGCGGATTGACAAAACAGGAGCGAAACAACTCGATCTGTCCTTCGAAGTCAATGATTTCAAGGGTATCCTTTACGGCTGGGACAAGTGGGAAAGCGAGCTTCAACACTGCTGTGGCATCAGCGTACAGCACGTCCGAAAGTACGTCCAGCCGAACCAAGACAAGGACTCGAACCGCTTCTCGTGTGAGCTGACTGATGAATGTTGTAGCTGCAACCTCCCCGACGACGTTTTTGAGCCCGGCGAGGTCAAGCCACTGAAACCTAAGAAGAAGTCGGCGCAAGCCCCGAACGGAGTCAAACGAAAGGCGCCCACTCAAGTATGTAGTGACGCCGGGGTGGCCCATGTCCGCAAAAAGCTGGGTTGACGGGCCCTGAACGACTAGTCTCCTGCGAGTTTCGGTCCTCACTCGTCACTAACTGGTCCCCAGGAAGCCATAGATTCAGCCAAACGACAACAGACTTCGACGGTCAGCGCTGGTTGAACTTTGATTCCCTAACTATCTCGACACCCTTTGTTGCACTGATATTTCTCATGCAGGGAAGGCTACCATCAAAGAAAAGGAAAAAAATAAACTGACAGAAAGCTGGTGGCTCGCCGGCCTGTGCAGGCCCGTGTTGGCTGCAACCCGGAGCCTTGCCGCCACAGCTACCCAAGATCACATTCTTCTAAAAATATCCAGGAGGAAGCCCGCAGATTGGAACAAAATACGGCCCGTTCGGGGGATTCTGGGCGGGGAATGTGCCCTGCCACCTTGAGTCATCTCGTCGGCTTGTTTGGAATAGACGTAGAAGATATCTCAAGAGCGGCAAAAAAAAAGGGGGGGGGGGGAGCAGAATTGCGAGGGTCACGCCAGGAAAAACAGGTGCTCCTCCGGTGCACAATCTGCTTTGCTGGCTATGTATGATAGACTAGATTGGACCAGCGCAATAAAGCTACATTTTAGAGGCATACGTGCCTCGCTAAGACGTTCGTTTCGCTGCTCGAAGTGCTATGTGTGCCTCTCATATGAGTAGGATCCGGCAGGGACGTCAAAACCCAGCTGGTGGAAACCATGCTCTGGTATGCTCTGAAATCAAAGTCGCCTGCCGCTCGCCTAGCTGCTAACCCTAAACGCCAAAGCAGATATGTTCGTTTTTAGACATCTAATTCACATGAAGACGGAGTGTGCCCACCGAAGTGCCCAGGCTCGCCGTGCCCAAACGTAACCTCACATGCCACCTGCCCTCTCACGAAGCCTCCGTGGGCACCTCGATCAGCGCCTTGAGCGCGGCGTCAAAGTCAGGCACCTCGCTCGCGGTGCGCGCGACGCTGGCCCAGCGCACGACGCCCTTGCGGTCCGTGGCGAAGGCGCCGGACATCTGCCAGCGGGTGCCGCTCTCGGTGGTCCTGTTCCAGATGCCCTCTGTCTTGCCGAGCTGGACGGCGTTGTAGATGGAGAAGGGCCCGATGGCGTGCCAGTACGAGGAGAGGCCGAGCCCCCAGGCGGCGTATATGTCGCGCTCCTCGTCGACGACGACGTCCGTCTCCCACGCGCCGCCGACGTGCTCGACCCAGTCGGTCGTGGCGGCCTCGTCGCTGTGGGAGACTGCTATGCAGTGGATCTGGGGGTGGTGCTTTATGGAGAAGGCGGTCAGGTTGCGGAAGGTCTTCTCGGCGACTGTTGTTGCGGGCGGGGGAGGGTGGTGTTAGAGAGGGTTAGTTGGTTCTGGCTGGCTTGTCGGTTGGGGTATGCAATGGGCGGGATATGGGCGCACGGGTGCGTGGGTGAATGGATGTATGGACGGGATGGGATGGATTGGCTTACATGGACAGCCGCAGTGCCGCAGGAAGACGACTATTGTGGGCTTGTCTGGGAGCTTCAGTTTCTCATGCTCCGGCGCCGGGTCGCCGACCTTTGGGGCCGGCGCGGTCTGTTTTGGCGGTGGGGACTTGAAGGACTGGAGCTCCTTTGTGAACATCTGCGTCAGGGTTGGCGGTGCCATCTTCGGTTTGCTGGGCGTGCCAAGGATTATGGTGTAATGCTAGATGTGTAACAAACGAGTGTCGTGGCGGGAATCAATTATCAGGTATGCTGTAAGCGAGTTCACACGGGTGACGGTCGGTTGGAAAAAGGGGAATCGGATGCTCCATCTTGAGATTGGGAGTTGGACCCTGCGGTTCGGCCTCCACATTTACATCTGATTAGATGGAGCTACCCCTGCCTGCCATGTGCGTCATCCCGTCCGCCGTCTGGGCGGGAAGAGGCTGCATAATTCTGTGAACTGCTGCATAACGGGACAGGGTCCGGGCTGTATAACTCTGAGTTTGTCACGACCTCACCTGGCTCAGAGTTCGTGACCAGTATGAGTGGGGATCACCGGCTGCTTCCTGTACAGAAAAGTGTCGTCGATAAACACAATGCATGAGATAATCACCCTGCAGCTGGGCCAGCAGAGCAACTACCTGGCCACGCACTTCTGGAATGCCCAGGTTTGGAATCACTTATGAGCGAAGATCATTTCTTTTCAGGTCGCTAACTCTTGGTCAGGAATCATATTTCACGTACGGGGAGAACGAAGAGTCCGCCGTAGACCATGACGTGCATTGGCGTCCCGGGCTCGGCGCAGACGGCTCCGAGACGTTCATGCCGCGGACCGTCATCTACGACCTGAAGGGCGGCTTCGGCTCGCTGAAGCGGATCAACGCCCTGTACGACATCCAGGACGACGACCCGGCACAGTCATCGTCGCTGTGGAGCGGCCAGCCCGTTGTGCAGAAGGCGGAGCCGATCGAGCCCAGCGCGTACCAGCAGTCCCTGGACGCGGGTCTGGAGCCTCCCCAGCTCACGACCGAGTCGGTCCGCTACTGGTCCGACTTCAATCGTGTCTTCTACCACCCCCGGAGCATCGTCCAGCTGAACGAGTACGACCTGAACTCGAGCATCGCGCCCTTCGAGAGGTGGGATTCGGGTGAGGAGCTGTTTGCGAACCTGGACAAGGAGCACGACCTTGTGGACAGGGACCTGAGGCCGTTCGCCGAGGAGGCGGACCACATGCAGGGGATCCAGATCATGACGACCGTGGACGACGCCTGGGGTGGTTTCGCGTCGCGATATATTGAGAAGCTCAGGGATGAGTACGGCAAGACTACGATCTGGGTCTGGGGCTTGCAGGAGGGATTCCAGGGTGTGAACAGGGCAAGTACAATGATCACGACATGCAATCCTCGAGGAACGTGCCATTTCCTACTGACGCCCACACGTTTAGGATAAGCGCCTTCTCCGACTAGTGAATAAGGCGAAGTCGCTCACGGAAATCTACAAGCAAGCCTCGCTCCTCATCCCGATCGCCATCCCGTCTTCGCTCTCCCCGCGGCTTCGCAACGTCCTCTCACTAGACACATCCTCATCATGGCACACATCCGCACTCCTATCCTCAGCTATCGAGTCCGCCACACTTCCTTCTCGGCTGAAGGACAATCTGAATAGGGACTCGCTTGGCAACATGACCGACAGGCTCAACCTGCACGGCAAGCAGACGGTCGCCAACCTGCAGATGAGCTTCTCCGGGACGAGCGAAACGCCGCGCAGTGAGGAAGTGGGCGATGAGCCCAAGGATGGGCTGCGCCTTGATCTGGACCTCCGCCCGGCGGATGATCTGGGAGATGGCCGAAAGCAGCAGAACGGGTACCACCGCGCCCCCAAGATTTTCAGCCAAGTGCTGGCGAGCCGGGGAGAGCGCGCAGGTGATGATGATGAGGAAGGTGACAGCGATGAGGAAGACGACAGGATACGTCGGCGAGGGCAGCGTGAAGCCATCAGCAGAAGGTTCGTACCCCGCCTCCCCTCACACCTTCCTTCCATGGCACACAAACCAAGGGGGTGGAAACTGACCTTACCCCAAACACAGATACCGGTCAACGCTGAGCTACCCGCTCCCGGACAGCTTCCCGCACATCTTCAGGGACGGGAAGGGCGAGGAGCTCAAGGGCAGCGTGGCGGTGACGACGTCGCTGTCCACGGACGCCGCGCTCTCCGGCCGGCTCAAGTCGCTCCGGTCGACCGTGACGCGGCTCATTGGCGTCGAGGACAGGGAGACGCTGAGCAACGAGCTCGCCGAGATGGCGGACGAGTACCACGAGGGGTGGTCGAGCGGGAGCGACAGCGGGGAGGACGATTGATCTCGTAGAGCCTGGGTCTCGCCAGGAATGGCCGAGGCGGTCTTGAGGGATCGGCTGTACCTCCCACTCTCGGTGCATCACCGAGCCGGAGACCCTCACCTGGATCGCGGCCCTGGGATGATACGAGTACGAGCCACAGGACGAAGCGCGGGGTGTCGTATCTCATGCACCTGTGAGAGTGTACATCACGCCCGTTGCATGCTCAAGGCGTAGATCAGCCAAGGCTACATGCAGGAGAAATTCTGACAGGTATGGTGTGGTAACACAAGTCGAGTTGTAGCAAGGTCCACATAGGGTGCACTACAGAAGTCCCGGTTTCCAGCATGCATGCAACACGACCAAAGGAGCCCGTCAATACCCGACGCGCCAACGTCTGTCCTCCATTTTGAGATCGTCTAGACTTGGATAAACTCTGTTGGACACGGTTAACGTTGCGAGGTAGACTGCATATCGAATCTTCGGCTAGTCTTGGTGAGACAATCAAGTGAATATCGCAACCTGAAGCCTTGTCTGGCCCAGAGTGAGGCAAGAAAAAAAGTATAATGACTGTGTGAGTAGGATAGCTTGTAGTTCAAGGGCTCCATTTTTTTCTTTTCTGTTTTTGGCAGTTCCAACAGTGGCATACAGCCCAGCACGAGCTGTAATCAGACTAGAAAAGGGTTGAAAGACCGCGTTTGATTTCAAGATATGCCATCAAAGCCCAAGGAGGACACTACACATACCATGATCCACCTAACCAAAATTACTCCCTTTTCGCAAGCTCCTCAAACACGGCATCCACGGCATCTCCAAGCCTCTCGACAATCACGTCGACCAACCGCGCATCAACATTATACGCCGGCATGATCATGACATGGTCACCACTCTTATTGCCAGCGCAGCCCTGGCCGTGGTAGATCATCATAGGCCCGCCGCTTCGTCCTCCCGCCATCGCCTTCTCGTGCACCAGCTTCGCGACCACCAGCGCAGGGTCAAACGGCTCCTTGGTTGCCATGTCCCGCACAAATTCAACACCCCAGAACAGCCCTCTGCCTCGAATGTCGCCGACGTGCGGGTGGCTTCCGAGCCGACGCCGCAGCGCTGCCCCGAGATAACAACCCTGGTCCCGAGCGTTGGCCACGAGGCCCTGCCGCCCAATTATGCCCTGCACGGCGAGCGCAGCGGCAGAGACCACGGCGTGGTTACCAAACGTGTGGCCGTGCGTGAAGACGGCCCCGGCGTCGTGCATAGCGTCGACTACGCGCGCGCCCGCCAGCACCGCTGAGCATGCCTGGTACCCGCCCGCGAGGCCCTTGCCAACGCACTGTATGTCCGGGACGACACCCTCATGCTCCCACGCATGGAGGGTGCCCGTGCGGCCCATCCCGACATAACCTCGTCGAGTACGAGGAGCGCCCCGTGCTGCTCGCATATCGCCTTCATGGCTTTGAAGTAACCAGGTGGCGCCGGCACGCACCCGAGCGCAGCGCCCACGACAGGCTCGGCGATAAAGGCCGCGATGGTGTTAGGGCCGGCGGCTTGGAAGGTCTCCTCGAGCTCGGCGGCCTTGCGGGCGACGAAGGCTGCGTCTGGCTCCGCGGGGAGCTTTTGTCGGTAAGTGTTGCAAGCCGGGATGCGGTAGACATTCGGGAGGAGAATGTCTTCAAAGTTGGCTCGTCTTGCCCGGTGGCCCGAGACGGAGAGGGAGCCGATGGTGATTCCGTGGTACGAGTCCTCGCGGGCGATGAATGAGACGCGCTGGGGCTCACCTTTCCACACGAAGTACTCGCGGGCTAGTTTCATGGCTGCCTCAACGGCCTCGGAGCCTGGCAGGAAACCAGTGTTAATTCTGATCCTGTGAAATGGCTAGAAGAGCTGCCACGTACCAGAGGATTGAAGGTAAACCTTTGTCATTTTGCGTCCGCTGCTTTGAATCAGCCGATCTTGTAGGTCAATGGTGCTCTGGTTGTCGAAGAAGGCCCATGGAATGTATGTAAGATTGCTGGCTTCTTCGTTCATTGCCGAGAGGACTTCCAGATTCCCGTGCCCTATACACGTAACGCCTGCTCCGCCGCAGGCGTCAAGGACCTGGCGCCCATCACGAAGCTGGAGATAATGGCCTTGGCTTCTTACCACCACGGGCAGGCCGGTGCTGGAAGTCATGCTTGTGGGAATTATTGAGGTCATGGATCTGATCTCGTTTCCTGGCGAATTTCCAACAGTGACGTCTTGAATGCATGGTCCGAGTCTGGTGTTTGAAAGCACATCGGCCGGCGCCTTTACAATCGATATAGTTGGCGACGTCTGACTCGCCCCTTGAAGATGGTGTATGACAGGAGGCTTGACTGAACGCATGCTGTGAACCAGGGGAAGATCGTGAATGACAGGTGTCGAGGCAAAAAGCACGAGTGTGACTCCAGGTAATGAGCAGATTGTGTATGAAGGGGGACTGAGAGTTGAACCAGTGAGTACATCGGCCAACGGTCCGGAGCATTATACCATTACTACAGGCACTCACCCCTTGAGCTGCTATGCAAATAGATATATGGAGCCTTCAGCAATCAGTGGTACTACTGCAGTGTGCATTCTTGCGGCAAATGCCGGAGCAATGACAGGACCTGGAATAACACCAAGGGTTTGAGGAGGTCAATCAGCGCGGAGACGACACATTGCATCCATAGAAAGCAAAGCAAACAAGGATCGCCGGAGAGACGTAGATGAGTAGCAGGTAACCCACCATGGCTCGTCAGGGCATTGGGTGGATGGGTGCGTGGAATTAGGCCCATAGATCGTGACGGGATGTGACGTGGTGGTTGTAGGACGCCGAGGTGAGTAAGAGCGCACACGGTTTCCGCATCCGCCCCAACGGCAGCCCGCACCCATTAATTCACGAGACACTCCCTTGTGGACGTCCTCCTTGCAACCGTCCGGGGGCCCGCACACTTGCCCATTCCCGGCTGCAGCATCTGGCGCCCCTCGCCAGGCAAGGTGAGTGGATGTAACCCCCTCGCGACGCAGCAGCCAAGTGGAAGTCTGGTGGTGTGGTGGACAAATAGGTGCTGTGTATTGCAGCAGCCCCCACGGGCGAGCTTGCCCTCCTCTCCTCGTGGCAGACTGCCATGGACCACATTCCTTGTCGAGATTTGGTGTCTGATTCTTATTCACGAAGGCACCGGCCCATATGGCCATGCCATCAGGTGACCAAAGCCCGTCTGTCGCACATAGCCCGTGGGGGAACCAAGGCGCCGGGACTTGTGCTATGCCCCCATCAACACTTGCCAACGGGAAGCAACAGACCTCGCAGTGCACAAGCTGCAAGGGAAGACCAGTTAAGATAGCAAGCTGTGAGGAGTATCCACAATAAAAGCAGGGGGGATGCAAAAGGACGACAGAGACTCATGGTCGTTCGCCAGAACCAGACTGACATATAAGAAGGATTGCATCGTGCATGCTGCACGCGAGGGGGGACACGGGCTCGCACGAATGAGGACGGAGGATGGGCAAGAGACAGACGGCCTTATAACTCGTGCATCCGCACATCTGGCAGCAGATTCTGCAACCGCAACGGGCAGTTGGGCGGGTGGCGCCCACGCATCTGCAGCGTACGTAGCCAGTGGGCGCCCGAGAGATGTCATGGGCCGGCCGGTGATGCCCACTCAGCATCGTGCCTCGACATTGCTGTCGCAGCCCCTGGGCTTGGAGTCACCTGCTGGCCTGGCCTGGCCTGCATAACCGAGGAGAGGACCTATCCCGCGCTGGAGCCGGGCCGGGAGACGGCGGGAGAACTGGACGTGCATGCCGAAGTGGGATGGAGCGGTCTCGCGCGGGGAATGCGAGCGGCGCCTTTTTTGCTTTGTCCCAGTTGACTCGAGGTCTAGGCCATGAGAACTGCACGACAAGACCGAGTGCCCAATCACGTTGGCCCCGGGCTTTCAAGACGGCTTCCCATCTAGCTGTCCTGCTTGTCGCTCTGCCCCATCTGCTGCCGGCCGGCCTTTCTCTCGCCTCACAAGTAGCTGGCCTGTCCTAGTAGACTCGGCAATCGTTGCTGTTGCAGATGATCTCGTAGGCATCCCACGGGCTGACTAGCAATAAGGGGGAAATAGTCTGAGAGATCAATGACGCTGGACCTGAAAGACACGGCGTGGAAGAGTTTAGGCTAGCAGTCTGCAGTCTGTGTCTGTGTGGTGGGTGTGCAAAGACATGATCGACCTGTTGGGACGAAGGGAGGGAGTTGCCTGCTGACTGAGCAGATAGATACTGGACGGACCCCAACCCCAACCCTGACACCAACCACACAGTACCTAGGTATCCACCGGTCCCAGTAGGGCCCCATCGAGGCCCCACAGCGTGATCCAATTTAAACCAAGGGCAGGCGCATTGTGTACTCAGGTACTGTAGGCATAGTAGTCTAACAATTAGTCTGGCTGGGTAGTTACGCGATTGAGGGCGCGACGGACGGGGGGTGGGAGGACCCTTCCTTGGAGTTTGCATCATGACCTCAGACCTTCACTCAGCCGCCCTCACATTAATGCCTGCCTTGCTGCTTGCCTGTTCCGGCACTACACTAGATCAAAACAACGGGACACCAGCCTCCCTCACCTGCCCGTTTATCTACCACTGCACGCTATTTTTATCAAATCATCGCCATCATCACCATCCTCCACCACCACCACCCATCACCATCGTCGCATCCCTCTCTCCCTTTCTCCCTGGTCTTTGCCGTCCGTCTCCCATCCACTCCGTACTCGAGCCGACTCGGATGTCTCTATCAATCAGCCCCCAGACCAATCTTGTCCCGAGCACAAGCATACAAAGCGCAAGCGGCCCGCTTGATCTATTGACTTTGGTGTTTGCGCCCGCCCGTTCACATTCCATCACGGCGCGCACACGAAAATCAGAGTCATTGGCCATCCGCCCGCCACCGTCACCTGCAGCAGCTAGTTGTTAAGTCGTGCCTGCCCGTCTGGTGAATCGCCCGGCTACTGCAACCACTTTAAGTCGGGCCACCTTCAACGCCCAAGTAGCGCGCCGCGTGCACCTTGTCCGTCGACGGGTCCATTAGACTCCATACCCACACGGCGCCCTCCACTCCCTGCCTCCCTGCCCCCACTCACACATCACATCCCTTGTTCCTTTTTTTTATTTACTTTCGCTCGCGTCTCGTCGAGCCTCGTCTGAACCATCTCTGCTCGTCCTGCATGGTCGCCCTCTGCATCTCGAGTCTTCCGGCACCTGCAGCCCGTCGTCATCATGCCTAGCCCTTCAAAGCGCACTCAGCGCGCAAGGCGCGACTCGACGCGCAAAGAGCTGGCTTCCGATCGCCCCGACGATTCTTCTCCCTCGCGTCCTGCTAAGCGCAGAAAGAAGGTTCGTCTGCCCGTCCGCCTGCCTGACTACCTGTCTGTTCGGCCTCGACCTGACGTTTGTCAGGTCGCGCCCTTCCGTGCCGCACTCTGCTCCGCCATGCCTTGTCGTTAATCGCTGCCTACTGACGCGCTTGCTTCCCAATTTCTAGACCGAGGAAACCTCCCCTTCGCCTAAGGATAATCCCGACGAGGAACCCGACTCTAGTCTGGCTGCTGACTCCAGTCTTGTTGCCGACGACTCCATTCAGAATGCGAAGCCTTTCGATTTTGTCGTCGACAAGGTCGCCGAGTACCTGAAAGCTCCCGCGAACGTCGCCATTCAAGCCAGCAAGGACCACTCCAACTCCCGCCTCACCGGGGAGGACGGTATCAACGCCTACGCCAAGATCGTCGGGCTTGGTTGGACGTTCTATGTCAAGAAGACGACCATCAATATCGGCCGCTCCTCTGATCCTCCGCAGCCCGTCGACCCAGATAACGACGAGGAATTCATTCACGTTGACCTGGGACCAAGCAAAATGATTTCACGCCGGCATGCGAGCATCTTCTTTAGCGCCAGCTACAGTGGGGGCTCCGGTCGGTGGGTACTACACGTCAAGGGCAGGAATGGGGTCAGAATCAATGGTGTCCCCCTGCCTGTCGACGAGGCCCAGGCATTGAGCAGTGGTGACGTCCTCGAAATCGCGACAATCGAGATGATGATGGTTTTACCGGAACAAGAGCCCCTCAGAATATCTGCACAGTACCTTGAGCGCGCTGGTTTGTCTGAGCGTGATCTTCCCACCAAGACAGACGACGCTCGTGTAAATCCACCAAGCTCTGCCGCACACAGGCCTAGTTCCTCGCATAGCATCTACCAAGCCCGGCAAGGGCGAGGACAACAGGCTATTGCGCCGGCCCCGCCTGACTACAAGCGCCCCGGGACGCCACCGTCTGTACGGAGCAGGAACCAGACTGTGCCCAAGGCTTCGCCGCTTATCAGGGGCAACGCTACCGGGAACATGATTTTGAGTACCAACGACATGGACCTAAGTCTCGAGGATAATAAAGGCATCAAGCCTCAGTACAGCTATGCGCAGATGATCACCCAGGCGATCATGAGCACCCAGGACGAGAAACTCAACCTGAACGGCATCTATACGTACATCATGTCGAACTATGCGTACTATCGGCATCAGCAGCCTGCTGGCTGGCAGGTTAGTACCTAGTACCCCACCTAGCGTCTGACGGAACTTCTTTACTAACACTATTTAGAACTCGATCCGTCACAATCTTTCGCTCAACAAGGCATTCGAGAAGGTTGCCAGGTCTACTGATGAACCGGGGAAGGGAATGAAGTGGCAGATCACAGCCGAGTGCCGTGATGAGATGGTGAAGAACGCCTGGAAGGGTGGCCGTGGTGGTCATCGTGGCTCTTCAAACCCATCATCGCCCAGTGGGCTGAACTACATCACCCAGGGTCCGCGAGAAATGGCAGCCAAGGAGCCCAGTCCCCTTCGCAAGCGCAAGGTCTCACCCTCCGGATCACCGCAACCTCGATCGGCTTTGCGTATCTCGCACACGACACCCGAGCGCAGCACTCGCCGTCTTCAGTCTGATGATACAGCGGATATCGTAGACGGCAGTCCTCTCCCAAGACACCGACAGTCAAGTGCTGGAGCCTCGACTGCGCTGAATGAGACCGCTCCGCGGTCACCTCTCCTAACGTCCTCGTATCTTCCAGAGGACGGCTCATCCCTGGTGACCCCAGCTCCGCTCAAGATTCACCCCAGACTCGCGCCTCCGAGCACGGCTCAGCGCCCGAGCCAACACATGCCCATGAGCTCCCCGGCTCCCTTCTGGAAGTTTGCCGAGTACGGCAGCACCCCGATCAAGCCTTTAGCGGATATCAGCCCCTCCAAGAACCCAGGACCAATCCAGCAGAGTAGTAGCCCCCCACGCATTGCCAAGTCTCCCACTGGTAGTCCCACCCAGAACGGCCGCTCAGCAACTCACGAGCCAATCAAACCTGAAGAGCCGGAGGATGAAGAAGAGGGCATCGATTTGACCAAGTAAGTGCGGTCGCGCCGAGTTCTGCCCGCAGCGGAAATGCTAATCAATCGTGCAGAGGATTTCAAAGTATCAGCTCTTACCACGAGTCGCTGAATGCTTCCATGTCCAAGGGCAATTCGTTTGAATCCACCAATGGAAGCAAGGCATAGGCAAACTCCGATGTCGATCATAATGCCTCGACCCAGGCCTGCCGGTATCGATGTTTCCGACTAGGAAGAATTTCCACCCGACTTCTTGGAACGCATCACCGACAAATGGAACGAGACTCACATCCTGATAACTCAAAAGAGGTGAATCTTTACAATGGGCGAACACCGTACGCATGATGCACTACACAGGACCGGGAATGCGCAGACGTAGCATAACACAACCCAGATGTCCGTCATGCCTGGCAATGGGAGCCTTTTCACTAGGTCGAAGGTCTAGATCACAGAACGTCCAAGCTACGGCTTGGATTGAAACTGGCGCTCTGAACATCTCATCCCATTTCAGTCCCGGCAAGAGACCTTAACATACAGTCGAGCCACAGTCCCGTGGACAGGACGCAGGCCCTACTTACTTGCTCTTAGTCCAGCATTGAACAATCCATCTGCCGGGTCTGGTGAAGGTTCGACACGGGAGCAAGTCGCCTGACTTACCTCGCTTCCCTTTACTTGGGCCGCAACTCCCACGCCGTGGAGCTGCGACGCCACTGTACTACTATATTATACCATTCTTTGGATTTTGAAATGGGTTAAGTTGCAATTTGGTTACCGGAGCGATTACTCAGTCAAAAGGAGTTAGGGCGTTCTTTCACTGGTGGTACGATTGTGGCCATACGACCCGAATAGTCATGATTTGATGATATCTTTGCTACTGCTTTTTCTGCTTTCACTAGGGGGGGGGGGGAGAGAGTTGGGGCTTACTCAGCTCCAGTTATGTATGATCACGATGTATGCTTTACGCTTTACGCATTATGCTTAGTCGGGGTAGAAAAGGAGGATGACGTTTGGGCTTCGACATCCAGGCATCATCAACCAGGTCAGCGAAGCGGTAGTTGGAATGACATTGATGGCACTATCTTACGCAATTCCCGTCTTGCTCACGAATTCCAAGCAATGGGTCATATCGCATCTCAGCACTCAACAATTCAAAATCGAGATCAATGGAGTGAAGATGTCTATTCTCACATTTGCCTCGTCCCTGCGCCGGCTTTGGGCTACTGCGTGCTTGCTATGTGTAGAGAGGGCTTTGTGCGCTATCCAGTACATGATGGAAACTTGTACTCCCGTCGCCCGTCTCCGCGCTGGAAGAGAAAGAAGACCCTCCGCCGCCGCCCCTTTCTTTGCTGTTTATTTGATTTTGTACATGTGTTTTGATACATTTGACAGTGCCCAAGTATGCAGACGATCAAGATCTGAGTAGAGAAAACGCCGCCCCATGTAATGAGTATTCAAGGTGGGAAACAGGAAAATGAAGCACCATGCCGACAAAAACACGCGCCATCGCTGCTTGCCTTGGTTTTGCATCGGGTGTTTGTATTTTCTTTTTCTTCTTCGCCTCGTCGAGTCTGACACATGCTTCCTTTCAGACGGCCACCAATTTTGCATTTCCATGCCGCGCCGAGCAAACTCGGCCTCGACGCGCACGTGCCGCCGCTCATGTTACCGTGCCGCGAGCCCGTCGCCCTCAACTACTTAAGCCGTGGTGGGGACCTGGGATCCGCCGCGGCGGCTCTTGGGGTTCTTGCTGGGGCCGGCGGTCTTCTTGCCACCGCTAGACTTGGACTTCTTGTCCGCGCCGCCCTCGATGAACTTGATAAGCTCGTCGATGTTGCGAGCATCCAGGGATGGCTTGCCCTGGACCTCGTGGTTGGCCACGCCGGCGGCCGAAGAGGAGGCGGCGCCGCCCGCGACGCCCGAGCGGACGCCCGAGGACAGGTTGCGCGGCGTGAAGCGGATGCCGGCGCGGAGGCGGCGTGCCTGGACGTCCTTCTCGTGCTTGGCGATGGATACGGCGTTCTGCGTCAGCTGCTCCAGCCAGCTCTCGGCCTCCTTGGTGTTCTTGTCCTCCGGGCCCAGCTCCTGTAGGAAGATGTTGTAGCTCTCGCGCATGCGGTTGACGGCACCCTTGGAGTCCTGGTCCAGAGCAAGGGCCTGCGCCAGCTGGAACAGGAGCGTGGCGCTGTTGATGGACTGCTTGCCAAAGACCTTGTCGCAGATGCGCAGCGACTCCTCGAACCAGCGGCGCGACTCGTGGTACGCCTTGAGGTGCTGTAGCATCACGGCCGCGTTGTTGATGGTCGTGATGGTGTCAGGGTGGTCGGGCCCGTAGATGATCTTCCACAGCTGGAGCGCGTGCTTGGCGTACTCGAGGGCACTACGGCTGTCGCCCAGCTGGTGCAGGAACAGGCTGAGGTTGAGGTAATCGAGAAGGGTCTCCTGCGCGTCAATACCGACGGTCCTTTCCGCAACCATAATTGCCTTGCGGGCAAGCTCGACAGCGGCCTCCTTCTCGTCCAGCTGGAAGTAGAGCATGGAGAGTTGATGGTAGACGCGTGCTACCTCTGGGTGCAATATGCCGTGGATCTGCTCATGCAGCGACAGTGACTCCAGCAGGAGCTCTTGTCCCAGCTTCCTCTGGTTCTGCGCTATGGAGATTCGTCCTGCCTCCAGAGCTTCCTCAGCCAGAGAGCTGCGTGGTGAAGAGTCCTTGACAATGGGCACAACGTTGACGATATCGTCGGCGGCGAATGTGTGGGGCACCGTGGTCGAGGCGATGGAGGCTGGGGAGCCCTCACGGGCCTTCTTCTTCTTCTTCTTGTTCTCGCCGTTGCCGTTCACGGCTGGGGCTTCAGCAGCGACGGGTTCTGGTGCTGACGCCGGTGTGAAGGCATACTCCTTAGACTGCACTTGGAGACCGAGCTTCAAGCAGATCTCGCGCAACACCTGTACTGGGCTGAGCTGAGCGTGCCACTCAGGGTCCAGCTGGAATCTGAACCGTTGAGACGTCTCTAGCTCGACAGCCTTCCTCAGGCTCTCAGGGGTGACAGTCTCGAATGAGAGGTCTGCGTCGCTGTAGAGAGCTCGCAGGGACTGGTCGATGTCGGCAGATGGCTTGGCGTTCAGCCCAACGCCGAGGAAGCAGTTGAGAAGATGCGCAATGCAGGTGGAGGTCAGGGGCAGTGGCAGATATCTGAGGTACTTCGCGGCGACGTGCTTGAAAGACCTCACAATCATGTCTCGGACGCACACGTCACGGAGGCACTGCAGCCGTGATCCCTCGCTCTGAGACGCGACCTTGCCGAGGTATCGCATGTTGATACCGCGCTTGTGAAGCAAGTTTCGCAGTGACGTGCCGTCCATGGGGAAGCTGATATCCGATTCCTTCAGGTCGTTCAGCAGTTCAGGGATCGCCGTGTCTCGGAGGTAGGCACAGGCTGATCGCACGTCTTGCTCGTCGGCCGCCAGCTCTTCCTTCTCGGCATCGGTTTGGGCCTCTTGCCCGCTGAAAACATCAGGGTTGAGAGCGAACTTGAAGTTGTTGACATCAATTCGGTCATCCTGGTCCTGGCTTGGAGTGGCCTCCTCGGCCTTCTCGGCCTTCTCCACCGTCTTCTCTTCAGTCTTCTCATCCTTCTTGTCCTCGGAAGCCTCGGTCGCGGGCTTCTCTCCAGTGGATTCCTCCAAGGCCTTCGCATCCTTCTTGGCATCGGCACGCTTTGCGATCTCAGCATTCACCCACTCACGCATCTTGTGCCTGTGGACAAGCTCGACGAGCTCTCCTCGGAGGACAGTCATGCGGTGCGGGTACGGGTTGGTCTCCTCCTCAGCAGCGGTCTCCTCCAACCATGCGATGTCCAACGGGGTGATCCGGTAAAGGTCCAGCACGTACTTCCGGCCGTCAGTTCCAAGGAGACCCTTTGTTTCGACACTGGCCTCCAGGTCAAATCGCTTGCCATCCTTATCCCAGACAGCGTGCTTCTTGACCTTCATGGCCTGAGAAAGCTTCTCGAAGACAGAAGTGAACTTCTCGTTTGCAGCCACGACATCCTTGCCATCGACGGCACCATAGTCGATCTGGTTCTCACCAGGCTCCCGCTGCTTGAAGATACCCGGAACGATGCTTTGTCCGACTATCCGCTTGCCCAGGTAGTCCACGACCACAGTACCAGGGGTGTAGAGGCCCTCAATATCCAGCTGGTTCACGACCTTGACACCGGCCACATCCTTGCCAGTTGCAACACGCGCTGCCTCGTCGCCACCCTCGGAGGTGAAAGTGCCGACTCCGTCCGCGCCAAAGGAGAAGAATACGTTGTTGTATACATAAATCTGAGCATCTCGCGCCTCGGTAGGGTTTAGAGGCGCAACCTCGCCACGAGCCACCTGAACAGCTCCCCTCGCCGCAGCATCGTTGTAGTCGGCATAGAGTTTCGCCAGCAAACGCTCCCTGAAAACACGGTCCTGGACGTTTTCCTTGGGCAACTCCTTGGCAGACTGAAACTCCTCATTCCAGTCTCGCAGGGTGTCTGTGTTCTCCACGCCAGCGATGAGGTACGATTCCTGTGTCCTCGTGATATCGGGTTGGTGAGCGCAGAGTGGCGACGTTGACGAAGGTACCACCCATGGTGCCGAGGGGATGGCATTTGTGATCTGGAAGGTTGCCAGGGGTTCTCGGCAGTTGTTGTACTCCTGTAGCTGGGCAAACGAGGCGGCAAACGACAGGGAAATCTCGCCAATGAGGCTCAGAAGAGAGTGTGCAGATGCACCCTTTGGCGCTAACCGGGGCGACGGGTCAAACTTGGCATTCGAGGACTTGTTGACGAAGAAACCTCCGACATGCGCCGTGATTTGGAACTGTTCACCCTCGTTGGTTGTCACAATCAGGTACAGCAGATGTCCCCTTTGGCGCAGATGCACGGGAGGCGGGTTCCAGGGCGACAGCTGAATAGCCTTCACGGTCTTGGGTGCAGGATCCTGCTCTGCTGGCAGCAAGGACGACACGGGAGGAACGACATCAAAGTTGTATTCCTCGACCGCGGCCCGCTCTTGATCCGCCTTATCCGCCGTGTCTCCGGCTTCTGTGGCAACCTTTTCGTAAAGCGAGGCTCCAGCAAGGACGCCTTGTATGGTATCGGTGCGGTCGCCTGACGCACCGATGAGCTCGCGGACCCTGATGAGATGTATCCTCGCCTCTTTTTCAGTGTATGGGTCCTCCACTAGGTGGATTTCAGCGTCGGGGCCGATGCCATTGATCTCGTTGATGGCTATGAAGTCGTTGATCCTCTCGCCCTTGTGCTCGAGATGGAAGCACGAGTACTGCAGAGCTGCTGGCAGCTCGATAATTGATTGTCGGACTTCGTGGACTTGCTCATGGGGAGAGACCTATTGGACAGAGATTCAGCGCCTCGGAACACCATCTTCTTGACACAGCCTTGCTAACCATGATGTTGACCTTGCCCGGCGCTTGGGGTAGGACAATGTTCAGTAGAAACATAGCGTCTATGGGCCATTAGCACAGCAATCCTCACGCACCCAATGGCTTGGCCGGCCAGCCCGATGTCACGGGCCTTCGTGTTGAGAACCGGACGTACCTTCGGGGTTCGGCTCCACCCCATCGTCCACAACCGGTGCCGGAGCAGCGCCGTTCACTTCGGAGTTTGGGGTCTCTGGCGCAGCATTCTCTAGAGTCACGAGCTCTATCAGTACTCACGCGAGCAAAGCAAGGTAGGGACACCTCCGAAGAGGGTGGGGGCGTGTTTAGAGGAGAGCGTACCAGCCACAGCAGCCGCATCCTTGGTCGCTTCAGCCATTTTGGATATGGTTCGAGGGTCCGGGCCGAGACAGGATCGGAAGGGTCGTCGAGGTTTCCCTATGTACAGCGAAGGGGGTTGACTTCCAGAATGCGCCGGCCCGAAAAGAACGGACTGGGGATGGGAATCTGGGAGGGATGGGAAATACAAATGCGCCCCTTCTGACTTGAGGAGGAAAGAAATGGGGCCGATTCGAGATAATCGAACGGATATCTGGAATAGACAAGGTATGTGAGGCGAAAAAAGAATAAGAAAGAAGAACAAGAAACCGCAGTCCACAGCTCAATACTCTTTGCTCTCTACGCTACATACGTCGACGATTTTCAAAAAATTCTGCGCTAGGATAACCCGTCCTCCCGGCAAGACGCGGGTGCGCCCCCAGACCTGCAACTGCGAGACTGGAGCGCAGCTGCACCAGGGCACCAGGGCACCAGGGCACCAGGGCACCTGGGCACCTGCAGCCGGGGGCCGGGCAGGCAACGTGAGTTCTTGCTCCGTCTCCCGTGCGCCCGACATGACCGTCCCGCACGGTCCCGCACCGTAATAATATCAGCCAACAAGCCAAGCCAAGCCCGTCAGATTGTCGCGTTGAGGCAGTGGCTGCTGATTATGATAATGAAGCTCACTGACGAGTCAATTGTGTGTCCAAATGGCTTCAGAATCAGTTTGGTAGTTCCGGTGGGCAAAGCCAGAGATCCACAGTGTAGCTGCTGGTGGGTAAGAGCATATTCCGTCATTCCATTGGCCCGCGGCCGACGTGAGCTCCCGGCATCTTTTGGAGCTCGGATTCTGGGGAACGAACGGTGAAATTCTGGAGAGCCCGAACCCTGGTTGCTGCGCGCAAAGTAAACAGAAGACCTTGGCAAGGGGCCCGGTCCGACTACCAACGTCAACAACATCGTCATCACAGCTCCTCATCATCGCCGCGACATCCATTCACACCTGTTCCGTCTTGTGAACTTATATTCGCTTCAATTAGCTCAGCACTTCTTCTCATTTCAAAGCATTCCAAGTAATGCGGGACTAGAGAGGCAGATGATGGGGAGCATTTGCTTATGATCTTCTTGCTCTTATCGACACATTCAATATGGAGCCATTGGATACTCAGAATCGTACATCATGGCACGCCCACTCATCATCCAGGCGCCGGCAATCGGCCAGAGAGAGCCTGCAACCATGGACACCCACTCGCTGCCATCGCTTGCTTCGCCCACTGAAGACACATGTCTCTGCCTTGAGGCGCGAGATCGACCTGGAGGACTCTGAGAGACTGAGTGATGATGTCGCCCAGGACGGCGCCGCTGAGACAAATCGTCCCAGCCTCCAGCATACCTACTCGGAGAGGCCGGAAGGCACAGGCGCGTCCTAGCACTTCGGGAGGCCCTAAGAATTCTTCTACGCGTACCCCAAACAGGATACCAAAGAGGAGCATCATACAGCCGGGAGAGATCGTCTTACCAACACCCATTATTCGCCGGGCTCGAGGCCAGCAATTCTCGTCGCCAGTACAGCAACCACCAGTGGCAGATGAGGCAGGGGTCGTGACCGGAAAGAAGCGGTTCGCGGATTTCCGAGGTCAACGGACGCCATCCTTCGTCACGGCTCTAGAGAGTGAGATGCAACCGCTCCGCAATCGAGTCTCGGCAACCAAATTCTCGCTTTATGATTCAATACTCAGAACCGTCCACTCCCTTCTCACAGCCACGGCAGCGTCGCCCCCAAGCTCGCCGGCGAACAGGTCTCTTGTGGCCATGTGTCTCCGTATGGTCCCCGAGTACATCGGCGAGCTCGAGTACTGGGAACAACATGACGCGGAGGAAAAGGGAACTAAATCAACACTGCAAAACTCTGAGATATCTAGTGAGATCTATGGCGAACTTGAGGCCATGCTTCCGACAAGCTATGAAGCCGGCCATCTCAGAATTGTAGTCCGAGCCCATGCCATCAAGGTTGTCAGAGACTCGATCGCCGAGGGCCTGCTAGACGACGCTTTTTCGATGTTGCTCATCAAGCTTTGCTGCAGGACCAAGTCTTTCAGAGAGGGCGAGGAGCTGCTGCAAGAACTCACCGATCGTTCTTATCCAAAGCCCAGAGGCGCTGATAGCACCTTCGATGAGAGCCGGAAGCTCGCACCCCTCAAAACGTCGAGGGACTTCGCGAGGGAGTCTGGTAGACCACAATTCATGCAACGACAGCTCACCAGGTTGTTGACACAAAAAAAACTGCCACTTCTTTGGCTGTCCACAAAGGAATTCGGTACGATTTGGTCCTGCATGGTTAAGACCCTTTCCAGAGACGATATCTGTGACGACACTACATCATTCACGGTCCAAATGATCACAACACTCTCATCGCAAGCCAGGCTCGAAAACATGTCTCTCAGAACCCACAGTAACGACCTCAAGAGCTTATCACAGCAGACTTTGATCAGTGCTATCACAGCAATCTCAACATTGCCCATCTTGGGCCAGGAAGCCAGAGATTCATCCGTGCACCAAACTACTCAGACAAATAGATCTTCAGCATCGCAAAAGGTTGGATATATCATTCAGAGATGTATGCACGAATTAAGAAGGAACAGAAAACCAGGATGGCCAGCCACTGTCCTGAGCTTGGCTGCATTCTTTACGAACACAATACCAGACAGTCACAAGGGCAACATTGTGTCAGGAGCGTTGGCTCGAACCACAAGCGGCCAGGAGAGCATGGAGGGTAGGCAACACTACGAAGCAGTTACGTCCCTCATCGGCGCCATTGCGCAGTGCTGTGGTCGAGGATCAACACAACCGTCGCACTACTATCTCAACAGGCTTTGCGATCAGCTCGAGCACGAGTTCTCTTCCGACGGAACACCGAGAACCTTGCGGATGGACTGCGCGTTCGTTCTGGCAGAGCGGACCAATGATCTCCGTGACCTCGCTTTCGCTGAGTCGCTTGACGCATCCATGAGCAAGCAGCAAGTCATTCCGACGCCTCGGAGGAAGTCCGCCTCGTCAGCCTACCGCTGGGACGAAGACATATGCGAGTGGATCACCGTCACTCCTGCGCCAATGCAGCGACAACGACGAAGCTTATCATCCAGTCTGTCGCCCCCTCCGGAACAGAAACATGGTTCCGGCGGGGGCCAGGAAGCAGACTCGGCGAAACACCTTCGGCCGAAACACAGGCAGAAACTTGCTCGCGGTGTAACGACAACAACTCACCCAGGTTCTGCCGACAAAACGTCGCGGCGGCTCCGCAGCGGCACACCACTGGGCAAGCGGAGCTGGGAAGCCCATCAATCGGTCGATCTGCTGGATGATGACGGCGATGGTGATGTCGAAGGCCCAGGCGCCCAGCGCAACAGCAATGATGAAAATGGGGTGTTTGCTCGCCAGGATGGTGCGAAGAAGCGTCGCACCACAGCTTTGAAGCCATCTCGGGCCATTCTGAAAACAATTACCAATATTTCTCGCGACGGCGAGTGCAGCGAGGACGAGCTCGGCCTCTGAAAGGGCGTCTCGCGGTCAGGCGTTGATTGTTAATAGCAAACAGGAGGGAGGGCCCAACTGTTTGGGTAGGGGTCTCACTCGCAGGCATTGGGCAGACCAAGAATCCATCAGTATGGTAATCCGATACGACACGTCGGGAATAGAAAATGAGAAAATGCATTAACCTGCTGTATGCTGTGTGCGTGGCCGCTGTCGCAGAGCCAAGCTTGTGAGGCTGTCAACTGTGTCAAGATTGTGGAGCCCCGGTACATGTGGGCGGCGCGCAGAGCCGCGTGTGCAACTATGCAGAAAGTACAAGCCTGTAATACATCGTATTGGTTGCGCACGTCTGCTTGTCCAAGACTGTGGCGCACGGGGCTCAGAGCCCTGTTACCGACTGGCTGTCATGATGTGATGCTGATAGATATCCCCCAAAAGGCAGAGCAGGCCGGCTGTGCGGCTCGTGGATCGCCAACCGGGGACAGTCCAGATGCGCGAGACTTGGCACCCTGACGCACGACCCAAAACAGAACATTCGGTCTCGCTTGATCTTGCCGTTTCACCCAAGACTGAACAAACATGTGTGGGTGCGGCATCCATTAACGTCAAGTGCTTACACTCGACAGGCTTTAATTTTGTTAGTTCGACATGAAGTGGATGTGGGGGGAGAAGTAGAGAACATCAACTTGCACTCAAATTCTGTGGAAGAAGAAGTCCTACTACTTTCTCTCCATAAATATCCCCGAAGAAAAGAGTGTATTTCAGAGGGTTAGGCAGGCAGGCGATCCAGTCCAACCTGATAGCGAGGGGGAGTGGATGCTCATGCCGAACTAACAAAATTATAGCCTGTCGAGTGTAGCAGCAGTGATGGGCGTGGTCTGATCTTGCTACTCGTCGGACTGGGCCCCCAATCCCTGGCGTTGATCTGCTACCGCAAGCCTGCTGGGCAGATCGTCGCCGAGGATCGCCCGCCACCGAGGCACACAGGTGTTCAGGCGATGGGCGACGAGCACGCGTACCAATGAAGCCTCAGCTGGCGGACCTGTAAAAAATGAATTGGTCGTGACGCCGGTGCGCTTGACGCAGCTGGGCAGCGCCTCGAGCGACGCGTGAGCTTCTTGACATGTTTCGGCCTGGTGAGGATTTCAAGAACGCGTGGATGATGACGGCCAAACCCCCGTCTAAAGTTTTGAGGTGGCGGCCGGCCGCTCTGATCAAGCGGCCTCCCCCACCTCCCTTTGGAATCAGATGGCATGTGTTCCTGATAGCGCCCAGGGTCCTTTCAGCCACTGTAACCTGATTGCGTGATTGGACCGATAGCAAGCACTCGCAAGAGCTGGTCGACATGGGAGCATCGGAGCGACGTCGACGGCCCACTGGCGAACGCCTTGCTGGGCAGTCCGATGTTGCCCTCGAAGCTCGATGAGCTCGGTCGCACCATGTCTCGCTGGCAGGTGATAGATTGAATCGGCACTTGGCGGCTGATAACCTGCGATCACTTGGGCCACTGGATGACATCGGATGGCTTCATTTTCCCATGCCACGTCGTCCCATCCAAGCTGCCGCGAAACTTGTCGAAGTCAATTCCAAGCCATGTGAATCTTGATATAGAATGATAAAGGGCCAGACGCGCTGGTCAAGTCGCACCAGTGACATGTAGATTGAAAACATGGCCTGCCGAGCCCCGAGTCTGCATGTCTCTTCAGTGGTTCTCTTACTAGTGTTGGTATTAATTTTGGACATCTCGAGTGCGGAATGTGCTTGTCCGCTTCGAATGGCCGACCAAATTTTATGGAGCACGTCGAGAAGCTTGTTCGATATTGCAAAGAGCTTGGTCTACCAGGCAACCTGTTCCACGGACCGACCGACCGCGGTAGCAGGTCGACGTAGTCTCAGCCAGCTCTCTTGTAATCCGTGGCTAGCAGGGGCCCACGCGGTTGATTGGTGTAGAATATAGATCACTGATACGGGCATCTGCATGCAGATCTGGCAGTGGACAGTAGCGCACTCTATGAGAAACTCTCGACGCAAACTTTGAGGCCGGAGAAGTAACACTGGGGCTTGCGAGGAGTGTGACCACTTAATCATGTCTAAAGACGGTTCTTGCTTGCTCCAGGCCAGCAGCGCCAGACCAGTGTCGAGGCCCCCTTAGTCATTTCCGTCTGCCAGGATCCGCCTGTACGGGACCGCACTGTTAGTGTGGCCACTCAATGGGCTGCAGGGGAGGCGGGGAGCACGAGCATGATGTGCAGAGGGAACCGTCAGCCTTCCGGGTAGATCGAGCTGGTAGTCTGGTAGCCTGGCTGTGGCCATAAAACAATGCTGTACCAATTGGAAAACAACAAGCGTGGTTCTTGCCAAGCCGAGTGGGCATTCGGCATGCTGTGGGATCTCTGGCCCTCGGGACAAGCCAGCGCCCCGAAAGCAGTCCCCAGATTTCGGAAACGGTGATGGAGAACTCGTTTCTTATGGCGAGGATCTCCGCAGGCCCGCTGGGGATCAAGGTCAGCCTCCAAGATGACGGTTGAACCTGCTGATTCTGCCGCAAGAGGAGATACGAGAAGCAGGAGGATACTTTTGCCCAGTCCACCAGCGTCTTGCCAGAGTTCAGTGTGTAATTGCACGGACTCGTGGCAAGCTGACCTGAGCTGGGGCTCCACCAATTGAGGGCGCGTAAAGGCGGCACGATTGCCCAAACAGGCATTCGGCAGGGATGTGGGCGTCAGCGGCTGTCAGGGACGCGAAGTGAGAAGGCGATGTGAGTGGGCCGCCCCTGAGCAGAGTCGTGGTGGGGCAAGGTTGTTTGGCCCGTTTCACATGTCCGTGTGCAGAAGCCTGCTGTCCAATGGGCCGCCGTCAATCGACAAGCTTCGAAAGCCTTCGCCGGCCGAGAGCGAACTTGAGAGGTGTCGACTGTCCCATGGAATTTCCCGCCCCCGCCCACGAAACAGAATAGGGCAGTCTGGCAGGGGTGCAGGGACTCGCAAGGGCACGACCATCTGCGCATGTTTGTGGTTGCTATTCGTCATCCGGCCAGGCAGGCGCAGGAAAGACATGGCGCAGGAGGAAACCTGCAAAAAGTTAGGATGACCAAGCATTTGACAGCAGCGTTCAGAGCATCGGCTCAGGGACCTGCTTGCTCGCCAGCTTGGCAGACCGGCACGCAAAAACCAAAGCAGGACCAGCATGACGGAAGCAGCCAGAAAGTGACCACAGCGCCGGCTTGTGGCTCAGGCATGATCTGCCCGTGGGTGCTGCGGTTGCTGTGGATTATACTCTGGTGTTACTATGTTTGTTCAGACGACGGGAGGGCTCGGTGGCTGAGGTGATTGGCGGTGATTGTCCCTGGGATTGCCCTGGCACAGGCAGTTCGTGAATCATGTTGCCAGCTGTCGCAATTGGGGGGGGGGGGCGCAAAGTCCTGACTGAAGTTGACGTTTTGAGTGTTTGGATGAGTGGTGTAGAGCAGAGCCGCGTTTGTCGTCGCATTGTCAATTACTCCGTACTACCCATACCAGGAGAGGGAGCGTTGGGAAGATGCGAGATGGGAGATGGGAGGGTCTGAAGAAGCACATGCATCTCTCGGGTCGATCTCCTGGGTGGCTGGCTGGGTGGCTGCAGCGCCAGATTTGTTGGGGTCTGACGGGCACGCAGCCACTCGGGCACGAGGCAGGCAGGGTCATGGACTCCGCCAGGTCCGTCACTCTCGGAGAGCTCCAGTCGATGCAGCCAGGGTCAGAACGTGCATGGGGTGCGGTGCAGGCAGAGGTGACAGATGCGAGATAAGCAGACGCCAAAAGAGGTTCACAGGTGCGGCCTCTTGTGCGGAGGTTGAGGCGGCACATAGCAGGCGCGCGCCGATTTGTGGGTTCCAAGACCCGTGGGCGTTTCGATGTCGTGGCCAGCGCGGGAACCAGGCTTGCTTGGGGCGAGCTTGGGAGCTGGGGCAGCCGATCCATGTAAGAAAGAAGAAAAAAAAGAACAAATGCCTGTGCAGCACGATGCTGCGCAGAGCAGTGCTATACGGCTCGACAAGACAGAGCATCCACTGCCAGGACTCAGTAGGCATTGGGTACCCATTTGAGCTGTCGTGATGCATTACACAGGTTATATGCTGCATAGGTAGCACAATAATAAATATTTCGTAGTACATACTACACACGTACGGTGGCACCGTATGAGGGTCGGTCTGTTGGCTGTCAGGTTGGCGGGCTGACGGGAAGGTGCAGGGTACGTACCATTGTACCCCTGTACCCCTGCACTTGTTTTACCCCCCCCCCCCCTTCCACCCTTAACCGTGCCTACCCTGCGCTGCACCCCGCTGTCGTGTCCCTTCCCTTCCTTCTGCAGGAGGGGAGGGGCCGGGCTTCCAAGGCTCCAAGGTTCCCCTGAGTCGTCGCTCTCGCCTTCCCTCACTGCCAGGACTGATGGCTGTCCCAAGTAGATCGCTGTGAGCCTTCGACAGGCCACTTGATTGGACTCCACCAGGGATCCCACTTGCGACGGCCGACCACTTGCTTGGCATATATCCGCCCGTCACGTCCCCTCGACCTCTGGCCGGCAGACCCAGGTCGTCCAAGATTTCAACCACGCTTTCTTCATTTCACTTCAACCCAGCAGTCCGCGACTCTTGAGTCTTGACCTCTTGACTCACTCCCTTCCCTCCCTCTTCTCTTTTTACAGTCCTCAATACTCGTATCATTCTTGCATCGAGCTATTGGGCACAGGCACTCCTTTCGCTGTCTTCACTTCGTCATCGGGCTCCTTTTCTCATCAGCCCCCTTTCCCCCCACCGCACCAATATCACCACGAGCATTGCTCATTCACTCGCCACCTCACCTCACCTTGACTCTCACCACAACAATATAACGGTCGAAGCAACTGGATTGTGATTCGGGCCACAGTCACATGACAAGCTCTCTCCCTTGGGATTCTTCGACATCAGATTTTTGTTGACTCGAGGGTGTAATTGGTTGGACTCGGTTGAGCAACAAGGGAAACCAACGAGAACAGGAAGAGAAACAGCCCCCATTGAACAAACGGGAGCGAACAATTACGCATCCACAACATTCACTTTATCAAACGGGTCCCATACGAGCCCTCGCCAAGACGCGACCCGCCCGGACCCGCCACCTCGGAGCATTCGACTCACTTCACATTCCATTCGATTTCTTGCTGGTCTTGAAATCAGACATCCGCCCTTTCTAACTTGACAGTCTTAATCTTTCTGGCCCTCGAGGCCCAAAAGACGTCACCCGCTTGACAATAAAACCATCCTTCACCTAGGGACCAGGCCGTCACCCAGGGACACCACCATTTTCCCTCCGTACCCACGAGGTACTCCGAACTCATTCCACACCCTCCCACCACAGCCTATTCATCATGGCCGGAGGAGACGATGGCGAGACGGCTCAGGCCATCAACCCTTACTTGGAGAACCAACTCCTCTCCAACTACCTCTACTACATCCTTGCCATCATGGCAGCCTTGGTGATCACCCACAAAGTATACATCACCCTCATGAGATATGTGCGCACGGTGTCGTCCCTGAACAACAACACTCAGTCCTACTTCGCCCAGGAGTCATGGGGCCATGCCTTCTTCAAGAGGAGCCTGCAGTACGCACCCGTCTTCCGCAAGAGACACAACCGCGAGTTCCAGGTCAGCTCCGCCATCAACATGGGCACCCTTCCCACCAGGCTCCAGCTCTTTGGTCTGATCGGCTACTTTGCCACCAACGTAGCCTTCTGCTGCATCGACATCCAGTTCCAGGGCAACTTTAAGAGCTGGACCGAGATGTTTCTGTACCGGACCGGTGTTCTGGCCGTCGTCAACATGATCCCCCTGTGGTTGATGGCCGCGCGCAACAACCCGCTGCTGACGTGGCTGGGCATGTCTTTCGATACTTTCAACTTGCTTCACCGATGGTTGGGCCGTATCGTGGTGCTCGAAGCGCTGGCTCACACCGTTTGCTGGATGGCCTCGAAGGGATTGCCATTCGCCACCGTCATGGGCATCACAACGAAGAGCCCCTTCCTGACGTTCGGCCTCATCGGTACCATCGCGTTTCTGTTCATCTTCATCCAGGCGTGCAGTGTCTCGAGGCATGCCTTCTACGAGACCTTCAAGATTCTCCACATCATCGCTGCCGCTGTGTCCATTGTTGGTGTGTGGTACCACCTCAAGCTCAAGGACTTGCCCCAGCTGAAGTATCTGTACGCCGTTGTTGCCCTGTGGTCCTTTGACCGCGCTGCTCGCCTGATCCGCCTTGCCTACGCCAATGTTGGTTCAGGCGGCACCAAGACTCTCGTCGAGGCTCTCCCTGGCAACGCTGTCCGCGTCACCGTCAACATGGCCCGCCCCTGGGCATTCGCTCCAGGACAGCATGCGTACCTGTACTTCCCCAGCATCAGCCTGTTGCAGTCGCACCCTTTCTCTGTCGCTTGGAGCGAGGAGACCGACTCGTATGATGGGGAAAAGCTTCCCATGGACCGCAACGAAATTCTGTCGATGCGCAAGACCAGCATGGCCTTTATTATCCGAGCCCGGACGGGCGCCACCGGATCTCTCTACAAGAAGGCAGCAGCATGCCCCGATGGCAGATTGGTGACCTCGTGCTTCGTGGAGGGTCCTTACGGCGGCGACCACAAGCTGCAATCGTACGGCACAGCCATGCTCTTCGCAGGTGGAGTCGGCATCACCCAGGCCGTGCCTCACGTGCGCGATCTCGTCGCCGGGTACAACAATGGCACTGTTGCAGCGCGGAAGATCGTGCTCGTCTGGATCATCCAGAGCCCCGAGCACCTGGAGTGGATCCGCCCTTGGATGACCGAGATCCTGGCCATGGAGCGTCGCCGCGAGTGCCTGCGCATCATGCTCTTCGTGTCGCGGCCCCGTTCCACCAAGGAGATCCACTCCCCCAGCGCGACCGTGCAGATGTTCCCCGGGCGACCCAACATCGAGCACCTGATTGGTGCGGAGATGGAGAACCAGGTCGGCGCCATGGGCGTCACCGTGTGCGGTCCCGGCGCGCTGAGCGACGAGGTGCGGTTAGCCGTGCGAAACCGACAGTACAACGGCACTATCGACTTCTGCGAAGAGGCCTTCAGTTGGTAAGCCCTTCTCTGATGAGGCTCTCATCAGTTATTACCAACACGATCCGATGAATCCATGGGCGCCTTCTTTCGCTCGGACAACAAAAACCATCTTGCGTATACCCAGCGCGTTCTTGGGTGTGTGTACATATTTATTATTCATGAGACTTTCCCTTGTTTGGGTCTCCCCACGGCGCTTCTTGTCCTGGGGAAGACAGCGACAGACATAAGACGGGCACGTTGCTTGCACATTTGGGAGAGGCTGCAGTGCTTAATATGGGCACATTTGTGTGATCAGAGAGTCAGATGTTTTGCATTGGTAGCCGCTACATATCGGAACGAATGGAATGAAATCAATCCGTCTCAAAAAAAAAAAAAAAAAATCCCGTTCATGGCCTTGATTGTGTGTTGTGACTGTGTACAATACTGTGTGTTAGGATTCGTCCGTGCACACGCCCGGGCCGCCGCAGTGCTCATCCCAGCGGATCGTTGCGTCTCTCTTCCAATGGCACACCAACAGACAGACTGTACTATAGGTTGTCAACACATCGTTTCTTCCCTTTGCCGATTTTTCTCCCTTGCGGCTGAATATGCGCAAGCGCTCCCATTCTGCATGAAGCCGAGCTGCCATCAATTGATCGGTCCCATCTTGTTTCAGAATCAGTGGCGGAGCACGCGCTTGACAGGCAAAAGCTCTCTATTCTAGCACCTGAGCACGCATTAAAGAGAAGCGTTCAATTACTCTAGACGGACCCGAGAATCACCAAGGTTATACATTTATAAAAAATTGCACAACGCCTTTATAGGTCAGATGTTCTGATCGAGCTTTGGTTGCAAGAGCATTTTACGGAGGTCGGGACTTGACGCTGCCAGTGAGTGCTTTTGCTAGATACATGTCGTTTCTTCGCCCGCATTCCTCCTACGATGCCTACATTTGGGGGTTCCGTTTTTTATCAATGTCTGAATAAACTGCCCCGAAGACCCGAGTCTCTTTCCAAACAGGTTTTTGGAGCATTGGCGATTAGCTAGCTGATGTCGACAAATGCGCAAGTAGGGCCATGTTCGGGATGATATGGCACCACGAACATCAAAGGTTTTGAACTCTATCTTGGACATAGAGCTTGCGCCAATTTCGTCATGTCCTGACCTGGTTCCATGGTCCGGACATTTTCTAAGTTTCCCTCAATGTCGCAGTAACGCAGATTTGCAACCGACACTCTGGGTATGAACCGTTAGTCCCAGGCTACGAACCCCAATAAAGCCGCCATCTCCGACTGCTGTTCTTCTAGACCTTCCGCTGCCCAGATCCCGACGTGTGTCGTCTCCTAACTGCCCAAAGACAAACTGTACCTTTCCCTCCCAATAAATCTCAAAAGGGCACGACCGGGCTGTTATATCTTGCCACAAGTTTGAATACATGTCCACCCCGCCGCATAAGGCGAGAGTGATCAGCTAGCTGCCTTGATCGGGTCGTCTGGACCAGATAGCCTTTCGGCGTCGCCGGGTCCTTGCAAGTAGGAGAGTATGTCCGATCCCGTTGAATGAATAAGTCCGTGGTGTAGGTGAACGTCAATTATGTCCGGGCAGGTTTCATCAGCCCTGACCCTCCAAGAACCCCATGCGGACTTGAGGTGGCTTGGGGGCCAATCAGGAAATCGAATTCGTTCCCAACGGGGTATTAGTTTTGCCCCCATGGGGCTGCCTGGCTTGGGAGTGCATGAAAGTTACCAGCAAAGATCCGCGGATGCTACGGTGCATAAGTATTGCTTCCCACCTGGGTCACCAGAACAAGTCATTTTCGTGTTTTACCCATCACTATTCGAGGCTCTTGGCAAAGAACCAACACTGGTGTATCTCTAACGCCCTGATACTCACTGTCAACTATGACCATGCCCGACAACAAGACGAGCACCCTTACCGATCACCTCGAGGACGGCTTCACCCACGAGCAGTCCACGGCCACCATCAGCTATGACAACAAGGGCATCAGCGGCATCATAAGGTCGCCTTATGTCTTTGGTGCGGCCCTCCTGGCTTCCTTCGGCGGCTTCTCCTTCGGCTACAACCAAGGCGTCGTCTCTCTCATCCTCACACTGCCACAGTTCCACGCAGTGTTCCCCGAGGTAGCCCCCGGCCACGCCCGCTATGGCTTCAACACGGGCTTCATGACCGGCATGCTCGAGTTCGGCGCCTTCGTCGGCTGCACATTCTTCCCCATGCTGGCAGGCCGCTTCTCCAGGAAATGGGGCCTCGCAGTAGCAACAGTGTTCTTCTGCGTAGGCGCCATTATCCAGACCGCCTCGCACAACTACGGCACCCTCGTCGCGGGCCGCACCATCGGCGGCGTGGGCGTCGGCACCCTCGGCATGGGCGCGCCCCTGCACATCTCCGAGGTCGCGCCGCCCAACCTGCGGGGGTCGCCCCTCGTCCTCGAGGCCATCTCCATCGTCGTCGGCGCCATCATCGCGTACTGGATCACGTACGGCACCCGCGAGATCGCCGGCGAGTGGGCAAGCGTGCGAAGGGTGTAGGAGCAGCGACTGCAATGGTGTGGCTGGCAAACTTCATCGTCGGCGGGATTGTCCCTGAGATGCAGCTTAAGCTTGGTTGGGGGACTTGTCTATTCTTCGGTTGCTTCTGCTTTGCTGCTTCGGTATCCTCGTTCTTCTTCGTGCCGGAGACGGCAGCCAACCTTGACGACGAGGAGCGCGAGCTGGAAACACAGGGTCCCCATGGGCACTGAAAGTACCGAGGTATAGTGTGCTGTCCATCAACAAGGTGCCATGCGATGCAAAAGAATGTAACCAGTAGATTCAATGTCAAAATATTTGCAAACAGTTCAAATGGTGAAGTTGGTGGCTCACAACTCAACGCTCGGCGAGCTGTACTCAGTAAACCATGCGAGTCCTCCTTACCTTTCAAGGCTTTATGAGATCGTAGCATTGTTCTACATTAAATAGCGGAAATCTGGTGTTTGTGAAGACGATAAAATCTTGCAGCCCAACACAGTTGTATATGGCACATGAAGGACACACACAGAAATGTTAGGGAGAGACGACTGGTGAGTGTGTCACAAGAATCTTCTCTAGGTATTCTATTTGTATGACCTTTCTCTACAACCAAATGGCATGTTTGATCCCGCTTTCCAGGCCCTTGTTAAGACTGGCCACAAGAGTCCACACATCGCCCCTCTCTCCACTGATGCCGTAGATCTCAACCCCGCCGCCCTCTTGTCCTCCCATAGCGACCAAGCTGCCGTCGCTGCTGAGGCGCATGCCGCGGATGGTATCGAGATTGGTCCGTACGAATTTGGTTTCGTGTACCCTCCTTCCATCATCTGACAGCAGGATGATGGCGATAGCATCCCCTGGCGGCAGCTCCTTGGGGACATTTTCGAGATGAGGTTCCAGGTCCGCGATGTGTCTTTCCCACCTGTTACTGACATACAAGACATTCGGTATGTTGGGATGGAGGCAAATTTCGGCGGAGTCCATCATCAGTTGGTGGTCCGGATGAACACTTGGTGGGACGACCTTGGGCGAGAAACCGTCGATAGGCTGGATTTCGTCGGCAGGGGAGGTCGACAGATCGAAGGCAACAACAGTGTGAGACAGCTCTCCGAGGACATACATTACTCTTTCTATAGTCTATGTTAGCCTGTGCTTGCGGGTAGAGCTGAGGTTCATGGGAGGCACATGCCATCAGGCGTGAACACAGCGTGCCGAGCGCCCGTCCCGGCAGGACATTGCAGCCAGCCACAAACTTCTAGTCTCTTCTGATCGCGGCGAAGGATCCAGACGCGGTCCGCCCCCAAGTCTGGGACATATAGTAGACCTCGTTTGTCTTCAAGTATCTGATGTGGGTGGCATTGTCGCTGTCGTCTTTTATTCGGACCGTGTTCAACCGACTTGTAGGGAAAGTCAAACAGCAGCTCCGTCCGCTGGTCATCCGCAAGTAAGAGGCCGGCCTTTTCGGTGACAGACGTCGGATACAGGGCAACTGAACCCCCACAATACTATCTGATGTAAGCCCAGAAATCGAAATGTTCACCAGTGTCTATCACTCACGGTGCTGAGCGCCAGTGCAGATCCGTCGGGTAACGTGACGACTGTCCAACGAATATGAATATCAATGACAAAGACGATCGAACCGGTCAAGACTGTTCACTTACAGTGAGCAGGGGCTCCCAAAGTCGATTTTTGACTGGTGATATTGCAGGTCTTTTGCTCGTGGTCGATTTCGAATGTGTATAGTAGCCCGGATTCGTCACCCTCAGACAGACCAACTAGGCGATCAACATCTCCATGCGAAGCTAAGGGCTCGACCCAGGAAACATTGAAAGGTCCAGGACATTCAGCGACAATACTCAACTCTCTCTTGTCGACATCAAGGGAGAGAGTGGTAAAATTTGCCCGCTGTCCAGAGATCAGCAACGTCCGGTTCATGGTGTACGAAGCGGACTTCAGAGGAGACACAATGTGATTCGATCCGGGTGCTACAGGGGCTTCGGTGGTATGCATGAGTGGATGCAGAACTGATTGGATTAATCTGACAGGCGGCAGGAGCTTGGAGCGGCTTGAGTGGCCGGGTGAATGAGTCGGACAGGTCTGCTGAAGAGGGTGCAGGCCTACTCCGGCCGATACCTAGGTACACAGTATACCAGACGCGTTCTTGTTCCTGCCACCCGGGCGAATGACGCTATCATACCTAGTTGTTAATTGGTGCGTCGGAGCTACTTGGTCCACCCATCCCCTGCATCGGCCGTCGTGGGTGAAAGAAGTCCGATCGGCCGGGGCAGAAAAGCCCGATCGGCTAGATTGCTTGGTCCCATGCGAGGCCCGACGTCACACGTGTAGATTCAACGTGCCATGAGGTACCCCTAATCCCTCTTGCCCCAAAGTCACGTTTTTCACGAGGGAACAATTAAGATTTGGTTCAGTTCGTCTGTGACTGTCAACTGGAATCAGTTCTCCCTCTGCTTGGCTGCTCCTGGATCACAACAGCAAAGCATTGGCGTTTCTCAAGCAGAATGGCCCCATCAACTCACTTCACACTCAACACGGGTGCCAAGATACCCGCGGTCGGTCTCGGTGAGTACGGATTATTGAATATCTTGATGCGATAGAATCTAGTTCAACTCGGTTGTTAACCCCATATGCGCACACACAGGAACCTGGCAATCCAAGCCCGGCGAGGTTCGCAAGGCCGTGGCGTACGCCCTTAGGGATGGGTACCGTCACATTGACGCAGCACTGTAAGTCGAGTCTCGCCCTCCTCCTGCAGCAAGCGCAGATTTTCTAACAGAATGCAGGATCTATGGTGGGGATTCCCCGACTAGGAGACGAGAACCCAGAGAATTGGCCTAATTACGTGTCCAGGCAACGAGAACGAAGTCGGCCTAGGTATCAAAGACAGCGGGGTACCACGTGCAGAGATCTTCCTCACGAGCAAACTTTGGAACACTCACCACCCCAACGTGCAAGAAGGTCTGCAGAAGACTCTCGACGCTCTAGGAGTGGACTACCTTGATCTCTACGTAAGTCGCCGATGAGCTATTGTTGTTGCTGCTGTGCAGTACTTCCATCAGGCCTGGACTGACAACCCGAATATCAGCTTGTTCATTGGCCCGTCCGACTTGTACCGGTAAGTGTAGAGCCATCTAATTGCTGAGCTCAGTAAGAAAATCCGTCCTCATTGCTTGCATAGAACGAGACTAGCGAGCTTCTCCCGGTCAACCCCGATGGCACCCGGTCAGTCGATCGATCGTGGGACCAGAGCGAGACGTGGCGCCAGATGGAACAAGTCTACAAGTCCGGCAAGGCCAAAGCCATTGGAGTGGCCAACTGGTCGATCCCGTACCTGGAGGAGCTGCGCAAAACTTGGACGGTCGTCCCAGCCGTGAACCAAGTCGAGTTGCATCCTTTCCTTCCTCAGCATAAACTGCGAGAATATTGCGACAGCCTCGGCATCCTGCTTGAAGCATATTCGCCCCTTGGATCGACTGGTGAGTTTGTGAATCACGCGACACACAACGTGTCATGGTTTGACGCTGTTTCAAGCTGACAATATTGGAACTTGACAGGCGCACCCATCATGTCTGATCCTGACATCCAGCAAATCGCCGACAAGAATGGCGCCTCGGCCGCCACGGTTCTCATAAGCTACCACGTCAACAAGGGCGTTGTGGTGTTACCCAAATCCGTGACTGAGAAACGCATCTCATCGAACAAGGAAGTCATTTCGCTGTCCAAGGAGGACTTGGCCGTGCTTGACAGTCTGGCGGCAAACGGAAAGGCGAAGCGTATCAACACGCCTCTGTGGGGCTTCGATCTTGGCTTTGATGATTGGTACGGCCCTGTCAAGTCTTCATAGACCAAGGCAGTGCCGAAGCGGGTCAAAAGAAAAGCCGGGAGACACAGATGCGCTTGTAGCATTAGATATCGAAGTACATTATCACGTTTAAGAGTATTCAGAAGTCTTGAATGACAATGAAGGTGCATTTCTTCATAAGGAAAGCATGCGGTCGCGAGAGGGACGGTGTGTGTGAGATTTTGAGATCAGCATGTTGATTTCGTCGCCGTCCTATCTCATGTGATCCACACGTCTACAGGTGTTCGTGCAATATTAGATGCGTGAAATTTTAGAGCCGGACAAGACCAGGACTTCATAGGTCTAGCCCGAGTTATTATAGGGAAACTGCAAAAGCTCGATCGTTTCAATCGGTCTAGTTATGTCCTGCTCAAGTGTATTGAACTAAGCAGTTGCTACACCTGGGCAGACTAAGTCTTGCTTAATAGCAATTACTTTCCATGATGCAGCTTTAGAAATATACATTTTCATCATGAAAATTCAAAGCCCACATCTGAATTATGAACGGCAAATTCAAACTGCATTACGTGAGATCTATGTCTTGTCTATGTCGTATAGGGAGCTGAAGCCACACCCTCCTTCAAAGCCTTCAAGCGCGCAGCAAGCAGCTTGGAATGATAGCGCGTATAAGGGAGGTAGCCAACCATGAGCCAGAGATCAGGCACCCCGGTCTCCCGGTACGCGGTCTTGAACTCGCCCTCCTCGTCAATGCCCCGGATGGGACCACACTGGTCGGCTATCTTGTCGCCAAGGGTGGAGCGGACAGAGTCGATGGTGTTTGTGAACCCGGTGGCGAAGACGACCAGGTCGAACTCGCGCTCCCGGCCGCCGTCGAGGACGACCTTGTCCTCGGTGAAGCGCTCGATGTAGCCCGGCTCGACCTTGGTATTCCCGTTGATGATGTGCTCGCAGGCTCCCGCGTCGAAGTAGAAGCCGCCGTTGCGGGTCTGGCCCAGGGTCGCTCCGCCGGTGCCGCGCTGGCCGCGCCACGTGCGGAGGCCGCGGGCGTTCAATCCCTCGAGAAAGGGCCGGTCCAGGTCCTCGAGGACCTTGGCGTTGCGCCTGGAGAGCTCCTCTCCGGGGCCGGTTGGGGTGGCGAAGAACAGGCGGTCCTGCTCCTCAAGGTCAGGCCGGTTTAGGTCGGCATCCGGGGCGTAGTTGCCGATGATACGGGGCACCGAGTGGGTGAGGGACATGATATGTGTTGGCGAACGCTGGAGTAGCGTGACGCTGGTGCGAGTCGACAGGGCGGCAGTGGCGGGGACGGAGAAGGGGACGGCCACAGGGACCAGGACGAGGACGTGGAGCTTCTCGGCTGGCGGACCAGGCTGATCGAGCGGGCGGGCCAGGGACGTGGGAAGACTGTTAGGACTATTCCCCTCGCGGAGACACCGACTGGGTCCCAGATCACTGACATGGCAATGCCGAGTGCCTCGTTCCCTGCGGTGACGCTCGATTCTACAAATGACATTGTAAGATGCCTTAAAATGCCGATGATAGCTAAAGCTGACGTGCTTCCTAGCTGCGCGACTTCTGGGATCCCATGCTCCTGCAGGATGTTTTTGGACCACCCAGTGATCATCCAAATGTAAGTGGATACTCAATTATACAGCTTCGAGATCGGTTTGGACCTTTTCCATTGCAAGGCTTTGGCAGTTGACGAATTTCACAGCCCTTTATGGTCAACGGGACTACATGGTGGGATCACACGCGGGATGGCACTCAAGCAAGGGTTTGACAACTTCTAGTCCTGTTGTGCACACAGCTGAGATATTATTGGTTTCTCCTGGTTGAATGGCAGTGGTGACAGTGTCTTTAGGTACAGAGGAGCAATGCATCTGTAGATAACACGAACTTGAGAGCCGGAGAAAACAGCTAAGCCCCTCGGTCACCGTTCGTCTTGGCTTTCTCCATGATAGGCAGGCCGTCATCGTTAAAGTAGACAGGCACGCCATTCCGGAACGAGTATTGTAGCGCGGTGGCGATCTTGGCCGCCTCGTAGGCATCATCCGGAGTGCAAGTAAGCGGCTTCCCGTCTAGCACAGCAGCGGCGAACTCGGAGAGGTCGTTGAGGAATGATTTGTCGTACAGGACGAACGCGTCCGGGGTGGTCGCCGTCCGCACGCCGTGGGCGTCGCGCACCTCGACGCGGTTGATGGTCGAGTTGCCGTTGACGACGGAGTGGGCCTTTGTCCCGCACACGCGGGTGCAGCTCTCGAAGCCGTTGGTGAGGGTTGCGGCCCAGGTGCGAAGTGAGGACCTTGCCGTTGGCGAACTCGACCATGGCCCACCCGTTGTCGCAGTCGCCGTACTTTGCGAGGTCGCCGTAGACGGCCTGCTGGCCCATGGCGACTACTCTGTTGACGTGCTTCTTGGGGTTCTTGAGGCCGGATTTTACGTCGAGGTAGAACCGGCCGATGTCGATCTGTATGTCGTGTCACTGTTAGCGAGGCTGTTACAAGTGGGAACCGGACGTGTGGCAAGCGACACACGTCGTGAACACCCATGTCGACAAAGATACCCCCGGACTGTGCCGAGAAGGTGACAAAGAATCCTACAAAGTGTGATCAGCAAGTTTGTTCCAAATCAAGGGCGACATGACTGTTGAGAAAGAGATGCTCACCGGTTGGGTCTTGCTGATCAAGGCAAGTGGTCTCGACAGCGTGGATTTCTCCCAGCGAGCCATTCTCGACCATTTCCTTCGCAGCACGGCACGAATCGTCATCTATGGACGTGTCAACATCAACTCGTCACAATCAAAGCACAGAAACCCGTCCACATGCCAAGAACACTCACGTCGTCGACAAAAAGGGACCAGGAACTTGAGGTGAGGCTTGGATTTAGCTTTGGCAAGCACCTCCTCAGTAGTAATAACATCTACCGAGATAGGTTTCTCGCACATGACGTGCTGGACATTCATCAGCTTCCAACGCTCCGTATTATCGGAGGAAAAGTCAGCTATTAGCAACACTCACAAGACCCAGGTCAAGGCCCAAGCAGATCAGCGGCGCGTGCGTGGCAGTCGCCGTAGAAATTAGGACCACCTCGGCGCCGCTGTTCTTCATACAGTCCTGCGGGTCTGCATAATACTTGACAGATGGCGGCAGGTTTTCCGCCACCCAATTGTCGCACCCGGGCCTCGTGTCGCAGGCGGCGACGAGCTCGATGCGAGGCTGCTGGAAGGCGAGGATTCGCGCGCGGATGGGGCCCAGGCGGCCGAGGCCGATCAGGGCGAGTTTGAGACGAGGCTGGGTGGCCATTTCTTCGAGTATGACGGTTGTGTATATTTGCGAAATTCTGGTAACCGGGCGGACCTGGGAACAGCCCCAGGAGGCTTAATAAACTCTTCCATGTTGAAGTTTCCTAGGAACAAGTACAGGAGCAGATTGGACTGAGGTTGTAGAGCACGATTTCGCGGGCGTATCCTCACTATATCCGATCCGCCTCTATATGTCCGGTGGAGCAGGTGATGTCCGACCGGCTATTTCAAATCCGATCACTTGAGGAGACTCACACGTCTGCATTCCTCTCCTTGTTAGCTAGCAATACCACACGTACCCACCGTGATTATTCGAGTTACGCGGTTGATGATGCTGACCATGAATGGTCGGCAGACAAGTCACTGTTCAGAAGGTTGTTGGTGAGAGGTTGGTTGCAGCAGCCCCAAAAAAGTCCCAATACGAAAGCTACCAGGATCAATCTTTGGATCAGGCAAGACAGTCGGATGACAATAAAGTCCAAACACATTGGCAAAATGGATTACCGTGTAACTGAAGAAATAGGTTTTGAGGGAGTCTTTAGCATCCCCAGACAGATGCTGGTGGCCTCACCTGGATGTGGTGATGATTGGGGGGGGGGGGCGGGCCGGTCATTTTGCAGTGAGCTGCAACAGGGATAAGAAGGTTTAAAAGAAGATGGCGTAACATCACCACAAGCTACGGGACCTTGCACTGCTTACATTGCTCGACCAATTGGTATTATCTCCTGCTTGAACGACATTCTTACTGTAGTTGAAATGGAAAATGCGCTGAAAATGTGTACATCTCAAATGGGCAGCAAGACGTGTGTTCGGCATGAAGCTCTGCGTGCACGTTGGGCTTCCAGTGTGCTGCATGTATCAGGCAACTGAGAAGACCTGGAAAGAAGTGTGGGATGAGAGAAGCTCGCAGTACGGGAGGAGGGGAAACTAACACAAAAGTGAAAGGGTATATGGCAATGTTAGCAGAGGATGTCTGGTGGACAGCGGTAGCAGGTCCGCACTGAGCTGGGATGGTGCTCAGAGCATGGCGGACTATTAATAGATTGTGGTTCTTGATCCTTCTGCAGGCGCGTTCCTCTTTCCTATTTGAGCATGACGATAGCTGCTCCACTTTCAGTAGCCATCAGCCCGGTCTTGTTTATCCTTGAAATGGATTTACCAAGTTGCTGTGTACTGCGTAAGACAGCGCATTGTCTCTGCTTTCGGGCGTATAATGTCGTGCAAGACGCGCCCGCATATAGTGTCATACACACCAAGCAAGACGTGCATGCGGTCATTTGAGTTTTGCGAACTGCAGATGCTTTGGAAGATCAACATTTTTTGACCGAGAAGCAAGCCAACCCAGCTTGTCCACCTCGCAGGACCATACATATTGTCATATAGTCCAGGTGGTGTCTCACTGGCCCAGATTAGCCGAGCTCAGCTGACCTCTGACGACTGCGTCGCTGTCCGAGGCGATTTGTTTACTCTGCGGCTTACTTTTGCACGCGAGGAGCGGCAGGGGATAGCGAAGGTGGAGGAGGAAGAAGAAGAGGGGGCGTCGTGCAAAAACAAAGCGTTTCTGCAACTCAATTGGACGTCTGTGCTGGGTGGCTTCCTGCAGGGTGACTGCAAGACGACACCGCAGGTAGATTGAAAGAATGATGTGATGCCAGGGATGGGTTTTTCTTCGTTGGCTCTCTCGGTAATCAAGGCCCTGCACTCGGTAGACAGCCGTGTTGTAGCATCGAGGCAGAGCCGAGGCGCTGGTGCGGTAGTGCGGTGGTTGGTGGTCGGGGCAACGTAGCCCGCAGTCGTGCAGAACACGAGCAGGTTCCGGTGCCATTGTGAAACGACGGGTTATTTTGCCGCCCCGGGTGTGCTTCGACACCCCTCGCGATATTTCTTACATGCATATATACGTGCATTATACGGTGGCTGGTGCCTTTGATGATTGGGTGGAATCCGTCCTTCTGTTGGGTCGTTGGTGTTCCCTCTGCTCTGGATTTGATGCTCAGAAATGACAGAAATGACAGACAGACAACAGTTAGTCAGTCAGTCACCAGATGATCTACTTGTGGGAGAACATGGAACAAATGACGGGCAGGATGCTGCGCGTGCCGTGGTACCCAGAGTGGCATGCTGCTGCATCCAAACATGCACGATGCACGTCAACATCAGGCGGAGAGAGGGGAGAGGGTACCGGGGTTGTGGAGCCTCCAGAACCTTGGGGCCTTGGAAGCAGGCCCCATCGCATCGCATCGCACTGCATCTGCGGTCTTGGTTCGAGACGAAGCTTGGAAGATAGCTCCAAAGTCAATTGCGTTGGAGGCTGGGAGGCTGGCTGGTGGCGGGGTCAGCCCTCCTAGCGCACAGGCATATGCATCCCCATCTTATATCTGGGTGGGTCCACCAGGCGCGCAGCTTGTGGAGCTTGCTGGGCTGCTGGTGGGATGGGGATGGTTCCTCCGGGCTGGGTTGCCGTTGCCCTGGAAACCGCCTTGGCGGTACCTGGCAGCACCTGGGAGAGGCCGAGCGCCAAAACTCAACAACCTCCTTCACAGGTAAAACCTGCCTGCACGCAGGAAGCAGCCCGCAGAAGCGAAGCCCAGAACTGCGCCGCATTAATTTCCATCCTCACTCACTCACCCACTCCGCTCACTTACTCGACAAGCTCGCGCAGCTCAGCTCAGCTCAGCTCAGCTCTGCTCTGCTCAACTCAGCCTGACCAGACCAGACAAGGCCAGTCCAGTCCAGTCCAGTCCAGTCTGCACAGCCAGCGGTCGACCTCTCATTTTCACATTTCTATCCATTCTCGTGAGATGCATTGCTGCTGCCGTCACTATCCCAGCCGAGCTGTGAGGGTCCTGAACTTGTATCTGCTGTGATACGCAACACACACACACACACACACACACACGGCCTCCGTCCAGTCCATTGCATCTGACAAGCGGCGTGGTACACCGCATTGGCTGCGCATCGCATTGCATTGTGTCGCACAAGCACAGCGCGCGCCTCCCAGCTGTCAACAATCAGTCAATAATCTAAAACCTTTCTCCCCTTTTCTGTCGTAAAACGGTGGCCGCATCCAAGGTCACAATCCAAGTGGCCCAGTCCGATCCAATCCACCCACGACACTCGTCATCGCAGCAAGTCAAGTCAGTCTTCTCGAAGCTCGTCGCCAGCCGCGCTACAGGCCACCGGCCCACTCCTGCGCCGTACCTCACCACTCGCTTGTTCCTCCGCTTCACCTCAGTCTGTGTCAATCGCCGCCATCATGGACCCCGGCTACCTTTCCCAGCAGGTCAACACCATTATTGGCCAATTGCACGGCCTCTTCGACGAGATCGGCGTCCCTAGCCATGACCGTGAGTCCAGAGAGGCAGAGGTATGTGAGATCTCATCACCCAACCCACGTCCCTCGCCTGGACTAGACTTGCTTGGTGACTTTGGTAGACTGACCGGAGTACCCACACACACAGCTGTTCGCAGCCCTGTCCGAGGCCCTGAACAACCAGGTGCGCCTTGTGAGCCAAGAGAAGAAACAGATCATCTCTGAGGCCCAGGACATGATCACCACCATCCGCCAGATGGAAGCCTCCATGGAGGATCCCAGGCACCGCGGCTCCTCCCAGGGCCACGATGACGGCCTGGACATCTCTTACCCCTTGAACAGGTGCCTACAGGCCTTGAAGGAGAAACACGCCCAGGTTAGCAGGGTGCACAAAGAGCGATTCGCACAGGTAAAGAGTACGTGCCGCCGCCACCCCCGACGCTCAGTCCAACAATCGTGTACCGAAACTGACATATCGTAGAGCTTGTTCAAGCACTTGAATCCTACTCGTCACATCTCGAGCCCAGCTTTGTCAAGCTTGCCCTCCCTCCCACTGGGCCAAACCAGTCTATCCCACCCACTTTCGATCTCTCGCCCTCGTACGTCGATAAACTCGACACCGAGTTCACCAGGGTCTACGAAGAGTACACAAGGCGGATCTCAACGGTCCAGTCCCTCTCAGAGAACATCATCCAGCTCTGGGCAGAACTCGGCACCCCTCAGGCACAGACGGACGGCGCCATTGTAAAGTACTACCGCGACGCCCCCGAGCAGCTCGGTCTCCACGAGGAGGATATTGCGCGACTTCGTGCCAGGCTGGACAAGCTCGACAGTGAGAAGAAGAACAGGGAGAAGCGTCTGCGTGACCTGAGGGAAGCCGTTGAGGCCCTGTGGGAAAAGCTGGGCGTTGACGAGGCCGAGCGCAAGGCGTTCCTTAATTCCAACCGTGGCTGTGGTGTTCGACAGATCAACGAGTTTGACGATGAGCTGGCCCGCCTGAACGAGCTCAAGCGACAGAACCTCCACCTCTTTGTCGAGGATGCGCGCTGCAAGCTCCAAGAGCTCTGGGATGCTTTGTACATGTCCGAGGACGAGATGCTTGAGTTCACCCCGGCCTTTTCTGACGTGTACAGCGATGCGCTTCTCGAGGCCCACGAGCGCGAGATCACAAGGCTGGAGGTCCTAAAGGAACAACGGGCCCCGATGCTGGCTCTTATGGAGAGACACCGGACCCTGGTCTCGGAGCGGGACGAGCTAGCTGCTGCAAGCCAGGACGCCTCGCGGCTGATGATGAAGCCACAGAAGGGCGAGAAGCGTGACCCCGGGAAGCTGCTGCGAGAGGAGAAGATGAGGAAGAGGATCGCCAAGGAGCTGCCGAAGGTGACAGCTGATCTGCGCAAGGCTTTGGAGCAGTGGGAAGACGAGTGGGGTCGCCCATTCTACGTCCACGGCGAAAGGTACTTGGACATCATCGAAACCGATAGCTCCAATAGGGCAACCCCGGGGCCCCGGTCGAGAACTCCGGCGAACACCTCCATGCCATCGAAAGCTAACAGCGTGACCAAGTCGGCACCGCCTGTCAGCAGGTCCAACAGCGCTATTAGCAACAGCCGCTCGCAGGCGCCCAGCCGGGCTGGGGCGAAGACGCCAACCGAAAAGTTCAATTCCCTTCCAACCAAGTGGTCAAAACCACTGGGCCCTCAGACGACCATCAACACAAAGGGCAGCCCGACACGGATCCCAGCGCGCGCTCCGCTGTCCAACTTGAAGCACGCCAACTACTCCCCGGACAAGCCCAGGCAAGAGATGGAGAAGCCTGACCTCGCCAGGCGGGGAACGGTCCCCGTGATGAGGGCTCCGCCACCCAAAATGAGAGACCTTGTCTCAGTGCCAGAGACGGAGACGGAGGCGCCTGCCGGCTACTACTCGTCCTCCTCGGACCGAGGATCGGGCATCATCCGGCACATCGAACCCGAGGACGTGTACGATGACCGGCCGAAGCAGCACAGCGGAGAGTATGAGCGTCCAACCTCACATCATGATTTCCGCGACTTCCCAGGCAAGGCCTCCCTCCGCAACCATGACAGCGGTCCCCGGTATGAGCGCTTTGCACAGTCGTACTCCCAGGCCCCGGGTCCCGCAATCCGACAGATCTCGAACCAATCTAGTGACTCGAACGGGACTGTGGTGACAGGATCGGAGAACTGGGAAACATACGATGATAACTCGGAGCCGGAAGAGGACATCCCGATTGGCCATTATGCCAAGATCCGGGCGGGAAGGACCGACTACGCCATGGAGCCCCCGAGCAAGTTCAACGCGAGCCAACAGGCAAAGCGTCCACGAGGGATTCCCCCAGCAATGCAACAGCCGCATGTGCTTGTAGATGGCGACGGCAGACGAGTCTACTCTGGGAGCTCCGGCTGGACGGATGAGGATGTTTTCTAAGGAGTGAAGCGTGTGCGTCGTTCGCCGTGATCAAGGTACTCACGGATACCGGGTGTTCTTTTCCCCATTTTTTGTGCCCGACTGGTTCTCGAACTTACTTATACGGCTCTTCAGAGAGCACGCCCGCAAGGATGTTGTAAAACTCAGGAAGCTCGGCGGGCCGGCCGCGTCGTTCACATTTCAGTCCTTCTTGGTCTAAGGATTTTCAATTCTCATTTTGGGAGGTTCCTGCAAGGGGAGGGAGAAGGGTGTTTGACTTGATACCCACCACGGATGGATGGGTTCCCCAGGGGCAGGGAATAGGAAAGGGAAGGGCAGGGCAAGAAGGCAAGGGAAACGGATGGAAGAGACTCGTGAAATCACGGGATTCTGGAGTCAGGTTAATACCGGCGTTCAAGGCTTCGTGTTTGGTTTTCTCCGTTCTATTGATTCTGGAAAACACTGAGACGGAAGGACATGAGAGTCTGACTTGATGGTAGCTAGTTGCTTTCTGCCATGATCAATGATGACGACTGACTGACTGACTGACTGATTGACTGTATGCTTTATGGCTGGCTGTATCAAATTCATCAGAGAGAATTAGTATTCAATGAAATTGAGAATAAGCCGTATCTAAAAAAGAGCCGTGCGAAATGGAGTCGTTTTGAATGCAGTATGGGGCCCGCCGAAACTTATCGATAAGGGCCTGCCTGGCATACCAACAGACACACTCTGCACTTGCGTTGGCAGCACAACACGCACCTTGCAGCCTTCAAGCCTGTAGTTCGCAGACTGCTCGGATGAGTTCGTTTCTGAGAGGAAGTCTTCGTATACAACGTCTTGTGTTTCAGTGGTGATGTACCAACATGGCTTCCCCATACCAATATACCCCACTCTCTCCGAAGACCGACCAGATCCGGCTGTTGACACTCCTGCCAGCAAGTGATGAGAATGAAGAAATAGCCATTACCTTGCAGAGCATCTCAACGAAGGCGGCAGCGCGGAATTACGAAGCCCTATCCTACGTATGGGGCTCGTCAGAGAACCCAGTAACTATCAGGGTTGTTACTTCCTCCACCACCGTTGCAGTGGAGGACGTGTCTTCCTCAGCATGTGTCACGGCGCCTCTGCGCGTGACACAGAATCTCGCCAGCGCACTGCGCCATCTTCGGTTTCGAGACTCTGCCCGCACACTATGGATAGACGCTGTCTGCATCGACCAGCAGAATATACCCGAGAAGAGCGAGCAGGTGGGCAAGATGGGCCAGATATACAAGTCAGCGGCTCGCGTGGTGATCTGGCTGGGGCTAGCGTCGCCAGGAACTGACCTCGCTATGCGAATATTGGGCTTCTTGGGCGAGTTTTTGCACTTCGATCGCCGAGGCCAAACATTCACGTCGACATCGAATGACCCGGACGAGTCTCACTGGGCCGACCTGGATCAACCTCTCCCTTTTGATGAGGCGCAGATTCGTGCCTTGGAGGAGCTGTTCTGGAGGCCGTGGTTCGAGAGGCTCTGGGTGGTCCAGGAAGTGCTGCTCAGTGCAGATGCCGTAGTGGTGTGCGGCAGGCAGGAGACAACGGCGCTGTCCGTCAAGGTCGCAGCCGCCCTTCTGGCCAAGAAGGCTACCATGCCGAGCCGATGCGACGGTTTAAGCGACGGCTTCTTACCTCGCCTGAGTCAGATCCTGAACGTCTTTGAAGAGAGCCGCCATCGCCAACTCTTGGAGTTGGTACGTGACACACGCGGGTTGAAATGCGTTGACGACAGGGACAAAGTCTACGCTGTACTAAGCCTTGCCAAAGATGGGGGCGAAATCGAGCCTGACTATTCCCTGAGTACAATCGAGGTCTATGGACAGCTTGCTATTCTTTCGATGAACCGCAACCAGCTAAGGTTCCTTTCTAGCTGCGAGCTCGGCAGTCGAATGCTTAATGGGCCAAGTTGGATCCCGGACTGGACTACGGAAAGAAGGACAAAACGAATCGAGTTTTTCAACGCGGCGACATTCGCGTGTCAACCGGTTCACGTGAGCTCAGCTGAAGGATGGATCCGGGTTACTGCCGTTCGTGTAGGCACTGTTGTTGATATTGACGTTGTGTCCATCCCATCGGAGGACCCCAGCCTGATCATTCCCGAGATCGTTCGCCTTTTGCCGGCTGATATTGAGTCCTCCACGTACAAGACAGGATGCAGCTTGATGGAAGCATTCTCAGGCACTCTGATCTGTTCGGGCTTCAGGCCACAGGTGCCTCAAAGCCCCCTAGCTCCAACACTGCAAAAGAGCATGGGTATTCTTCGCTCTGTATTGCAAGGGGGGGACGGCTTTGGCTATCAAGGCACCTCGGCCTCAGACAGAGCGATATACCTTGATCAGGTCTACTCCTACACGAAGAACAGAGCCTTGGTGAGGACAGAGGAAGGTTATATTGGCCTGGCACCCTCGGGTGCGAAAGTAGGCGACACCATCCTGGCGATTTTGTCCTCTGAGTCCTTCACAGTTGTCCGACCCGCCCCCGGAAATAAGGGCCGGTACAACGTCGTGGGGGAGGCCTTCCTCTACGGACTGAACAACGGCGAGGCTGTGCTGGGGCCCTTACCGGATCATGTCCGCGCCGAGGTACATTTCGATATCGGGTCCGGTGGGTTCATGTATCGCGATACCAGGTCGGGTGGCGTCTCACCGATCGACCCGCGCCTCGAGGCCCTGGGAATCCCTGGCGAGATAGTCGCAGACAGGCATGCCAAATTGGTCTCCGGAGACGCATTGGAGAAGGCGGGGATTCGCCTGTCACAAATTGAATTAGTCTAGGTGCATATCATTTCCTAAATGTAATTATAACAGCTGTTGAGGTCTACCAGTTCTCTCCGCCAAGGGCGGACTCTGCTTTGTCCCGCATTTACTCTCTAGCATGTATATATGCCTGCTCTCAATTATCCTTTCTCTGCCCACTATTATTAGTCTAGTATGGTATGTTTAGCTGTATGGTTATCCAATGCCTTATACATGATCCCTCAACGTGGCTTTAGCAAGTAGACGGGCATCATGAGCAAGCAGCTTGCACCACAACTTAATATGCAGCGTAAAGGCTGCTCAGAAACGCTGTTTACTACATGTGTTCTTCGAATGCATGCAAATCCAAGCAGTGATGGTGATGGTTGTGATGATAACAATGTTGAGTAACAATGTTGTAGTTGGGGTTGGATTGGTCTGAGGCTCTGTTCTAAAAACGGACGGGCTTGCCAGGGCATTCCAGAGCTCGGGGGAGATCGACAGGGTTGCAGATTGGGCGTAACCTCGGGAGCTTTTCAGCGCCGTTGCAGGTGGATCAGTGTGGCGTTGGACAGCTTTCAAGGTTCGCGATTACATCAGATCCCCTATTCCGTCACAACACAACCGCCCGGTGACAGTGGCCGCCGCTGCCGACCAACCTATCGGCCCACCAACATTTGGCCTGCACCTCTCAACACGTCCCTTCACTTCAACCCTGTGTAGCACCGACAACTTGACTCGTCAAACGTGAACCGAGCTGCCAGGTCAAATTCACATTCGAAAGCTCCATCGGCTAGCTGACCTGGCACCCAGCCGACCTGCCACATCCCTCGAAATGCGACCTCTACATCCCGAGTGATTCTTGTATCGAGCATCTGCTTGAAGCAGCCACACATGCCGACGCCTTTCCCTCGCCCACCTCGAGACTACCCGAATCCTGACCACGAAAGGCCATGCATGCCTCGAGCACACCCCAAAGCAGCCGCTCGAACCTCCGCCCCGTCAGCTCCAACGACAATGCCGGCCCGCACAAGCTCACGCCCCAGGAGGCAGCCTTGCGAGGCGCCTCCCTCGCCTTCTCCAAGCAGCAGCAGCAGGCGCGGCGGCAGAGCCTGACGCCCAGCTCCAACAACCCGGCTGTCTTCTCGCCGCAGGACGGTGGCGCGCTCGTGGCAGCCACGTCGGCCTCGAGGGCACGGTCCCCGACGGGCAGCGTCAGTAGTCGACAGGGCAACCGCCTGAGCAGGCAAGGTACGGGGGCCCGGGAACGGCAGGATAAGCAGGCAGACCACTGGCAACAGCAGCGTCGTGCTGGATGGTGATGCCGGGCAGGCCACCGAGCAGGAGAGGGAGCGCCTGGCCCTGTTCCTGAGCTCGCCCGGCTCCGAGCAGTCAAGGGGCCCGTACCTGCTGCCCCCCGGCGGCAGGGCGGCGGGCACGGCGACAGACCCCAAGTCCACGAGCTTCATAGCTGCCACGCTCGCGGCGAGCAGGAGCGTTAGCCCTGGCTCCGGCCCGGCCGTGCAGGGCGGCAGTGATGAAAGAACCGCCCCCGGGGAGGCCACGCCTCGGCGAGCCGGCGCCTATCCGGAGGAAGCCCACTGCCAGGACGGACAGCCCGGCGGTGAGCCTCTCGACCACGAGCTCGGACGGCCTTCCCGACACGGCGCATCTGCCCCCTGCGAACTCGCTGATCTCGATGTTCGAGAACAAAGGCGACCAGGATGTAGACCCCGTCAAGGACAGTCCAAGCAGACCCCTTGTCAACAGGTCCAAAGGGTGGCCCCTCCCGGATACGAAGCTCGACTACGATAACGAATACAATAAAGACTCAGGCGTGGAGAGTATTAAACCGAGACGGAAGCCTGTGCCCAAGACGAAGCCCAAGCCTAGTCCTAAGCCTAAGCCCAAAATTAAGACAACTCCCAGGGACGGGACTCCACCTCCGCCAGTTGTCAGGAGAGCCAACACCGAGATAGTATCGCCGAAACCTAGGAGGCCTGATACAAGACCCAAGCTGGAGTTTGAGGCCCCAACGCCTTCGACTGAGGAGACGGAGAAACCTAACACCACAAGCCCAGAAGAGAGGAAACGCAAACCAGAGCCGCCGAAACCGAAGAAGTTGGAGAAAAGTGAAGCCACTGATCAACGTACGGCCGACCCTTCAGAGCCCAAAGACAGTGTGGTCTCCGAATCAAGGCCTCCAACCTTACCAGCCCGGTCTTCCTTTCCACCTGTGGCAGCCAAGCCACCTGCGCCGAAGAAGAGGCAGACCATACAGAGACTTTCCCTCGTGCCGAGCTCTGATGGCCAGGACTCGTCCACGTCCACCTCACCTAACGACAAGGCCGACGGCAGGCCTTTGACCGGCGATTCCATGTCATCCAACGATACCTTCGTGTCAGCATCCTCGACACCTACCCGGGCGGAATCACCGCCCGTCTTCGATCCTGCGTCTCGTACACTGACGCCAAAAGCCCTACCACCGCGTTCGGCTTCAGCCCGACCGGTCACCCCTGCTTTCTCAGTCCGTCAAAATAATACCGGCTCGTCTCAGCTTCCTGTAGACTCACTATCCGATGCCATGATGGCAGGCTCCCTCGCGTCGGCGAGACATACCCCTGTTCCCGCGGCAGGCGCGCACACCGCCACCAGTGCCGCCTTCCCGCCGCAAGGGAGGCGCGAGGAAAGCAGCCAGCCGGGCCGCGTCCCCCCACCACATGAAGAAGACTCTGCGTGACCACCGGCCCAAGTCAGACGACGAAGACGCCCGGAGGCCTCACCACAAGAAGGGCCTCATCAACAGCAAGAAGCACACCCACCACGAGGGGTCGCGCCGCAGGTGGCGCGAGGAGATCACGGAGCGCGAGAGGAAGCGCTACGAGGCCGTGTGGGCGAGCAACCGCGGGCTGTTCCTCGTGCCGGCGAGCTCGGATCCGGAACACAACCACAGGGCCGGCGGCGGCGGCGCCACCGCGGTGCGCGACCGGAGCCACGAGGAGCTCTCTGAGCATGTGGCCAGCGTGGTGGTGCGCGACATCTGGTCCCGCAGCAGGCTGCCCGAGCCGGAGCTCGCCGAGGTGTGGGACCTGGTGTACGGGCTCGGGCAGGAGGGCGGCCCGCGGGTGCGGGCGGCGCTGGGCAAGAGCGAGTTCGTCGTCGGCACATGGCTCATCGACCAGCGCCTCCGGGGCCGCAAGATCCCGCCGCGCGTGAGCGACAGCGTGTGGAGCAGCGCCAAGGGACTGTGGTCGGCTGCTCGCAACCCTAATCATCATCATCACAGGAAGGGTAAGGGCAAGGGGGTATAAGAGAGTATGAAGGGGTATAAGGTATTATAATGAACAGGGATAGAACTCCCTGGGTTGATAGTGAGATGTACTCTGGTTGCAACGGTAAAGATGGATGACACAGGCACACGCACACAGTCATCCGCCCCCTGTCCTTTCTTGTACTTGATATAATAGATCCGGCATCAATGATACCCCACCCAAGCAGTCTTTTCAGATAGAAATGTAATCAACCTGGTCCCCTGATGGTCTCGCAGGGAAGAAAGGAGACAACCTCAGGCCAGCCGGGGGTTGAGGAGTGGTGTACCAACACGACTACAGGGTCGTATTCCGATAATAGAACATTATATACACACATATCCGTCGTCACCCGGCTCTGCCGCATCGTCTCTGGCCAGCCAGCGTGCCGTGATGGCGACGTTCTTTCCCAACAGAGAGTCCATCCTATTGAACTGGACGATCCTTTCGGCCCGCATGGGATCCTGCAAACCGCCACCATTTGCCCACACCAGCCGCCCTGCAGCTGTGGCAACAAGGCTAAACGAGTCCTTGACCGTGTCATTATATCCGGGCGTCTCTCATATTCCTCAGTCTCATATACAATACCATCAAGGAGGCCCCGCCCCCAGGACTCGGTGGAAGTAAATATTCCCTCACACGCACACATACGTGCCTGCGCAGAGCACACGCATCATCACCAGTGATAATTTTTCGGATAGCCACCGATCACCCTGCGGCTCCCCGGCTGCGTCGACTTGCGGCCGAAGGTGATTCTCCTGAGGCCCTTGATGCTCGGGGCTTCTGCCGCGGGTGCTACCAGCGGTTTTGAAATGATGTTTTCGTAGCATCCGCCGCCCTGGATGATCATTTGGAGTCAGAGAATGCTGGGCCTTATGGAGAATGAGGGCTGGAGGGAGCGGCATGGCCAGCCAGGCGTGGTGTCACTCACGTCGTCATGGCAAATCTCCCGCGGGGCCCTCAAATTGAGCAACCGGAAAAGAATGTTGCCCATTATCACTGTAATGTCCTCTACTTTTTGATATTTGAGAAGCGGGTATCTTGTGAGCTTGCTCTCTTTCTGATTCAGGTGCTGCGGGCGTCTCGGACTTGGCTCTGATGCTCCAGCTGGAGGACCGCCGGTGTTCAGGAGATAGGATTCGCGAGGATTGGCGTGAGGGTTGCATTTTGGGGCACCTTGGATTATCATACTTGTTCAATTCTAGGTACAAAGGAATTTTCTTTTGTTCGAATACAGGCCGGGCCGAGACACGAAGTTCAGCAGGAGACCACCCCAAAGCCGGTTCTTTTGTGAGACCGCAGAGGCTTGAATCAGTCGTCCATCACCCTCCGAAACCCAGTCTGTATCGTGTATCGAGCATCACAGCAGGTTTTGGGTCATGCGGTGCAGCCTCCGTCTTTGGGGTGAAAGGCCGCGGTGGTCAGTGGCCCGGCCTGGCCGTTTCAACCACGCGGCAGACACAGTCGTCGAGGCGGCCGGCCTTAGACCGGCCGGCCTCTGGCCGCAGCCCGCATGATTCTGGATGGCAACGTGCAGGGTCACAAGGGTAGGAGGTCGTCTTTCGTATGGTCTCTCACGGGGTAATGCAACCCCCATGTCCCTCAATGCGATGTTCTCGGTGGGCCGGATCAGGCTCGGGACTCTTTCGACGGCGTCCGCGCCCGGGTTCTGTCCTGAGCTTTGGATAGCCTATTTTCCTGTGCCTGTACCGATGTCGAGCACGCCATGTGGGGGGTGATCGAGGGCCGCGGAGCATTTGTGTTTGCATACTGACTGATGTATACGTATCACAAAGGCAAGGCGACTGTGGCCAAAAGTCATGCCTCAACGTGGGATAAGAAGTCAGTCAACCACTGCAACACAGGCAGAGGACAGATCCCATTATGTTTGAAGAGATGGGCGGATTGCTGTAGTAAGGCTGCCTGTGGGAAGACTGCAACTAGGAGGACAGGGGCCACGGGTGCCTATGTCTGCTGAACCGGGCGAATGAGTGTTTGATTGCAAGGTGGCCGACGTGCCATGAAGTGGGTGTGAAACCGCGGGCCAGTCAAAACCCCCCCTCACTGAACCGATGAGCCAAAGCATGCTGTGTATCGTGGGAGGACTGCAGCACAGCGTCGACGGCACATGCACATAAATGCTACCAAAATTATCTCTCCCAGATAAGCACTAACCTCCGAAGTACATGTAAGCAAGACTTTCCGCATTCAATGTGAGGCGGACTCATCACTATTTAGTCGCCCTGTCCTACATCCCAACTTGCACAATCACTGCCTTGCACACACTTGGTTTATCCCTGCCTCATCCTTTGGTCCGAATCCCATTCAGTATGGAGATGAGTCACGACCTAGCTGAGGCCTTCTGGCGCCCAAGTTTCTTATATGAGTACCCGAGAATGCGAGAACAAATCATTGGTTGCAGTCCAGATGTGGAATGGGCGTTTTCAGGGCTGAACCCGAAGAACCGAGTTGACAAGCTCCCTTGTTTCGAAAGCTCCCGTTGGAGGATTGACGGCGGCGTCTTGGGGACGCGTCTATTCGCAGTGCCTCTAGATCTTCTGCCCAATCTGACACCGCTTCGCATCGATGTGTTCATTCCGGACCAAGAACATATTCCCCGCGCTATCCGAGACACTCTCGACACGGCGGCAGGAGTTGCAGGGTCGCCGGGAACTGCCATTTCTAGACACGTGTGCCATGCGCTGCATCATTATGGTGTAAAGCAACCGGGATTCCTTCAGCAGTACCAGCGACTGCCATTTGGGTCGAAATTGGTCTTCCTCAACATTGCAGCAAACCCTGATGATATCCTTATTGAGATACAACCAAACTACCAGCTTGAAATAAAATCCTCGTCACTGGAATCACTCTCCAGTCTCTGGAAAGCCGACTTCGCAAAGTTGGTCTGGCCACCGGCTGTGGACATAAAAAGTCTTCAGTTGGTGAAACAGCTCCACGACACAGTGACGGTGGTGCAGGTTGAGGCAGGAGTGCTACATTCTGGACACTCGCAAACAGCCATATTTAAGTCTAGCACCGAGGGTTTCGATCATTTATTGCACGAACTCCGAATCCTCATTCAGATGCCTCCTCACCCTCACATCATGCCTCGACCCATCGCTATCGTCACCAAAAAGTGTGGCTTTGGTGGAAAGGTGGGCGTGGTGGGCTTCCTGCTTCAGCACTTTCCGACTGGGTCTCTGCGTGACATCCTTCCAGCTCGACAGCAGTCCGGAAAGCTGAATTTTGCCCAAAGACTACTTTGGTGTCAGCAGGTAACCTCGGCTTTGATCCATGTGCGCGATGCGGCCGGCACGTTCTACTCGGACCTTCGTCCGGACAATGTGTTGCTGTCGAATTCATCCTTTGGCCCAGATGATTCACCTAGTAGTCTGGAGTCAATAGTTCTTTGCGATTTTGAACAGCGAGGAAATTGGTACGAATGGAGTCCCGACATGATTCTGTTTCAGCAATACAGCCAGAATCTACTCAAGCATCGACAATTGCATGAGAATGGAACAAAGCGATGGAAATGCCTTGTGCCGAACCATCACTTGACTGACGGGTCTCGCCGGCCAATTACTCTGACCAATATCACTCCAACTCATCATAACAGTCCCTGGGATGGTCTTTCAGCGGCTGCTCAAGAAAAGGCCATGGTACATTCTCTGGGTCTGTTTATGTACTGCGTATTCGAAGGAGTGAGCAACGTCTGCCGTGGTCGTGCCAAGGCCTTTCTTTACGAGCCAGATGTGGAATTTCCCAAGTTGAAAAGAACTCCTCGGGTAATCAAAGATTTGATCAATTCTTGCATCACGCAGAGGCTGGTGAGATCAAGTGGCGATCAACTCAACGTACGCGACGGCGGCAAATTCGACGGTGAAGGCATCAAGGTGGATCAGGTGGTCATGGTTGGCGGATGTCTCTATCCTAGTGGTGACACTGAACTAGTGAGAGGCACGGAGAGCACCTGCATTGCAGTCCTAGAAACTGCCAAAAGATGGTGGGAGTGGGAATTAGACCGGGCATGTACTTGCGTGACAGGCACTGGATGGATAGATGAAGGTACCGCCACAACCGGCCTCACATTGGACGACGTTCTGAAGATGTTGAAGTCTATCACATTAGAGACGGCCTAAGATGTTATCTTTCATCATGTAGCATTCTCTTCTTCCATTCCTGCGATTAAATTAGAAACAACCATGTTTGACCGAACGAAACATCCTTGATCATACGTCTCTGCTCTTGTGCTTTTCGAGCGCATCAACAATCAGCTGAGCCATTGCTAGTAGATGTTCTTCACTCCACCTCGTCCCTATGATTTGCACAGCGGCTGGTCCACCGTGGTATGCATGTGCATCATCTGCTCATATTAGTTCCGTTCTAAAGCGGATCACAATTCATACTGACAAGCATTCATATTCATTTTGTCTGTATCACTGAGCGGCTGGAAATTGGGGTCGACCGTATCCACCAACTCGTCTGCCACCGTCACAGGGATGACAATTGATGGATAATCCAGAACATTTATCGAGCTTGAATAGGCTCGAGAACAAAACGCGTCAGCCAAAGTATCTGAAAGGGCGCATTTTGATGTTGGTCACTCACCGGAATAGTAGAACTTGCCTGGCAGCACAGCAGCGTAGGGAGACACCGGCTGGATCACAGCACTTACCGGCTGGCCTGACGCGCATTGATTCAGCAGGCTAACTACTCAGCTGGGGCACAAGACATACCGCTGAGTGTTCTTGTTGCAGACGAGGCCCAGTACTCTTGGTAATTCGTGCGGTACTCTTTCATCAGAACAACGACGTCTTCATACTCCGGGAGTGGAATTGGTGGTTTAGGCCCACCGCCTTCGAACAATCGTGCAATTTGTGGCACTGGAGGCTCTCCAGAGAGCTGGAGAGCTTCCCAAACATCTGGACACCCGTCGCCTCTTGCCACTGGACCCTAAAGAGATGTCATTCAGTAGGTTTCTGGGCGACGTGAAGTTGAATTGCACTGACATGGATCTTATCTGAGATGCCATTTGACGGTGGTTGCCAATCAAGGAGCTGGGAATTTTAGTAGCTCTCCTACACGTATTACGAGTGAACTCACTTGGTGTCCTGCTTCCCGCAAAGCTTGTTCGACAATTTTAAGAGCACGAGAAACGGGAGGATGGGGAGTCACAATGCCGTCAGCTTTCATCAACCCAAAAGTGATTTCGGCACTGCTGGTATCGGCTTTTGGCTGGCGCTCCTCGGGATCTCTCCATGGAAGAGGCACCACATATGGGTCTTCTCGCCATTGCTCCTTGGAGAGCACAGACTCCAGTACCAGACGAAGTGTGGAGGCTGAATGAGCCATAATTCCCAGAGTGGTTGGCATGACCTGCTGTCCTTGAGCCTTAAGAAAATCATCAGTGAGTACAGCAACCATATGGGAAGACCAAGCACAGTACCGTGTTTGCGACGCCTTTCATGGACATCCGGCCCGAGGATGGTTTGATGCTGAAAACCCCGTTGTAAGATGCAGGCATGGAAACTGAGCCACCGATATCCGTTCCAATACCGAATGCGCTCCCTCTCATGGCCTGCATCACAGCCTCACCTGATCAACTCATTAGTCGTTGTACTTTGAGACAAGCCGGCAATTAGTGGGGACATGTACCTCCTGATGAACCACCAGAGGATAGCCGTTGATTGTGAGGATTCCACTGGTAACCCAGAATATTGTTGTTGGTCTCAGGAGACTTGACGTTGTCAATTTTGTTATTTTGAGCGGTTGGTGTATGTGTGACTTACCCATAAACTTGTGACTAGTGATGTCTATTACGGCCTTTCAGTAGAGTATTTAGCAGGGTGGGGATGTGAGCAACACGTACCTTGCCTAGTGGGATGGCTCCGAGTGCATAAAAGTCCTTGATAATTTGACTTTCGAATACTTTCTCCTTCCCTGTTCCGGTCTTGCCCTCAAATGTGTCGATCCAGCCAACATAGGCCATCGATGTCCCAAGTCCTTTGATATGAAATTGATCTTTCAAGGTCAGAGGAATCCCATGCAAAGGTCCAACAAGATTTCCAGTCCGTTCGAAATGTTCGTCGAGCTCTTCGGCTCTTCGCAGAGCGAGATCGAAGCCGATTTCGAGCATATTCTGGGTCTGAACAGATTTCATCAGCATCGAATGCACCAGAGAGATTCTCGGGATGAAGTTCGCTACACACCAGTTGATGCACGTACGCTGCACGTTTGCTGAAGGCGCTGACGGTTGCCACTGCTGTGAGAGATTTGTTGCCCATCATGCTAATTAAATCAGACACATCCAAACCGGTGATTCGGCGTGAATCTTCATCAAGAAGCTCATCGATAAAGTCCCCTACGATGCTTGAACGTTTCTTGGCGTCCTTTAGTATGGAATCGCCGAGACGCCAAGAAGGTGGTATCTTGGCAAGGTCCGCCAGCCGTTTGTCCTTGGCGATTTGTTGCCATGGAGGTTTGCGAATGAGTGGATTTGAAGAGGTCATCTCTGATGCGTACTTCAACATTAAACCCACGGTGAAGGTCACCAGTGCGAAGAAGATGAAGCCTCTGGGTGCTGTCATTGCCGTCCTTTTAAGTAAAACCATGCGGTGAGTTGTGGATACCGCTGTGGTTCCTCTTTGGATATGAGACGATGAGAAATTCCAATTGTTTGAGTGGCACTTACACTTTGTTAGACACCAAAATATCTAAGACGATGTCGCAACTTCATGACGAACTTCTGCTGCGGCAGGGGTGGATGTGATGCTGGAAGGCGACAGAACAAGCAGGTGGTGGATGTGGGGCGACCGATCAGAATAAGGAGACTCCGTGATTGGCGGAGATGTTTGGGGCTGCTGGCTGTGACGTGAGATCCCGTGTGTGTAAGACGACTTGGCGCTAGACTGACCGACGACGAACGGTTTCTCATCCCGCTGTTCTGATTGCTGCCTAACCAATCAAAACCACATGGTAATTCAGACCGGTTTGATAAGAATTTGCGCTAAGGCAAGCACATTTTGTAGCCAATGGCAACTTGAATTCATGCTCATCGGTCTCACTGCATGTGCACATGCCACGGGAACGCTAACGTGACAGGTTTCTTCTTGGTCGATCAAGATATCTGCCTTGCAACCTCATCGGTTGGCCGAGGAAACTGTAATAATTTGTGGAACTACTGAGACATCGCAGTGAACTCTACTGAGAGTTGAGACAGCCGGTGGTTGAGGCTGACAGACCTGAATGTTGTGGCCGTGTCCTCATCGAGTTCTGACAAGGTGAAAACGCCATTGGTTGAATTCTTTCTACAATGGTGGTCCCTAGTGAAGACGATGGCATCTGGGAAGGCTGCATGCTTTTGGCTTCATTTGGCTCATCGAATCGACTTTATGGATCAATACTATTGGTTGAACAACAACCATTGCAAGGGTTGGATGTCGGTCGACAAGAGTGACCACACGCAAGGCTGATTTTCTTCGTGAAGTACTAGGAGAGCACTCACAGAAAGTTGGGCGGACCGATGAGCAAAAGGACTGGATGTTAGGATTCACCATTGGTCTCATCGGTCCCAAGTTGAAATGGCGAAGTTGATTTCCAAGAACCGATTCAAGATATATAGAAGCTGTGAAGCCAGGCATTCATGTGTCCTCATCAACATCTTCTACTCTCAATATCAGTTTTACACATCTTGAATCAGCTATTCATCCCCAAATATATACCAACAGTTTCTTTGCAGAAAAGCCACTTCCTTTGACGATGCCTGCTCAAAATCATGGAGATCAACAGGGCTGGTCTTACGGGAGTCTTTTGAATGAGAACAGTAAGTGCAACATAGTACCTCGCTGGCACCACACAAAGAAGTTGATGCAGATCTAACAACTTCTTCAGGTAAATTGCGGCCCGGCGAGCACCAGAAGGCCAGGCAAGACCACAGGCATGCTACAGGTAGTCAGTGGTCAACCAAACCCGTTGCATCCACCGGTGGAACTGGCAACCACAAACATGAGTCCAACAAATCCAAGCCCAGCCATGCCACGGAATCAATGGACCGGGACCTTCTCGGGATAGGATCTCATCTCGACGCATCGACTTGAAAGTGTATCTCAAAAAGCACTGTCAAGAGATCTTGAACAGCACTGCTTTCTCTTCTACTTTCGTTGCATTAGCGAAGAGGCGAGCCACTCTTGTCGAGAAGCTTACAATCTCACATTTGATCTGGTCATGTGTTTGGAGCACTGAAAGGAATGGATATGATGCAGTCACCTAGGCGAGGGCTTCTGGAGGATATGGATGGGGAGTTAGTGGGTAGAGTATCATTGGCCCACCCATTTGGATCTTTGAGGGGTAATTAAATCAAATGCATTGAGGAAAGACCAGTCTTTTGCTGTCACAGGATGTAGTGCACGCTATGGATAAATTCAATAGTGTCAGCCAACAGAACAACTGTGAACATGGCTTGTACTGTCATTGACCGCAGAGCGACAGAGTGATTCACTGAACAATTGTTCAGTGACTGCAGGACTACCATGACTGCGGTGAATAGAGCCCAGTATCAGGGGTATCCTCATCTAACAGAGCATTCCATTTCCGTAAACAGCTACTGTGGTAAGTAACAGTTTTGAGACCACGCCTCCCCCTTAGATATCGAGCAGCGTATTCGACTTCCGTGACAGTGTGAGGTGCTGGAGTGACGTGTCCATCTTTCCATCAGTCAGTCTCCGTCGCGTTAGTGGATATCTTCGTGCGCACTAGGATCAGTAGTCCTTCCAAGTCCGTCCCGAAAAATCTCGGAAAGTGTGAATCACGACGTTTCCGTATTCGAACTCCTGGAATACCAAGATGAGGAGGTCGACGCGGAGGAGATAGAACCGTGTGACTGTCGCTTCGGCTGGAATAGGGAAGAAGCTCGCTCCTTGAGGGAGTTTCGGCGCTCCTCGTGCGATGGTGAGGTCTCTGAGGCACATATCCCACCAAGAGGCGGGCTCCGCTTGCTTACAGACTTCCAGCGTCGGATCCGAGATGGCGTGGTCTGTGAGGCAGTAACCCTGACAGGAGTCCCATCAGGAGGTGGCGTTTGTTGAACCGTATGCGTCCGTCCCGTCTCTGGCGACTGGGCCAGCTGAAGCCGCTTGACGGGGCTGAGCAACTGCTTCACGGACCTTTGTCGCTGCACTGCTGCCGAGACGCTGCTCTTCAGAGCTGGAGCTGCCGCCACCAGCGTGCCCCGCAGCATCCACCTGAAGTCAACGTGGCCCGTCGGCCAGCATTTTGAGGTCGAGGTCAGCTTGCGGATGAACGCGTCGCCGTTTGCGTCCTCGAGGCACGTTTCGAGCATGACCACGAGGTCCAAATTTCCAAGTCTGCGAAATGCGTTTGTCAGTACCAGGTTGCATGTCAACGGTCGGAGGTGATTAAAAGAACAGGCGCGCGGGCAGAGGTCGAGTACGAACGTGACGCGTTTGCCAGGCGGGCATTGTACCAGAAGCTCAAAGGTCCCGCAGCAGACGATCGGGGTCCACGTGAGCCCCTCCGGGGACAGTCCGTCGACCTCCCAATAGCCATGAATGGTGAGTTCCAAGAAGGTTGCTTCCAAGAAGAGGGCAACTTCGTAGGATTCGATCTTCCGTTCTCTTGGATCGCACTGGAGAGGCTGCAGCTTTCCGAGGTGGTCACAGTGCCTCTGTGTGCCTTTCCGAGACACAAAGGGGCGTAGGAATACTTCAAGATCTGGCCGAGTATTCAGGCGGCTCGCGGCCTGAGTGCTGTTGGCTGTCTGAACCATCTTGCTTGAGAAGAATAGGCTTGTAAGGCTTTGACTTGAGATCAATGGATTATGAAAGGTGATGGCCTGGTTTGTTTGAATTGGCAAGTTAGGTTGGCAAAACCTGAAGTTGTCGGGACTTGAGGCTTCGCAGATTCCAAACTGGGACTGGACGACTTGGGACTTTTAAGACGAAATAGGTACTGCATTCAGTTCTGTTTGAAGTTATTTAAGGGAAAGCAAGAGTGAATCAAACAAATTCAATCTGATCGTTATCGAAATGTTGACAAGAATCAATCAGCCAGTGCACTCACTGGTGTGCTCACTAGGAAGCACTGTCCATTTTAGTCACTGCTCGCAACTAATCGCTCCCTCTACAGTAGCTACCAGCCATGTGACTAGCAAATCTTGAATGATCAAACACTTCCAGTCGCAAGCTCTAGTACAGTACTAGTATCTGGCTCATGCCTTCAACGGCCCCGTATTGACATGGTGGGCCAACAAGGTGCCAGAGAGCATTGGATAGATCTAATGTCATGGACTGCCTGGTAGATAAGATAAAACTACCTGCATTCAGTGTTCCGGCACCTCTTGGGCCTTCTTTCCAGCCCTGCTAAAATCCTGCCACGTGGTACATCAACTAGAGAAGCCAAATGGATATGCACATGGCAGGAAGTTTCATTGCATTGTACCGAAAAGCAAATGAAGCTGAACCAGATTCTCGAGCTTCGGTAACATGATAGGACTCGTAAACCATCAACTGTATCAGTGAGGTATCGCTGCCTCTGTTCCTTGTCCCGATCTTCCTTTCCAGCGTAAAGTCTGATATGACCCTAGGTTGGGGCACCCTACACTTCATGTACACAATTTTGCTACCATTTGGAGTTGAATCTCTGGCTAGATACCTAGGTAAGCATTAAACCATGCCCAGAGGCAGTGGGACCATCGATTTGCCTCTGTAGAGTTGTAATCCTGGCCTATAAGCATGAAATCCACACAGAGGGTTGTGGGTGCATCCATTTTCCCTCTGTATTCAAGTTGTAGCTAACTGTTGGCATTGACTTGGGCACAAAAGGCAGAGGGCTGTTAAGTGTTTTGTCCTTGCCCGTTTATGGTCACTGACGCACGAGGGAATACGGTGATCAATAATTTACATTTACATCTTCACAGCTACCTAGGTATCAAGATATTTGTAGCAACACAGTACTGTAGGTGCACAACAGATTGAATGGGCTGATCGGACAGCTCGTCGTTACTTGGCCCCTCCCCTAACTAGCACGATTTGAAGCTAGTGTAGAACTTAAGCTCTCTGACAGCTGCAACTAGTAAGTCTGCGCCAAGCGCCTCTAACCAGATAATCACAACACAAAGTGGCTTCTCAGCTCTAACTGCATTCGATTATATCGGCTGAGAATTGTGCTGTTGGTATTAAGCGAATGCGCAGGTCAGAAGCTGAGCCTGACCGAGCACCGAAAGTGGGATACTGGTCCAAGTCTGGTTGTCGAGTGAAGAGGGAGAATGCGGTTCCTCGGTCCTAGCGCCGCCGATCTGACGCCCAAAGGAATGTCGTTATCTCTGATCAACCAAATTGTCGACGTGAAACCCCCTTTCCCGTACGCTTTGCCGGTCGACTACGCGGGCGACATGAGTCTCCAGCGGGATCGGAGGGAGGCCCCTACTTGACAACTAGTAACACATGGAACCCTTTCAGCCTTGCCTAGCAGCGCGGGGGAGGAAGAAGAGGTGGCGGCCTCACGAAGCAGGATTGTAGGAGGGAAGGCCCTCTTGCTGCAGTCACGACTGTCGATCTATCATCGACCATCCGGAGGCTCGGCTCTGATCCGCGCGGAGCGGTGTAAGCGGCGCCTGTTGTTTTGCATCAAGTGCACATGGACGCACGAACGAAAGGAACCCCGAGACATGCGAGTTGGAACGCCACATTCAACGCCGCGTAACGGTGCTGTTCTATGTGTGATGCGACATGTGACACGATATGTGACGAGCGACCAATCAATCATTATATAGAGCTGTGACTCTTCGGTCCCCGTGGCGAGGCTGACATGCGGCCCGTGTTACCCGAGCCGCTCCAAGGTTGCTCCGCGTGCACGCGGAAGTACCGCTCTGGTTTGGACACCGGAGCCGAAGGATGAGGACCTTGCTGCGACCATTCGGACGAGTCGATCGCAATACGCCGGCATGATTGCCTGCCTGTTTGGCGTTTAGAGCAAGCATGGGTTTACGCAAAACTGAAGGGGCGGGCATCCATGCCTCTTCTTCACGTCAATTTATACCTGCGCCACTTCCACAGCATGCTTAGAATCGCCGCCGTCTGGTTGAAGCCCTGCACAGCGATTTTGCATGCATTTTTGTTTTGTTTTGTCTATCGCTACTAGCTGTCTGGTATGATGGATTCTACCCCCTAACCCCTCCCCCCGGGAGACAAAAACAATAGTTTTCACAAGGTCCGGCTAAATTCAATTTCGCACAAATCAAGCTAGTACAATAACCATCAACCAAAAGGACATCTTCAAAGTACCTAGACAGAGACCCCCGATCAAATCTACTGCTCTCGAGCTGGCAATTGAATTAAGAAAGGGCCGGCTGGGGCATAGGGTTAAGCGCTAGCGAGTGGCCGGTACATAGGCCTTGCCCGAGCACTGCTTGAGGCCCAACCCGGTACTCTTTATGTTCCTTGAAATGAGCGATGTGTATTTGAGAGGTATAAAGAGGTACAACATAATAACAGGGGGGGGTGGAGTTCGCCGAAAAGGGGAGGGGGGGCGGTGGCTGGGATTCGTCACATTGCTCGCTGACGGGCTTACGCTTAAGTTGAGACACCCAAGTCCGCCTCAGCCGCAGACTGATCGTCGATGAGAACACTAATTCAAGCCAAACCAATGCAGGCTGAGCATTTGAAGCAAGCACACTGGTGCCTGCCGCTTGTTATCATTCTGCATGAAGCCCTTCGATCTGGTTACCGCTGCACACTGACGTCGGAGCCCTTCAAGTTGTGCCAAGGGCCGCGTAGTGAGGCTGCCGGTCGCGGGCGGTCGCATACCTAGGTAGTATTATAAAGCCGCGTCCCACTTGCACAGAGAAGTACGAATGCCGACCAGGCGGGTCTCAACGGGGGCTTAGAGATGCCCCAGAACTGTTGCTACCGACATGTTCCAGACGTTGAGACAAGAAGTCCGGGGCGATAGGCAGTTTGTTGCTGAGACGACGGGTGCTCCATTCGAAAAGAAATCCCAGGGAAGATTTGCGCGGGTGGCTTGTAATTTATGCAGGGGGAAAAAGGTAGGTGGACTCTGGAGCCCCGGGCCACCCGACAAGTGTAACTAATGATTTAGGGCAGCTGAAATGCACCGGCGAGAAAGAAGGCTGCCAGCGCTGCCTGGAAAAAGGCCTCGCGTGCTTCTATGGCCCCTCGTCTCCTTCAAGTTCCGCCAGGCCCGACACCGCCGGAGCGGCCGGGCCCCAAGCGGCCGTGACACCTCCCGCAACGGCTGAACACTTCACCGGCACGGGCGGGCCAGCTCAGCACGGCAGTGCGTCCGGAACAATCACGGATCCCGGCCCCTGCATGTTCGATAATGATGCTGCACTGTACGAGTTCCTACACGCTGATCCCGACTTCGAGCCGTCCGAACCACCAGCCTCAGACTCTCTCTTCTTCGATACTGTGGGTCTCGTCTCGCCACTCCACGGCGCCATGAGTCTCAGCGATGTTTTTGCCCAAACACAGGCACACTCGCAGGCAGTGGCACCTGAAGGCGCACTAGTAGCGACCGGTCTCTCGTCTACCCTGCCCAACAGCAGCGACAGGCCGACCAGTTCTTCCCTGGATTGCGGGCCGCCCAGGCAGAAATGCGGCTGCTTCGACCTTCTCCGGATCTTTGAGGCCGTCGAGATATATTTGGTCTGGGCCACGCGCGCCTCGGGTCCTGGGAACAAGTCGTTCCGGGTGGATGAGATCCTCTCGTGTCAGAAGGAGGTTCTGGACAGATGCGACTTGCGTCTCCAGTGCAGAGAGCATCCTCTCAAGTCATGGGACGCCATGCTACTGATCTGCATTTGCGACAAAGTCCTCGCCAGCATACTCAAAGTAATGGCAGCTGGCGACGCTGGGCCGGCGCAGAGCCCTCGGCCTCCTTCCTCCTCCGGTAGGAAGCAGTCTTTCCTGGATCCAAATTCGAGCCCTTCCTCGGTAATGGAACAGGTTCTCATCAAGAGGTGAGATGCCCGCCTCTCTGATAATGTCAAACCCCCCACCCCCATAACATGGGCTCATCTCCGCAGTCATTCCGCAGGTCCGGGCTTTGCAGAATGGAGATTCGATGAGGAGGACCAGAGACAGGTCCTCCAGAGCCTTCTGTGCTCTAGGATGACTAAACTCAGAGCGTTTATCCAGAGGCTTGAAGAGGTGGCGAGGTCAAATCATTGGCTGGTGCCTCACATGAGCATGATTCGGGACCTATTAGACCAGATTTCCAGGGCCAGACCTAAACAAGACTGATGATAGATGGTAGAATAGAATTCTCCGCGCTCGGGTGGAAATGGAACGTAGAACAGACAGATATCACTGAAAGGGTAATTTCCTAGAGAACGGATATTCACACTGGTAGAAACAGATGGTACACCGGTATATCGCCAGCACTAAACCAATATACATACCCAATTCGCACACCCAGCACCCACATGCATAGCACCCATACACTTGGCACCCCATTAAGTCCATAAGTTAGGTATATAGGTGTTGGATATATAAGTGTTAGGCGTGTAGATATTAGGCGTGGAAGTGCGCAAAGAGGCTTGGGTGATGAGCTCTGATTAGGTGTAGCTGTGGCGGAAGTAATGTACCGGTGTACTTTCCGTTTTTATAGGTGTGAACATCCGTTCTCTATGGTGGAGGCGGTCGACGGTGACAGTAATGGCCCATGCCCTTGAGGTTATTATTCATACAAGTAGCTGAACACAGTCGGCAGTTTGTAGATTTCTGCCTTCTTCTCTGCAGCCGACCCTAGAATGAAACAACTCTCATGAAGATATGGATCCCCAGGAAGATCACGCATGCACGAACCCCAACGCCCCTCCTTGCGGGCCCTTATCTCAATGCCGAGCCCATGAAGCAGAGCCCTTGCCGTCTTCATGGAGCAGAAAACACCAGGAACCTCACCTCAATCGACTCACGCGGCTTCACGTTTTCACCTGAAACATCAGTGCGAAATGATGTGTGTGGACAGCCTGGGTGGGACGGGTCAGCTAAGACAGTAAATGTAGAAGTCAACATCGTATAAGACACTCACATTTGGCCTCTACATCATCTGACGAGTCGTGAATCTTGAACAGCAGGACCTCATCTTTGGTCTGCTCACTCAGGTAGTACCACTTGTGCTTGGGGCTGTAGACCATGTTGTAGGACTCCCCAGAAAATGTTTCGCGGTAATTGTCCGTGGCAACGAGGTCTCCTGGGCCAACACTCCTCGCATCGCAAAGTGCCAGGGGACAATCCTGCACAGGGTTCTCAATCGGTCTCCAAACACTGTGTGTGTGTGGTATAAGTATCAGCGAGACCTGGGGTTCTTGCGCAGAAGATAACCAGACGACCTACTTGATTGCTCTCCACCGATACTTCAGCAGATGAGGTGCTTCGGCTCCCATGTGAGCAACCACTCTTTCCTCTGCTCGGGCCGGAGTCTGGTCTTTCTTCAATTCAGCGATGGGATCCCCAAACATGTACGGTACCAGGCTCATTGTCTTACCCACATGAACCCTCTCGAATGGTGCAATCCATTCAGTGAAGTTCTTGAAAGCGAGTTCAGCGGTATCCGGGACTCTATCACTGCTGCTTCGCAGCTATGTTAATCAGTATATGGTACGTTATCAAGGGTGATCACCTAAGGGAGGCCTTGGCAGTGCAGGATATTGAGCAACATACCCGATAGTCAAATGTAACAACTTTGGTGGCATCCGGTACCGCCTCGCGCAACATAGCACTCAACATGGGTATATAAGTCTTCTCTATGTTTTCATCATCCCAGATCATGGGAGGCAGCGGATTGTCCCGGACCGCAAAGCCGTGCGTGTCCAGTTTGAAGGTCTCATCGGAGCTGCGGATATCAGCAATACGCTGTTTAGGTGCGAGGGCCAGGGTGAAGTTTTCTTTGGGAATGCCATCTGGTGGGTCAATGGAGTATTGAGCGGGTTTCGAATGCAGGAACTTGGCATCCCACACTATGTGCCTGAGGCTAGCATTCTGATCCTTTGCCATGATGAGCGAAATGCACCGGGAGAAGATCACAGGGCAGTGGGTGGCAGCAAGATGACTGTCTTCCTGCGGGGCCTACCTAGTGGTCTGCATGAATACGCACGCATACTTATAGACCACTCTGCCCGGAATGCTTAAGTGATCGGCGACGTGCTTCCCCATTGATGCAGGCCGAGTGTCTCGGGGCGGCTGAATTGGGCCATCTGCTTTGGTAAGATGTACTCGGGCACCTCCGATAAGTCGTCTCGCCTGGCTTTTCAGCACGTCAGTTGCAGACTCGGCTCCGTGAATGTGCATGATGCGCATTCGATCTGCACGGTTGGAAATGGAAGTCCGGCACCGAGCCTTTGTGGCTCGCACCCTTCCGTACGTTCAGATCAAGTGGCACTGGGTGCCCATTGCCCACCTCTCGTTGCGTAGTCGTTTTGCTGCCCCGATTTTAGTCCACTGTGCCACGACCGACACGACCCCTTTCCTCGCTTCCCAAGAGCAAACCAAGATCCAGTCTGCTTGCCAATGGGTCTCGATTGCACACGTTCAAAGACGCAGAATCTCTAACATCCTAATTAACTTTGGTGCAATACTGCAGGATCCATCTCAGGCCTCATCTGGAAATCTGGCCCCTTTGACTATTGGAGAGCATGTGGTACCTTATCGAAAATAGATCATGGCCGGCACAGGGGCTCTTCTGGTGGGCTGCTGGTGGTATTTTGTGCTTTGTATTGGCGAGATTCGTCTATCAGACGTTCAGAATCAGACTGAAGCACAGACAGCTAGCCGCCCGTGGGATAGTGAGTTGACCCGGACCAGATCAGAGTATAGTTTTCCTATACTGACAGATTGAATGCTTCACCAAATCAGCCCATGCTGCACTCTTGGCTGCTTGGCCACCTGCCCATCGTCGCCCAACTGAAAAACGACATGCCGCCTGACATCAGCTTCATCGCGTTCCATGGATGGCTCGCCAATAACGTGAAGAAATACTTTCCGGAGCTTGACGAGGTCCCACCCGTCGTCTACCTTGACATGTGGCCGTTCCTCAAGTGCCCGGTCGTGGTGGTCTTCGACGCTGCGGCCTCGGCAAGCTTCATGGCCGACCGCTCCCTGCGGAAGCACTCCATCACGAGAGACTTCCTGAGGCCCCTCACGGGTGGTCTGGACATCTTGTCGTCGTTTGGCGAGCCCTGGAAGAAATGGCGCTCGACCTTCAACCCGGGCTTCAGTCCACGCAACGTGGTCCTCATGATTCCAGAGCTGCTGGAAGAGATGTTGACTTTTGCCGAAAATCTGGAGAAGAGTGCCGGCAAGAATGGTTCATGGGGGCCAATGTTCCAGCTGCAGGAAGAGACGACGCATCTCACCCTGGATGTCATATTTCGTGCTTGTGTGTATGTAAATCGACTCCCTACCCAACGATAATTATGGACGTGGTTGGTGCTGATGAAGCAACATTGAGACAGTGGCAAGAGGCTTCACGAGCAGACAAGCCCAAGCGGCACCCCGCTCAAGCGCGCTTTGCTGGACCAGATCCACCTCATGGAGGCAGGTGGCGATGTGGCGCGTTCTCTCCTGAACGTGGGCCACATGCCGTGGCACAAATGGGCCATCAACCGAAACAACCGCGTCATGGAGGACCAGTTCCTGCCGGATGTGGAGAGGTCTCTCGGCCTCGGAAGCTCGGCTTCCAAAAAGACAACTTTGCTCAACCAAGCCCTCAAGCATATTGAAGAGGAAACCGGGCAGAAAATCGCAAGTGTCAGCACGTTGGACAAGGAGTCATACCGGTCTCTCATGAGCAACCTGAAGGTTCTGATGCTAGCCGGCTTCGAAACCACATCGGCCATCTTGTGCTGGATTTTCAAGGAGCTGCAGGACAACCCCGACTGCATGGCCAAGGTCCGCGCGGAGCACGACAGTGCTCTGGGTCCGGACCCGGATAAGGCAGCGGAGATCCTCCGTGAATCCCCACAGCTCCTCAACTCTCTTCCATACACACAGGCTGTCGTGAGGGAGACGTTGAGGATGTACCCTCTCACGTTCGCAATCAGAGAAGGGACGCCCGGTGAGTTGCGTATTGTTTTCCCGGCGGTTTCATGGGCCTCAACCGGCCAATAAAACTAATGATGGTGTCCTCCTGCAAAGATTACTTCCTCACCGTGCCCGGCTCCCCGACCCAGTACCCAACCGGCGGGTTTGCCATCTGGGATGCCATCGGCTGGACGCAGCGGAACCCGGCCCTGTGGCAGCGAGCAAACGAGTTTGTCCCTGAGCGGTGGTTGGCGCCACAGGGCGACGACCTTCACCCCCCAAAAGATGGATTTCGCTCGTTTGGCATGGGCCAGAGAGCTTGTATCGGCCAGGAGCTGACCTTGGTGGAGGCGAAACTGGTTCTCGTCATGTGTGCCCGCAAATTTGACATTGAAGAAGCTTGGGCCGAATGGGATGCCAAACAGTAAGGCGCTCATTTTGTCCACTCACACATTTCACATTTCATCCACACACTCTCTCGCTCTCGCTCTCCATGCTGACGGTGCCGCAGTCCAAACAACCCCAGACACACAGTTGATACTCAGAGGTTATACCCAGCTGGCTTGGGTACAATGCACCCTAAAGACCACATGCCCGTGCATGTTAGGATGCGGAATCACACGTGATTACGCCTTGTGCGATGATTGATGGAGCACTGATTGAGCTCGTTGGATATTTTGACACGGAGCCTCTTGTATTTCGCCAAAAACAAAATGTGTATCTGAAATGTGACTAGAAGCCACAGAATACATCAAAGCGTCCCGTGAACAGCCGTTCACTGTTACTTCCGGTGGTTAGACCCTGCTCGGATATTCGGGACACTGGTGGTCACTGACCATCGTTTAATCAATGCCTTGCAGAAGCTGAAAGTACCATATCACAGATGAGTCCATCTGCATTGAGATAACTTTCGGGCAACAATCCATCCTGTAGTTGAACGACCAAGTGGTAGAGCCTCCATCGGGAGAAAATTCAGTGGAGGCCACCCCTGATTTTGCTCCTTTAAAGGTCAACGTGGCGGTGATCAATTCAGCAGTTCCGGGAGTGCGCCACGCAATTCAAAATCGCTCTTGCTATGACGGCACAGTCGTCCCAGAAGAGCTGGACTTCTTGATATTGGTTGAAAATCAGGTATGAGAAACACCGTGCGTACTTGATCGCATAAGGAGAGTGGCTGCTTTGAAGAACACTTGTGACACTTGATGCATATTGAAAGCTGTGACGTCCCAAAATCAAGGTATAAATTGCACACCAGCCCAAATTTGATGTATGAGAAAACTCATCGCCATATCCCGCCAGACCATCATACAGTATCAATATGGAGCGAGCTAAGTATCTTTTGCATGGCAGGATTCTGCCTGCCAGTAGCCGATTCGATACTGCGAATCTCCTCCTCCAGATCCTCGCGCAAGTCCCTGAGAGCCTGGGCGGTGAAGCTCATCGATCCAGCCTCATGTAGCAGCCGAATTATGAACTCCTTCTGGTTGTTAACCATGTTCCCCGCGACTCGGCGCTGCATCAGAAGATTGTGTAGCTGCTCTCGCACTGTAGAGGCCGCGTGGTGCAGTGCGTGGATAAGCACGAAGCTGTACTTGCCCTCGTCGAGATCCTCAGCGAAGCCCTTTGTCTTGGCGTACTGCGTCACCATGAATCAGCTCAAGTCATAACCGCCAGCCTGTTCCTAATAGATGAAGCGCGGCCAGTGGCAAGGTGCCTGCCTGAGGCCACAGATCGCGGGCGGCCGTGTCGTAAACGGTTTAACAAGTGACTCCACGTACCTGGTCAGACATGAGGTTCGCGTAGTCGTCGCGGATCTGGAAAAACCGCCCAAAGAGAATCATGAGTCTGTCTAGTGATGCAGGTCTGGCTGATGACGTGGACTGTGCAATCATGAACCTCGATAACATTCGGAAAAGGCCACCGGTTTCTGTTCCCAACTTAGCCACAGCACTGATGAAACATACAAATCCATTTGGGTTTGGCCCGACTTACTCCCATCAACCATGCGCAAGTAGTCCTCGATAGTGGGCACCGCTACAAGGTGCGTCCAGTTCAGATCGTAGGACTGTCCGACCAGAAGGCGCTTCAATTCGTCTTCACGTCTCTTGATTAGTAAGAAGCAGCGGTTGAAGGAAGGGTGTGGAAGTTGCAAGCGGCTGCTGGGAGGACCCTACCTAAGACTATTGTCAGCGAGTTTGTGTCGTTTCGTGCCACCGTGCGTGAGATCACGTCAACCATGTGGTAGATGGCCGAGTTGGTCGTCTGCGGCGCGCCAAACACGCACTGCGTCGCCGGTCTGGCTCGCCGCATTGGAGAGTTGTCCTGGACATCATCAAGCCTTTCCAAAGCCGAAGAGGGCCGATGTCAGCTTCTTGTCTTGCTTGCTCTATATGGTTCATGTTCAGGCATGAAAGAGAAGCAGAAGCCCTGAAAAGAATGGCAGGAACCATGTACGGGACGAGGGGAGAGCTCACATGAGCGAGATGTTGTGCAAGTCCCCCACCACCGCCGTGACGTTGGCGACCGCCTGAGGAGGCGCCTCAACCCAGATGTTCAACGCCTGTACTAGCTTATCTCGGACACCTTTCGATTGGGCAGAGTTGATATATTCGAATGGAGCCGTCACGGCCTGTGGTACCGGGCCGACAACGCGAGTCAGCGCCCGAGTGTGGATGGGATCACAGTCGTAACTCATCATGTGGTCAACATACCTCATCCCCTGCCGGAGATATCTTGGTGTCACTCAGGTCAATGACTTTGACCTTCTTGCGGCCATTGACCCTATGTAAGCCGTTGGCTTTGTCCTCTGAAGGGGAAGCTCCTGGCTGCCCCGGTCGCTCATCCTGTTCTTCGGTCCGTTTCGTGGTCGCTGGCTCGATGAGGGGGCCGTTAGCCGCACATCGTGTCTTCTCCAGTGTCATCCATGTTTTGGCGTGCTTCTCGGCACCGCTGCCATTGCAGTCTGGGCTGTTCTGGTGTGTTTCCTTGTCGGCCGACGGCAACATGACACTTCTAGGAACATTGGAGTCCAGTTGCGCTTCGGTTGACATGCTGTAGTTGGACTCCCGAATCATTTCCGCGCTGTCGATCTCTCCAGAGCTCAAATGGTGGTGGTGGCCCACCCCGTTGGACTGGAAATGAAACGAGGGCCTCTCCACCAGGTTCATCTCGCCACTCAGAAAAGGTTTGGGACACGTGAATGTAGACGGCTGCCAACGCCAGGTGAAGGACGATGGTATAGATGATGTCGTTTGTGTTCATGAGGTTCTCGATGCCAGATAGTATTGCAAACTAGGCCTCTGAGAGATACTGTGCTGTGTGAGGGACGTGGTGGAGCTGGGGGCTTAAGGCAAACGCAAGTTGAGCGCTACAGTAAATAGGTCGGTAGCGATCCTGGGTCTGACAGGGCGTGCAATCGGAGCCGAAGGTGCATGTTGGTCAAGTCTAGCCATTTTGGTTACGCCCCGGAACAACGCACATCGGGGGTGTTGTTCGGGAGACAGGGGAGAAATGGAAGACTCGGAGTGTCGGCGTGCAAGTCTGCTCGGATGCCCTTATTCAGCATGGCGAAGGCCTGTCTCGGAAACGGCTTACCGCTAAAGAGATAACCCGCAACGAAACGCTCTCTATTTTCACACATAATACCAAAGGTTTCTTGCTTAAAACGTCATAGACGACGTCACCAGGAAAGCGACAGTGTTGAAGGAGGAGGTGTCGCCAAGACGAAGGACTAGATATTGCCCAAGAGTTGTCCTGGATGATGTGGTCCTCCTGAGCCTGGGGTCGCGTGAAGTGAGGGCAGGCCGTCCGTATTGGCGTCTTTACTTGGAACGATAGATCCATCGCGCGTGTATGGAGATGGCATCGATGATGCGGTGTGAGAATTCAAGGCTTGAATGATTTGAAGTATCTCCAGTCCTCATGGGCTTCGTCGACTGAGGAAAGTAGCTTCAACCGCATTAGCTTGAGGTGCAACCAGAAGACGTGTGTGTCGGCCATGTGTCCTCCATTTACTTCTATAACATTTTTATGATGCTTTGAAACAGGACGTCTGGAGTGGTAAGTCGACTTTTGCTCTTAAGGCGTCATTCACTGGATTTGGTATGTAGGTGTCTCAGGCTACAGTAAGGCTTGGGAGAGCAGTGCCATGAATCTTGTATGCTCCTAGACTTCCCAGCAGACTCCCAACATTCATATCGAAATTTGGTGCAAATTCGTCTTCTCGATACGCAGTGAACATTTATATATCATATCATACCGAGGAGGCGGAAGCCGCTCGGAGCAGAGTCCTAATCCCCCCCCCCCCCCCTCACCCAAAAAAGAAAAGCAAAACCAAAATCAGCGCATGACACCACCGTCTGGATCGTGTCCAGAAACTGTCAATTTACCAGGGGTCGGACTCGCGCTTTTTCAAAACTTCACACTCGCGCCGCGGGCCGCTCAAGCGAAGTCCCACTGCTCGAGGTCAGCGCCAACATTGAGCATGTGCTCCACATCGGGCTCCTTGTCGGTCCTCTCACGCATCAGGATCTTGACCGATGGATCGGGGAAGATGTTCTCATCGGCAAGCATGTTCTTGGGGCGGCCGTTCTTCTTCTCCTCGGGCATGTACTCAAAGTCGTAGCGAAGCAGCATGTGGGCGAACATGAGCTTCATGACCTCGGACGCGAAGAAGCGGCCGGGGCATCCGTAACGCCCGGCGCCAAAGTGAAGCTGTCGAGTATCAATGGTCGTCAGGTCGAAACGGTTCTTGTGCTCCGACTCGTCCGGCTCGCGCTCGAAGCGGAAGGGGTCAAAGGCCTGGGCGTTGCCCCCGGGCACCAGGTCGTCGTCCATCAGGATCGGCTCGGCGGCGAAGCAGAGGTGGGTCCCCACGGGCAGGTAGGTTCCGTCCTTGAGGGTGACGGGCTTGCGGAGATAGCGGTTGAAGGACATCAGGCTGGCCGGGCTCCACCGCTGCGTCTCCTTGATGAAGCTGTCGAGCTTGCGGAGCTTGCTCAGCGTGTTGCGCTGCCAGCCACCGTCTGCCCTCAGGACCTCGACGAGCTCCTCTCGCAGTGGCTTGAAGTACTCCGGGTGGGCGCAGAGGTCGTAGACCGCGTGGGTGGTGGCCATGCTGGTGGTGTGGAGAGCGGCTAGGTTGACCACGAGCTGCCGCAGCGCGAGACTGTCCGGGTCGGCCTCCCAGTCCACGCCCTCGTCCATCATCCACTGCAGCAGGTCGTTGGGCTTCACGTAGTCCAAGTCGTCCGCCTGGGCCTTGCGGCGAGCACGGACTTCTGGTCCAATGATCTTCTCCGCCGTGGCGATGTTGGCATGGGCGCGCCACCATGAGGGTAGCAGTCGCGCAAGCAGCGGGTGCAGGAAGGGCGGGAACATGCGCAGGAGAACGACGGCGCCGCCAACATTCACGTCATAGTCAATGCTGACCTTGATCCAGTCCGGGTCCCGGCACAGTCTGGGCCCGACGAACACTCGCCCCGTGACTCGAGCTACTACCAGAGACAGAGCTTCAAACATAGGCACGGGCACCCACTTGTCTGCGAGCCAAGCCAGGTCAGCATTATCGCAACGAATACTTCAGCTGACTGTGCGGGCGGCAGGGTACTCACCCTTGCAATCCGGTATCTCAACTCTGAGGGCGTCGTCCAGCTCGTTCTTCACCATTGGAATGGTAGAGACGAGGTTGGGTGTCAACTTGTGCTGGATCATGCGGAAGTGAAGGTCGCTTTTCATGATGATGTCTGCGGTGCACCACGATCCGGCCATATTCCGGATTTGGCCGACGCTGGAGCTGCTGTGCGAGTCCGGGAGGTTCCCCAGCTCCTCGAGGTACTTTGGGTTCAAGACGAGGATGTTCGAGTCGTTCCGGATCATGTTGAACATGGCATCCTTGTACTGGAATCCAGAAAAGTAGGTTAGCCGCTGAGTTCCAAAGACGACCTCGAAGACCTTGTCTCTGGCCCACGTGAACAACCTACCTTCTTGTATCCCTCGTACAACACATTCTTTGCGTTGAAGGAGTAGGTCAGTCGGCTGAGCCACTCTGAAATGAACAACCCTCGCTTTCCCACTACGGGAGCCTTCACCAGGTATGGAAACGTTAGGGCGGCATGGAACAGATAGAGGGCGAAAACGCTTCCCCCAAATGTCAGAAGCGTAGACCGTTGGCTGCCCCAGTCGATTCCATCACCCAACGGCGTGGCTGTCTGGTTCATCTTGGCAATTCAAGTTTTTCTGATCAAGGTAAGTCCTCAAAAGCGTGCTCGTTCTCGTGATCACACAGATAATCAAGATGCTGAAGCAATGCGAGAAGGTTGTTGACGGCAGAAGAAGACGTGTCAATGCAAGTATTACCTGCCTATGAAACTGCCCACGAGCAGATGTATAACAAGCCAACACCGAATGATCTATCTTTCTGTGCGACCTGAGATTCAACAGCATGGTGGCCGCTGGCGATCTCGTCTGGGACATCCGGGCGCACCAAATCGAGTTCGGAACAGGCTCCAGATTAGGCATACATGCACCCTGGCAGGTCAGATACTCCTCGGACTTCCCAATCCAGCTGTGATCACCATCTGTGTAGATCAAGCGGACAGACTCATGGGAGTGTGTGTGCTGGCCGACATTGAGATTGCTAACTGATCGGTCATTCCTTCACAGCTCCGACGATGGCAGAAACCACTGCGGTCCCAATCAAAAGCTTCACCAGGACTGGCCACAAAAAACCCACAATTAGTTTTGATGAATCTATTGATGGCATTCTTTCGGGCCACTCACTCCCAAGCCGTTGGCGAGTAGGTTGCGAGGCAGTGCTTCTAGAGATGAATGATGCCGCCCGTTCGCGGCGGCTTAACGACATGTCAACTATCCTGGCGATGGACTGCGCCCGGGCAATTAATATGTGACCGAGCTGGTTTGCATGTGGGGCGCGTCCTCATCTGTTGTGTCTTTTTCAGGTTTCTTTGTGGCACGAGTTAGGCAATTTGGTCATTGATCTCCTCTATCGATCCTAGTCAATTTCCCGCGTCCTCAGATGGCTACTGTCCCGACAGTGGACCCCAGAGCCCGTCCATGCTGGACGCAACCTCGGCCGGCAGCGGCCCCTTCTGAATTGCCTCAATGTTTTGATCAAGGTAGTGCGGCTTGCTAGCCCCAAGGATGATCCCGTCCTCCGGGCCCAGCGATGAGTGGTAAGAGACCCAGCGCAGAGCCGCCTCAATCTTTGAGATGTTGGCTGACTGGAGTATCTTGTCCAGTGCATTGACCGCATCGTGAAGCTCCTTCTTGTCATATTGCAGCTTGGAATAGTGCCCGACGATGTTGTCCTTGGCGAACCGAGTGCCCTCGATCTCGCCCGAGGTCAGCTTGCCTGAGAGGAAACCTCCGCCAAGGGGGCTGTAGGTCCGGTCAGGACAAGGTCTCCGGTCGCGAGCAATACAGGGGGGACTGCTTACCTGTAGGCATTGTAAACGATGCCGTGCTTCCGAAGGGCCGGGAATAGGGAGTCGTGTCCCCTGCAGACAAGGTTGTAGAGACCTTGATAGACAGTGGGCTTGACGTAGCCTTCGCGATCGCAGATGGCAATGAATTGAGTCAACATGTCCTCGGGCCAGTTGGAAACGCCGAGCTAATGTACAATTAGTTGGTCATGGGTCCAGTATTTGGAGCTCTGACCGCGGTCGGTCAGAACTTGGAAGCTTACCTTGTCGAAGATGCCCTTCTTGTGCAGAGCGTCCAGGGTGGCAGCCTGGTCCTCCAGGGGCGTCTCAAAGTCTGCAGCATGGCAGTAGAGGACGTTGAGCTTCTGGCCCCGCATCTGCAGGGCCTCGTAGCTCTTGCTGACCGAGTCCTGGATCTTTGCGGGCTCGAGGCTGCCATTGCCGTCGGCGCTCATGACGAGGATCTTGGTGTCGACGGCGAAGCCCTGGGCCGCGGCGCCCACCTCGCCCAGCAGCTTCTCAGAGGCGCCGAAGTTGACGGCGGGGTACCGAGCTGCGGTGTCGAGCTCTTTGACGCCCGCCCCTTTCAGCCGCTGGAGGAGGTCGCTGACCTCCTGCGGCGTGGCGTAGTCATCGCCAATGCTGGACCCGCCAAAGATGAGTCGTGGGTGTGCTACTGGAGACATGCTGAGGTGAAGCTAGTGATGCAGGTGTGTTGTTGCAGTGGCAGCCAGGAGGACCTCTGGATGATTATGACATGTGTCTGGAGACAAACGAAGGGAGCGGAGGCTGTTAGATGTGCAATGGGTTGTTGGCCTGAGGTGACACAGGCCAGGGATCCGGAACGCCAAAAGAGGATGACCGGTCAGACGACATGGGCGCAGTGCGGATTGTGAGCCGGATGTAAGTACAGTATCTCCAGGGACGATCTTAGCCGCATCTGGCCCGAAACTAAGACACTCGCCGGCCTCGACATCTTCGTGGGACTTCGGCTCAAGGCAAACGGGTTAGCTATGTAGGGACGTCCGAATGGCATCAGAAATAACTCCGTAGCAGGCTTTGTGAGAGAGCATTCGAGGGCTTGGGGATTGAGTGTATATGTATCGACATGTATTTTACCTAGGTAGATGGTGCAATCAGGGCCCTGATAGTACCCTTCTTTGGTCAGACGAATTAGCCGCGAGGACCACCACCATGCACAGCAAAGGCAAGCTTGCAGATGAGGCCATCTCGGTCATCCAACGTGCCACAGATGGCTTCGACGAGAAGTACGGATCCGGCTCCATGGGCTGTGCGGTCTATGACACGGCCTGGGTCTCCCTGGTTACAAAAGTCGTCGGCGACAAGAAGCAGTGGTTATTCCCTGAATGCTTCAGTTATCTCCTCGACACGCAGTCGGACGACGGCAGCTGGGGATGCAACCCGCGTTCCCAGATAGACGGCATCCTGAACACAGGCGCTGCGCTTCTGGCCCTCATCCGGCACCTGTCAGACCCTATGCAAAGCCACGACACGTCTGCGGCAAAAGAGGGCCTCAGAGGGCGTATCCACAACGCAACCCGTTCTTTGCGTTCTCAAATGCTGGCCTGGGACGTGGCAGCGACAAGACATGTCGGCTATGAAATCATTGTGCCCGCGCTCCTGCGCTATCTTCAACAAGAGGACGACACCCTGGTGTTTGACTTCCCGGGCAAGGCAGCTCTCAAGGCACTGACAGATGCCAAGTTGGCACAATTCAAACCCGAGTATCTCTATACTCCGAAGAAATCCACCGTGCTGCATTCCCTGGAGGTGCTCATAGGCATGGTCGACTTTGACAAGCTCTCCCACCACAAGACCAATGGCTCCATGATGGCGTCGCCCTCGTCGACAGCAGCCTATCTGATGAATGTGTCACAGTGGCACCAGGACGCCGAAGACTATCTGAGACATGTCATTGCATCCTGCCCTGGCCTTGGAAGTGGTGGCGTGCCGAGTGCATACCCCTCGATGCATTTCGAGTACACATGGGTGCGTATGCTACACTTGTGTTGATACATGTTAACCTACCTGACCCTAACTCTCTGACAATTAGATCCTGTCCACTCTCCTACGGACCGGCTTCGCAGTTTCGGATCTGGAATGCACGGGGCTGCGCAAAATGGAGCAGGTTGTGATTCATGGCCTGGACAACGGCAGCGGGGTGATGGGGTTCGGTAAGTAATTGCTACACCCATTGTGCATGGATCGAGCACTAACGGTGTCGCGCAGCTCCTCTTCTTCAGGCTGATGTTGACGATAGTGCCAAGGCCATTCTGTCGATGAACCTCCTGGAGCATCCAGTCGGTCCGGAAAAGATGCTGGAGACGTTCGAGGCCGAGGGTCATTTCCGCACGTACAACAAGGAGCGCGACCCAAGCTTTAGTGCTAATTGCAACGTCCTCGCCGCGCTTTTGTGTCAATCAGACCCGGCCCAGTACTCCTTGCAAATATTGAAGGTGGTGAAATTCCTTTGCACCCACTGGTGGAATTCAGATGGTAAAATCACAGACAAATGGGTAAGAAGAAACCTCCTTTCCCGAAATGCTGGCTCATTCCCTAGGTACCTAATGTACTCTAACATGTCTGATCAGAATCTGAGCCACCTATATCCAAATCTCCTCCTGGTCGAAGGCTTAACGGACCTGATGGCCTTGCTCGACCGTGGTAGCTTGGCAGGACTCTTCGACCAGCAACTACGGTCCGAGATCCTCATCTCATCGTTCCAAGCTTGCCTTCGGACAATGCTGGATCAAAGTGCCAATGGTTCCTGGGCTGACTCGATTGAAGAGACTGCTTATGGCATCCTCATACTCTCCGAAGCACGCAAACTAGCAACGTTTGCCAGTCTGAGACAGACAATAGAATCGGCCATCCAGCGTGGAGCTGCGTGGATCCGCGCACGGCCAATCTCGACACAGGTGCCCATTTGGATCGAAAAGGTCAGCTACACATCTACTATCCTGACAGACTGCTATGTCGTTGCAGCTCTCAAGGCATCCGAGGCCGCGGGAGAGACATTGGTGGGTACCAGTCTTTTCAGTAGGGATGGAAGATGGCCCTCCAGCGGGCGGAAGCATATAGAGCTGTTGAAGCAGACTCCTCTGTTCTCTGATACCCCACAGTGGCAGCTGGAGGCGTCGATGGTTGAGTCGGTGCTCTTCCAGCCCCTGTTGCGCGCCCGCAGGCTCGACATCTTCCCCAGGAAGGATATGGCGGACGACAAGTACTTCGACATTATCCCGCTCACGTGGACGAGCTGTAACAATCGGCGTGGCACATTTGCTTCCACGTCGCTCATCTACGAGATGATGATCATTTCTTTTCTGAACTATCAAGCCGATGAATTCATGGAGGCCAGTGCCGGGGCTGTCTTCCGTGGCCGGACGGATGCCCTCCATCAGATGATCGACGCCGTGTTCTCCACAGGGCAAGATGGTCTCGACGGCTCCAACGGGAATGGCCACGAGGAGAACGATTCTGGCTATGAGGCTACGTTGACCACGCTATCACGGTTTGTGGCTCACGTCTCCAACCACCCTGCCGTGCAGGCGGCCAGCCCCTGGGACCGCGAGTCCGTCAGGCGCGAGCTGCGAACATTCCTGCAGGCGCACGTGGCCCAGAATCAAGACAACACCTGCTTCCAGAAACTGCTGCACCACCCAAGCCCGAGCGGAGGAGCGGTCCAGGCGTACGAGTCGGCAACCGACACGTTCTTCCACTGGGTGCGCACGACGTCGGCCGACCACACCTCGTGCCCCTACTCCTTCTCCTTCGTCTCCTGCCTCCTCAGCGCGTTCCTGGTCGACGGCCGCGAGTGCTTCCCGTCGGTGCAGGAGAAGTACCTGGCCGCGGCCACCTGCCGCCACCTCGCCACCATGTGCCGCATGTACAACGACTACGGGTCCGTCGTGCGCGACGCGGCCGAGGGCAACGTGAACTCGATCAACTTCCCGGAGTACCACCAGCCCGCCAGCGGCGGCGGCGGCGGCGCGAACGTCGACGAGCAGAGAAGGGCCCTGTTCGACCTGGCTCAGTATGAACGCGCGTGCCTCGACAACGCCCTTCGCAGGCTGCAGGATGTACCGCGGAGCACTGGCGACATGGCTGTGGACAGGGTCAAGGATCGGCAGATGGCCATCTGGAAGATGTTCTGTGATGTTACGGACCTCTATGGTCAGATCTATGTCGTCCGAGACATTGCAAGCCGGATGAAGGTGCCTGGACCAGGGGCGAATGGAGAGTCAAGCCTCACAAATCTTCCAGGCACAGCGGTAGCTACTTGAGTTTGATATTTGTGCTCGTAAACCTTTCGTAGCAATATCGTCGAAACATCGCGGAGCTTCGCTTGAGGGCATGTCACTATTGTTCCAATTATCAGACCTAAATGTGATGGCCTGCGAACATTCCACTCGCTACTAACTCACTTCACTACCTGGGCAGTAAGTTTACTGTAGCGGGATGTTCAGGGGGTATTCCGTGGTTGGGCCAGTGCTTATGGTACAAGTCATGAGTCAAGTATGAGAAATGGATTAACTATAATCTTTAGGAGCGTTTTTAACTATCTCATATATAGGGTAGCTTCTGCTACGAATAAGTGTAAGTTGATGCGAAGACTTTTGACATAACGTGATGGTTTCTTTTATAGCTAGCATAAGTCTTATGGTTTACTGGGTATCTAAGTAGCCACGTGTGCCAGCCAAGTGAGGAGTAACTCATGCAAGTGACGGCTCATGAGTAGGGTAAACTTCTTTTGACCAGGAACAAAATAGGATTTTGAGAGTATGAGATAGGGACATGTATCAATTTTCGACCGACCAAACGTGACTACCTAAGCTTTCCAAGCAACTGACAGATTGCCATAAACCCTCTGCCATTCTGAGTGCTTCCGTGCCTACTTATGATGCCAGGCTCTCCTCCCGTTTCTTCATGAGAAGTTTTGCGTTGGGGTCCATGAAGACGTTCTCATCCGCGAACATGACCTTTGGCCTAGAAGCGCCCTCCGGATACGCAAATTCGAATTCCAGCAGCAGCCTCATCAAGATCATCTTGATCTCCGCCACGGCAAAGTACCTCCCTGGACAGGACTGCCCACCATAGCCAAAGGACAAACTGTTCGAATTAGTCTGCCCAGCCGTGTATTTGTTGATGTTGGCCCCGTTGTTGGAATGGCGCTTCCGGTAGCTCCGCAGCGGGTCAAACTCCTCCGGGTTGGCGAGTGTGGCGGGATCGTTGGCATGGTGGTGTCCGGCCCACGCGATCCTCGCCCCGGCTGGAATCTTGGTGCCGTCCTTGAGTGTGATGGGAACCAGAGCGATCCTCTGCGGGTTTACTGTTTCTTGTGGTGAGAACCGGGTACGCTTGGAGGTCATGTGGTTCACTTACGCAGAATAGGAGGGTTGATCCTCTGGTCCTCCACGATGAAGCTGTCCATCTTCTCCAATTTGGACAACCACTGTTTGTGACTGAGTTGTCCTTCACCAATCTTCCCGTGGGTCTTTACAACCTCTTCGATTTCCTGCCGCAGCACAGGGAACCATTGCGGGTGCATGCAGAGATCGAATAGTATGTTGCTCACGCTCATGGAGGTTGTGTGGATGCTCGCGAGCGTCAGGACACATTGGCGGGCTGCCATCTCCGGGATCGACGCCTCCTTGTCAGTACCGTGATCAATCATCCACGTGAGCAGCGTGTCCTGCCCCTTCTCTCCCCTCCTCTTGGCTTCGTTGTGTTGTCTAGTGATCTCCTCGACGAACCTCTTGGCTGTGTTCATCTGCCGACGAATTCGCCATCTGGCTGGAACAAAATGAGCCACAAAGACGTGCATCCAAGGTGGAAACATCCGGAGAGTGAAGGCTGCCAAAAACATGTCGTAGGTGAAGTTGATGGAAACTTGAAGCCACTCATCCTTCCTGCACGCAGGATGGCCCATGAATATTCTTGCCGACATGCGTGCCACCAACATACGCATTGTCTGCTGGATGTCGACCTGTGTCCAATCTGATGGTTGTCTGTCAGTACATGGACGAACATCGGATCACCTATCAGTGAGTGCCATGGGTACGATTGGGATATGGAGGCTCACGTTCGGGACGGGGCACGTCGATGTCCCACCCATACTGCATCTCTTTACTGGCAATGTCTATGTAGTTTGACAAGTCTGGATTGAGCTTGCTGTTGAGAACATTGACGTGCAAGTCCGATTCCATCATCACTGAGGTCCAAGTCCATCTTGGAACAAGGTTCTGAGAGTAGGTAGGTTGTCAGAGACGGATCTTTGATGGTGACGGAACATTATCACACGTACATTGACTTGGGCCTTCTTCCCGTTCAGCTTGCTCCTTGGAATGAGGCGCATCTCATCCAGATATTTGATCGGGAGAACCGTGATATCGGTGTCATAGCGGCGGAGTACAAACGGGATATTTTTCAGCTAAAGGCGGTGACGCCGTCAAGTTAGTTTCTGATGTGGCGCAAGTTCACAGGGCCGACTTTGTAGCTGTCCAGCTCACCTTTTTGTAGCCACTGTCGACAATGTCAAAAGCACCAGTGGTAAATCTGATTTGCAACCAGAGGGTTGGCTCAAAGATGGAGCGGTAGCCATGGACAGGAGCACCAGATACTTTTGGACTCTTCTTCCCCGGGAATGTAGAGATGATGGAGAGGAATCCTAGCAGAAGGATCGCTATCTCAGCATAGGTTGCATTGTTGAAGCGATCGAGTAGACGCTCTTTGAGCAACAGCGCAGTCTCTGGGGACAACTTTGCAATCATTGTGAACCATTCGATGTTTTCTCTCACATAGGCAGGGCGCAAGAGGGAATTGGAATTGTCGACTTGAACAGGACGACGGTCTTAACGCCATACTCAAGCTCCCTGCACTAACCACTTTAATTAAGTGGTTGTTCACCTAGAGAGTTTCCGAATTGCAGTACTCATTCTCCTCGCCTGAAACTTTTAGCCAATCATAGTTTCAATTTGAACATCCAGTCACGTTTTCTCTGAGCACAATATTCGCGCAAGCGCGCTCCGACATTCCCAAATGCATGCTGATCATCTTCTAAACTGAGCATGCCGAGCTGACAACGCCACACGGAGCTGACCCTCGGAGCACTCAGATCGGAGACACAGCCGGCTTGCGACCCTTTTTGGAAACGCCGTCGGCAGCGATGTCAATTCCACGCAGGCGGACCACTGGCTGCGGTGCTCTGTTTCCGACCTAAATTACGCACTGGAGACAAGAAGATCACCGCCTGCCTGTGAATGGTCGCGTTTCGCATGCACCCATCCGGCACGCAACCACCCTCTGAGAAATGATGAATCGTTACGCACTCTGGGGTTCCCTGGCCCTGCAGCTCGCATTTTTCGCCCACAGGGCCGACAGCGCATACAGCGATGTCTGCAGCGTCCCCGAGTTCATCCAGAAGCTGGATCTCCAGCCGGCTGTGGAGTCAAGAATCACGACGCTGCTTGACGGTCTTGATGTGGACGGCATAGCGGGACTCGATGAGCAGGAAAAGGGAGCTCTCTACTGTCGTGTCGCAGGGGTCGTCCTTGGTGGTGCCGAGGTCGTAAACAAATCTGCCGCGACCTTCGAGCAGCTCGTCGAGGTGAACTGGTAAGGCTCCATTACCCAGCCGTCCATCGGCCTATACCGCCCAATGTCCCTCGGCCAATGGCAACGAACTGTGTGGCTCATACGTGCATGTGCCATGTAACTACAGGTGCGACTCTTGCTGGTTCGAGCCACGGTGCATCGCCCAACCAGAATCGGCCGACGATGTCTCCAAGGTTCTGCTCACGGTCACATTCTTCGGGGTCAAGTTCGCGGTCCGGAGTGGCGGCCACAATCCCAATCCGGGCTTCGGAGGGATCGACAGTCCCGGCATCCTCATCGACATGTCCCACATGAACACGACCAGCCTCAGCCCTGACGGCGCCGTCGCCTCGCTTGGTCCGGGCAGCCGGTTTGGGGACGTCTACTCGGCGCTCAACTCCCAGGGAAAGACTGTCATGGCAGGACGTCTGAACAGTGTTGGCCTCGGCGGGTACTTCCTGGGCGGCGGGTTGACCTACTTTAGTAGCAGGTACGGCCTTGCGGCTGATAACATTGTCAACTACGAGGCGAGTCAGTATTCAAAGCCTGAGAGGCTGTCTTCTCCTGACATGCGGAGCAGATTGTGCTCGCAAACTCCTCCATTGTTCAAGCGAATGCCACGTCCAACGCAGACCTGTGGTGGGCGTTGAAGGGCAGTGGTACCAATTTCGGTAAGGTCTTCTTTACCCACCTATACTCTTCCAAAGCTTTCTGTCTGCTGCACCGAGCCTGGCTGACGGTCGACGCAGGCATAGTCACAAGATATGACGTTCAGACTGTAGAAAATATATCGATATGGTATGAGGCACTGAGCTATTCACCGTCACAAGCCCCACAACTCCTGGAGGCAGTGGAGCAATACGCCAACGCCGCGGAACACGACCCAGACGCTGCCATAACATTTGCACTTACTCCAACGAGCGGTTTTGTGGAATTCATCTACGGGAAGCCTGTCTTGCGTCCCGAAGTGTACAGCATGTTCTATAACATAAGCACCATAGGTACTGCGATTAACTCCACAGTCGGGAACATGGTCAGTTTGACCAATGCAATCTCCGAGATCACCTCTATCGAAAGGAAAAGGTATGGTCCGCCAAGCACTTGAAGGCTGAGCTGAGCCAAGCGCCCCTGCTAAGATGTCATCATTCACAGGAGAATGATCGGATCGGTTGCCCATGTTTTTGACCTACCAACGTTGCTGGGTTCATACGCCATGGTTCTGGACTTAGCAGCGGAGGTTGAGACTTTCAACGGATCGGCCGGTTTCGTTGTTCAGCCCTTCACCAGCTCAGCCGTTCAGCATGCATCTAAGACGGGAGGCAACCCGGTCGGCCTCAACAGCACCCTCCAGAACTGTAAGTGGTAATGAAGCGGTCATCCTGTTTTGTGTGTCATTCACTCACCAACGCACGACCCAGTCCTATCATTCTCCGTCGAGTGGGACAGCAGCACGGACGACGCCCATGCCCTCGCAGCGATACACAACTACACAAGCCAGGTGGAAGAACTTGCTAAAGAGCGGGGCGTGTACTTGGAATCGAAGTGCATGAATGATGCCGGGGACTTTCAGGATGTTCTTGCAAGCTATGGTTCGGAAAATCTGGCTACTTTGGGGAGTATTGCGTCGAGGTACGATCCACTCCAAGTATTCCAGGTACTTCAGAACAATGGCTTTCTTTTGAGTAAAGCATAGAAATGTAGATATCGTCGTGTTTTCCACACAGCCAAGCACAAATGGCCAATCTCCGAGAGTATCAGCGATGATGTGACTGTTTATGCTTGATTCTACGCTCTGTACTGGCACAATTGAGGCTTCTTCTCCAACCGTACTTCGCAGTCTTGACCCTTGCTTGACTACTCAGAGCTTGTTGCGCGATATCTCAGTAACGTCAAATGAAGCTAGAATTTCAAGATGTAATGTTGAGTGTTTATATAACAAAAATTAATTAAATTTCAATTCCCTTCAGTTTTTTTATATCTGACTCCAGGCCTTTGGATCTCATCCTTTTCCAGCTGCTACTCACTGCACATATATTTTACCCCTTGGTGTTGCTCGTGTCACCTTCCCGATGTTCTGAATCCCTTGCTGACGGCTGAAAACTGTCTCGGAATGCCCGGTTAGGCGCCTTCTACGTCAGTGTTCCTGCTGGCTGTTCGGCTCAGCTGCAGATGCAGATCAGGCATTACCTGAACCCAGGGGAGAATCTTCTGCTTCTTTCCACCACACCCCAAGATATGCTGCAGCATTGTCCAACCAAGTTCTTCCTTTCTTGCCATCCTTCCCACTGCCACTTTGAAATCTCCAATTGATTATGGCTGCCGCCGCTAACGATGTCCAGCTAGTTGCTCTTCCACAGAGTGAGGAACATTTAACCTCGTCACCTCCCATACATGGCTCGGAGGATGCAAGTGAGCGAAGCGTGGGGAACGGCCGCGGTCCCGTGTCCTGGAACGGACCTGGCGATGCCGAGAACCCAATGAACTGGCCGGCCTGGTTGAAGGTGACGAACATCGTCTTGGTCAGCTTCTTGACCTTCGTCACAGCCCTGGCGTCCTCGATGGTCGCCCCCGGCGTGCCCCAAGCCATGCAGGATTTGAACAGCGACAACGATATCATTGCCGACTTCATCATCTCGGTCTACGTTCTCGGCTTCGCCGTCGGACCCATGTTCCTCGCGCCCCTGTCCGAACTCTACGGCCGGCTGCCCATCTACCACATCAGCAACCTCGGCTTCATCGTCTTCACCGCCCTGTGCGCCATAAGCTCCAGCGTCGGCATGTTGATCGCCTGCCGATTCTTCCAGGGCGTCTTCGGTGCCGCGCCCGTGACCAACGGTACGTTCAACACCGTGTTGCTCCTGCTTTGTCGACGCCCCTGCTTTGGCGACGCCCTTGGTTAACGATGATGGTTCAGGTGGGGGAACGATCGCCGACGTTGTCCCCCAAGAGAAGCGCGGCGGCGCCCTTGCGATCTACTCGGTGGCGCCTCTGCTCGGCCCCGTCATCGGTCCGGTCGCAGGAGGCTTTCTGGTGGCTGCCAAGGGCTGGCGCTGGGTGTTCTGGGTGCTCGCCATGGTCGGCGGGGCCATGACCCTCCTCTGCCTCGCTCTGTTGCGCGAGACCTTCGCCGTCGTCATCCTCGAGAGGAGGGCAGCCCGCTTGCGGAAGCAGACTGGTGACGGCACCATCCGCTCCCAGCTGACCCAGGACCTCAGCGCCAGGCAGCTCTTCGCGCGGGCAATCGTCCGTCCTTCGAAGATCCTGATCTTGTCGCCGATCGTGAGCGCACTGTCGCTGTACATGGGCGTTGTCTATGGATATCGTATGCCACTTCCAATCCACTTTGTTACTCGGTGAGGTAGCAGCCATCCGCTCCCTTTTCAACCCATCAACGAATCAGCGCCTTGCCGCCTTCATCCCCTCCGAGACCACTAAGCACATTCCAGAAACAGCCCCCACCTGATCGTATAGGAACATCTGCTTGTAGAAGCTTGCTGAGACCGGGTTAAAATAGAGTACCTTTTGTTTAGCACCTTCACTGTGGCCTTCCAGGACCAGTACGGGTTCTCCACCTCTCTCGTCGGCCTGACGTTTCTGGGGCTCGGAATCGGCAACTTGATTGCTCTTGCGATTATCAGCCCCGTGCTTGACAAGCTCGCCAAGGGCGGACCAAAGCCCACGGAAGCCGAAGCCGGCCTCGACGGCGGGAAGCCGCCCGAATTTCGCCTCATACCACTGGCGTACTGCTCATTCTCGCTGCCCGTAGGGCTGTTTCTCTACGGGTGGACGATGGAATACCAGGTCCACTGGATCGTCCCGATTATCGGCACCGCAATCTATGGCTTTGGCCAAATGGCAGTGTTCCTGTGTATCATAGCCTACCTCATCGATGCGTTCAAGTTGTATGCTGCCAGCGCGTTGGCTGCTAATATGGTTGTCAGGAGTATCTTTGGGGCCTTCCTGCCCCTCGCGGGATCGACTATGTACCATGCCTTGGGATATGGGTGGGGGAATAGCTTGCTGGGGTTTTTAGCCCTAGCAATGGTGCCGATTCCCATCTTGTTGACTAGATTCGGGGAGACCATGCGGAAGCGTCTCGATTTAAGCAGAATCTAGAGGCGTTACTCATTGTACGTATATGTGGTAAGGGGCTGGTTTGCGTAAATACGAACACGGGTCCTTGCATCAATATTAACTATTCTTGTGATATAGAATTATTTCATTTTATCTATGTATGGTTACGATGGGCTGATTTACTGCAGCTCTTTGTCTGCTCCCTGCCTGCCTCCCTGTGTTTGGTTGGCTGCGGGCGCATGGCGGGATGGAGGCACAGTATGTCAAATGCATGCCAACTGCACCCCTTCTTGGGCGGGGGGGGACCAACGTCCATCTGCGGCCGTACTTGTAGTGACTGCTGCAGTTGGGCCATTGTCTCTTCGGCTGGGAGAGGGGAGACCAAAGTGACAAGCCGATGCCAGACGCGGGATACCGAAGGGGGTTGCCTTGTTCGATGATGATGCGCAACGTGCTGTGTACACTTCATCCACTCTCACTTCATGTTCTGAAAACCTCCACAGGTGCACGGGTAACAACACGTCGAGAAATGCTCACAAAGAAGATTGATAAGGCATGCTCGTTCCCACTAATACAATTTTGATTCTCCACTGAGAGAGCTAGCTCCATTCAGAGCATCGCAGGAGGATGCCACGTAAAGTAACCTGCTGTGCAGCTTTGCTAGCGGCGCTTCTTACTTCGATCTCGCCTGTTCTTCCTGGATCGCAGTATTGAGCGTCTAACTAAGAAGCTCTTGATATATTCAAGGATCGGTTCCCTCATCAAAACAAGGACCGTCGCGAAGCTCATCGGTGCAGCGATCATCCAGCTTTCAAATCTCGTCAGCCTTGTTGAGCCCGTCGAGACTCATGGAATGCTGGTACTTACAAGAATGTAATGCCACGATCCAGGTCGCCGAAAGGTTCGAAGTTTTGCTGTAGCATCCAGAGTCAGCGATATAGAGTCCGGTTTGGATATTTGGAATAGACAAGAACGCACGCCAAAGTACCCAGTGAGAAAAGTGAGTGGCAGGAAGAAAATTGTGGCCAGTGTCAACTGTTTCATGCTTTCGTTCTGGAACGCAGCGATGGTATTGAAGATCAAGTTGATAAGCCCATCCGCTTGAGCCTTGATAGCATTCAAAGATTCTTGAATCAGCACGCAGTGGTCCAGGACGTCGCCGAGATATGTATATGTCATTGGGGTGATGATGACACCCTTTGAACTGTCTTGGAGGTGAATTGTAGCAGATTCTACACGGTTGTTAGTTGAATTGCTAAAGGGACATAACCGCCCCTAGATGTTACAGATGCGCCGGGGGATTGGAATTCATCAAACTCATTGTCTTCGCAGCTCTAGAGACAAAACAGGCAGCTAAGACGACGTGAATGGCTTACCTTGACTCATCTCCGTTTTGTGATCGCGCAGTGCGTTGATGAGGTTGATGACTGGGTTTATAAAACTCAGGATCTTGTTGAGCTCAGTTATGATGATGTACAACTTCTTGGTGTGGGTGATGTTGGGACGTGTCAGGATGTCCAGTTCGAGGTCTCCGATAACGTCGCCATAGGTGGTAGCTACAGGGATCGCAAGGTCAATAACCGCGTCAATGATAGCTTGTCCGACCATCGATGCGTCGCATGATTGTCTGAGGACCGTATCTCGCGTGTAAAGCCGTGTGAGGATGGGCTTCTCGATGATGTCGGCCGATAATTCGAAGAAAGATATGACGGTGTTGTCGTTTGTGATGAACATGGACACCTGTTCAGCGATCACGGCCAGGTCAAGAGCGGACAAAGCAGCATGCTTCTCCATGAACTCCACTCTCGCCTCGTTAGGCCCAGAATTATACCGTTGGACTGTTCTTTCGAGCGTTGCTCCTGATGCCGTAGAAAGGTCGGTGTCCCATGACTGGAGCTGGAACCTGGAGGTCTCGGCCCCACTTTCGAGCGACTTCTCGGGGATAGGTCGCCTTTGCTGTTTGGTCCTCCCCATCATGCTCCTGACCGTTGACGAGATGCTTTTCGCGAAGCCGGAGCCCTTCTTCCCCCTGCGACCCTTCCCACTGGTACGGCTCGCGATTTCCGAGTCCGAGTCCGAGTCACTGCTTGAGTCCTCATGTGACACGCGCACAAGCTTTATCATTGTGAAGACAATGAATGCGTGGTTTGCGTACCTACGTTGGTGGGCTTAGCGAACGCAAGCCCCGCAGATTATTCTCCCTACTCACCAATCTGTTTTTGTCCTGTTCCTCGTGTTCAACAAATCCTCAACAGACAGTTTATGCAGCTGCTTGTACTGGCCCAGGGTCGAGACCACATCCCAGCTGAGGCCGTTTATATTGATCCATCGGCATTTGGCCCATCTTGGCTGGGGTTCCTTCAGGAAAGGCCCGAGACCGTCATTATCGAGCCTCGTGACGTGGATGTTGTCACGCGAAAAGTCGACGACGGTTATCTCGCAGGCAGCGGAAAGCTTGACCAGCGAGGCGCGTCCACCATCTGTTTTATATGGATCTAATCCAGGCTCAGCACCTGGATGCCAGCCTTTTTCGTGCTCGAACTCGCTGAAGTCGTCGATGCTCTTGAATGTGTTTGCTCGAGTAACTCGACGACGGATGGGGGAGCGAGGAGAGCGAGGCAACTCTGTGTCTGGTTTCGTGACGGAACGCGACGAGGTTGTCGGCTGACGGGCAAGGCCAGTGTTCGAGTCAACTTCCATTTCGTAGTGCACACGGTGTGCTGCCCGGGAGGGGGTCTCTTGCGCCGGCGCCGGCGGTTCGGACGGCTCTGAAACTGATGTGTTTATGGGTGGCAAAGGAGCTGCGAAGTCTCGCGCCGTGACGCCGGGCTGCGGCTCATCTTGTTGCGACATGCTGCCGTGTCGTTGTCCGTGACAGGACGGCCAGAGCTGCTATCTACTCGATGGGATAAGCTGATGGGCGGCACCGGAAAGCCACGCCCGGAAGCATGTGTGCGATGATCTGGAGCTCTTGGGCAAGGAAATTCAAGAGCACCGATGCTTTCCAGCACAGGACGGAGGATGAGCAGCTGAGGGTGAGCATGCATGTGAACGGGAAATAAGGTGTCAGTTAGTAGGAGCAAGGATCCACGGATTTCTGCAGGGTCCCCAAACCCGCAATCCTAAAATAACCCCAATTCAGCCCCCTGGCCTCACAGCTGCGGAGACTCTCGTATTGGCGGGCCTGGGACCAACGGGAGGTTCCATCGCGAGATTCGCCAGACTCTGGAGCTGCAGCAATCGACGCATGTGTGTTGTGCAGTTCAGGTCGTGAGTCGTCTCCATCGCGAAAATCGGAGTCAAGCTAGGGGTCGCGTGGGAAGTGGAGGTGGTGGACCCCGGGAGGTGCACCGTGGGAAAAGCTTCGCTTGAACCAAGGGTCCCGTTTCTTAGTCATCAGCACCCAAGACGCGATGAACGACGTTGAATTAAGGATTGCCCAGCCACTGTGCCTGCTCCTTGTCCTGGTGGGCTCCGGTTCCAACGTCCCGACTTGGCGTTCAGCATGACTGCCGTAGTCCGTCCGTCAATCTTGAGCGCAAGCAAGACCTCTTAGTTCACGCTCCAGAAAGGCTTACATCTAGACATGCCGGGCCATGAACCAAGATCTCCTGGTGGGTCTGCCAAATCGACATGGTTTGCAATATTGAACTGCCAAGCGGTGGGACAGCTCGGCATTGACAGATTCCTGTCCCAGCCTCTGAGGACGACCTACCCAATCACATGTGCACCGGGCCGAGATATTGACAATCCTATTGCTTCAACGCAGCATTGGGCTAAGCGAAAGATGACCGCCGAACACCTCGGCCATTCACCCTCTGTCTCGTGGACTGTGAAGAGCTATCTTCTCATATGTCGGCGAATTTGCTCGGTGGAGCTTCGATGGTGCTTTGGCGAGATGGGAAATGTGGCGGAAATCCGAACGCCTTCTGCACGAACGATCCTCGTTACGTCCCACGATATCTTCCAAATGCGGCCTTTGACCTCGTGTTCACAGGTTTGCTTTCCCTCCTAGCAAGGGAGAGGTCATGTCGTTCTGCAGACGGCAAACGGGCTCATCTCAAGGCCAGCCTCATCGTCAGTCTCGACGAGCCAACAAACAAGCCTCTGTGCCGAGAATGACCCATCACATATCACAGGTCTGGCCCGTGGAGCTCATCCGTGGCTGCTATCCGTGCCAAGGTGGCAGAAGAAGCCTCCTCCATTTGCTCGGCTAGAATACCCATAACCTTGGCCCGCATTGTCGTTGCCCAAAAGTGACTGTCTTACCCGAGCTTTTCTCCCGCTGCGCGACCAGGATCGGGAGGCTCGACGTCGCTTCCCGCTTGAAAGGCTCTTCCGAAATGCATGTCTCATTCCGAACGCCTCAACTCTCGCAGGGGCCAAGCCCCAGCAACGGCGGGCCTATCACGACAGGATCCCCCCTCCTATACCGCATGGAGGACCGAGCCTCAGCAGGGCGGTTGTCGAGAGTGATCGGTCTGCGTGAGAGCTCCTCAAGCTCCGGCTACGGGTCGCGCCCAGCATCAGACGAGCAGCGCCCCGAGGCGGTGAGAATTCGATTGGCGGGCCGAAGCGAGGATGACGGTTGAGACTCGTCCTCAGTCATCCGGATCCTGCCTGTCCACTGGTCCACTGGTCCGGGTTGCGGACTGGCGGACTACCGCCTACGGACTGCCACGCGCTCGTGCACCACGCACCACCTACGGCGGGCCAGGGTCGATGGATGATGCGAGACGCAGGCCAACCTAGCCTCCCGCCGCGGCGGTTACCTGCCTCCTGGCCCACGCCTGCTCATGCTCCTCGGCAACGCCCACGTTGGTGACAACAAGATGATCGCAGTTCGACCGAGACACCGCTTTCGGCTGAGGCACCCTAAAGGCAGCAAATGGTCCGTGGATCTATCAACGGCCCACGCCAAGCACCTTTCTGAATCCCGCTCATCCTGACAGGCGCCGTGACGCTATCATGTCTTCGCCTGGGCCGCCGGGTGTGCGATGTGCTCCCGTCAATATGACTCTGGCCTAGTAGGGCTGCGGCGGGCTCGCCTTATTTATAGCCGAGCGATCAACTCCCACCTGGCGCTCGATCAAACCGAGACACTCGCTTCCTAAGCGACCTTCTACTCGTTCTGCAAGAAGAGCCTCTTCATAAATCATGGTCTTCGGCAACCCCTCCGAGAGTGACACAGTCGTGACCCTGCAGCTCAGACGGCCTCTCCTTGTGATAATGGCGATGACTTCTAAATACACCCCTGTGTTCAAGACTGCCACTGCCTCCTGGCAGAGACTCCACCGACTCATCGGTTTTCGGAATGGTTATAACTTCGTTCTCTGGTGCATTTTTGCCCTTGGCCTGCTGGGCTTTACATTGACTCGAGCTCCGTATCTGGACTACTATGGTGTCTTTTGCAAGCCGAAGTCACTTACGCCAAGTTTCCATGCCGCACCGGGGGAGTGCTACTTCTTCCTCAACGGCGGGCGAGAGCAGATTGGCATGATGTTGCACCTATACGGTATAATACCATGCTGCTTTCTGTTATTCTTTCAGTTCGTGCCGATCGTCCGGCGAAAAGCTGTCGTGTTCCACCGCATCAACGGGTATATCGTTATATTGCTGATGGCAGTCGCTGTGGTCGGTGGGCTGATGGTGACGAGAAACGCATTCGGAGGGGATGTGTCATTTCAGGCAGCAAATGTGCTTCTGGGCGTATCAGTGACCATATGCCTCACGCTGGCTATGGTCAATATCAAGAGGCTGCAGATCGATCAGCACCGAGCGTGGATGTTGAGAGCCTGGGTTTTAGTAAGACACTGGCACCTCTCCCGATTCCAAATTTTCGGCCTATATGAGCTGGGAAAGTCTGAGATATGCACAGATTTGACTGACGGGAATCACAGGCTTCGAGTATAGTCACAATGCGCATCGTCCAAAACATCGCCTGCCGCGCGGTCAGCGGGCAAGGATACGCAGCCATGCGACCGTGTGCCCAGATCGACAGCGACGGCGTCCTGCCTAAGTTCTTGATCGAAAGTTCCTGGCCCGAGTGCGAGGCCTATTTCACAGGCAGAAGTCCAGACCAGCAGGTCCTGGTCAAGGCAGAGTACTATGGCCTCCCGATAGAGATCAACGTCGCAATCTCCATCGTCAGCGGGGCGTCGGCCTTCGTCGCGCTCTTTCTGCACGCCATGGGCGTAGAATTATATGTGAGCTCCCAACGCACCATTTCGCAGCATAGAGTCACCCGAGGGACAAGATATGGCATCTGAAGCTGACCCCCGAGCGCAGCTCCACCTGACCTCAGGGGAGTCAGAACGTCTGCGTCAGGCATCTTACCACAGGCAGTCGGCGTCCGGCCAGAGACACTCCCCGCGCGCTGGCTCAGATGTTGATAATTTCGAAGATTCTGCCAAGATGCCTCCCCATGGCCATGGCAAAGCAGAAATCGGCGGCGATGCCGCCTCGGAGACTTCGTTTGAGGCGGCAACTCGGAGATGACTGGCGTTGATGGCGCTCGCGCGGCCCTTGGGGCATGAGCACAGGCATTGCTGTACCGTGGTTCGGCTGGCTTTCGAAGAATTTTGAGAGAAAGAGGAAAGCGACGGTAATGCTGGCGGGTGAAAGCAATGAGCCTGTCTATTCACACAACTCCTAAACATACGTAGTTGTGAAAATTTCTCTCGTATGAGTGGCTGTGTGCATTCCTTTCCTTTAGCCTGAAAATGCTGAGCTTCTTATTGCCTTGTCGCTGACTGTTGACAGAACTGTGGGTTTCTCTGAATTTGTGATCAAATGAGTGACTGCTCTTTCAGATGTGTATACACACTCATACAGAAAATAAAAATAAAAAAGAAGGGCGGAGTGTGGGGTGGAAAACAGGGCGGAGGAGGCCTGGCGGGAGAGTGTGTGTAAATGAGAGAAGGGAGGCGGATTCTTCGTATGCAAGGACGGACACGGCGTGCTGCTGTTGCCCAGCCCGATTTGCATGCTTCCAATCGGAAATCGGTCACAATGGAGACTTCCACAAGCAAAGAGGATCGCCCTTCATTATACACAATAGCATGTCTAGCAAAGAGCAGAAGCTTGTTTACGGGCACACTGAAAGGAATATATAGGTGCTGCTGAATCGACTAAAGGGACCTCCGTCATCCTTGACGGGGTAGGAACAAGAAGTCAAGCGCCATGGTATCTACAAGTCTTGGAGACCTCCATTTTCATCTTCTCATGGCCGATTTTCACGATTCCAAAGTAAAAAGACTCTCCTGCTGCTGGCAAGGTCCAGCTTCCAGTCTTCCATTTCCAGGAATGAGACAAGTCTCGTTGCCTTCGCTTACCGGCGTCAACGCAAAGCTGTTTTGCCCGGCAAACGGAAACAGTTGTCCCTGGTTCGTCAAGCCGGACCCGTCAGCTCTCCCGCCACAGGAGAACAAGGTGACTTGGTCGCCAGCTTGTCTCCGGGGGTCAAAGGAGATGCAGCCCTGGGTGGCGGTGCTCACAATCAGGGCGGCGTCGCCACCGCTGCCGTCGTTGTGCTTGCCCGAAGTAATCAGGTCCCAAGTGGTAGGACTGGTGCAGTCTGTGAAGGCAACAGGAATGAGATTCATCCTGAAGTCGCCCGCTGTAGGATCCACCGAGAGACACTGTCCATTGGGAGCACGGATCTTGGTGTTGCTGACGGCTCGCACGGCTGTGTCATCACGCTGTTGGGCCTCTTCTGCCGCTGCCTGATCAATCTTGTTGCCGGCGCCTGAGACTGCAGCCGACTCTGTGGAGTTGGCTCCTGCGACACCAGTCGCAGTCGTGGCTGAACCTGCAGCACCGGTGCCTGTCAGCTCGTTAGCAAAGTTAGGCGCTGCAGAGGGTCCTCGGTCCTCAGACTTACTGCTAGGCACCTTGCTTGCGGCAGTGCCAGAGGCACGAGTTGGTTGGGTGCTGAAGGAAAACTCTTGTGTTGAATCTCCGGAACTGCAGTCAGAAATGTCCAGGGTGTTGTCCTTGACGGCCAGGCACTGCCCTGGGGCGTTCTGCGGCTGCAATGACTGAGGACCTTCTGGCTGGCTGAATGGGAAGATTTGAGAGTTTGTCTCATTGCCGCCTACCGAGTCTCAGTGTCAGTATGCTGCTCGTCAAGATCAAAACGGGAGGTGGGTTGACTAACTTCCATCAGCTCTGCCGCCGCAAGAGAAGAGAAGGACTTGGTCACCCGCAGCTCGGCGGGGGTCGAAGTTAAGACAGGCGCCTGTGGTGGTGCTCACAACGAGCATTGACTGGGGGTGGCAATGTGCTTCCCAGCAGTGATGATATCCCATCCCTGGCCGTCAGCCGACCCACATTGGGCAACTTTGATGGGGGTCAAGTTGGCCCGGAAGTCACCCGAGAGCTTGTCGACAGAGAGACATTTGCCATCGGAAGTCTGTCGGTGGCGGTCAGCCCGGAAACCACACACGGCCGGAAAGCAGGACATACTTTGATGTTGATGTTGGACGAGGCCCTCGTGGCGGTGTGGTCACGTTGTTGAGCCTCAGCAACGGCGGACTCATCAAGGGAGGCGACTGCCCTGACCGAGATGACCGGGTTGGTGGAGGCGAGGCCCGCACAAGCGAGGAGCGAGATCAGCTGGGATACCATTTTGAAGGCGATGATTCTTCGTGGAAGAAAAATTGTGTATGCAAGGAATGCTTGGTAATGCGATGCTCAGAGACGGAGTTGTGCTGCTGTGGATGTGCAATTTGAACCGAAGATGAAAAGAATGGAGTTCGCAGAACCGAAAAGCTGATGAAACGAAGAGAAGTGGAAAAGAAAGTAAACAAAAAAAAGAGAGTGGAGGGAATCTTGTTCGTCAAAACATGGCAGAGAATCGCGACTTCTCTGGCCCAGGTGGGCGTGGGGGAAGGTGCGCCTTCTAATCTAATACAGAGAGAGAACTGCATCTCCAGAGGCAACCACGACCGCCCGAGTATGCAAAGCAGTGCTGCCGCCACACTCCTGGATTTGGTGCAGGGTGTTTCCAGTGGGTTTCGCACTTTGGCCACAATGAGAGACCATCAACAACGCCTCTTGGGTCCTCGGCGAACATGTTCGGAGCCAGCACTGCTGGACCCAAAGAAGAGGGGCAGATGGCGGAAAGGATGGGTGCCATGTGCTATACTTTTGCGTTTGGCGCCTGGGTTGAGTGCTTGGCCGCGCCTGCATGAAGAGGGCGCGAAAATGCAATTGGGGCTGGCCTTCCTGGCCGCAAAGGCCTCTCGGGCTTGAACAAGTGCTTGTGTTTGTGCTGATGCTTGGTTCGATGGGTCGAGATTTGAGGCCGGTCGGCCTGGGCTCTGGAAGAGATGGAAGATGCAGGAGCGTTAAGGAAACGCCAAGCAATAGCGCCCCTCGGCCTGGCCTTCTGTTGAGGCTGCAAGACGAAACCCTCGTTGTTGCACAGCAGGAGCAGGAGAGCGCCACGGGCGCTACCTGCCAAAAGACCAAGCCAAACTTGAGACGAACTGGCGCTGACAGGAAACCCCATGGCTTCCCCTGCCGCTGGTCGCCGGGGCGCGTGCGATTGGGCAGGAGCTCAACATGCACCCAGATTAGGAAGTTACAGGGGTTGGGCCTCTACTGGCACGGTCTCCACAACTTCCAGGCCATTGTGTACAACGTGTAAGTGATTGCACTGATGCTGTAGCCATGCAGACGGATTCGACTGACGTCTGGATGGGCAAAAGCACTGCGTGGTTCGAAAACAACGCAACGGACAAATGAAGATCAGGAGTACCTGGGCACTTTGCAAGCAGTCATTCCACCGAGCGCTTTCGGAAAGAATGTTCTTGACAGTCAAATGGGATTCGGTATCTACGTCTCCAGCAGGCTCAGTGCTGCCCTGTCCATCCACTTGAAACTGGTTCCCTGTTGTGGTCAATAAGGCCTGAGAAGTCGTGCGCTACATTGTATCACATCTCATCGCCGCCGACTGGAGAACATAGTTTGCGCCTTGGGCAAGTGAAAAGGGAACACCATGAAATATCTCACAGAAGGAACAGATGAGACGAAATTAGTAAACGGAGAAGAGGCCACTTGATTAAACTAAATACAAAAAGACAAAAAGAAGCCTAACAAAAGCCTGGTTGTGGTGGACTCGAACCCAAGCGTCCCTGAGTTCTGGGGCTGGCCAAAAGCGAAGTGTCCGAGGACAAGTGAGATAGAATTCAGATCTATTGGTAATGTTTAACCAGTTATTTGAGCTACTTCGCTGACAGAACTTGTTCTTCTGCTCCTTATAAAGACCATGTCAAGTGGTCGTTGGTGGCCGTTGGTGGCTGGTAGCTCTGCGGTCTTGGGCTAGGCAGACGCCGGCCGAGGCCTGAGTCACACCGCTGTGGAACGAACCCCACTACCAACAGAAATCCTCCCGGTGCACCAGACACTGGAAAATCACACTTCACATGTATTTGGAGACTTCTACATGCCAAAAGCAGGGCGAATGATCTGGCGTAGAGATGTGGAGTTGAAGTGTTCGCCAACCACAAACATGAGCACCGGCGAGAAGCAGGACGATCCAGTGAGGGCTTAGCAAGAACATCACATCTAGGTAATGGGTGCTTGATGGCAAGTAAGAGAACATTTTGGAAGTGGCAGTATTTGGAAACCTAGGTAATTGATGGTATCATTTCCAGCTCAAAACCAAAACCACCCTGTACATCAAACGCTCGCGCGTGTTGCCAGCAATATGTGTGTCTTAACCCGCTGTCGCCCTGAAGAGAAAACCAGCAAGCCACCGAAGAAACGACCTCAGTATTAAGAAATCAATATCGACACTCGTAAGGTCGCAGATAGTCTAGCCCACTATTTCTTCGAAATGAACACCTCCAACCCCTCTTGTACAACGAAAAAGGTGGCGTGAGCTTCCAACTCCCTTCCTGGGTTAACGAGCTCAAAGTGGTAGTCCCGCAGAAGCCGAGGGCAGACCTTGTTGATCTCGAGCAGGGCAAGGTTGCGGCCGATGCAGACATGGCTACCGCCACCGAACTACACGACAGCTGTCAGCTTCATTCACGCCTCAAAGGAGGACCTCATCCGAGATGATTCTTACCTGGAACATGTACCTCTCCATCCTCTTCGCCTCCTCAGGGTCGCCCAGCCAGCGCTCCGGTCGGTAGACATCCGCGTCTTCACCGAAAGTGGACCTGTCACGGTGCAGGACCCACCCGTTCACGGCGATGGTCACCCCGCCGGGGAAGGACTGGCCGTCCACCTCGGCGCCCTCGGGGGGCACAAGGCGCGCGATGTTGAGCCCGACGGCCGGGCGCACGCGCATCGCCTCCTTCATGCACGCCTGGAAGTATGGAAGGTTCTGGGCCTCGTTCCACGAGACATTGCCTGTGGCCGGGATGGTGCCGTCGGCGACTGCCGTCTTTATCTCCTCTTGGATGCGGGCGTAGACGCGCTGATCGGAGAGGATCTGCCAGAAGAAGGACTGCATGGTTGAGGCGGTAGAGTCGGAACCGGCGAAGCTGTGACGGCGTTAGTACCTGGGAAATTGTAGTGTGCATGAATCGTAAGCTGAAAACGACCACAGGAGGCAAGACCTACATCGCACCATGAGCGACAGCAAAGACATCACCCTCCCCAAATCGCTCCGGGTCCTTGAGATGACCCTTGATCAGACTGGCCAGCAGATCCTGCCGCCCATCACCTCCCCTCCACTTGCCCTCGCTCTCCTTATCGAAAGGTTTCCTCCGTTCGAGCTCCTCCAGCGCCATGCGAGTGATGAGTGCGTCCTTGGTCGTCAGCCCCGGAATCAGGCTCCGCAGCGGATTCCTCCTTAGGAAGTGGTCCATGAATGGCACCTGCCCCACGATGCCATTGTACCGCTGCATATCATCGATAGTGCGGATCGCGCCGTCCACGTCTCGGCCCTGCTCCAGGAATCCAAAGCTCCGGCTGAAGGCCACCTCGCCCAGGACGTCGAAGGCGAACCAGTGGAGCCAGTTACCGAGATCGACGATTGGGCCGTTGGAGAGGTCCTTGGTCTTTTCTCCGGCGGGTCCCGCGGCCAAGTCCAATTTCTGCATCAGCACCTCGATTGTATCGTCGATGAAGGGGCTGAGCTGCTGCATTGCTGCCATACTGTAGGGCACGTTGGCGACCTTCTTCTTCTGCGCGTGGACATCTTCGCGATACTCGGTGAAAATGTCTGGGTTCTCCGGCGGCGGGAAGACACCGTAGAACTTGGTCTTGTAGAAACGCTTTCCTGCTGACAGGAGCGTGCGCGCAGCCTCGGGAGACGACACGGAAACCTCGTTTGGTGCAATTCGCACGATGGGTCCATACTTCTTGTGCAGCTCGATATGCTCGAGGTGAGTGTGAGTAGAGGCGGTTGAGGTCACCTTCCATAGCCTCGTCATCGAGGCCAGCCATGGGCCAGGGTATTTTCGCAATGGTGAAGCATATCTCCTGTATAGCGCGCGCACAACGATCAAGCCGGGGATTGTTATGAACCACCACCGAAGTAAAAAGGGTAGGAGACCTGTGATAAACGCCCGAGTAGGCGAGATGGTCCCACTATCCGTCTGAAGCCTCTCAATGGGGCCAGCCATTATTGCATACGTTTGTGCACTGAACCAAGGGTTGAACCTAGTGGACTGGAGAGGAGAGTGTTGAATTGCAATCAGAGAGAGAGTCTATGTGTCCGCTAAGAAGGGTCGGAATCCTGATTATATGGGAGATCACCTCTGGGCCCTTATAAGATGAGACGCCAGGCCAAGGTATCGTCAATGGCAACCAGGTCCCGGAGGAGACCACCCCCTGCCCTGGAACGAAAACACCACCAACATATTTGTCAACGTGGAGTAATCTGAATATCAGATCCATCGTGCGTTGGATCCGGCGGTAGCTCGCGGGGAACCAAGATCTAAGCTCCCGAGGTCTCCTGAGCAGACAAGACATACTTCCGAGTTGGTGGATGACCCAGCCATCGGTTGGACCATGCCGTTTGGGCCCACGTTTCTGCGCCGCAGTTGCGCGGCGCTTGTGTCACGCTGGCGGTATTGAAGTCAGTGTGTAGGTTGTGGCCACGACTTGGCGAGTCTTCGGCGAACCAAATATCTGCCGACTCTGACTGGTCCATCCCAGCCATCCCAGGGAATACTTGGAGCCGTTTATGCGGGGAATTCATAGGGGTCGAGCGAGCTGGTCAACGGTTGCCAAAAGTGGCGACCGATGGAGATGATGGTCCAGCATGCTTTCTCCTCTTAGCCTTTTTCGAGCTGTTGTGGGCCATGACCGTTGAGCGTTTCGCATGGCACTTTTGGTGTACGGGCACTCTCGACTGTGAATGACCTACCGGACGAGCGTAGCCCCGACGTCCGTATTTCCGTCACGATAACCAGATCTGCGGCGTGATGGTCCTATTCCCCAGCAGTGCAACAAAGGACTGCAGCAGGACAGCCCCTTTGAAGATGACCAGACTCCACAAATAGAAACATATCAGGCGACGGGTTCGCGGGAATTACCCCAGATTTACGGGGTGTTGTACCCTCAAGCTGAGGAGCCGGTGATGCTTGGGCCTAGTGCGTTCGAATCGGGAATAAAGTAGCGGTTTCTAGGAGAGGAGGCGGTGCCGGGGCCGAGATGGCTGTTCGCTTTTCCGATCACGATGGCCGGTTGATGGCCACGAGGAAGATCATTGATCCGCCGTTGTCCAGGTCAATCATTGAGCAGAGAGCTGATGATCCAAATCGACCAGGACTCCCGGGGATGGATATCCAAGTGCAAAACCACACGGTTTGAGGGAAACTTCTTTGGCGGTTGACGTGCATCAAAACTCCTTAAAATAAACCAGATGAGCGAGGTACACATGCACACGTCGTCCATATTTCGATGGAGGGCTCCATTCATTAAGACATGCAGCCCAGAGACAGGGAAAGGGGTGGAGCCCAATATGGCCGGCCAGTCGCCGCACCACGATTAGTCATCGCTGGGGCCGGTCGGCCGGGAGCCCCAACTGACATCACTCGAAATTTTGCTGAGCAATAGCTGCTTGGCGGAGGTCTTTACTCAACAGCCACGACGGCCTCAACCGCAAACCTATACAATGGCTCCATTCGCGTCGCCGCTGGGTTGTTCCAACTCGCTATCAGCTGCCAAGCTGTTCGTTCAGCTCGCCCCAAAGCGAGGCTCCGAGCCCGTCCTCGAATTCCTCCTGCCCCGGAGTCGCTCCGCGATCTCCAGGAGGACCCTCCACAGCAGCTCCGTCCAGGCCCGGCGAGTAGCGACGTCGACAGGCACGGGGCATGGGAACTTCTCAGACACTGTTGGATGGAGTATACCCAGAGGGATGCTACACGCCAACTCCGCGCCTTCCACAACATTGAAACCGTTAGCCCACGCAGCAAGGAGGAGGTACACCCAGGCGGTGTTCAACCCGCAGCAGGATGAGGATGGCAACGACATGACACTGGAGATCACGCCCCGGGCAGCAAAAGTTTGTTAGATCACACATCAGTTCACCACGTGCAATTTACTGACCCGCTCTCTCCCGCCAGCGCCTCACCGAGATAATGTCCAAGGACAACAACCCGCAGCTCGCCCTGCGCATCCAGGTCGAGTCGGGCGGCTGCCACGGCTTCCAGTACCTCATGTCGCTCGTCACCCTCCCCGAGTCGATCCCAACCAAGCCCGCCGCGGCTGCCGAGGCGAGCGAACATCCAGGCGAAGGCGCAGGCTCGGGCGAGGTGCGCGAGGACGACACCATCTTCACGTACACCCCAGAGGAGGGGCAGCAGGCCGACCTCACGGGCGCCAAGATCATACTTGACCAGCCGTCGCTGGACCTCCTCAAGGGGAGCAAGGTGGACTTCACGATGGAGCTGATCGGGTCTCAATTCAAGATTGTGGACAACCCGCTGGCGACGAGCAGTTGTGGGTGCGGTACTAGCTTTGATATCAAGGTGTAGACAGACACCACTTCTACAGGACCACTCCTACGGCAGACACTGCCAGTGTACAAAAGAAAAGATATAATTCTCCCAGTATTTTCAAACACCGACGACATCACGACCCAGAATTAAAGAGGCAGTGAAAGGCGGTATTATATGACTTGACCTTGCTACCACGCATGGTTCTCAACAGACGGTGACCAGTCACAAGAAGGTACAGGGGGGTGTAGGATGGAATATTTGAGTCTTCCGGAAAGCAAGCAGACTTTTTCTCATTTAACGCCGTGCATCCATGCCCGAGTACCATTCCATTCCGTAGAAAACCCCAACCGAAAAACCCATCAACTCGACCAAACAGACTTAGTTCATCTGGCGGATGAGGGCGTTGATGTTCTCCTCACGGTTGCCCAGGTCACCACCCTCGATGAAGTGCTTGAACTTGCGGGGGCGGAAACCACCGTTGGGGTTGGAGAGCTTGAAGGGCCACAGGAAGTTGGCGGCCTGCTTGAAGTTGGGGCCGACGGTGTAGATCTCGTGGATCAGATCCTCGATACAGATGATACCGTACTTGCCGAGGTTCTCCTCGATGATGGAGTTGTCGGTAAGGGCGACACGCTGCTTGTTGACCTTTCCGTATCCACGCTTGTAGATGAGCTCCTTGACGCTCTTCAGGTTGGGGTAACCGTAGGCGACCCAGGGCTCGATGACCTTGATCATCTCAGTGATGGCCTTGGTGACACGGACGAAGACACCGTTGTTGATCTGCAGCAGACGGAGCAGCTGGAGGATCTTGCGGGGCTTGGGGGCGATCTTGTTGATACTGCACGGCTTGTCAGTCACGGCTGAAGCCAGGTTGGGTTGGACGGCAGCAAAACATACCCCTTGATACGGACAATGAAGATCAACTTGGCCTCAGCGGGGACGTAGAACTCGCCGCTCTGCTTGGCAACACGAGCCAGGCGGATCTTCTCACGCTCCGCATCGCGGTACTCCTGGACGTACTTCTCAGCACGCTTGAAGATGACGCCGCGCTTCTCCTTGTTGGCCTATTGAATCCAAAAGGTTAGCATCGTCTGCCAGAACCAGAACTATGTTGACCACCAAGATTGTCTTGCATCGATCAGACCCGAAAGACAGTAAATTCGCGGACATCATCGACCGTAGTCTAGTCGAAGCGTGGATATATGTTGTGCATCACTTCGCTTCCCAACCCCTCCACCAACGTATTGATAACAACTAACCTTCTTCTTCTTCTCGATCTCGGCCGACTTCTCAGCACGAGCCTTCTCCTGCGACTTGCGCTTCTTCAGGAGGGTCTCGGGGACCAGGATCTGGTCGTTGGTGGGGACGGAACTATTCGTCGGATTTCAGATTAGTACGTAGTCCGGCATACTTCTATGAAGTATGGAGGAGAGCGCCGGTGGAGAACTGTTGCGAGTGCGACATTCTCTGCATGGCTAACTCGCTTGCAGATTTTGATCGGTGAGCCCGGAGGTCAACGCAGATGCAGGTGCATGCTGCAGAAGACGACGGGTGCAATCTCATCCGACAACACCTCGAATGGGATCGAGAAATGATGCTCACGGTTTGGCAGTCTCTTGCAAGCAGCCTGTGCGCTGCTCGCGAGGTATGCTACTCTGCGGCAATGGATTTAAGAGAGAAGGCCTTTGCAGGCCTTCGACTCCAACACCCCGCGGGACATCTCTCAGTCCACAAGCTGTGTCTCAAGCCTGTAGGAAAGAGGGAGAAGCGCAGGAAGGATCGAGCTGGCTGCAATTGCTCAGATCTGGTGTCGCGGGACACGCAGAGCAAAAGCTTTCCCAGCAGGAGAGGACGACGACAATCCGCACGCAATAGTTGCTCCGTGTACCAGGCGGTGGGAGGGGAGAAGTAGCAGCTGGCATCATCTGCACGACGATGCCAGCCTCATCGCGGGATTCAAACATACGTCGCAGGCATCTTGAAGGTCGGTGTCGTCAACTGTCCTTTGGAAGATGGGTTGTCGAATGAATGTCGTTGGGCGGTGGAAGTTCGTCCCAGAGCTACAGAGAAAAGGAAAAAAGGGCGTGCTTTAGCGATGGGGAGATTTTGAAAACTCCGCAGCACCGGATTTTGTGGACTGACTCCTGATTGGTGGACAGGCTGCCAGAAGTGGGGCGTCTTTCGCTCACCGCCCGCGGGCCACAGCCTGAATTTTGCACACACCCGGTCCTGCAAAGCTCAGCCATTTCGCGATCTCGTCCTCGACTTGACTGATTCTTCGTCTTCACACGCATTAACTGTCAACGACCCAGTCCACCATCAATCAAGCTCAACATGCCTCCCAAGGGAAAGACCGTGCGCCCTGCGCAAGAGAACATCTCTCTCGGACCTCAGGTCCGCGAGGGTAAGCCGACCCCTTCGAGCGCAGCAAGCGCAGCATCCCGCGCGAGTGTTTCCGTGACTGACGAGCCCCTCCATTTCCACAGGTGAACTCGTCTTCGGCGTTGCCCGTATCTTCGCCTCCTTCAACGACACCTTCGTCCACGTCACCGATCTCAGGTTCGTCAGCCCTTGAAGAAAGCGCCCGCATGTCCACGAGACAGCACATTGCCGGAAGGGCACAATATTTGAACACAAAATTTGAGACCTTCAGATGGTTCGAGCTGCGGCTAACATTCTGGGTGATTCCAGTGGCCGTGAGACCATCTGCCGTGTCACCGGTGGTATGAAGGTCAAGGCCGACCGTGACGAGTCCTCCCCCTACGCCGCCATGTTGGCTGCCCAGGACGTCGCCACCCGCTGCAAGGAGCTCGGCATCACCGCCCTGCACATCAAGATCCGTGCTACCGGAGGTATGTTTTGATAGCCATGTGGCTTGTCCAGTCGCCCTCCGCTCTGTGATCGTAATCCGCTGACATCAATAACACAGGTAACGCGACCAAGACCCCCGGCCCCGGTGCCCAGTCTGCTCTCCGAGCCCTGGCCCGTTCCGGCATGAAGATCGGCCGTATCGAGGACGTCACCCCCACTCCCTCCGACTCTACCCGCAGAAAGGGTGGTCGCCGTGGTCGTCGTCTCTGAGCGCCCGGCACCTTGTTTTCTCTCCTGGACGGACTGGCAAGGAAAATTCAGGGATTGGGTGGTTACTGCATATGGGTTACACTGTGGCGTTGACAGTTACGAGGAGAACGGCTTGCGCCTGGTCTCCATTATCTACAGCCTCTCTAGGGAGGTTTGTCACATGATGCTTGTGGCACAGCTACACCAATAAAGAACAAGTCAAAGCACTTGGACCCATTTTCAACTTCTTTGTGAACCGTGTCCGATGATTAAACGATGTGAATACGAGACTAGACATGCAATCAGAGCAAGACGGCATGCCATCAAGTACTGTTGCCCTGTTCTGACATGGATCACAAAACTTCAAAGCAGGGCAGACGATGCAGTTTGAGTCTGCTGAAATGTGGGCCATCAGAAACGCATCTGGATTTAAATGTCCTCAGGTATCAAGCAGTCTAATCCTTTTGGAATCTGTTCGAGACCTCTCTCAGTGAGCCACCTCGGTATCTTCCAATTATCCTGATAACGCCTCGCTTCAGATAATCATCGCAGAAGAAAAGAAAATCAAATCGATCTTGAACTTCCTCAAGTCATCACGTCGAGCTCACTTATATTCCGGTCTCAAGGTCCAGATGCCTCTCATCGTGCTGCCCGCCTGCTCCATCCTCGCCACCGCATTCAGCGCCGCCTTGAACGCCTCCGTTGCCTTCTTCGTATGACAGTATGGGTTGAAGTGGTCCACCAGCACCTTAGATGGGCACTTGCCTCCATGGCGTCGGACAAAGGCCGGGATCATCTCCTTGAACTCCTTCACCCCGTATCGGCCGTTGGTCGGCGGAGTGGCCGAGCGAGAGCTGCCCGCACTGCCGCTGCCTCCACCTCCGAGACCCTGGCGGTCACGGATACCAGCCAGAACCCCGGCCGAGCTGGGCCCTCCTCGCCCACGGTTGACGTTCGGCAGGCGCGGCGCGCCAGCTTGGCCATGCTCGCCGGTCCAGGTGACGGTGCCAATGGGCACGTTGCGGGCCTGCTCCCGGGACCGACGCAGGTGGTCAGCTGCCTCGGCAGCAACACGGTTCGCCTCGCGCTCGAGAATGTTGCGGTCGGCCTTCACTGTCTTCTTTCCGTTGACAATCTCGTCATGCTCCAGGGCCTCGTGAACTCCACGCGCGAAGATTCCGGCCATGATGCGGTCCTCGTCACCAGAGTTGCTTTCCTCGGCCTCCTTGAACTCTTCCACTCCGGCCACACCTTCGATCTCTCGCAGCTTATCATCCTCGCCCTCTTCATTAACCGCTGTCGCCATATTCGCCGCCATTCTGGCATGCTGGTCTTCGAGGTCATAGTTCGCGTTCCCAGGCGCTATCTTGGGCTTCGGCGCGATACCGGCCGCGACTTCGCTGCCTTGGAAGAGCCGGCTCGTCTCTGTAGCACCACCATGGTCCGTGTCGAGAGTGAACAGATCATGCATGTCACTGAGGTTCAGCGTCGTGCGCTGCTTCGGGTCCTTAAGGACCTTGTTCGCAAGAAATTGTTTGAAGATCTGCCGGTGGTAGATCTTCTCCTCAATGGTGCCGGCCGTCATCAAACGGAAGATGGTGACCTCCTTCTTCTGTCCCAATCGCCAGGCCCTCTCCCGGGCCTGTACATCGGTGGAGGGGTTCCAGTCTGGATCGTAGATGATGACCCTACTGGCACCGGTGAGGTTGACACCCAAGCCGCCGACTTTGGTAGTGAGGAGGAACAGATGAATGTTGGGATCATTGTTGAATTTGTCAACAAGTTTCTGTCGCTCCTTCACCGGGGTCTTTCCATCCATGCGAAGGAAGTTGATGTCATCTTGCCGCCTGACAAACGCCTCCAGAATATCGAGCATCTGGACACCCTGGCTGAAAAGCAGGATCTTGTGACCAAAGCGCTTCCACAAGTGCACAAGCTTTTTGACGACCTGCATCTTGCCCGATTGACGCGCTGAGCCCCATTTGTAATCTGTTCTATTCTTTCGATGTGGAAACAGTAGGTCTGGATGGTTGCATATCTTCCTCAGTTGGTCAATGCCGAAAAGTGACTTGCGTGTGTGGTTGAGGATGGCATTCATCTCGTCAGACCTTAGGAACTGCTCGTATGCATCACGTTGGACGGCGGTCAGCTTGCAGAACAAGACCTGCTCCTGCTTCTTGGGAAGGTCTGCCGCCACGTCCTTCTTTGTGCGCTGCAGCAGGTAAGGACTGATTGTGTCCTTCAAGGTCTCTGCGCACTTTTGTGCTGTCATAACCTGAAGATTCGTCGCGTTGGCATAACCACCTAGCTTGATTGGAATCTCAAATTGGTTCCGGAAGGCTACAAGCGAGCCGAGGCGCATGGGGTTGATGAAGTCGAAAAGAGACCAAAGCTCGATCAAATTGTTCTGCATAGGAGTGCCCGAGAGGATGATCCGGTTGGGCGTGCGCAGCTCCTTGCAGCATATGGTGATGTAGGTATTCGGGTTTCGAATTTTGTGTCCTTCATCCAACACAGCGTAGTCCCATTCAACGGGAATCAGCACATCACCATAAGTCTGGAGACCAGCATATGTGGTGACTAGAACATGGCCATCCTTGACCACTCGATCCACAATCTTTTTTGCAGCGTTGCTCGATTTCCTCGGCTGAGCAGCATCCTCCCACATCTCCTCGTCTTCGAAGCGCGCCTCTCTTCCAAGATTGAGCATACCACTGCCGGAAGAATGCAGGATGGACACTCGGAGAGCTGGCCACCACCGATGGAACTCGCTGACCCACTGCTGGAGCACAGTTGCTGGAGCCACGACGAGAACCGGCTTTGTGAGTTTCTTGCTGTAATGCAAGGCAGCGACAAAAGAAATCAGCTGGATAGTCTTTCCCAACCCCATTTCGTCGCCGACAATTCCTCCGACCTTCTGGGCGTAGAGTTCCGCAAGCCATTGCACACCCGTCTTTTGGTAATCAAACAGCGACGGGTAAATGTCGCCGGGTAGCTTGAGGCCATTCTCAAGGTGGTGGTCAGGCTGGTCGGGCGAGGGCTTGAACCATTCCTCAGCATCACTGTCCGCTGGGAGCCCATTGTTCTCTTGCCTACGTCTCCGAGCTCGACTTCTGCGCTCGACCCAGTCAGAGAGGCGCGTCTGGTAGGCCGATTCGTCACCATCGTCAAATTTGCTTAAATCAACAGCCTTTTCGTTACTCCGAGAGCTCTTGGGCGTTTTTCTAGGGGTAGTGCGAGTGAGGTCGGTCATATCATACTCCTCGGAGCCGACCTCGGAGAGAGATCCAGGCGAGGCAGCGGAGGCAATACTTGGTTCGAACTCATCAGATGAAGCAGCGTCAACTTGGACCTTCCGCTTCTTACGGGGACGAAGGGAAAACTCGTTCTCGACGATGGCCGCAGATGCATCCTCTTCCTCTTCGGCGAAGCCTGGGAGCCGCAGATTGCGGTGGGACCGCGGCTGGTCGGCTGCTTGCTCCAATTCCAGTTCCTCGGCGACGGCCTCGTCTTCGGCATCGATGATAGCATCGGCGAGTTCACCCTGTACACCATCTGGCCTCGGGCCACCAATCTTTGCAAAAGGCGTGATCTTGCCAGTGCGAATCAGGTACTCCCTTTGAGTTTCACCAGGCAACTTGCCTTTCGATGCAGCGGCCGCACCTTCATCTTCTTCGCCAGCTTGCTGTCTCTCTTCGATTCGGGCGTTGAAATCCGCAATGTCCTTGTCAACCAGCTCGATCTCGGCATCGATGCGAGCAATCTCTTGCTGGATCTTTTCTTTCAAGGGCGTATTTCCCCAGGCTCTCCGCAGCTTCTGTTGTTGATCCTGCTTCCTAGTCAGGAGTTTTGACTTGGTAGCTTCAGCCCTGGCAATACGGTTCTTGTCCTTGGCGTCCTCGGCTTCGATCAGCGCAAGACTTGCTTGGTGCGAGATGTCGCGCTCGAGGTCTTCTTGATCGCGGACGTTTGCGCTGAGGCTCTTCAGGGCCGACTCTTCGTCAAGGTCCTCGGGCGCATCGGGGGGCGTCCCATCTCGGTCGGACTGGGTGGCCTGCACGTCAGCGAAAGCCACCGACTTTTCTCCATCATTCGCATCGGTTGTGTGCAAGTCGACCGGAGGCGAGCTGGTGACTTGATCGCCGTCTTGCGAGGCCATGACGAGTGCAGCCTGTGTACTCAGTTCATGAAAGAGGAAGTGTGAGGAGGATCTGACAGAAGGGTTCGGGTCCAGAAGCGATCGATTGTCACCGGGAAGGCGCCCAAGACGAAGCCGGGAAGGCTGAGACGAACGGAAGATGCAAAAAGAAACAGTGATGAGTCCAAAACAGAAGGTTTGACTCGTGAGAAGAACGCTCCTAGTTCTTCAGCACGAAGGACTAGGCAGCGATGGTGAGATCGAGCCTGTGAACTTTTTGCCTCCAAGTCGTCCGCCGCTTGTGACGGAAGAAGGCGGCATGACTAAATCCCAAATCGGCCAAGCGTTCGGCAATGACGTACTTGAAGGGTCGCGTCTCAGCCGCGAACCACACGTGCACTCGTTGAAAGTGGCAATGGGTTGCAATGAATGGCATTATTCATCTTATTCGTTTTGATGGTATTCTAAAACCACCCGTTCAGATATGATGACTACCGCCAAACTGAGCAACTGTTCTACACTTATTAAACCTAGGTAGAGAGAGATCCCGCTGTACAGCACATTGCAGACAACGAAACGGTCCATGTGCCCACCCGTATTGCTTGGTACTCATCGGTAATCGACCAACGAAACGGTATACATGCCAACCAAGCCAATGCACCCTAGAAACTTCCCACCCCATTAACAATGGACCTTGAAAGCTCATAGCGAGGGGAGCAGGATTTTGATCAGAATGGAGGAGACAGGGGAACGAAGATATCCATCCATCTACACTACCGCTTGAAATCGGTCGAGCTTGGCAAAAGCATGTTAATCCACGAGCTCCCTTGGTGTCTACGCCCGCCCAAGTTCATATCGCATGAACACCTGCTACGAGGTTTGAATCAGAAGGTTTGTATCAGATAATTCCACGAGAAAGATTTATCACGATCGCCCGGGGGATGGTAGCGATTACACCCAACTGATCATCTGTCATTCTTTCATCAGACGCAGTCCATGGCGCCGGCCCCTCACTCCAACGTGTTCATGTCTGTGAAGGCACCTGCGAAAGATCAATCACAACAACAAATACTGTCCGTTAAACCTATCGATGTTCCCTACGTTTCACGTGCCCACTAAGAAGCAGCCTTGTTCCCAGCCTTGATCCAGAGAGCGGCAATGATACCGATGCTTGCGTTCCAGCACGCGCTCCTCAGAGGCGCTAGCTTCCTGTTGTCCTGCAACCAGATGTAGACTGTGTTATAGCCCACTCGTGAGGTTAAATACGCCACGCTCAAGTAATTCAGCGTCTCCGCCGGGACGCCTGCGACAACAGCGGCCACGATCCCGGCCGAGTACATCCCAAGAGTCTCGAAGCCGTTGGCCATTGCTGCCTCGGCCCGCTGGATGCGCTGGGCTTTCTGTCGTGTCTGGTGAGTAACGTGTGCTGTGACACTGTATGCTGGGTGCGGGGAGCCTGGGAGCAGGGAAGGTCTGAGGAAAGCAGCTTTTCATCTGTGAGTATGTGACATACCCTCTTGTCCATAGTAGTGTCCTTGTTGCATGTGTCTACCGTCGAGCGGGGGTTTGCGACGTCAAAATTCTTCCCAGATGCGAACATCGCGTAGGCATGCGGCACCATCACCAGCGTGAAAGCCGCGGGCACCTTGGAAATTTGTCGTCAGAATCACTTGGCCCTCTTGTCACCTGAAGGAAACAAGTGAGGGGCGATGACCGAACTCACGGAATAGTAAGCCAGGTGTGGCTTGGTCAGGTCGAAGAGGGACGCCATCTTGTTCACTGTGCCTGAGAATGGAGTTATCTAGCTGTAAGGCGAAGATCGATGCAAGTCCAAGTCCTTTCGAATACGTCTCTCTCTTGGTATAAGATGCGGGAGAAATTCAGCTGCTCTCGGTTCGGCGGTTCGTTTGGTGAGGGAACCGGATCTCGGATCTTGCGGATGGTTTCACTCCTTGCTGACCGTCAAGGTTGTCATTGACGTCTCCGTTTATTAGTAGTGCCCAGTACCCGCGGCTGCCGGCCTTTAGCCCAAATTGGACATGTTCTTACACATCTTCTTGGGGGGGTTGTTGGGCGGGGGGTCCCGTGAGCTGACCCTGTCAGGGTTTTGCACCCTGAAATCGACCCAAAATGCTGAGATGCTCTGAGAGTGTTTGTACCACGCATCTCGCGGTCCTCTGGCATGTGCCGGGCTGCAACACACCGATTTCCTCCTATTGAGATTGAACTCCAATTCACAGACTTGCGCAAATCGAGACCGCAGGCCTCCTTCGCTCGAGAGATTCAGGTATCGCCGCTTCTCACCAACAGGGCGTGCTGTCCCAACTGAAATCAACGCCTACAAACAACCAATATGGCGGCCGCTCAGTCGCCCAAGAGCTTCTTGGACATCATCAACGAGACTGACAGGTGACCATCCCACAGCAGTCTATCTTCTTTTCACTAAACGGTTCAGCTAATTCCTGGCAGTTTCCCCCACGTGGACATTCCGCAACTGCCACATACTGCGGACTTCTCGGTGGACTATTACGCATTCCTTCTGCCTGACGACACCAGACCGCATGGCTTCATTCCAGCAAATGTCGTTGTGCAAATTCCGTGGACCTCTGACTTCGTTCTGAGCACGACAGGCGAGCTCCCTCGAACAGTGCAGCTGCTTGACACGTCCAACGGAACAGACACCGCAGCAGCATGCAACGCCTCACTCGCCCAGGTCATCGACGCTGCTCAAGCTCAAGGTCTCTTCCCTAAGACCCTCGGAAGGAAGCCCAAGGGCGAGAATTTTCGGATTATGGGCGCCTTGAACTATCAAGGCAAGAATGGCCTGATCCAGATGCAGCGCTCAGCCGCTCCCCTGTTCGGGATTGCGAATCGTGGCTCACACATGACAGTGTTTGTCAAGTCGAAGGAGACGGGCGAGATCAAGATCTGGGTCCCTCGCCGAAGCCGTCACCTGGCCACATACCCAGGAAAGCTTGACAACACCGTCGCGGGAGGCACGAAAGCCGAGGAGTCGCCGCTGGAGTGTATCGTCCACGAGTCGGACGAGGAGGCGTCCCTACCCGAGGACTTTGTGAGCAAGCATGTCAAGGCCGTCGGCGTGGTGACCTATGTCACTCAGACTGGAAGTGGAGGAGGACAGGATCAACAGGCTGCTGTCGGTGGCTATGATACAGGACTCTGCGTTTCTGACGTTATTTACGTCTATGATCTCGAGGTGCCAGCACAACAGGCGGAGACGATGGTGCCGAAGCCGAGGGACGACGAGGTCGAGCAGTTCTACCTGTGGGATGTGCAGACCGTCAAAAATGCAATTTTCAACGGGGAGTTCAAAGCTAATACGGCCATGGTGATGGTGGACTTTTTTGTGAGGCATGGCATCATCACGGATGACAATGAGGCGAATTACATGGAGATAGTGACGAGACTTCGCCGCCGATTGCCTGTCCCCCTCTCAGCCCCATTGGAGTTTTAGAAGAACAGGCCCGGAAAGAACAGGAAAGAAATCACCAAAGAAATTACATGATAATGGGTAGCATTCCCATTCAGTCGGCATCTGGAGCAGAGGACAGGGACCCCCACCCCCGGCAACGCCAAGAATGGCGACCTAAGCACGACAACTGACACCATCCCCCCATCCGCACCTCGGAAACTACATTGGCCCACCACGAAAGCGACGAAACTGGGGATTTGCAGCACTATCGGTACCTCTCGATACAACGAAATGTCGCGCACGCCACTGCGGAGACTGTGTAACCATGACCTTTGGCGACGGGCAAGGTGAACCCTGGCGCTGTGAGCCGGCTCTGATCAATTATAACCAAGCACCAGCGGGGGGCTGAGTGGCACTCATGGAACGTTTTAAGTCGATAATGCGGCCCAGGCCGTCGGTACTTCAGTAGCCAATGCCCATGAGCCTCATTACACTTCCTCAGAAACTTTCAACATCCTGCGTGCCCGGTTCAGGCTGAGAAAGATGGCATCAGACGGACGAAAGCCATGGTGGCGGATACAATGGTTCGCGGACGAGGACACGCGCGAGGAGAGGAAGCTCATCTTCAAGCTCGACCTCCTCATCGTCCCGTATGCATTCCTTGCATACTGGACAAAGTACATCGACCAAGCCAACCTGAGTGAGTGGACAAGCCATCTCGGCCGTGGCCAGGCACACTGCCGAAGCGGCCCAGCTTACTGACGGGCGGAATGACGCTGGCAGACAATGCGTACGTCTCCGGGATGAAAGACGATCTCGGATTCGCGGGCAACGAGCTGGTCCAATTACAGACAATGTACACGGTCGGCGCGGTCGTGGGCCAGATTCCGTTCATGTTCCTCTTTACAGTCTTTCCTATGAACTGGGTTATCCCCTTTCTTGACGTCTGCTGGGGCATTCACGCTGTTGCAGTTCCGCGCCAAGAGCTTCGCTGAAATTGCGGCGTATCGCTTCCTTGTCGGGTGGTTCGAGGTAAGTGTCGCTGTGCCCATGCCGTACTGTGGCATCCACGTCACCACTTTGGTATTCATATGAGATATACATACGCTGATATTACTCAAAGGCGGCATTCTTTCCTGCCATGCATTACATATTTGGCGCTTGGTACAGGGGTGACGAGATCGCTCGACGGGGCGGCGTGTTTTACGTTGGGCTCACGCTGGGAACGCTGACCGCCGGTCTGATCCAAGCTGGTGCTTCGTCCTCACTCCATGATGTCAATGGCCTAGCAGGATGGCGTTGGATGTACATTATATGCGCCATCATTACGATTCCTATTGGGTATGTCTCTGTGATTTCCTGTTCACGGGTTCCGCAAGTCCACGAAGTTTACCCTGGCCGCCAGTTGGGAAGTGGAGGCTCAGATACCTTGTCCATACCCCTTGAACTTCTCTCCCACCTTGTCGGAGCTGACTCTTCTGTATACAGAATTCTGGGTTACTTCATCTTACCGGGAACGCCAGACAAGCCCAATAAGATATTCCTCAAACAGACGGATATCGACCTGGCAGTACAGAGGCTTAAGAGAGCTGGTCACGCGACCACGGGCAAATTCGAATGGCGCGTAATCAAACAGCTTGCTACGAAGTGGCAGTTCTGGGCCCTCGTGTGGCTCGACATATTCTTCTGGAACGGCAGCATAAACACGTCGACCGGCGGCTTCCTGCTATGGATCAAGAGCCTGGACCGCTACTCGACCCCAAAGGTCAACGAGCTCGGCACAATCTCGCCGGCGTTGGGGATATTCTACACCTTGCTGATATGCTTCGCATCGGATCTCTTCCTCGGCCCTGCCTGGGCTATTACCGCAGCGCATGTCTGGAACATTATCGGGCTTATCATTCTGGTTGTCTGGAAAGTTCCGGGGCCGGCACTCTGGTTTGCCTTCGCCACGACCTACTCTGCGGTGGCCATGTCTAGCGTGTTGTATGGCTGGGTTAACCACCAGCTACGAGGGTCTCCGGCACAGCGTGCTTTCACTCTAGTACTCATTAATGCGGTTTCTCAGTCAACTACGGCTTGGACACCGCTGCTTGTCTTCCCGACTGTCGAGGCGCCCCGGTTCACGAAGGGCTACTCGTTCGTCCTGGCGAATGCCATCTGCCTGATCGCACTGGCACATTTCATACGTATTTTCCTCAAGCGACAGGAGTAGGTTCAACCAGCTATAATTGGACCGGAAACAATGTGACTGACATACGCACTGCAGATCGAGCGCAGACACTGATGAGGCTGAGGCTGAGGCTTCAGACACCGAGGGAGTGGTTGCGATCCCCAGCACAGATGGGGCCAAGGCCGATGCTGTCTAAATTTTGGCAAGTCAATTAGGCGTTAGAGAAAGAAATATTCCTGCAAATCAATGTGAAGTAAGGTTAGATTTCTGGTGGAAAAGCTGGCGGAACTGTATGTCCCCCACAATTTTGCGGGGCTAGGCCAGGAGCAATTGACGATTTTCCTGACGTAAATCCTGCAGCGATTTTCAGACCAAAAACCACCAAGGGGCAATGCTACTTTTGAACCTTGCTTAATTCCATCAATTTGAGGAGGCGCGTTGCCTCGTCTCAAGGCGTCTTTGGGGCCAAACTAGAATGGTACGCATATTGCCGCTGATCCAGCATCACACCATCGCACTGCAGATGGCAGCATCCCGAGATGGCACCCTTGGCGCAGCTTGGTTGGCGACTGCGTGTGAGCCGACTGCCGAGTTTCGGAGATATCACCACGACATATGCAATGAGCACCCCACGAAGCCGGATGGTGCAATCCGACGACCAGAGCTCCTTTAGGGGCGGGATATATATCATGATGCTTCATGCTTCTACTAATAAAACTGTTGCGACGCCGTCTCATATGACGCCGACAATACTCGTCAATTGGAGGCATCGACTACACAATCCCACATTATGGCAGACGGTACAGCGCAGGCGGATGGTCAACATGACCTCGGGAATGGCAGGAAGCACATCCTCCTTAATGCCTTTGATATGTCGACGATAGGGCACCTGTCGCCGGGGCAGTGGAAGGTCAGTACACGCACTTCACAAGCGCAACAAATTGTGCACCATCTGCACTTATGCCTAACGTGGATGTAGAATCCCAAAGACAAGTCGGCGACGAAGCGAGACCTGAACTACTGGATCGATCTCGCGAAGCTGCTGGAGCGGGGCGGGATCAACGCGCTGTTCCTAGCCGACACATACGGAGGATATGACACATACGAGGGTTCACTTGACAACTGTATCCGACGGGCAGCCCAATGGCCCATGACAGACCCGACTATTGTGAGTGACATGTCGCTAACCTATTGTTGCACATATGGTCAGACTTGCTGACCACTTGAATATAGCCCATCTCTGCGATGGCGGCAGTTACCAAAAGCCTGGCCTTTGGGATCACAGCGTCGACGTCGTTCGAGCCGCCGTTTCTTCTGGCCAAGCGGTTTTCGACACTGGATCATTTCACTTGTGGAAGACTCGGCTGGAATATCGTGACGGGGTGGAAGAAGGCCGCCTTCAAAGCCATCGGGCTAGACAGCCCCATAGACCACGACGAACGATACCGCCAGGCAGACGAGTACCTCCGGGTTCTCTACAAGTAGGTCCAAGCCTCGCAAGCACCCGATCGTAGGAAGCCCAAGATCAAATCACAGCAAGCTGACAAAAGCCCGGCGGAAAGGTTGTGGGAAGGATCATGGGCGGAAAACGCGATCGATCCAGATCCGGAGAACGACAGCTACGCAGATCCAGACCGTATCCGCACAATTCACCACCACGGGCAGTACTACAACCTGGACACACGGCACATCGTAGACCCATCTCCTCAGCGGACGCCGTTCCTGTTCCAGGCAGGGACATCCCCAGCGGGGTCCGCATTCGCGGCGGCGCACGCCGAGGCCATCTTCGTGTCGTCACACTCGCCGGCGGTGCTGCGGCCCAAGGTGCAGAAGATCCGCGAGCTGGCGGCGGAGAAGGGGCGCGACCCGCGGTCGGTCAAGGTCTTTGCGACATTCACACCCATCATCGGGCGGACGGACGAGGAGGCTCAGGACAAGTACGAGGAGCTAAAGAAGTACGCGTCGGTCATCGGCGGGCTGGTGCTGTTCAGCGGGTGGACGGGTATCGATATCTCCAAGATCCCGCTGGACCAGGAGATCACGGCGGCGGATTCGCTGGAGGCACACAAGGTGCGCAGCATCCTGGACAGCTTCACGACGACGAGCAAGGAGGTCCCCAAGTGGACGCCCCGCGTGGTGGCGGAGCGGGCGTGCATCGGTGGGCTGGGCCCCGTGTCGGTCGGGCGCCCGCAGACGGTGGCGGACGAGCTCGAGGCGTGGGTGCGCGAGGCGGACGTGGACGGCTTCAACCTCGGGTACGTGACGACGCCGGGGACGTTCGAGGAGGTCGTCGACCTGCTGGTCCCGGAGCTGAGGAGACGCGGCCTGTACCCGGAGCCGCTGGAGGAGCAGCTCACGGCCCGGGAGAAGATCTACGGTAAGGGCCAGAAGGGGCTGCGGGACGACCACACGGGTAGCAGGTACAGGTACGATGTCTACCAGGAGGAGCCCGCATACGTCAAGGAGCAGGGCAAGAGCGAGGATGCCTCACAGCCGCAGGCGAGCTGAGGTCAGGTTGGGCCATTGCAGGGGGCTGAAAGCGGCCCTAGTATAATTCACTCTGTTCGTACAGTGTATACCCCTAGTACCTATTTTAAAATGGACATAGGGGTACGTATACTGCTCTAGCGGCACACACAATCATGGATAACTTCAAAGAGTAATATGAACCGGTAAGAAATTATGTACTTGGTCCTCTGTCTTGAAACGACTGCAGCCTAGATTCACCTGGCCTGCAGGGGATCAGCGGGCATGCAGCCCATGTCTAGCCTACCATGATGCATCAATACCTAGGTAGCCTGCAGCACACAGCCTCAGCTAGCCCAAGACCCCATTTTCCACTTGCACGTCGACGTGATTCATGCCGTTTCCTCCTCTCAGGCCGGCTTTCCCATGCTCAATTTAGCCTAAAAATGACTATACAAACTCCGTTGCCTATGACAGAGTTTGAATTTCCCTCAGGTTCACTTCTCCCGGATGTCGACAAGCACACGAATTCAGAGGATTTCCCATGATGTTGCGGGGGTGGGATGGCCAAGCCATCAGATTTTCAGCTTGGAGAAAATGGCCTGCCCAGTGCCGACAAGAGCACTATCCCCAGCGAAAAGGCCATGTTGGAAGACATAAAACGACAACAGGAGGATCTAACGGGCAGAGACAACGAGACATCAAAGCTGAATTCGGATTCTGAATGCTCTGTGGAACCAAGTCAGCTGTTCGACGAAGAGGCAGGTCAGATAAGGCGGCCAGGCTACGATGAACAGCTCAATGAGGAAAAGAGCAGCGACGATGAGGCATCATTAGAGGCTTCGGATTCTCATCACTCTCTCGGGCTGAATCAGCTGTTCGACGAAGAGGCGGATCAACCGAGGCAACAAGGCTACGGCGAACAGCTAAATGAGATGGAGGGTAGCGACGATGAAGCATTCGGGGGGGCTTCAGATCCCGAGCCTTCTGCCGGGCTAAGTCAGCTGTTCGACGAACAGGTAGAGCAGCTAGCCCAAGATGGACGGCTCAATGCAATGGAGGGCAGGGACGAAGTCGAAGAGCGTGATGCCAACTTCACACCACAATCACCACCTGGGCTCGATGAACCGGACGAGACTGAAGAGATTGTGACCGTGAACGGCGCCGGAAGCCAAGAGGTCATGAGCAGTCTGCGCCTACTCCACCTTGTCTTGAGCTTGAGTTACGAGTACCAGCCGCTTTCAAGTCCGGACTCCACCCGCATTCTTATTCTCCTCCCGGCTCAGAAAGCAGTGGACGACTTACGATGTTGCATGGACGAGGTTCGCCTTTCCGATGTCGGGGACGAGAGTCAAGGCTACACGGCTCTCTCTTATGTGTGGGGCGCACATGAAGCCTCCCACATGATCTGGTTTGGAGACCGTCTTCTTCGAATCCGGCCGAATCTTGACTCTGCGCTTCGAAACCTCCGTCGGCGAGACCGGTCAATACGCTTATGGGTGGACGCCGTGTGCATTAACCAGCATGACCTGATTGAACGGAATCACCAGGTACAGCAGATGCGGGACATATTCTCAGCTGCATCGGAAACAATCATCTATCTCGGGCCTCAAGACGGTGGCAATACCGGCCATTCGGCCTGGAACTTTTTGGAGCGGCACAGCACCTGGGCTTTGGACGAAAACAGAGACATTGACCGTAATGCTGCAGCGCGCCTGGAAAGACATCTAGTGTACTTCCGGGGAGAACTCAAGGATGTTGAGCTCGACGTGCTATCAAGATCATGGTTCCGAAGGTTGTGGGTGTTCCAAGAGGCAGTCGTGTCGAAATCACTTTCTATCCAGTGTGGCAACCGACGGATCTCCTGGGATGACTTTTGCGAGATACTCCTCCTGTCGCCGCGCCTCCATGATCGGTACGGTTTCAGTTTTGAGGACAATCAAAAACTGGACATCGTCCGGGATATCAATATTTCTCGCAGAGAATACTTACGACAGCACGGTCTAGAACGCTTCTTGCCGTCCTGGCAGTTACCTAAGACTTTTGGTCCGTCACAGGGTGTCATGGACATTTTGGCCATCCTCTCCAGGGCACGGTATCTAGAAGCTTCAGACGCAAGAGACAAGATTTACGGTTTGGTGGGCATCTCTACTGGCATCAACACAGCTGACCCGAGGTTCGCCATCGACTACCGACTGAGCTTTAGCGATCTATACATCATCTTCGCACGAAACCACATAAAAGCCACAAGATCCTATGACATATTCTCGTACGTCGACACTGCGACCGAGTCACTTTTCCAATCATCACAATCGTCGCCTTTACTGCCCTCTTGGGTCCCAAACTGGCACTACCAGAGATGCGTATCGTACGGGAGCAACAGGACAATTTTGGAGACATTACCGGTGGAGACACCAACGGAAAAGGAAGCTCGCAAGAACAGGGTCGACGACGGCCACTACGTTCTTTCCACGCAACGGCGTGCAAGGACAATGGCTGTGCAGGGTCGAATCATCGGGCGTATCGACCGCTATACTATGCCTCTCCGCGTACTCGGCATGAACGAGGTCCTTTTTCAGAACGCGAGGAACAGCACAGAAGACGAGAGCCAACGTTTCAAGTCTATAATGGAACTCTGGAAGCAGATTTTATATTTTGATAGCTTTGGCGTCTGGTCGCAAGATAGATGGACGGTTCTCAAGAGCCCAGCAGGCGGGGAAATATCAGCAATCGTGAGCCGTCCGCGCGCAGCAGCTTTTGCGTCCTACTTCCAAGAGGGCAGGGTGAAGAACCCTACCTCGGTGGAACATCATCTGTATGCCAGAGCTCGGCAGACTGCGGATTGGTCCGAAGGGACCAACAAAGACTCATATGTCATTACCGACAAGGAGTCTATAGTCGACGGGAAGAGGCTCGCCATCTGCGACATGGAGACGGAAGCTGTGCGCCAATTGGCTCTTGTGCCATCTATTGCGCACGAAGGGGACCTGGTGATACAGATCAGTGGGTCGCGTGTGCCTTTCATCGTTAAGGACACTCCGGGTGTTGCTTGGCCGGGAGAGGAGGTGGATCCCAGTGTGTTTTCCGTGTTGCCTGTCCCCCTGAAGCAGACAACGTGCCAAATAGTCGGCGAGTGTCTGCTCAACGACTTTGAAGAGCTTGGAGAGGATAAGATGGACACGATGTTCGTCATAGTTTAGGCTCGTTTTGTCAGATACTATATTACAACTGGGATCTACCCCAATCATACTAAGTGTTGGAAGCGCAGATGCTAAGATCACCTAGCGAATAATGATAATGGAAATATTCCAAACCAACACAACACGCTCATGGCTTTTTCGACGGCGGAGAATCCCACATGAGATTATCCCAGAGGAGAGTATCCCCGGTCATGTCAAGAGTAGTCAACCATATTCTCCGTCTGGTATTCATCCATAGACTTTCCATCTGTGATTTAATTCCGGGTCTCAACGCCAAGGTAGTATGTATGCAGAAGCAACGTATCGTATTTACAAGCGTTCGCATACTGCATAGCTGTGATCTAAAAATACGTAATTTACAAGAATTGAAGCCCAACCCATTTGACACCCACCATCCCCAACATCCTCACAGCACCCCTTGAAAGCATGACCTGGGCCGTTCCACAACCTGATCTCTAGTTCTGAACAGACTTGTTTCGCCTCTTGCAGGTCTTGGGCTTCGTCACGGGCTCGGTGGCGGCGCTGGCAGATGACGCAGCCGTCGCAGCCGTCGCAGACTGGGCCTGAGCCTCGACACTCGACGCGGCGCTCGATGCCGGAGTCTGGACCGCTTCAACAGAGGTGGTAGCGGCGGCGGTTGAGGACTCTGCAACAGCTTGCGACACAGAGGAGCTGGCGCTTGAGGCCTGGGCAGAGCTGGAGCCGGAGCTTGGACCGGAGTCGCTGCTCACACTGCTGCTGTCGAAGGTGGAGCCGATGGGTCCGAACTTGATGTTGCTGTATACAACGGAGGATGACCCAGACTTGGATTCGACGTCGGATGGCACGCCGCTGTCGGTGCTGCAGGTTCCGCGACCTGTGCCGGCGCCGGTCTCGTTCACTGGGTACGTGGAGTCGAGCCAGAGCATGTTGGCGTAGTACTAGAATAAGCTTTTGTCAGATTTTCACTGCCCACGCCGGATATAAAACCCCATGCTGTGTGGATATACTCACATCGTCCCAGAGAGACATGACGAGGACCATGGGCTTAGCCAGCGCGTCACTCATGCCAGAGAAACCCCCGCGAGCAGCGAAGATATCGTCATCACCAAACGCCGACTTCTGCGTGGAACAGAACTCTTCCGTGATGCTGTTGTATCCGGCGTTGCCCTCGATGTTGCTCTCGCTGTTCGCGATGACCACGCCATTCTGCACGTAAAACCGCTTGATCGCACTAAGCGTTCCGCTCTCCTCGACGAACTGCGTGACAACAGTGATGGTCGAGCTCGTGTCAACGACGCCGCCTTTCCCGTAAAGACTCGTTGCCCTGCCTGAAGGGGTTGAAGTCGCACCCGTCCGGGTCACAGTCACCAGCATAGCGGGTGGAGCTGTAGGTTCCTCCGCAGTTATCTCCCGAGCAGCTATGGTACGACGGGTCCGTGCAAGTATGGGGGGTCACCGCGGTAGAGACAACATTCGCCTCCCAGATGTCCATCTCGGCACAGCACGCGCCCCTGCCGCCGACGCCCGAGTTGGCGCTGGTGTCCGAGGGCGTCCAGTCGTCGACGTTGGCGGACCCGGCGATGAACTTGAGGTCTCGGGGACACTGGGCGTCGCAGTAGCCTGTGCCGTATCCGGGGCCTGCGTTGGAGTAGGCGCTGGCGCCGCCGTCGAGGTCCATGGATACGAAGTAGAGGGCACCGTTGAGTCCGCAGCTGCACAGCCAGAGGTTAGAATTGCTCGAGATATGTACGCTCATAGTTCTGAGATACTCACGGCAGATTCGACACATCGACATCAAAGGTGAACTCGTTGCCCAGCAAATTGAACCCCTGATATGAGCTATCATTCGCCAGCAGGTAGAGTCTACTGCCGACGTTGGACCCGGTTACAAAGTCCAGACTCAGACTGGACCCTGAGGCGCTCACACCGTAGGTGGACTCATAGTTGGCACCGTCGATGCAGCAGTTCTCCGTGCACGTGGCGTCGTCAGGACACAGGGAACTATCCCAGGTATTGCCCGTGTAACAATTAGTGCTGCTGCTCTTGTCGTGGGTCCATCTCCAGTTGGCGTCCACGGTGACGCTTCCCTGGACGTCCGCGCAGGTTCCGTCGGAGCTGCACTCCTGCCAGGTCAGAGATGGGTGTGTCTCGGCCGTGAGATCGCAGGATGCTTGAGCTTTGACGATGGTGGCTAGCGCGAGGAGGCGAGCGGCCTTCAGAACGTTTCTGTTTTCCATCATGATTTAGGAGTCTCCAAGTTTCAAGTGAGTGCGAAAGGCCTTGAATGGCTGTGGATGAAAGAGAGACTTGTGTGAGTGTTGGGAGCTGCTTGCAGCTGGAAAGAATGAATGAAGTCGAGCGATCAATGCAATGGAAGAAATGAGTGTACCAGACACACTACCTGAGGTTAGTTGATACAGTCGCAAGGAACGCAGAGCAGAATTGTCCTTTGGTGGAAAGGCCAGCGACATATATACATCAGCGGCCTCGTTGGCCGACCATGCCATAACGCAACACGCGTCCTTCCTTAATTCTGTGATCGGGTCACAATCCACACATGCAGTTGGGAAGCCGGACGGACCGGATTCGCGGGATTGGCCATGTTTGGTTCGTGAAGCTTCTCCAGATCCTCATCGGAGAATATAGTCGAGTGACAGTCAGCAGGTGCACGCCCCATTCATGACGCTACTTACGCACATTGAAATTCAGGGGTGGCAACAACCTCATAGTCAGACTTTTGTCGCCAACAAAACCGACGGCGTGCATTCGAATTTTGTGCTGCAGTGCGCCATGCTCATTTCCCACTCTCGCTTGATGGACTCGAGTTCGAATCTGGAAAATTGGTCGCCTGCACACAGCCTAGCCTGCCTCGAGATGGCTTCACTGACTGCTCTCCCACCACAAGGCATCAGCCCACTTTTGCATGACGGAACAAAAAGGCGTCACTTGAGAGGCCAAACAATCTTCACGTGTCTCCTTCATCGGCCTGAACTTGAAATAGATAACAACCACCGGGTTGAGCATATCTGTGCGGGCGACCTGGAATAACCCCTACATGTCAGGTGCGTCTTCTCTTTCGCTTATTGTCGACCGCAACGTCATCGTCTGCACCGGTAACTGCCTCTGGGGCATCTACACTGAAGATATCACCGGAGCGACCCAGCGCCGAGAAGGCTGTCTTGATCTCTAGAGGCGCATCTGATTCATTTTGGGCAACTCGATCTATTGACAGACGAGTGGCGATGGGAGCCACATTCCTAATCTAGCGTGCATTCAAAGGTGTCTCTGCTGTCTGACCTGCTGAGATGAGCCCCGTCCTAGAGCAACGGATCTGCTCTGGTCCTCAAGGCTTGTGAGGAAAGTCGTCCGGATTTGACAGAGGCCTTTCGAATCCACCGAGGGGTGGACCAGGGACTTGAACGCGCGGTCGAAGCTGCTGACTCAGTTTGCAGTGAGGAAGAGGATTCCGCCGGAGTGCTCTAGAACGCGAGGAAAGACTGCGTGAATCCGATCAGTCACGAAGATACCAGGTCGTCGCTCGCAACGATACCTGAGCTCATATGCGATGAGGTTGTTCCTTCCGCTTCCGAGATCTTCTGCGATGCGCTCTGGGGAACTCTCTGCTTCGTTTTCGTTTAGCAGGCGGACCGCATCGATCTTTCCGCGGGACGGAACGCATCTTGCAAATTTATCTCGAGCATCTTAATTAGCAGTAGACCCCAGGGGGATTAAATCGTCCTAAGAAGTGGAATCCTAGTGCAACTTGCAACACTTTCTACATGAAGACAACAAAAGTGGTAGCAGTGTGATCGGTCCCGGTGCCAGGACCGAGAGCGAGAGGTGGTCTGACCAGTGAGACGGGCCGGCAAAGGATGTGGCAGAACTCTAATACAGAGCGCCAGGGACCCTTGGGGCATCAAAGTTTGGTTGGTGCAGGTACCATGACTTATCTTGCTGGATTTGACAAAAACAGTCCTGTGCAGGCGTACAAGCGTACAGGCGTACTCGTACTCGTCGTGTGATGGTTGGCTGGGCTGGGCAGAAGCGAGTGCGTGGCCCAGGGCTGAGTGCGGCTGCTGATGTGAGCGCTCGGGGTCGTCCCCAGAGATGGTCCTTGGCATCAAGAGCACAATGATAAGCTAAGAACTTGGACTAATGCGTGACCTGGCAGATCTGTCGGAGATGTCCAAGTCGGTCAGAGGCGAGAAGAGAGAGGATTCCTCAACACCAACGCCGAAGGATGCACGACAGCAGCACGCCCGGGCATTGGAACTGTCACGATGGTTCGATGGAGGAGCCCTCTCCCAATTTCAAACGCCGCGGTTCGGACCCTGAAAGGACAATAGGAAGTCGAAAAGTGGATGACCTTTGTCTGACATTGACCGAGGGTAAAGCGAGGGTAAAGGCAGGAGAGGAGCCAAGGAGGGGCTAGGTGAGGGAGTATCGGGTACTTGGTCGCCTCCGCTGGAGACGGTGCGTGAGAAGGTCACCACTACCCGCTGGCTCGGGAGTTGGCCCGCTTCCTTTCCGGAGCGGAGGCTGGATCCTGTGTCACCCCTGGATCTCAGTGAGGAAGTGATGGGCCAATAGAGCACCCTGGATTACTGTGTCTTGCTTCGGCTTCGGAGATGGTGGGGTCTCGCTGCCGTTGCAAGTCAGGCCAGGTCACGACGAGATCCAGATCCAGATCCCGAATATCCGACCGAGGAAACCTTTTTTTGTGTTGTCCTTGTGCGAGCCTCGACGATGCTGCACTGCACCCATTGGTTGTGTGTCTATTGACATTGAATTGGCACTGGCGGCATTGCTCTTGATGATTGTCATTGACAGTTGCCGTTGCCATTGCCACTGCCGGTGCCAGTGATCGGCAGGGCAAGAGAGGAGGCGGGACCAGATCCGTCAAAGCATCATGGGAAAGAAGAGGGGAGAGAGAAGAAGATGCAGCCATGCAACGGCAATACACAACAAACCCATAGTATCTAGTAAACTAGCTCTGCAGTGCCATTCCTCTTTGGAGTCTAGGCCGAGCAGGTGGACACCGGCCATTTCAAACCCGGACGGCGCGGACGGTCTGACCTCAGCCTCCAGACCAGAACCCCAGAACCAGACACCGCTGCCAAACTTTTGCGCCCCGACTACAATAGTCCACGTAGTCGCCCCCCTCCCTCTCCTACAATCCCTCCCCTTGTTTTGGCCGCGCCTGACTCTGACCGAAAACCTCGACACAACCAACACATTCAACCTCACCACCAGAACCTCCACCGCCTGTTTGAACACCCACGAGCACCCCAATTGACGCCGCGAACATGGACGCTGTTCTCCGGCAGTCCAAGGCCATGTGCCCCTTCATGAAGAAGGCATCGCCCGCCACCCTGCGCGCCCTTTCCACCTCGACTCGCCCGGCCGCCAAGGCCACGTCTTCCCCATGCGGAGGCATCATGTCCCGTCTGCAGGGGCTGGCCTACCGCTGCCCCGTCATGGGCAAGGCCCTCGCCGTCCAGTCCGCGAAGGTCGGCGGCATCAGCAGCACCAGCGGCATCGCCGGCCTGTCCGCCCGCTCCGTCTCCACCAAGCACGCCCACGGATCCGGCCATGCCCACGCCCACGCCCACGGATCCGGCCATGCCCACGCCCACGCCCACGCTCATGGCCCCCGGATGTCCAAGCGCTGCCTGCACAGCAGCCGCTCCAACGAGGCCCGCGCTCTCGAGACCCCCGTCGTCCCCGGCCGCGAGAAGGGTGAGTTGACGCCGAGACGATCTCCGCCGGTCCCTAGAATCTCTCGCTAACCCAGACGCCTTTGTATCCAGCCCATGCCCCTCATGCTGCTCCCCGTCACCCCGCCGCCCCTGCCGTCTACCCCATCAACGCCGACGCAAAGTTCAACTACGAGGCCTACTACAATGCTGAGCTCGAGAAGAAGCACAAGGACAAGTCCTACCGCTACTTCAACAACATCAACCGCCTGGCCAAGGAGTTCCCCCGCGCCCACATGGCCAACAAGGAGGAGAAGGTCACCGTCTGGTGCGCCAATGACTACCTGGGCATGGGGCGCAACTCCAACGTCCTGCGCAAGATGCACGAGGCCCTCGACGAGTACGGCGCCGGCGCCGGTGGAACCAGAAACATCTCGGGTCACAACAAGCATGCCGTGGAACTCGAGGGCTCCATTGCCAAGCTGCACTCCAAGGAAGCCGCCCTCGTCTTCAGCTCCTGCTATGTCGCCAACGATGCCACCCTGGCTACCCTGGGGAGCAAGATGCCCGACTGTGTGATCCTCTCGGACAGCCTGAACCATGCCTCGATGATCCAAGGAATTCGCCACTCCGGCACTAAGAAGATCGTGTTCAAGCACAACGATGTTGGGGATCTGGAGGCCAAGTTGGCTGCTCTGCCACTGCACGTCCCCAAAATCATCGCTTTCGAATCCGTATACAGCATGTGTGGCTCAATTGGTCCTATTGAGAAGATCTGCGATCTCGCCGAGAAGTACGGTGCAATCACCTTTCTGGATGAAGTCCATGCCGTCGGCATGTACGGCCCACACGGAGCCGGCGTTGCCGAGCACCTCGACTTCGAGGCCCACAAGCAGGGCCGGCCCCAGGGCACCATTCAGGACCGCGTCGATATCATCACTGGCACCCTTGGTAAAGCCTACGGCTGCGTCGGCGGCTACATCGCCGGCACCTCCAAGCTGGTCGATATGATCCGGTCACTTGCTCCTGGCTTTATCTTCACCACTTCCCTGCCCCCAGCAACCATGGCCGGCGCCCAGGCCGCCATCGAGTACCAGATGGACTACAACGGCGACCGAAAACTACAGCAGCTGCACACCCGCGCCGTCAAGGCTGCCTTTGACGAGCGCGACATCCCCGTAATCCCGAACCCCAGTCACATTGTCCCTATCCTGGTCGGCAACGCCGAGGTTGCCAAGAAGGCTTCCGACATGCTGCTGCAGAAGTACCAAATCTACGTGCAGAGCATCAACTACCCCACCGTGCCAGTCGGCCAGGAGCGGCTCCGCATCACCCCCACGCCTGGCCATACCAAGGAGCTGCGCGACCACCTCGTCAACGCGGTCGATGCCATCTGGACCGAGCTCGGCATCAAGCGCACCAGCGAGTGGGCTGCCGAGGGCGGGTTCATCGGCGTGGGTGAGGCCGACGCCGCTGCTGAGGCGCCGCTCTGGACCGACGCCCAGCTGGGCATTGAGGAGAACGTCAAGGAGATCAAGGCCCAGAACGGCGGCGAGCTGGCCAACGGCAGGGTCCTGGAGGCGCTGCTCGAGCGTGAGGCCGATGCGGTCAGGACGGTGAGCCCGGTTGCCTAAGTTCGTGTCCTTGTGCGCCAAAACTACAGCCTGTTGCCAACCACGAACTAGAGGGGAGCTCACCAGGCCGGAATCACGTTCTCTCGAGCGGGCAACAGTGACTCGGTAGGGGGGGAGGTGAATGATCTGCACTGAATTTCTACCATTCTGACACTATGAAGTACCCAACTTCAAACCTCTGGTCCATCCGTCCTCGCTAGATACGATCCCGCGTACCTGGACGTATACTGCTACTGGGATATGTCCTGGATAGATATATATATGCGATGGGCGGGTGTGCACCTCACAATTACAAAAAAACATTTGGCATCGCCTGCTGAGCGATACAACTGCCACAAACTTTTTCGGGCTTCTTTACTTTGAATATGGTGAATGTGAATATGAAATTCCATGTGCTACCGTTCATTTCAAGGGCAGACATTGTTATTTCCGCCAGCCGCGTTCGTCAATCTCGCTGCTAAGTATTAATCACCCGGATACAACTCGCGCCTACCATTCAGTCCTGTTTCAGACCAACTCGTATAGATAGACCCCTGGATACGTTCCACGCATACTAACCGACCCTTCGATAGACTGTATCTTGACTTTCGTATGACATAACAGGGATCTTAGGAACCCAGCCCATCTTGCCCTACAGACTGAGAAATATCAAGTCCTGGGAATAACTGCCTGAATAGATCCCCCGACCAGGCTCCTAATGAAGATATAATTTCTCAGAACCTTGCATAGCGAACTTGACTGTAGTAATTGCCTACACCCTACGTTGTCTCTTGTCCCACTACGACAATCATTGTCGTTCCAGCTTAGTAGAGGAACTCGAAGAATTTAAATAGTCTACAATTTCTCAGAAGTACAAATGCATTGCTCTATTTATGGCGGTCTCACTTAAGCAGCCTTCTCATGTACGTTCCGTTCCTTGTCAGCCATTCAGTCATTGAAAGGCCATCCCACGAGCCCGATGTTCAACCTTGTTCCCTTCTCAATTTCTGCTGCCTGAGCCTTCAGCTCGTCCACGTCCCAGTTGCACCATAGAAACTTGCCCTTCAGAAAGCGGGCCTCAGGACTTGCAAGCCAGACATTAAAGCTTGCCGGCAGAGACACTACTTCAAGGTCAGCCTCAAAATATTCTCACTGCAGTGCGCCGTATCTCTACTCACCATCATCAACCTGCACGCCCTCGAAGCTCTTAGCACCCCCGACCTTCAAGTTCAGCTCGGTTAGTATCACCCCAGGCTGCGTATGAAACACGCTCAGGTGCGGGTTCGAGAGCGCCACCGTGTCCCACAGCCGGAACACGGCGATCTTGGCGACGCAGTACGCGGAGAAGGCGTCGTTGACGCTCAGGTGCGCGGCCCACGAGTTCACCGCGACGGCGACAGCCCCCTCGGGCGCGGCGTGCCGCACGAACGCCTTGGCCACCCACAGCGCGCCCGCGACGTTGGCCTGCACGGTGCCCAGGAACGCCTCGCCGTCCGCGTCGGGGACGCGCTCCTTTGGCCCCACGCCCGCGGCGGTGTCGACGAGGACGTCGATCTTGCCGCTGCTGCCGCCCGCGGCGAAGTGGGAAAAGGCCGCGTCCACGTCGGCCTGCTTGGTGACGTCCGTCGGGATGGTGATGACCTCCACACCCGGGTAGGTCTTTTCGATGTAGGCCTTGTTGTTGAGGAGGGGGCCTTCGCGCCGGCCGAGGAGGGCGATCCGGGAGGCGCCTGCCTGGGCGAAGTGGCGGGCTGTCTCCCCGCCGATGCCCGTGGTGCCGCCCCCCGTGATGATCACAGATTTACCTCTGGCAGAGAGTTCTGGGCGGGCAGGTGAGGTGGAGGGCTGGGCTTTGGTGTGCCATCGCTTGGTTGGGGAGGGAAACGGCGGGACGTCGGTCATGGTGATTGTACGATGCAATTACCCTTGGGTGAGAACTTGACTAAATAGGGTAGAGAGAAGGGGTTTAAGCTGATGGCGAGAAGCATTTGGGAAATACATGATGTTTTCAGCGACAAACATGTCCATATTTATGCAGGGCAAGTTGTGCTGTTTCTCCGGAACAGACAAATTTGTACGCACACTCGTGTGCGTACCTTGCCACATTGAAAGCACAGGCAGTGACCCAAGTATCAACACCTATCTCGGAGTCTGCCATCCAGAATATGTGTAGCCAGAAGCCAGCCTAAACGGACTGAACAGTTGATTGTAAACTCCGAGGCACAATGAATGCATACCCATGCGGGCCTCTAGTTTACAAATTGTCCCGCCCGGCGAACAACACGCTGTAGTCCATTTTGAGAAGAGCGTTGGCACCGCTCGCCCCTTCGGCATTAAGCCAAGATGCTGACAAACTACCACCCATGGGCCAGTCTTAAGTAGCAAATAATAGGCAATCCATGGGCAATCTGAATCTTGTATTCCACTGGTGCACGTTTCAATTCATTCTTGTACAAGCCGTTGTGTCGTTACGCCATCACTTTCACAATTTGAAATGGACACGACCGAGAGCCGACCCCGGTCTGTCTTCTGGTGCATGCAATGCAACAAGCCCTTTCACAAGCGTGAGTTGTGCACACCCAGAAATCCAACATCGCCGTCCGCCACCCGTCAGTGCCATTGCTAATACCATAGATATGGGGCCCTAGAGTCGACTCTGAAGAGGCATGGATGCTATTGTCGTTCTCGAAGGTCTGGGCCTTCCACCTCCACCCGTCCTCGGTCTTGTGTCTCTTGCGCCAGTGGGAAGGTGGCCTGTGACAACAAGCGGCCTGAGTGCTCGAGGTGCATAAACAAGGGGATCGAGTGTCACTATCCAATCAACACTCCAAAAGCCAGTGTCCGGGGTCAGGAGAGGCACACCGGACGGGGCAAGGCGGCAAACTCACCAGTTGCAGAGTACCCTCCTGGCATCAGAGAACCAACAGAAAGAGATAGCACTGGCGACGTAGTTGTCGACGGTGCACCTGCCCTCTCAGAGCAGGAGCTAGCAAGTTTTGGAGGGGTTTTTCTTGGTTGGGATGACAGCGGCGCTGGTCTCGCAGACATTTTCGATACCCCGATGTTCAACTCTTCAGTCTCACCGGACTCGTCGGCATTGACGTTTCAGACGACAGCATCCGATGCTCAGACATACCACACACAGGACAGCTTGGACTTTTCCAGCTCCCCGATACCGAGAACGCCTTCTGTTGTTGTTCCATCACTTATCCGCCGGCCGAAAACTCAGCCTAGGACACAGAGGACCGCAAATCTCATCCTCCACAACCTGAAGTCCTACCCACTGATGATCCAGCACCACAATGACCTTCCACCCTTTATCCACAAGAGCCTCATCTCTTCGAATTTCGAGGACGCCGACATGGAGTCATTGACCAACTGTCTCAGTCTGGTTCACATGCTCAACGGCGGAGGCCAGGCGGGCCGGAAACTGTTCTGGAAAAATGTGCAGATGGAATGTGAACGCCTGTCTGCAGAGGTATGATCACTTCATTACAGGTACACTTAAGCGGGCTGGTGTTGAGAGAAGCTGAAACGAGATTTAGCATCTAAATCTCAGCAAGTGGGAGCTACTTTCAGCTATACAGGCCCTGACCATGTATGTTCTCGTGCGGTTGGGTGAGGGCGAGACAGAAAACAATAATATTGACGTTATGTTGGTGAAAGCGGTCTCGGCAAGTTCAGCCCCTCTCCTGATCTTTTATTCTTTACTGTCCTACAATTCCCAAATACCAATACTCTAACATGATGGCATAGTTGATCATCCAACAACTTTCCCATGTCGATACCACCTGCCAGATGCAGTGTGTGTCATGCAACAATAGACTTGAGACGAGCTGGAAAGAATGGGTATTCAGGGAGTCCAGGAGAAGGTATGACGTCTACTTCTATTCTCGATCCATTACCAGTGGACATGTCAGCCGTAGGGGGACTAACTACTAGCAAACAAAAAGGCTAGGTGTGGTCTACCGCGTACTAAACATGCTCATCTACTTTGACCCGGCGGCCATGTGCTATCTACCAGACGACCTCGTCCTGGCGCCCCTGCCGGCCAGGAGGCAGCTGTGGGAGGCCGGCGACGAGTCCGCGTGGAGAGGCAAGAGACACAAGGGGCCACCCGGCGCCCAGGTGTCGTTTGGGCTGGCCGCAGGCGGTGAGGTCGTCAGGCTGGACGAGGGCCGGCTCTCCTGTGGTGATGCTTGTGTGTCCCCTCGCCGGGCGTCGGATGCTGCTGGACCTGATCCGTCGCCGGGATGGGAGGAGTGGTGCTCGGGCATGGATGGCTTCGGCGGGCTTGTCATGCTTGCTGCTTCTTTGTTAGGGTAACATTACTTTTACGCTGAGTTGGAGGCGCCTCTACTCTGATCTGAGTTGAGACTGATGTCACCGTCACTGGCCTCGCGACCCAAGCGTCAGTCATGTGAATTTCGGCCTAACTACGCAGTATACGTAGGCTGGTCCCATCGTCATCATCCAGCAAGCAGGGCATGATCGCCAGAAATGCACGTGGGCCCAACACGGGAAACGTTTCTGGTCCCACACAAAGCCATTCCCTTTCAGTCTGTCGCCATCGACCAGCAGCTGCTAAAGCCGTATCAGGCACTTCCAAAACATTATGGGCCCTGGAATTGCTCTGTCTATCCACCACAGCTACAGCTCCTCCTAAGGGCCACATTCATGACGCTTGCTTGATCGTCCAAGTACCACCGCCGACTTCGCCGCCCTGGCAAGCAATTTGTCCTCTCTATGTGAGGCAAAGAAATGCAACTTCCCGCAAACACCGACCCTTGAGTTGTGAAAATGCTTCGCCAGAACGCGCCAGGCCTAGCTCAGCGATAACTCGCAAGCTCATCCAGCTTTTTGACCTCCAGAACGCCCAAGTCCAGCAAAGCCCTCAGAGATGACCCCACCATGCCAAGATCAGCTCATCCTTTCTTATTAATGAGACCAAAGCAAAGCCGAGCCAAGTAAAACCGCAGTCGGCCAGAGGGTATCTTTGAGATCAACTCCGAAAGGAAATCTCCTATAAGTTGTGTCAAGCGTAAAACAAGCAAGAAACAAAATGAGGAAAAGAGAAAAGAGAGGATGGGATGGGATGGTGGTGTCAAGGGTAGATCAGTCATCATCAATGACAAATGGGTCTGAGATCGTCTTTCCATGCCCACGAGGCGGCATGGTTTGCCGTCGTTGCTCAGCCTTTTCGACCTTGACCTGTGGCTGCCTGGGGCCATCTTGCGGTTTGGACTGCCTATTCGCCCAGACCTTCCGGATAGCCGCCAAGTCCCTTTCTTTCTGGCTATTGACTTCAGTTTGCTGGCCGTCGTCAGTCATTGACCGCTGTAAGATCCGTCGAGAATGCTGAAAATGGCGAAAAGTCAGCCCGATGTCCAAATGTCGGGGCAGCATCAGGTGGTGAAAAGATCAGAGGGGGTCGCCTACATCAGGATCCTTCATGCGCTTGTCATCCTGAGACTGTGGTACCGAGCTGCGTCCATCCAGGAGATTCTCCAGACCAGCCTTGGGGTTCCCAGCCGTGGCCAGAGCCTCGGCCGAAACGGTTCCGTTGAGGATTGCATCCGCACGGTCTTGGCGTCCCCGAACGAGGGCCTTCAGCTTGGCCCATATGCTGTTTCTCACGAGACCGCCTCCCTTGATGTTTCTATTGATACGCTCCACGACAGCCGACACCTCTTTTCTGAGAGGAAAACTCGCCTGCCTCGTCAACTCAGCCTGGAAATCACCCATTCCATCAACATTGGTGGGCCTCGACATTATCGACCCCATTCTTATAGGTTCCATGGATTCTCGAGGGACAGGGATACCATGGTCTGCTGGGCCAGGAATCGGTCGCTTCTGCGTGCCGCCTATCGCCATAGGCAACATGTCTTGCGGTGCAGTGGGTCGCCCAGGATCACCTGCTGCCATTTGCGCACTGCGGCTCTGAGCTGTGTCCATAGTGATCGGCGTCATGCTCGATTCGACAGCAGCTCTTGACAGACTCTGTGCTCCAGCAGCACCAAGTTGATGATGTCTGGGGCCCGACTCCACGAATGGGTCGTCTCGAGCGAGCACACGCGGTGCTAGGTCGTTGTGGAGAGTGTTGGCATCTATCAAGCCATCTGCGTTGTGCTGGTATGGAACCTGTCCAAATCCGCCCGACGTCACCGCATAACGCTGGTACAAGTCGTGCTGGTAACCTCCCATGGATATTGGGAAATTGGGCGGAACTGGAATCGGAATTGTAGGTGCCATCTGTGTCAGAAAATTAGCGTTGGGATCGACCGCCATAAACTCGAACTCCATTGGTGACGGAGCAAGTATAGACCGGAATTCAGGGGGGAGGGACATTGTCCGGTTCTGGCCACCGACGTTCTTAGAGTCCAGGGGAGACAGAGGAGGAAGAGAACCTGCACGAACGTCGGGCATTCCAGAAGCAGTGATGACTTCACCAAGGAATGGTGCAGCTGTGGATGCTGAAGCTGAACCAATGGCTTGGGTAGGGCGAGAAAACGCAGGAGAAAACGCAGCGGCAGAATCGACAGAGGCTGTATGGAAAAAAGATGAGATCTCTCGTACTTGTTCCGACGGCTGGGGGAGGAGTCCAGGGGGGTTCTCCTCCGCAGGGTTGTTTCTCCGAGAAATTTGCTCCTGCACAAGCTGGCGTGCTAAAGCTATTTCATCATCCTCCAGTTTATGGGTGTCTTCTTCTTCGAAAGTCTCTGTCGTGCTGATGGATGAAATGCCCTCGCGGACCTCCTCTGAAAGGAGCAGAGTGTCGAGGACGGCGTCCTGCCCCAAATACGCTGCCGTGTCTTGGTGCTCGACTTGCCGAGGCTCCGTGAAGTACTGCCTGATCGATGTTGCTTTGGGCAAGGGATTCTTCTTGTCCACCACGCTGGACGCCAGCTGGTTCTTAAAGACCTGTTGATTGTGCAGGGTCTTCTCGAAAGTGCCGTCACAGATCAGCCAGTACACAACCACTGGCTTGGTCTGCCCAATACGGTATGCTCGACCAATCGCTTGCTGCTCATGGACTGGGCTGTGCTGGAAGTCAAATATAACAACCCGGCTTGCCCCGTAAATGTTGAGACCTACGCCGCCTGCAGTAGTCGAAATCAGGTAGACTTGTCCAGAACCCTCATTGAATGCCTTGACCTGTGCCTGGCGCTTGTTGACTTCAGTTTTGCCATCTAGCCGCTTATACACCAGTTTCTTCAGTCTGCAAATATTCTCGATGAAGTCCAAGGAGGGGATGCTTTGAGTGAACACCAGGAGGTTCTCCCCCAGCTTTGTCGTCTCCTCGATGATCTTGAAGAGCGCGAGCATCTTGAAGGAGCTGTTGAGATCTGCATAACCCTGCTGAGCGGTGAGCGCGTTCAAAGTGGTGGACACGACTTGGTGAGGCAGTTGGTCTTCCTCGTCCTCCTTGCTGGCAACTTTCTTGGAGTCCAGTTGCCCGCCCCCCGGCAGCTTCTGCTTCAGAACCCGTTCAAGAATCAGCGGATGGGCAAGTAGCAAGCCAAGAGTCCTGATTAAACCCCACATCAACGGATTCTGTTCACCGCCTGTCCCGTTAACTGCAGCCAGGTGGGATAGGTATACTGCCCTCTGTACACTCCTAATGTCGAGATAAACAATGTACTCTGTCTTTGGCTGTAGGCTGTCTTTGAGAGTGGCAACAGTCCTCCGATGCACCTTGGGCGCCACGAGCTGCGTTAGCGCCGCCAAACGAATTTTGGCCTTCTTCTTCTCTGCGCGAGAACTGTCTTCGTACAGCCCCTTGGCAATCGGGCTGGTGTACTCCGAGTTGAACCATTTCTTTTCCCCCAGGAATCCGGGTGCAACCCTGGGCAGAGATTAGCATTAGAAGGAGCCAGTAGGATGGGTCGCACTCTAGAGTAGACGTACCATTGGATCATGGCATAATATTCATCAACGTTATTAGCCAGTGGTGACCCTGTCAGGGCGATTCTTGTATTCGTTCTGAAACGACTTGCAATGTTGCTTCTCTGTGACTTTTCGTTCTTCAGCTGGTGCGCCTCATCGCCAACCACAATGGAGGGCGATTCCAGAATCAGCGACAGCAGGTTGTCTCGTTTCGCGATTTGCGTGAGCATTGTGTACCCGATCACCAGGACGCCACCCTCATCCGCCCATTCTTGGATCATGTCAGACCGCTCATCCTCAGACAGGTCGGCGCTGACCCAGAGAAGAGGCCCAAGGAGACCGACAGGGGCCCATTTCAGAATCTCCTCCACCCAATTCTGAAGTAGGCCCGCAGGGCAGAGTATGAGTGTCTTGGACACCTTCAGATCATCGGGTATTTGGCAGGACACCTTGGGGTCTTCGGACTTCGCTGCCTCTTGAATTGCAGTCAGGAGCGTAACCACCTGCATCGTCTTACCCAAACCCATTGCATGCGCGAGGAGGCAGCCCTGCTTCGCGTCTGACAAGATCTGATCCCACATGAAGCGGACTCCATCGATCTGGTGGTCTTTGATATAACCGGCTATGTGATCGTGGATGTACACAAGGTTCTGGCCCTCCAGCTTGGACTCGTTGATGATAAGGCGGGATTTCTCTCTTGGGAGTAGTGAGCCCTGGACTTGCTGTCGAAGCTGTAGTCTTCGCTGCTCCTGCTCTCTCTGGCGCCGCTTTTCCTTGTCCCTGACGTTCTGTGAAGATCCAGCTGGTGCTTGCTTGGGCTCAGCAACTGGTATTGCGCCAGAGCTTTCAGGGGCATCTTCTCCATCAGTTGAGAGGTGCTCATCCTCCCCCTGCGTGTAGCCGAAGTAAGGAGCTAGTGTCGTGAGTAGGGACCAGAATTCAGCAAGGTGTCCTATTCCTGCCTGAACATGCCCGATCAGACCTGTATCCATCTTTGCAAATTTGGAAAAGGCTGATTCCGAGTGTTTGTTCAGGTAGATGGCAAACAGTCTGGTGAGCAGGGCCGCTGTGTCATATCGGTTCTTCTCCCTTGACCCTTTGGCCAAGTCTGAGGTGGGCTTGGAGTAATTGCAGATGAAGTCGATATACTCTTGTCTGAACGATTCAATCGAATCGTTTTCTTTCTGTAGGAAGAGCACGCTGTGGAAAATGTCATCCTGTCTGCCTTTAGGCTGGTTCAAGAGCAAAGATACAATGAGTCGCTCAACGTCCCGTCTCTCCTCCCAGTACAAGGACCCCTTGTTGTGGATGGCCTTTGGCTCACTCAGGGGAAACTTCTCCGCGGCCGGGGACGCACCATGTGGTGTACGTTTGGCAGATCCCCGCGGTGTTGCAGGTCCTCGCTTCGGCTTGGTCGGAGTCACTAAATCGATCAGATTGTAACTTCGACTTCGGAAAGGTGAGTCATCAATCTGCGTCAAGTCGTGCATTTCGATGTCATCGCTGGTGCTAGACAGGAAGCTGTGAGATGGATTCAATGACACGTTCGAGACTGAGTGCTCCACGTTGTCCTCCTGGGGCTCCACGGGCTGGTCTCGAGGATCAGCCTCCTCATAAGGGTCGTCATCAACAATGAAGTTGTGCATATCCTCCTGCAGCTCGTCTTCACTCCAAAGATCGATGTCGTCTTTACGCTTCGTGTGAGGCTTCCTCTGGGATGGTGCTTTCGGCCGGATGACCCGTTCCGGCGCATGTGGGCTATTGAGCACGCCGATAAGCCACTTGATGTGCTCAATCTTGTCGACATCCGGCTGCAAGATATCAGACATGCCACGAAGCTCGGATTCCGTCTTGTACTGGTTATCCTTCATCTCGGCAAGTGTCTTATCAAGGCGTGTCCGCCCCTTCCAGAGCTCTTCGGACATGGCTTTGACTGTGCTGCCTCTGGTGCCGTGTCTTCGGGCGTCGTTCCACATCTTGTAAGCTTTGTGCTTTTCTTTCGGAAGCTGCTGCTCATGCCAATGGGTAGTACATCCATCCAACATCTGCTTGAGAATGTCATCTTTCTCGGACGCATCGAGTACGCCAAGATCTTGGTCTGCTTCCTCCCCTTCCATTTCCTCTTCTTCGATGAGCTTGTCCAACTCAGAACCGTATTCCTCGTCATCAGACTGTCCATACAGTGGCAAGATGTCGTTGGCCTTATCATCGAATCCTTGCTTCTGGCGACGGAGATATGCCTTCAGCTTGTCGGCAACATATTTCTTCTTCGCCCTGCCAATGGGCTTGGGTCGTCCCCAGCCAAAGTTCACATCATTGTCTGTTGAGGTTGAAGCTTCAATGATACCTGACCTGGGGAGCTTACCATTGCCCCAGTACGCCCCAGGGCTGCTCTCACACTGCTTAAGGTCCATTTCGAGATCTTCCAGTGGAGCCTGTGGCATCTCCCCGTGCGTTGACATCCATGCTGCTTCCTTCAAAGAGTGCTGAATGGTGTCCAGCTCAGTGGGAAGGGGTGCAATATTGAAGGGCGAGCCCGCGTTGGAAGGCCGACTTGTTGTAGTCATGGCTGATATTTCCAAGCGCTTCGTCTTTTTCTTAGGCGGCTCATCAGGGTGTTCGTCGATTCTTGGGGTTTCGACACCGTTCTCGACCGTCTCAACGGAGCGCACAGTAGCTGGCGCTAGCGCTGGTACACTGGCGTCAGACATTGGGGTGAAGGCCTGGTGGGGGGCCTCAGTGGTTTCAACGTCGGAGTCAGCATCCTTATCTTTCATGGATGCCAAATAGTGCCTGTACTTTGGGCTCCGCGAGACGAACTGGCCGATGGCATGGCGAAGATTGACCTTGAACTTGGCCTTGGTAATACCCAGGTCCTTCCAGAGGTCATCCTCTGGAGTGGCCAGCAAAGTCTCCCCGTCGTATTCACCCTCTCTCAACTTCTGGGCCAAAGGTTCTGGATCTGGCAGCTTGGCACGAGGAGTAGGTATCCAGCTGCGATCCGAGGTACAGAGTTCCTGGACTACGCGATCTATCTCCCAGTCAAAGGGATCGTCACCCTTCGCCCGAGCCATGCTGGGCGGGTACATCAATCAACTGTGGGAAATGATATTAGTCAAGCGAAGGTAGTCAAGCGAAGGTTCCTGGAATGGGTGTATGATTGCTGGTCTTTGTGTTATGTCGAGGACAAAGGTGATTGTCAGGACTGGTGGTCCACACAGGTCGAATCAGGTCGAATCGAATGGGAGGTCGGTCTGATGAAATTGAAGGGGCCACAGGATAGAGTCATCAACTATGTTTGTGGTGTGAACATAGCTTTTGCGGGGTATGTTTGATATGGGACGAAGTTGTTTGAAGATGGATTGAAGGACATGACGGGCCTGATGCCATGGTAGTGGGCTCTAGGGCAAGGGACAGGGCCTCCAGCTTCACAAAAGAGGAGATGTGAATGGAGCACACCGGTAGGCCATATGCCACAATCTGATCTGCTTACCTGGCTAGTGAGAACGGTACTGGACTTGGGACTCCCTCGAGAATTGTTGGCATTGAAGGCGAGGAAGGAGGTGAAAGCAGCTAGCAGGGAATTAGCTGGAGACGTTCAGGTGAGCAATCGATCCGATGGGCGAAGGTACCTGAAAAGGTGGTCCATTGACTAGCCTTTTGACACTACAATGGTTGTTGGGAGGGAAAGAGTTATGGTGCTCAGTTGAGGCCGGTCTGTCGGTGGTCGTCGAGGACGTTGATGGGAATGCCCACGATGGTGTGCAGTCCAGGGTCGCTGCAGGAAGGACCGTGTCTCGAAACACCAGCGGACAGTATCGTTGTTCAGGAGGGCTGCCTGCGGGAAGAAAAGGAGACGAAGGTGGATGGATCGAGGCGATAAGTTGAAGGAAGAAGGAAATTAGGCACAGGGCGACAAATCTGAAAAGATATCTACAGGTCGCAACAGCAGGTAGCGTTGCCAACTCGAACGGAAACCTTGAATTGCCTACCCACAGCGCGTCGACTCCGTGCTGGGTGACGCGACCGCAGGAAGTTTCTCTCTGCGCTGCACACTGGGCAGTGAACGAAACCTGGGCTGGCAGGCGGGTTGAGCCGTGACTGAGAAGCGCCTGGCAGGGGTGGCGGGGTTGGCCGATTAGGTTCCCAGGCTACCCCGCCTTATCGCTGATAAGGGACTTTCTCAGGGTTTTCCATGGCTGACTCCCAGGAAAGAGTCTCGGGATAGCCTTTATGTGTTGGACATAATTTGTTTGGCTTTGTCGTATGTGTTCGGAGTGCTCTGCATCATGTCGTAAGTGCTGTGTAGAGGAAGGGGCATGAACGAGTGTGGTTTGGACTGTCGTCATGTGCAAGTCGGCATCCTTTCGCTGGATCGAAGGGGGCCGAAGAGGGGGGGGGGGGCAGAGTGCATCGTGGGCTCCGGACTCGGGAGCAGCTAAAGGATTAATAATGCTAACGAACTCTATGCGATCTGTGAAATCGGCCTCGACTTCATCTAGACACGGACCGGGACAATCTGGTTGAAGTTTACAACATTCTTGTAGGTCTGCCGAAAATGGCGTGCCCGCAGTAGAAGTGGTCACACCCCCAATGAAGCACTGCTGTACGACCGTGCTAAATGGCCATTTTGACTGACGAGCATTGCAGATTCTGTCCTGGGCTCACAGCAACAAAACGGCCCCTTCAAGATGGTTACCCAGGCTCTCACGGCGGAAAGCTATCCCCCAGATGTTGACGGCCCCGAGAGGGAGAGGCTTGTCGAGGTCATCAAAGACTGGTCCATCGCCAACGGGCTCGCCGTCCGCCCACCACCGTCGCTGGTGTCTGCCGAGACAGATCCAGAAGGTGTGCTGGCTACTCATGTCCCCGTGACCTTGTTTCCCAGCCCGTTTCCGCAGGTCTGCTTCGACCAGGCGAAGGGGGTGCAGACGGCATACAACGAGCTGTATGCCAAAGTCAGCCAGGATGAGGGCTTTCTAGCCGACATGGTCAAGGAGTGAGTGGTCCGTCTATCCGACAGAGGCGTTGGAACCTAACACTGACGGGCGCAGGGTTGCAGATGGAGACGACTTCATTGGGAATTTGTGGAAGGTTCACTCCAGAGTCAAGGAAGAAGGCTACGTTCAAGCATGTTTACCGGCACCTGGGGTCAAGACTGGCGACACCAGTTACTGACGGGATTGTAGAGCCTCTCTTTGGGACTGTTCCGCTCCGATTACATGGTTCACAAGGACACGGCTGACCCGTCATCGATGCCCAAGGTCAAGCAAGTCGAGTTCAACACAATTGCTTCTTCTTTCGGAGGACTATCGTCTTCAACTTGTTCACTCCATAAGTAAGACCAGGTCTCATGCTCCCTCAACACAGCTGGATAACTCACAAATACCCAGATTCCTCGCCGACACCGAGTACTCGTCCCTCAAGCAGCCAGGGGCGCACAGCAGCCTGAACCTCCCCAGCAGCGACAGCGTCGAGGGCTTAGCAGGTGGCATGAGGGCAGCCTTCAAAGCATACCCAAAGTCAGAGCTCGGCCTCGAGACCTGCATCATCTTCCTCGTGCAAGACGGCGAGCGCAACGTCTTTGACCAGCGGCACCTCGAATACGCCCTGCAGAGGTCCTCCCCGCAGCGGATCCCCGTCTTCCGCCTCCCCTTCAGCGAGACCCTCCAGCGCACGCGCATAGCCGACACGCCGGGCCGCCAGCTCCTCTACCGGCTGCCCAGCAACCCGGACAAGGAGTTCGAGGTCGCCGTCGTCTACCTGCGCGCGGGCTACGGCCCGTCCGACTACCCGGACGCGAAGGCCTGGGACGCGCGGTACCACCTCGAGCGCTCGGGCGCCATCAAGTGCCCGACGGTGCTCACGCAGCTCGCGGGCGCCAAGAAGGTGCAACAGGTGCTTGCGACGCCCCCCGTAGGCCCCTCGTCCGCGGGCCACGGGCTGAGCCGCTTCGTGCCGGAGGACTCGAAGGCTTGGAAGGACCTCTGGGCGACCTTCACCAACATCTTTCCCATGGACGACGGCGAGGCGGGGCTCGCCGCGCGGAAGCTGGCGCTCGACCCGGAGGAGTGCAAGCGCTACGTGCTCAAGCCGCAGCGCGAGGGCGGCGGCAACAACTGCTACAGGGCCGCCATCCCGCCGTTCCTGAAGGGCCTGCCCGAGGCGCACTGGAAGTCGTACATCCTCATGGAGCTCATCACACCGCCGCCGGTGAGCAATATCATCCTTCGGAATGGGAAGCTCGAGCAGGGCGGGGTCATCTGCGAGTTGGGCATCTACGGCAGCTGCGTCTGGGACCAGGGCACGGGGAAGATCCTGCACAATGAGGAGGCGGGGTACCTGTTGAGGACCAAGGGAGATCAGAGCGAAGAAGGAGGTGTCGCGGCCGGTTTTGGTTGTATGGACTCTTGCAGTCTGGTTTAGAAAGCATGGGCAACACACCACGGTACAAGGCTGGGCCGTCTGGGCTGGGCTGCATGTACGCATTTATATATCGGTCAGAAGGAGTCGCATAGACTGAAATAGATGCATTAGAGCCAGCCACTTTCGCCGGAACTGAGCGCATCACTGCTGATATGTGGGCTCGCGGGGATACAGTAAGCCAAAGTTCGACTCGCAAGGCAGCAGTTGTGCACATCAGGGGACCACCGATCCACCAGGGCTGACGTGCGTGTCGGATTTGCATGTGAATCAGTAAGAGCACCAAGCTGGCGACTAGGCGTCAAATCGAATAAATCTTCTGGATCGACAATAGTTTGCATCGACTACTCAATACGCCCCCGAGCAGAATTACCAAGGTGGTATCGCAGAAGAAAGGTGTAACATATGAAAACGCAGCCGTGGGGAAGAGTGGAGATCGCGACCGCGCCGGAAAACCCGTACAATTCTTCATCTCTTCTTCGTAACCATCAAGTATGTAATACAATTCGTGCAGAACCGTCATCCAAATCAACAAGTTCGAGTTCCGGCGAGTCCAATGGGTGGTAATTTATTTACTTCGGCATGCCTATTTAGCTTGGGGGAGCATCTCCCCGGGGCTTGCGGAGGACCTCCAGATTGCCTGCGGACCAGTCGCGGTCAGCGTCGCGCTCTCGCGGTTGGAGCGTTGAGGGATCAGTGGTGACTCACGCTGGACGATGCTCAGTGCAGTGCGGGTCTTGCCCTCGGCATCCTCGTACTTGTCGTTGGTCGCCTCGCCCTCGACGTAGACAAGAGTTCTGCAAGCAAAACCATTAGCTTCTCCTTTCTGCACAACTGCTTCCGTGACCACGAAAAGAGGGCGGGGATACTGACCCTTTTGGCAGGGTCTGGAAGTAATCGCGACGGGGACCCTCCGCCTCGAAGCTGGAAACCCTGAAGTAGGACGTCTTGGTGTTGTCGCCTCGGCCGGTGTTGGAAGCGACGGCGTACTTGAGGACCTCGCGGCCCGTGGACGTGGCCTGCAGCTCCGGGGTCTGGACCAGGTTGCCGACGATGGTGATCTTGGCCAGGGGCCGGGCGGGCGTGGTGCTGAAGGCACGGGCGGCGCGCGGGGCAGCGACGATGGTACGGCGAGCGAGGAAAGACATCCTGGTGGAGTAGATCAAATTTCTGGTATGGGACGAGTCTGATGGTGGCGGCGGCGAGAGTGGCTGGGGGAACCGTTTGAGGGGGACAGAGGCGCGCAATGGGGGATTTGCTGGCTTGATGTGGGCGAAGGGCAAAAGGAAAGACGGGAAATTTGAATGCGATGCGATCCAATGCGGCAGCTGGAGGGTCATCGCGTCGAGCAAACACGCTGGTTGGGGTCGACAGGGGTGGAGCATTTGCACGCTATCTTTTAGTGCGATATCTCCCAATATCTGCTTATCGGAACGACAGGTTCACTTATCATAATAAACTGTCTAGTATGCAACTAAGCAATCTCAGGTTACTTGACAACACCGACTTGCTTCTCATCAAGTCCAACAGCACAGATTTGAGAATTCCTCCTTGATGATCACACGTGCGACAGTGACGGCAAACAATTATCATCTGGCATAGAATGTCAGTTATTTCTTGTGTGTTGAATTGAGAACCTACTAGGGCATACTGCCCCTCAATGCGCTCAAGATGCTCTCGATACTGCGCCGGCGGTGCTTGAATGAGACGTCCCAGCTTGTGTGCCTTCCAAGGCGTTGGGTCGAAGTTTCTTGAGGCCTTCAATTCACTTCTATCAGGAGCAAACACTCAGACACATATACCGTACCAGTTTTGCAACTTCAACAAACGAGGCAGTTTGGTGTAGTGGTCGCATGGGTACCTTCGGACACTGCGTGCTAATTGTTAACGGTCTATGAATCATTCTCAATTAGAAGCCACACTGTCTACCGGGGGTACCAAGGACTGGGTTCGATTCCCAGAGCTGGCTCACTTCTTTTTTTGCCTTTTTTTTTTTTTGGCGTCTGTCTTGAGGGGCTTCTGCTGCCATGTATCGCGAGAGGGTGCAGTGAGTCGACTTATATAAGCGGCTGACGAACGGCCGTACTTGCCTCTGGGCGATTCTTTCCTTTGCCTGGCCAGCTCTCAGAATTGCTTCTCTTTCCTAGAGATATCGATAGTGCCAATTCAACTTCAACTGGCGTGTTAAGGGTAGCTGCTTCTGACCCTGAACTCTGTCGTAGCAGCAACAAGAATGCCCAGAAATCAATAATTGTGCAGACTATCCTAATAGCTGGAGTAGATAAAAGGCCTGCTCGCATAAGCTTCGCGCGTTATGGGAATCTAACGGTAACTAAGTGTAGCTGAAAAGGGGTACAAGCTCCTGTAGAAAGTTTTGCATCCATTTGACGATCTACATGAAGTAGAATTATACCTGTCACATTGCGTAAAGCTGGTCTTTTTGGGCCTTCCCCATAAAAGACGAAGTTGAAAAGCATCGAAGATAGTTGTCCAATGCAAAAAATAGAAAGAAAGATTCAGGTATAGGCGGCCCACCAACTACTTTTTTGGATTCAATTCCACCTGCATTCACATCCGGATTCCCACACCTCGCGGTTCACAATCAATTGCCGTTCTTGATACCATCAGCGATTTTCTCAGCCAGCATGTACGCAGTGCTCTGCGCATGACCAGGAGGCACAAACGGGAAACTGGCCGTGTCAACTACTCTTAGCCCTTGAATACCGTACACACGGCATTGTGGATCAACCACGGCCGTGGGGTCGTCTGCCCTGCCCATCTTAGTAGTGCCTGCCGCATTGAAGATCGTGCCAGTGTTTTCTCGGATGTAGTTTTCAATATCAGCGTCAGTGGTGACATTTGGGCCTGGCACGAACTCCGGTCCATCCAGCAGGGACGACAGGGACGGACTAGCGCAGAGGTCTCGAATGCGCTTGACGGCCGCGACGGCTTGCTCCATGTCGCATGGGTCGCTGAAGTAGGCGAGGTCGACAAGCGGGAGGTCTTCTGTCGAGTTGGACACGATGTCAATGGAGCCCTTCGATAAAGGCGAGATTATGGTGCCGAACACAGTTGTGAACTGAGCATTGGGATCTGGCTTAGTAACACCCAGGTAGTAAAGGGCAACTCGCATCTCGAGCTCAGGCCAGTCGTCCGGCAGCGCATCCAAGGCGGTCTTGGTAGCATCAGAGAGCCCCTCGCGGTTGGGAAGTTTCTCCCAGCCGATTACTGCCTTGTTCTGCGACAGAGGTCCCGTGCGATTAGCAAGATACTGTGTTTCGGCCTCGGCGTAGCCTACGCTGCTGAAGCTGTCATACTGAGAGGAGGTAGGAACATTCAGAGCCTGCGAGGCAGTGAAGATTGGATGGTCCTGGAGGTTTTCCCCCACTCCCTCGAGCGCATGAACGACAGGAATACTGAGCTCCGTCAGTCTGGCTTCTGGGCCAAAGCCTGACACCATCAGAAGTTGGGGAGACTGGAATGCGCCGGCAGATAATATGACCTTCTTCCGTGCCGAAAGCGTGTAGGTTGCTCTTCCGGTGGTAACCTCCACGCCTGTCGCGGTCACGCCGTCAAACACTACGCGACGAGCCAGAGTGTTTGGATATATGGTAATCAAAGTATTCGACAGAAATGGGTTGATGAACGCAGTCTGGGATGAAGACCGATGGTTATTTTCCGGATTAATGTTGTTTGTGACCCAATTGGCACCTAACAAGTCTCCCGAGTTGAAGTCCTCAGCTGGGCCGATGCCGATGTCGTTGAAACCATCCAGAAATGGAACGAGAGCTTCGGGAGTATAACCTCCGTATGAGATCTGAAGAGGTCCACCAAGGGAGTTATCGAACGCTGACTCGTTGAAAGACGGTGTGACGCCGGCTGGAAAGGTAGCAGGATCCGGAGGTGTGAACGTAGCAGATTTCTTGAAGTAGGGCAACACATTGTCCCATTTGTAAGTGTCATCGCCGACCTCTGCCCAGAGATCCATTGAACCACGAGTTGGCCCGTACATTGGTTTGTCAGCGACTCGAGCAAATTGATCTAGGTCCAGCACACCTGTGGAAGATCAAGAAATTGATAGCAGAAGAGCCACCAAGAGCCTGGCCTCTGGAGTATTGAACCTGGCGGTTGTTCAGTTGTGCCTGAGGCGTTGACAGGATTCCCCAGTCAGTAACAGGAGCGCTGAAGATTTCGAAATTGAAGACAGAGTATCCAGGAACGACACTGCGATTTCCGTTTTCGATTTGATAGAAGCCACCAGCCTCGACCACAGCAACTGTGACGTCCGGGTCCTCGGCCAGGCGGGCAGCGATGGTGGACCCCGAGGTACCAGCACCCACAATGACATAGTCAAAGTCTGCGTTACCGGCTATACCAAAGCTTGAGCCCAAGGAATCAAGAAAGGAGACATCTTGCTGAGCATAGCAACTCTGTGTCGCAAAGAATGCGGAAGCTAGAGTGACAAGTGTCTTCATCATGAAGGCCGGGAGCTTGGTACGGTTGGATATGGCCAAGAACATTCAAATAGCCAATGCTCCCGTATTTTAGGACCGTCTTTTCATCGTGACTTCTTGCCATATTTGTACTCGAGTGAATTTCACAGTTGATAGAGAACTACGCACGTCTGCTGTCATTGCTGCCCCCTCCCGGTCTAATCAGCACTCCGAGCATTTTCATCTATTGACTTACAAATGTGCTCCCCAGAATATGTTTAACTTTGACCAAAGACAGTTCTCAGCTCCGATCGATCTATCAATCACACGTAATAACATCAATGAAGCCGTGATGGAATCGAGCACCCGTCTTTCGTCGATTCGACTAGGAGGAGTGTCCAGATCAGATGAATGGTTCGTGACGAGTTCTCCGAGTGCATCGACGAAAGTTAAACTGGAAACGGGCAATAGAAATAATCACCAACTAAGCACTGCAGGTAAACGAACGTCTCTGGACAAACGCGAGAGCGACGCGCGCTTCAGCACTGAGCTGGAGAGGCCAATACGAGACCGAATGTAACCAGCGGGGTTTCTGGAAGGCGATGATGTGAAGACCTACTTGCTTTTGCAGAAGTCCGGATAAATCTCCGCACAGTGCAGGGCAGGGAAGAGGAAAGGACCTCAATTTTGATCCAGTTTGAAAAGGTGGAAGGTCTCTGGTGGTCTGAGCCCATCAGCCTACATATGTAGTGCAGGAACACCACCAACATGCAAATCCACACTCAATCTCATCGGGACTGCTGCTACCAAGCAGCCCTCAACAATTATCGATGTTCACATCCGTAGCAATTGACGTGCAGCTCAAACAACAGCAGAGCGCTGCCTTTAACATGGTTTTATGGCCAGCCAAAACCATTCTGAAAGCTGCGTTAGATGACCTGTTCTTTCTGAGCCTTGGTGGGCAGATTTTCTCACCTGTCTTATTGAGCCGAGTTGGCTCTGGCGAGAAATTTCCTATTTGGGTTTTGAATAGGAATTTCACCAAAACCACAGCCCGCCTCTCAATAGGCTACCGCCCACTGCCTCATGCCCCAACCCTCCCTATTCAGACAATAGACCGTCTCATCTCACATTTAGCCTCCTTCAATTACATGACAGGTGTCAATTGTTTCGTTCTGAATAGACACTCTAATTCAGCGCTCCTCAATGGCTCTGTGGCATCGCCCCTACCCCGGGGTCAGCTTAAGTACGCCCCAGAAATGCTTTTCTTCTCACGATCTATCTCTGAGCTCTTCTTTCAGCTTGCAAATTTGGAACCTTTCTTGTGCAGGTTTCAGCCATATCTTGCCACGAGGCGCACAACAGACCTAGACGAACCTCATTGGCATCTCCCACTCACCAAAATTCTTACCAGTCTTCTTTGTGGATATCCATCAGGAGGCGCGGCCGACGACCGTCACCGAGGACACTGGCATCTCGATCAAGACACCCTTTCAGCTCAGGGTCTGAATTTCTCTCCCTGATTTTCGCACTCTACGAGCCCTTCAGTATGCATCTCGAGCAAGCTATCGACTACGTTGGCGGCAACTACGGCCCGTCGACAGGCCAGCTTCTCAACATCATCTGCAGAAGCATACTGCACTTTGCGGCCGTCGTGGCATGTCTGGTGCCTATGCAGCTCTTCTGCAGAAGCGGCGAGCTCGCTGGCGCGACCTTGGTCATCTCCGGTGCCCTCATGAACCTCTACCATTTCACCAACACACTCACATGGCACAACGACGACATTGCGAATTGGCCTCGGGGCTATGGGTGGTGCGACATCCAGCTTGCCTCTGCGGTACCGTTGGAGACCATGGTAGCCGCCAGTACTTGTGCGATCCTGCGCAATGTGGCGATCCAAATCTCCTCGTTGCGGGCCACCACGCTCACGGGCAGCGAGAAGCGAAGGAAAAACCTCGCCCACGCCCTCATCATCTTCCCTGTCCCGTTGCTGGAAGGCATCCTTTACTTCTTCGTCATTAAGATGAGGTACAACATCTCGGGCATCATCGGATGCCAGGCCATCTTCCAGACCAACTGGGTGTTCGTGGTCTTCTTCCTCCTTCCATGCCCAATCTTCTCACTTTGCGCTGGTTATTACGCAGGTAAGCCGCTCCTGCAACGCTTCCGGCCTCGTGTCTTGCTAATCTGTGGCTACCCTCAGTCATCACATGGTGGAGGTACAAGCAGATTGACACCGAGTCTCGAGAGAGTCTGTGGAACTCTAGTAACCCCGGCGCCCGGGCCCGAAACGCAAGGGCACGAAGAAAGCTCTACTTCATGACCCTGACGATACTCACACCGTGGCTCCCCATGCAGCTGGTATTCCTGTACAACAACATCAGCGCGGGGATGCCTTGGTCAGAGCCATTCGACCTCCCATCCGTCCACAGCGATGGCTGGAACCAGATCGACTACGCTCCGATCTCGACAGTCCCGTGGATCCACCTGTACGGGACATACGCATATGCCTTCGAGGTCCTCATCGTATTTCTCTACTTCGGTCTGACGAAGGATGCTCACGACCTGTACCGTGAATACCTGCGAACCTTGGGCCTCGGCAAGATCTTTCCAAAACTCAACGAGGAGTACTTCCCATCCGAACAGCCTCCTTCAAGCCTGAGCAGCATGTGGTCTCGGGCAAAGAGAGCGCCTACTTTCGCTTCGTCAACGCAGGCTTCGCAAAAGTGAGGTCACCCCGACAAGTTGACTCGTTGCGCCCCCACTGACTTGTCATCTTAGCTCCAGCGGCCGTTCAAGCAACAAGACCAGCATCAGCGCTCGCCAGGTCAACGAGGTAGACGATGTACAGCTCCTGAACATCCGTCTGAATAGCCTGGACCTCGAGGCGGCTCGCTCAACGACGGATGCCGCACGTTCATCCGAGCAGATGCCGCGGCTTCCCATACGAAACCCATGGGTCTTCCGCACCACGGCTGCACCACAGTTCAACATGAGCACAATCTTTGGCGGGGATAAGGGCAGGGCTGCGAGCAAGTCAAGCAGCCAGGGCTCTCTCAAGCCCGTCATACACCCTCTCCACACCACCCAGGCGCCCTCGGCCATGGGCAAGTACCGCCCTGGCCCGTCCTCGAGTGGTGCTCATGGTGCGGGTTGGAACCCTGCTCAGAGGGATGGGCGCGTGCACACAAGAGTATGGGCGGTGGATCCTTATGGCACATCAGCTGTGGCCGGTGAAAGCTCGGGTGACAAGGAGATGGATGAAGGCATTGTGAGGATTGAGAGGCATATTTCAAGCTCCAGTGAGGTATCCCCTCCAAGGCCTGCTTACCGCTAGGATTGGTAGGCAGCTGGTTGTAAACCGTGGAGCAGGAGCTAGAGAGTTTGGTCAAAGTTTGCTCCGAGTCGGGGCTGGGTCAGGACCACGAAGGCGTTCAGAGAGACGGTTCATTTTAGGCGTCACCAACCAGTAATATCCAATACATGATTTTTACAGACTGGTCAGACATGCAGGTTACCATAAGACGCCCATATGTACGCCCAGAGACACTGATCCTGTTGAAATAAGAGATGCCAGCAACCACCATCCCGAGATTATTGGCATCCAGGTGCTCGCAACTCACCTCCAATGCTTACATCAAGCACTATGGACCGACTCCCAAGATTGTTCCAAGTACACAGCGCACTCGAGGTCACGTCAAGCCAATAGCAAAAACAGTCGCACCAGACTCCAAAACTCACTCGCTCCCACCTCCACTGTCCCTCTCCGTCGCTTCCGACGGTACATCGTCGCCGCCGCCATCGCCGCCAGCACCACCCTCAACCACGGGGCTCACAACACCACGCGACACCGGGCCACCCCACGCCCACTCGTCGTCCGAGCTACTGGTGTCGTCCTCCTCCACGAAGTTATCGTTCACGAACTCATTCGGCCGCAGCACCTTGCCCTCGAACACCCGCGGCTCGTCCGAGCGGGCCGCGTCGTCGGCGATGCGCCGCCGCTTGGACCGGTCGTCGGCCCTGACGGCCAGGTGCTCGCCCTCGGTGCAGCCAGGGCGCGCGCCGCCCCTCCCGCAGCACGACCAGGAGAAGCCCTCGGGCCTGTCCTCGCGGTTGTCGTCGGTGTCTTGGTATGGATGTTGTTGTGAGGCCTCCTGGCCTGCCCCTGCGTCTGCCCAGGTGCGATGTGAGGGGTCTATGTTAAGGTTGCCGTGGTGGAACGCGCATGCCTGCGGGCTGTTGCTGTCCGGGAGGAAGGCATGTTTGCACTGGATGCATATTTGTGGGGGTGGTGGCTCGGCGGCCTTTCTTTTCCCCAGCAGTTTTGAGCCTGTGGGCTGTGGCTGGGTATTCGCGGGGGCCTCGGATTTGGTGGTTGCCGCGGGTGTTGGTGCTGGGTTCAGTTTCTCCAAGCGGTCGAGGTACCTGAGGCTGCGGGCGTGGAGTCGCTCGCTGTCGCAGAGGGCGACGAGGACGGCGCGGATTAGGGGTTCTGGGGCTAGGAGTATGCGGTCCATGCCTAAATGTGCCGGAAATCAGATCAGCGGATAGACTACTCAGCTAATGTATAAAATGTGAATTTGTCGATGGACGGAGCCTTTGCAGATCGGCCGTTTAAGAAGTCGTCTGGTGGTGTGCAGATCGCCTCCCGGGCAAATGTCATTGCTGCGTCACACTGTCTTATTCCCGACGGGCCGCGCTTAACATTAGACGATAGATCTCTCCACACATTGCTAGATCCAGAGAGCATCCTCTGATTGTATGAAAGCGGAATAGCCATGAATTTAGTATCAAGGTTGCTTTCACACAACACACAAGAAATTTAAATAAATGTGTCCAACTGTGTAGCATGTCAAATCCATAATAGTAAGGGTCGCAAGGGTCAGGGAGCCCGGTCTCAGGCTGCATAGGAACAGAGGAGCACACTTTCCATGGCTCTGACTCATGAAGGGATCGCAACTGAAGGACTGAGGCACAGCCAAGTAATTTTGTAGGATATTTTGTGTCGTTTCTGCAGACTGCGCGTTCCCTTGGACATCCCGAATTCTGGGACGCATGCTGAACATATCTACGTTCGTGGGAAGGGTTTGAACCCTGGCAGCTTAAAAAGCTGCGAGGTTACAGAAAGGTGTCGGTCCTTTGCCCTCCACATCCAATACCACGCTCTCAAGTGCTGCCTCTTCCATGTCACTCTCATTTTTGTGTATTTTAAATTGAAAGGACTGGTTTTTTTCACTCGCATTGCATTTTCCAAGTTGATTTATAACAGTATCCTGTACATGATATTGTGAGACTGGTGTCTATGCCAATCTCACCACTCGTATGAATCCACTTAAGCCAGTCATGACCTATATCATGATGGGTCTGGAAAAAACCAGGCTGCAACCCCCTCCCCATGAAAGCTGCCTGGCGAGCCTTTACAAACCCCTCGGTGGCCGGCCGATTGTAAACGTCGTCCTGCCGTTTCGCATCACGAAAGCAGGGACAGAGACGACAAGCTCGCACACCCGTTGAGTCAACGCGTCCATCACGGTTGATCGCCTGTCGCCTTGCTCCCCTATCAACATGGCCGATGACCAAATTAAATCACTCCAGGCTGGAAGCCTATCCGTGACGAGATCACCGCCGCCTTGGCCGATGAACTTAACTCAAGACGCTACAAATACCAGTTTCAAGTGGTGAGGGGGTTCCAATTTACCAATGGTCACTTGCCCCCTGGTGCGGACTGCCTTTGGACCAAGTACGACTTCGATGTTCTGCGCTTGCAATGGCAGGCAAACACCCAGGCATGGGCACACGACCAAATAGCCAAAGACGACAACGCAAATGCAAGGTTCCACGTTCCCCGTGTTTACGATTGCTTCGAGGCAGAAATTAATGAATTGGACTATGGTTTGATCGTTGTGGAGTTCGCCAAAGGCGTGTCTGTAAGAGACATCGAGCACAACATTATGAAGTCCAACAACATGAGCCAGGAAGAGAAGCAGAACAAGTTATGTATGTTCAAGGACCGGGTTGTTGAGGCTATCTGTCTTCTGTACTCTTTTACGCCACCCGAAGACACGGCGCCAGGTCCCCATGGAGGCGGTCGCATCACGAGTCTTGTCTGGGGCCGCGAGGATTCCGAGTCACCGCGGGAATATGAGAGCGTGGAAGATCTGCAGAACTGGATAAACGCGGAAAACGACAGGGTGAGTCAGACGAAACTCCAGTGTTGGAACTCTTCACTACTAGAGGTCGAGACTAATGACCCACAGACAAATCCCGGCTACCCGCCCGCAGACCTGGTGTCGGAAGATCTGCGGCTCTGCTTTGGCGACATGAACCTGACAAACTTCATCATGGAGGATGGTGAAGACCCTTCGAGCCGCTTGAACATCATAGATTTCGAGCATGCGAACTTCCTGCCAACGTCGTTCCTTGTCTACCCGTCTTGGCTCACCCGCGATTCCCATATCAGCGAGGGCATTAGGCTGGGAGCTCAGGTGCGAGTTAACGAGGACACAAATGCTGCGCTTGATAACATGAGAAGGCACAGACCTTATTAGCACAATAGATTCAGGGGCTATTAGCATGTGGCATATACCTTTGATGTATGAAAAATAGAAGAGAATGGCTAGTGGCGTGCCCGAGCGAGCATCCAGGGCGGCGTCCGCTCCGAACATCGTCACAGCTCGTCAAGACCGACCGATGTGGGACTGTGTAACCCAGCCCCTGCAGTAGTGATCATGTCTCAAGGACGACGGGCTTCGCCCGGAGTAACCCTGTCGGAGTCACTAACTGTTTATGTGCACATGCATTCGGGCTCCAATCACACAGCCTCGTCAACAGCATGCATGTGACCCCTCCATTCCGCCTGCGGGCGTCGTTGGCATGTCTGACTTGAGTTATTTTGTTTCTGGACTGTTGGATGTCAATTCAGTCAAGCATCATGGACCTGTCCATTCGCAACACAGGTATAACTGTCATTCACGAACCAGACTCGGGCTTGCCTATTGTTGAGTTAGTTCTTGAAGCCCTCGAGTGCTCCCTATGGATTGCAATTGACCCTTGTCGCAGCATCGTCGTCATTCATGGCCTTCAGGGACACCCGTACAAGACTTGGGCATGCAGACATACCCAACGAAGTGAATCAACAACTGTTGGTTCCAGCGTCAAAGCTTCCGAGAATGAAAATGGAAGCCAGAAATCGTATCAACGTGTTGTTCCATGGCTCTCAAGGGGGCATTCGCCCTCACCGTCCATCCGGTCCGACCCAGATCTGAAGAGGCGAGAAAATGGAAGCACAAAGGGAGCCGAACTCTTCTGGCCAAAGGACCTGCTTCCCGTCCAATATCCGAGTGCACGAATCCTGGTATACGGTTATGACACCAGAGTTACAAATTACCTGTCTGGGTCAACGAACGAGAACTCCATCCACTCCCATGGCAAAGACCTCCTCTATTCACTCGCGGCGTGCCGCAGCCTTGATCGCCCCTTAGTCTTCATTGCACACAGTCTTGGAGGCATAGTCGTCAAAGAAATGCTCGCAAGTTCATCAAACTCTCTTGATGATTTGGAAAATGTCGTCGCATCGACAGCCGCCGTGATATTCCTGGGGACTCCGCATAGAGGCAGCCCTGACCTCGCTTTACTCGGCGACCGGGCGAGGAGCATGATCAGCGCATTGAGAATGAGAACGAACCCGGCCATACTGGATGCCCTTAGGCTGAAGACGAATGACCTAGAACGAGCCCAAGAAGCTTTTTCCACTGTCTGGAGTCAATACGATTTCCGCGTCAAGACCTTTCAGGAAGGACTTGGACTTCCTGGGCTGAATTTCGGACCTTTCGGAAAGAAGGTCGTTCCTCACTTCTCGAGCCTGCTTGGTGATGTTCGGGAACGAGCCGAGTCGATCCAAGCCAACCATATGGAAATGTGCCGTTTCATGGGGCTCGATGACCCAAATTATAAAAGATTATGTGGGGAAGTCACTTCAATCTACGACTGGCTCGCCGGATCCAATGCCACGACAGCAAATCGCGTTGATAAACATTCACTCACAGCCAACACTTTGGCGATCTCGTCTCGTGAGAGCAGAGCGGGGGCCATGGGTGAGCGCGAGAAGATCTGTCTGCAGTCTTTATTATTTCCGCACATGAATCAGCGAACCCAGAGTTTCGAGAAGCCGGCCGAAGGAACCTGCTCTTGGTTCTTTGAACATGAAGCGTTCGTCAACTGGCTCGCCCATAAGAGTCAAACCAAATTTTGTGGTCTTCTTTGGCTAAGAGGCAAGCCGGGCTCTGGAAAATCGACATTGCTCAAAGAAGCCTTCTTTAGAGCTACAATTGAAACGAGTGTCTCCGAACACCACGTCGCGTCATTCTTCTTCAATGCTAAAGGCGATGATCTGGAACACTCGCCAACTGGGATGTTACGATCTATCCTTCATCAGATGTGTTCTCGGAGTACTGACCTCTTGGGGGCACTACTGAATTTCGCTCAGAGCAGACGTGCTTTGTTTGGCGAAGACTTGGCTCCTTGGGAGGAAGCAGAGCTCAGGGCTTTCTTCAAATCAGCTATCGCCGGCCACAAGGAAAGAACTGTTATATTCATAGATGCAATTGATGAGTGCGACTCGAACTCCATACGCGATGTGGCCGATTTCTGGCGGGAAACTACAAAGACAGCATACCATGCAGGCGTCCAGCTAAGCGTCTGCTTGTCTAGTAGGCACTTCCCTGCCATTGCTGTCAACGACTGCCCTGAAATCATTATGGAGGACCACAATCACGCGGATATTGTCAAGTTCGTAACACGGCGGCTCGATCTCGGCATGGCCGGCAACTATGCAGATCAGCAGGCCATCCAGAAGAAGATATTGCAGAAGTCAGGGGGAGTGTTTCTCTGGGTTTCTCTGGTGTTGAAAGACATTCTGCGGAAACACGATGAAGGACAAGGGCTGAGATCCCTACTCAAGCACCTGGATTCTGTGCCACGGGAGCTTGAGGACTTATTCTGTCAACTACTGACTACAGCGCCATCCTCAACGATGATTGTCAGGATTTTCCAGTGGGCGTTGTTGCCTACCAAACCCCTACGTCTCCACGAGTGGCATCACATACTGGCTTTCATAGGAGACACCGCCCCGTCAAGCCTAGACCAGTGGCGGCAATCCGACGTTTACACAAAGACTGACGAGCAACTGGAGAAGCGAATAATACACATGTCTCGAGGTCTTTTGGGCTTCAACATGAGGACCGGCAACGGCCATGAGCCTGCTGATGATGCTTGGTCTGACCGCGCCGGCGCAGGGTCTCTTGATCTGAACACTGGAGAGACCAGAGTGGTTCAAGTCATACATGAGTCCGTCCGACAATACTTCATGGAAGGCCCCGGTTTTTCCGTTTTGAACTCAGATTTCGCAGAAAGGAGCCTGGCAAATGCTCATCTTTCAATTATGAGTGTCTGCCTCGACTACATACGTATTGCCGAGCTGAACTCACTGGTCAAAGCACGCAAAGTGGCTCAGCGATTTACGAGTAGTCGGTCTGCATCAGAGCGAGCTTCAAGCGTAGCCAGCTTTGGGTCAGCAGGCACTTACGATGGGGCACATACCCCAGTCGAGCTGGACATGCACCAAAGAGATACCCTACCTGCGAACGGCGAGAGATCACGCTCCAATGGGATTTCTTTATCGATGTCCCCTTCTATGGGGTCCGATGACAACTTTTTCGCATTGCGCAGCTTGAAGGGATTATCAGGATCAGCGGGAGCTCACGACGTTATGAGAGGCTGGTTGAAAGATCAATCCGTGACAGACGAAGCTCACTGCGATGAGCCGGAAGATCAATCCGTGACAGACCAAGCTCACTGCGACGAGCCGGCTCTGCCTGATCACGCGTCCCGTCAGGCATCAACCGCTGGTAGTTCACAAGTTCTAGAAGACTACATCGCTCTCCTTTCCTACGCGACCTCCGAACTTTTCACCCATGCTCGGAAGGCCGATGTCGAAGGCCTAGATCCAAGTCATGTTGTTTGGCGCTTGCGTGATGGTACTTGGGATCGTTGGAAAGCACTGCAGGAAGATGTAGACGAGCGGACGGAGTTTCTCTACTTCGCAGCCAACCTGGGATTGTCCTTCTGGCTTAAGGCCGACCGCGTCTGGAAGGATAGCGAAGTCATTTCTTCCATCGACTTTGCCATCGAAAACAGCAATACCAAAGTTCTTGGAAATCTATTAACAGTAGATGCCTTCCCGTCGGCGGGATACACAAGGGAGACCAGCAGCAAAATCCTTGCCTTTTTGGTCAGTGCACCGGATGTTGCGCTTTTGCAAGCATACCTATCACAGTATCCTTCACAGGAACATGACGCGATGAATTCGATCATGGCGAAGAAAGACATACTGGAAAACAAATATGGAGACGGCAGGACTGCTTTACACCTCGCAGTCATACAACAGAACAAGGCCGCTGTTTCTGTGCTTCTCGAACATGGTGCCGACGTTTCTGCCGCTGATCGCCTGCTTAGGACATCGTTGCATCTAGCTTGTATAAGCGATTCGAGGCTGGCATGCAAGCCTTCGAGCGACAAGTCACGCAGCGATATCATCGAATTGCTTCTCGCTCATCACGCAGAAGTCAATGCTGTTGATGCTCAAGGCCAGACTCCACTATCGATAGCCTGTTCGAACATCGCTTGGGCCCCTTGGGGAGACAGGGGTGAGAGTCTTTCGAGTACTGATGTACATTTCGACAGAGACGACTTTGACGTTGTCGACGTGCTGCTCAAGCACGGAGCGGATACCACAATAAGGAACTCTCTGGGATTACTCCCGCTCCACGATGCCTGTTGGACTAGCTCAGGTGGTGTTCAGAGCAAGGTACCCATAGTAAGCAAGCTGCTAGACTACGGCTCACCCGTGAACGCAGTGGGGGAAGGAGGCGGAACGCCCCTGCATATTGCTTGCTTTTGTTCAGAAGGTGAAATAGTCGAAGAGCTCCTCCGCCGGGGTGCCAACCCCTCATCGCAAGACCATGAGGGCCGTAGCCCCCTTCATATCGCTGCCGCCCGGTCCACTGAAAAGGTGGTCGAGGCTCTGCTTTTGTTCCCTGGCACCTCCGTGGACGCCATGGACGATAGCGGATCGACACCTCTGCACGTGGCTTGTGATCTTCATTCCAGTCTCAGGCAAAGAGTTTCAACGATACTTGCCAGCATCCGGCTGCTGCTTGCACAGGGTGCCAAAGCTTATACGATGCGGGACTTGAATGGAGATTCGCCAGCCGACATCGCGAGAAAAAACGGCTTCAAGGAGGCTGTGGAACTGCTGGCGGCAGAAAGTTGTGACGCTCACCTTAGACGGCCATCTAAATGGTGCGGCGAGCAATTTGACTTCTGAATCCCGTGGGCAGTCAGCCCGCGCCGGCGGATTCGGGACGACAAGTCCACTATATTTCCTAACCCATGTTCTGTCGCGATGGACCACATGTGTATGAGAATGAGGGAGGAAGAGTGCCGGCTGAATCGTAGTGACTTGACAGGCTTCTGACCAAGGCGCTCACAACTGCCGAGCTCAACTACATACACGCCGTGTCTGTAGTTGGCCATACCACCGGCGAACCGCCCGTCTCGGACAGCCCGCAGACTACGATACAAGAGCAAACGGCGAAATGAGAGGGTTCTTCGCGGTATGCACGGCAGAGTTATAGATGGGTTCATGGCGAACAAAAAGCCTGGGACCGGCCGGGGCTTGGACCCGGGCATTTTGCAGTCCCAATGAGCGGGCGCAAACCGTCGCCGTCGCCGTCAAGAGGCCGACGACTAGTGAACTGAGGTTGTAATGCCATTGAGCTTATATAAAATTAGAACCAGCGTCGCATTCATGAAAAAAAAGTCTGGGTCGGAGAAAATGTGCAAACCCATGGCGTCGATCCAGCCATACTGGGGGGTATTCAGTATTGGGCACGCGTCCTGGGATGAGGCGGCGGTGCATGTGGTGGTACCGAGGCGAGGTAGCGTAGCAGTACACCACCACCTGAGGACCGAGGTGGCCAACCGGGCAATTTGATGGGCGCAGGCCGTGTCGAAGAAACGCGTCTTGACGAATAGTGTAGAAGAGATGGGATGAGACTAGACGCGTTTCCCATTTACGCTCTCTGTGAGCATGAATGTATAAATTGGCAGCCCCGGTAGCTTAAATGCGGCCCCTGCAGCCCTTTCTCCAGAGCTGGGAGGCAGGCCTGGCAGGATGCTGGCTAGCCCCTGAATCTCGTCCCAAAGATCGAGAGTCCGTCTTGGTTGAGGCCTGCGGAAGTTCATGCAGTCGCAAGGGGCCTGCCTTTTGTTCCCGGTCGCTCTTTTCGGACGGGCGTGGTGGATTTACGATGCGATAAGCCAGGGCTGTGGTGGCGCAGGTGCCAGGTTTCCCCAAGCCTGGAACCAGGAGGAAGAAGAAAAAAAGAGACCTGTCAAAACGTGTCAAAAGTGGGCTGCTCCACGGGCTGGGGAGGTTTTGGATTTGGGTTGAGCCTCTGGCAACGTCGTCGCCAATCCGTCCATGCCGGTGCATCTGCCGGTGGAGCTGGCGGCTCTTGCATCGTCAATCGGGGCGCTTGCTTGCATGGCACGACATTCTGTGGTCTCTGTCTCTGCAGACATAATGGGCGTGTCGTCTGTCTAGACTCGTCGCAGGGTCGGAGCATGACTGGCCTGGCCTGAAAGACTGGGTCACAGCTGCTGGTTGCTCACCGCTGGCGGCTGTTGAGACAGCGTCTAATCAGTGCCGACAATGCGCGCGTATGCTATAGGTAGCTACTTTGGGTATGCACGCTGTAATCCAGAGCCTCCCCCCCTGGATTCGAAAGCACCTGTCACTTTTGGACCCGTTGAAGGCGTCATAGAGAGAGCATTGTGAGGCCTGCGGGAGAAAGAGGGCTGAGGTCTGGGTTTGGACGTGCATCTCCTGAAATGAAGAAGCGCCGAAAACTGCCTGCAGGGCCAGCAAAGCTTGCAGATTACCAACCAAATCGGCGGTCCGTGGGAGACCGAACGGGCCTGATGGAGCACTTCTCACAGATTGATGACGAGACCCTGTCGGAGCAAGATGAAGCTGCCAAGTTGCCCACGAGGCCGGTGCAGGGGCGGACCTGGTTTAAGGTGAACAGCTGTCAGATCTCACGACTCGAGTTTGTTTTGTTGACCGTCAGTTAGATCACGTCACGACAGTGATTCTGAAAATGAGGCAGTCTCACGATGGGGCGGCGAACAAAACGTTGTTCATGAGATGAATGAGACGGTGAGAGCGAGCACTGGCCTTGTTAGAAGCGTGCAGCAGATGGGGCGCGGTGAGCTGCTGCAGTGTGCAGCCGGGCCTCATTTAACCAGCGTTGCAATTGTGAGCCCTCGGCCAATGGCCATGTGCTGGCCCCACTTGGGTCCAAGGGGCGGGAAGGAACGAACAGGTGTGGACTGGGTGGACTATGGATTGCTTGCAGGAGGAAGGAGCGTGTCTGCATGTCGACCTGGGTCCTGCCTAGACTATTGCTGTAGGTACCTACAGTAGGCAGAGTCTAGCAGAGCAGGACCTGCTGTAGCGCGAGCTGCCAGGCGCGCTGATCTTGTTTCTTCGGGTCGTCCGTTCGTCTGTCGTCTGGTCTTTTCGCATGCGACCACCAAGTCGCGTCCGCGTTTCCTTACGCGCCCGCGCCCGCCTCGACTATGCAGTCTTGCAGTATACTCGACGTACTATCAGTATAGTCTGGGTAGTCCCGATGGTATAGCCCAGTGACATGGTCGACTATACTTTGGGTCTGTCTGAATGGCATCCTGTCGCCGTCCCTCCCTGCTCTGCCCTGCCCGCCAGCCATCACCCCTGTCGCCGTCATCATCCTCCTCCTCCTCCTCCCATGGTGACCAGCGATCGGTCCAGTCGGTGTGCAGATTGCAGATTGATTGCACGGAGCAGGGGAGAGTTGAGGAGGGTTTGGCGAGGGTGCGAGGGCCACACTGCAGCCCCGGATCCCAGGCTAAACCTCCATCGGTCGCTGAGGCCCGCTGCTGTCCACTCGTAATTATACCACGCAGGTTATCATATCACCGTATGTGGGCCCTTGCCCCCTCGGCATCGGCATGGCTGCTCCTCGCCCTCTTCTTGGTCCTGGTCAAGGGACTTCGTGGTTGTGGTCGTCTTTTCTTCCCTCCCTCTCCTCTGCAACGACGACTGGACCAGACATCCCTCGCCTGCGTCGACAACTCTCCTTGCCGGAGCGCATAGCATGCACGGTATTGGCCCGCCCGCCTCCTGCATGCCCTTCTCAGTCGCTCTCGTCCTGTCGATTTGCTCCCGGCCAGCCCATCTGCCTACACACCCATACCCATACCAATAGCGGCAGACATCCCCCCTGATGAAGCCAGCTACCGCCTGTCGTTAATCTCGCAGCATTTCTTCCACCTCTTTGCAGGCGCGACCACTCTCGTTTTGGCCAGCAAGGTCTCCTCTCTCTCTTCTGTCTATCTTCGTTTTTATTTACTTTTTTTTTTCATACTACTCTATCTATCCTACCATACTATACTTCCCTTCGTTACCCTTCATTTCTTCTTGTCGGCTTAAGCTGCCAATCTTATTGCTCCTACGTCTTGTTCTCTATCCGACTTGTAATGGTCTTCCTGGCCTAGCCCATATCTGCCGCCCACTGTCTATAGCACCATAACACTCGTCCTCGAACAAGACGCTGGCATTACCAGCCGGCCAGAAGCAATCTCGTATCCCGCCGTGCCGCCCGTCTACCGTCGCATGCGAACCAGGACAGGACCTTCCACGGCCAACGCGAACCGAACCCGACGCCGCCACGCTGGTAGCTGAACGCAGATCGCCGTGCCGACCGCGACCATCAGCCGGCATTGACCTCGTCGTCCTCGACCTGGCCCTTCAGCGACACGGTATCACCAGCCCATCCAAGGACCAGGCGTTCCTATCCTCCCCAGGTTGGCCATCCATCCATTGATCCTTCCATCGGCCCCAGATCCGGTCGACCCAGCACGCATGAAGCCGACATGGCCCGGAATTGACCGTCATCTTGCTTTCGAAGAACAAGACGTCGAGCCACCTCGGCCCAGCTCCAGCCCTGACCCTCCCAGGCCGAGGCCATCGCTTAGGCGCCGGCCTGCCGAAGAATGTCGGCGCCGGACCCAGACCGTCCGAGCCTTACTCCCGTGCGACAGCAGCCCAGTGCCATCCGCATCGTCCCTTACTCTCCTCCACGTGCAGCCGACTCGTCTGAGGACCTCCAGCCGCAAAGCGGTGCGGCAGCGGAATTTTCGGATTTCAGCCGCCACGAGGATGACGGCGACGATGAGGACGACGACGACGACGATGATGGTTATGGATCCAACTGGAGACGGACTAACCAGACCTCCGAAAAGAAAGGCAGCAGCAGGCGCAACCAGGGGCCTGTCGCATTGCCGTCCACAGCCGAGTCCCGGTTATTGTTGGCAAAGCAGGAGGATGGTGTTTCAGGGGACAAATCTGCAACAGGTGCAGGTACATCAGGAGACGGCCCAAGATATCATCGACCGACCACGGTAGCCCCTGCTGGGCCTCCGCCATCCAATGTCGCTAGCCTCGCCGCCATCAATGCGCTGCACGCACCTCCCACCCGTGGGCGTCTCTCTGCCTCTAGCTACACCACTCACACCAGCTTGTCGTCCCGACATTCTGCATCATCTCATCTTAGCGATGCCGAGCCCTCTTCCTCGTCGAGGGCCTCTCGCTCGCCTTCTACTGGCCAGCGCCGGCCCGCTTCCTCCCGCCGCGGAGGTTTCGTGGCGGTCCTGAACGAGGACAAGACTTTTTCCCTCGTCCCACAACGACCCCGGCCAGATCCGGAACCAGAGCCGCAGCCTTCCTTGGCCCAGGACCCACGATCCTCGTCTGCCCTGTCTGACTACAGCGGTCCGGGCGCTGGCTTCAGGTCCCCACATTTACCCTTCTACCCATCCACCCCCAGAGTGTCCCAGGCCAGTTCGCATGAAGGCTACACGTCTTATGCGTCCAGCCAATATGATCGTCCCAGCTCTGCCTTCACCTCCACGGGTACAATCCCGGACCGAAGCATAACCCCCAGCACACCAGTGCCGTCGTCTCCGGGCTCCTCCACAGTCCACGACTTTGACGATCCCATCGCCGAAACCTCCTCCACGCCCCAGACCAATCGCCTGGTGGGTGGACTTCGCAAGGTCCCCAAGACCCCCGACCTCAAGTGGAAGCAGACCGACCACTCACCCTCTTCTGACACGACAGAGACCCCACTTCCCGCCGTCCCAGAGTCGTCACCACAGCGTCCTGCTGGCGACGAGCTTGACCAGCCAGAAGCCCACTCGACTGGGGCAGAACAGGCTTCGGTACACTCTAATACTCCCTCGGGTGGATCGGACCCAAATTACATTGTCTACGAACCCGACAGCCAGGCTCCTTCCGAGGCTGGGCAAGAGCCTGGAGAAGAAAGGGCACCGGGCGACAGCCAATTGGACCCGGATCTTCGCGAACAGGCGTCATTCGACTCCCAGCAGACCGTTTCCACCGAGTTCGAGTCCACTAACATCAAGATCTACGGCCACAGCGGATCCGAAGAGTCTGAAGAGGCTCTCCCGGAACCCCCGATCGAAGGCGCTCCGTCCGACTCAGGGAGCGGCCAATTCGTCCCACCTCTCCAGACTCAGCCCTCTTTCCGATCCATCCAGTCAGGGGCTTCGACAACTTCCGACAACACAAATTACAAAGTCTACGGGCCCAGCAGTCCAGGCCTGCCACCAGTCCCCGAGGCAGAAACACCCCAAGAAACAAACGAGCTCAGGCCTGCCCAGTCATTCCTTTCTGCGGCCTCAACAAACTCGGAAGCGGCCAATTGGCAGGTATATGGTCGCGCTAGCCCTGCGACACTAGCATCCGTCGAGAGCTTTAACCCACCCTCGCCTTCCGGCTCATACGCGCCCCTGATACGCCCGACTTCGCCACCCGAGGGCCCTTCGCTATACGCACAGGAGGAAGAAGGCGGCCCTTCCGGCACTTCCGACAACGAGGCAAACTACGTGGTCCACGGTGATCCCACTCCTGACCCGTCACCGAACCGAAGCCCCGAGGCGTCACCGCCAGGCACCGCCGTCCGACCCCCGCGAGCAGGATACTCACAAGAGAGCCCGGCACAGCAACCGTCACAACAGCTCCGCAGGCAGCCTTCTTCGGAAGGATTAGGATACTACAGATCGAGATCGAGGTCCATTGAGAATCTGCGCACAAAGAAATCTTGGAGATCAGGAACTTCCGTCTCGTCAATAATCAACGAGGACGCTGAGGACTTCTTTGCGGGGCAGGCATTCCTGAACGAGCCAGAGGGCCAGTGGGAGCCCTCATCGGTCGCAGGGCCATCGGAGCGCCAGCGACAACTCGACGAGCAGCGCGAGCGTGAACGACGACAGGCGGAGGAGAGGGCTTCATGGGCCGAAGAAACAGAAGGGCCGGCTCCCATGGCATTGCCAACTACGCCGCACCAATGGAGCTCCCAACTGTCCACCGTCATGTCCGAGACGGAGCCCGGGAGCTCCGGCGGCGGCACAAGATCCGCCTCTCTGGCGTCCGGCTCGCAACAAGGTAGCCATGGCCGACGGAGCAGCCGGGGGTGGAGCTCACACAGCAGACAGATGCTGAGCATCTCTTCTTCCCTGGCTGCCGAGCTGGAACGCCTCCCGCTCCCGATCCGACTCTGACCCCCGTCGAGAGACCGAGCCCGATCTTCAACCCCCGCGCCGGTTACCACGGCACGGTGAGGGACCACGACGAAGATGGTGATGGCCTGGCGGATCTGCAACAGATCACCCCACGGCCGTCTCGCCAGAGGCTATCAGACTTCTTCGCGAGCAGCAACTCGTCCGAACGAAACCTGCATTCCTCTCACAGTTCCCGCTCACAGTCCAGCAGCTTGAACTCTAACACGATCCCTACCTGGGCTAGACTTTACTACGGCAGTGGAGAGCGCAAATTCCTGCGAAACATGTCAATCTCGAGCATGTCCGACCTTGGCAGCAGTCGCCCCGGCTCCGTGCAAAACAGCGGATCACCAACTACAGATCATTTCCCCTTGGGCATTTACAGCCCCCGGCGCCGACCCCACGAGGGAAGACCCGAGTCGGCAGCCCGGCGCCAGTCTGCCACTGGGAGCATGGACATCGAGCCGGCGCCGGCGACACACGAGGACCTGGGCATTCGGAGAGGCCTTCGTAGGATAACATCGAGCGTGTGGTCACCGCATCTGCGCAGGGACGTCCGCGCGCGGGACCGATACAGCGTCTGGGATCCACCCTCGGTTTCATGGTCAGCCGAGAGCGGCATGTTTGGCCGCCGCAACGCGCAGGTGGTCCTCTTCGTGTTCGGGTTCATTTTCCCATTCGCCTGGATGATAGGAGCAGTCTTGCCTCTGCCCAAGCCGTCGCCGTTGGCCATGCTGGAGCGGTACTCGAGCATCAGCGACTTCGGCGTCCGGTCCCGTGAGCACGAGTTCGAGCGCCACATCGAGACGGTTGACGAGCTCCGTCACGAGAACGCGACTTGGTGGAGGACGCTGAACCGATTCATGTCTGTTGTGGGACTCCTCATCATCGGCGCCGTTGTTGGTCTGGCCGTTGCGGCAGTCAAAAAGGGATGGGGGAGGAACTGAGTTGGGTTTGAGGGGCGGCCTTAACGAGACTTTTCTCCAGCCGCTACCAGATTATGCGCGTGGCGCGATAGGGACAGACGCATCGCTGTCTCAAATTTTGGCTTCACACCCGTGAGCCAAGCGCCCTTTCGCGGCCCAACATGCGTCGATCATCCAGACGTTTCAACCACCACATCCGCAACACACGAGTCGCCCTGCCACCGGGAAGAAACAAGCGCAGCATTGCCGGGTTTCCTTTTTTTTTTCGGTAACGACTTTTCACGCCATGGAATGATCGGCTCGCATAGACAGGATATAGACCGGTTTCCCTATTATGCTTCTCCGCCAAAGGCACCGTCACATGCCCACACCCAAGAGAAGGCTCACTGCCTATCCACGTCTGCCACAGCTACCCACACCAATCTACAGACGCCATGTATTACAACCTCGCCTGCATTGTCGTCGTCAGCATCATCAGCGTCGTCATTTGATTATATTTTCTTCCCGTCACGTTCCAGCATAGACCAAAAGGGGGCAGCGCTGGCGGCCAACATGCAGGAGAGAGCTTTTGAAGTTTTTTATTTTCTATTTTGTTTGGATGTTTGAGAGGAGATACCCCCATATTGAAAGCATCTTTTGCGGTCGGAGTACGAGTCAGACCCGAGGGAAAGGGGAGCCTGTTTGATGATAATCTTCCACCAATTCTTTCTTCCCGACCTGTATTACTATCCCACCTCATCCAATCTCGCCGAATCACACGCGCAATATCATCAGTCAGAGATCCTCCCCCCTCCCCTCCCTGGGGTGGGCACGGCGTTGGTCAGAACCGGAAAAGAAGAGATGGAGAGAGATGAAAGGAGAAGAGATCCTCTCCGGGCGAGCGGCAGGGAAGAGCTTCGCGGAGGGCCGCAGCTTTAATGGTAATGGCAGGTCCGTTTTGCAGGAAGGGTGGCCTGCGTGGCTGGTCCTCGTCGGTCGGCGGCGCTGTGTATATATATCTAGGGGGGCATTGTCTTTTCTCTGCCCTACCTCTCTCCCCGCCGACCGACTTGATGGACGCGATCGGCCCGCCCGATGTTGGTTGACGACCAGAATCGAAGAGCAATACTTTGCGATAGTAATTCAAAATTATCTTCGAACAACCTGTACCCCTGGATCTGGACTGTGATGATTCGAATTTGCTGTACTAAGAGTAGCCCGCGTCTGCCAGAGATCTCGCGATAGCGTACCATACTGTGTCCATCTAATTTGAGGTTGTCGACAACACAAACATGAAGGACCGACTATCACTCCTTCCTGGGCAGCATCAACTATAGAAGCCCGGTCACCTCTGGAGCGGGATGGCTGGATCCGCCCAGTAGGAGTCTTACCAAACACTCTCTGGCCATCATGGACAACTGGCGGATTAGACCGCCAGTATAGGTGGCCGAGGTTGGGCCTTATCCAGAGGTATCTGGCAAGCAGGAGAGGTGAGACTCGTTCGGTGTGTTCGCACCTCCGAACAAGGTAGGCGTCCTTGCTCTGCATCCCCTACGCCTGTCCTGCGAAGTTGGTCGCCTTCCGAACGGGTCCTCCCGTGTCTTTGAATTTTTTACCCACGTATTGTCTTTCAAGAAGGCATTCATGATTTGACGTGGCCCTTTATCCCCATTGATCGATCCATCACACAATCGGCCTTTGACGAGTACTCGTTCTGCCCGAAGCTCTCCCGCGTACAGTCCTAACTGTGCAGTCCTCAGCCCATTGTCTCCATTCTCCCGAGACGGGCGCAACCACGGACAAGCCATTCGGTGACAATGGTTGTATCTCCATCAAGGTGAAAGGAGCCCCTTTGCTCCTGGGCACAAATACCATCGATAGGTGCAACGATGATGAGCACATAAAAACACAGGCAAGCAGCAGCATGTTACAGCCCAATCCCCTCAATAACCCATAGTTGAGGAACCAGAGGCAGCCGGACACTCCGAAAAAGCACACACACAGTTCCAAAAAAAAAAAAAAAAAAAAAAAAAAAAAAAAGGTGAGTATAGTAGTCCAGCTTCCCCAGGTTCGTATCCTCGACGATGTCCTCCTCCAACACCACAGCCTACACAACCCCCGTCCCCTCCCGGTCCCCATCCCCGGCCGCCTCCCTCGACGACATCGAGGCCTACAGGCCCCTCTTCAGGCGGCGCAGGCCCCCAATCTCCAAACCCCCCGTCCCTTGCTTGTGCTGTGCCATCAAAGGGATGCACTGCGTCTACTACAAGGGCGAGGTGCGCTGCCAGCGCTGCGAGCGCAACGGCGAGGAGTTCTGCATCTACCAGCGGCAGGACCTTACCCGCCCCGAGTCGCCCATGACGCAGGAGCAGCTCGAGCAGCGAGAGGAGGAGAGCAGGAGCGCGCCCCCTCCGCGCCACCTGTGGCTCCCGCACCGTGCCCCGCCCCAGCCCGAGCCACTGCAGTGCATGGTCTACAGCCTGGACCCGGAGCTGTCGCGGGACAGGAGGCGGCTGCTGGGGGTCGCGACGCAGATGCTGCAGGACGCCGAAGGGTCGACGTACGTGCACGGGACGCCGCTGGGTGATGCCCAGGTGAGGGGCTTTGCCTTGCCGTCCTGGCACGGCAACGACTGCGACGACAACAAGGCGGACCCGGAGTACCGCGTGCGCACGCACGCGCACTTCTTCGAGCGCCTCGGCGAGGAGAACAAGGCGGCGGCGGCGCAGAGGTCGCGGCGGCTGGGCTTGGAGAGGCGCAGGGTGCGGGAAGAGAAAGCTGACTGCCAGAGGCTGAAGAGGGAGATGGAGAAGGAGGAGACGGAGGCGGAGGGAGAGGCGGAGGGATCCGGGTAGCAGGAGGGCTGAGCGAGTGCTTCGTCCTCTTTACGGTAAGGTTGCTTTCTTCTGGTTTTCTATCTGTTTTCCCCTTTCTGCTTATTACGGGCGCGGGTTATCTTTATTGGCGTTCAGACCTGGATATCACGTGCCTGGTGCATTTGTTCAATAATAATCTACATTATTTGGATTTATTTCTACAGAACTCGTGGTATTATCTCTGTGATACTGTAATGCAATAGTTCAAACGAACAGGTGTTGTTGTTCTTAAATCACTCCTGGGGTCTTCCGGGACAGTAGAGCAGGTCAAAGATCAATCTGCTCTTGTGCTTGGTCTTTGACCTGCTCTTGTGCTATCACCCAACATATATCTTGTTTCTCTTCCCTTCAGCACAGAGAATGACCCCATAGCGAAGAAGGATATAAAGACACAACATCAGCTTGCGCGTGTGTTGTGTAAGTCAACAAGGAAACCAAGCCACATCTCCCAAAGTTGGCAAATATTCTCCATGCTTCCCATAATCTAAACACCGTGATCGAGCCTAGACACGGCGTCTAGCACTCTTCTCCAGCGATCCACTCCTCTCACAAGGGACGAACACCTTTGCCGCCAGGAGGCAGGCAGCCAGCGCTGTGGCAAACACGGAAAGGTCAAGTTCCGCATCGCAGCATATCGAAAATTGGGTAGACCGACGACAATGGCACGCAGAGTGATACACCGACCGCAACACGCCCAACGGAGACAGCGACACAGTACGCGTCGGGAGCCTGAATCATGCAGAGCACAGCACAGCACAGCACCGCAGAGTACAAACAGGTCATTGATTCCCACCACGCTGTTATCAGCACCAAATGTTCGAGCATCTGCAGCTTCGAGCGCAGGTATCATACGCTTCTCCGGAGCCTTGCCCGGCCCTTCTGATATAATCCAAAGACTGTCCTGACCTGCCTTCCGTGCTTATTTTTTAACCTCGTCCACCCAACTTGGAAGAGTATCCAAACCGCCGAGCCCCCCCCCCCCCAACCAAGCCGCCTACTTCCATCCCAACTGCAGACACCCGTCTGGCACTCCGAACCTGACAGGGCAAAATTGTTTGATCGTTCGCCGTTGGAACTCCAATGTCCACCCGCAGCGATACCCTCCTTCCTCCGGCCCGGTCCTTTGTTCATTTTGCTGTTGCTGGCTATGGCCCCGAGTGTTGGGGACCTCTGCTTCCGCGCCAAAACTTCATGTTGCGCGTTGCCTGGTTGCGGCCGGAGGGTTCGTAGTACGAGTCCTTGTAGCACCCCAACCCAAATCAGGCGGGAAACGAGGCAACAGGCACAAGTGTAGTGCACCAGCAATCCGCGATCTCCCAACTTGGGTCTTCCATGCCCACTCCACGCAATTGGACCCAACCTCGGGGCGAAGTGGACGCCGCTGAGTGGTGGCAGTCCCCGGTCAGGGCGACAGCACATACTTGCGTGGCGCACAAGACCGGCGCAACGCGGCGCACGCTGGGCTTTTTCGTGCGATCCGTCGGATGGTGTCGTCATTGCACAGCCTAGCGGTCGGGTGAAAGGCTCGCCATGAGGCTCCCGTCTTTCGTCCGGTTGGCTGTGCGCTCAGAGGAAGCCAGACTCGGCCAGAACCCTACATTACAGGCGAATCAAGTAAGCCAATGAACTGTTGAAAACCAGTTTGGGGGCAGTGGATGGAAGGTGTAATGGTGGCGCAAGATTGGGTCGTAGTACTGAAACGGCTGGCTTCAGGAGCCACCCGCCCAGGGCCATGCGTCCACAGGTTATTTGCTGCTCCCGCGTTTCCACATACCTGACAATTTTTTCGTCCTCCCTCTCGCGTGGTTCTATCAGCAGACTCTTGTCGTACATCTCATGCACGTCTCCGGCGGCTTGCATGTTGCTCAAAATGTAGTCTTGTAACTCTGTAACGGGCTGGAGGGAGTACGGCACATTTTGATACTGCTGGATGTCGCGAATCACGTCGGCCGTCTTTGCCCTCTTGGCGAAGTTGATGAGTGTAGTCTTCTTGATGATGGAAGGAATACCGTCTTCAATGAAGGTCAAATCCGTCAAGTAGACACCTTAGACTTTGTTAGCATCGATATCTGTGACAACCGTGGAGGTTTTCATTTTGCAAACTTACCGAAGAAAGGAATGCAAGGGGGATTTGCCATATGCAGACTCTCTCTGTACTCGGCAAAGTTCTTGGTGCTAAGCATCAACTTCCGCAGCGCTTCGAGCGCAGCCTGAGACTTTTGAGGGACCTGATCCCAAGTCCTCTTGAGACGAGCGATAGGTGCAGTACCAAGTGCTGAGATGATGGACGTGATGGTGGAGAAGTTGTTCAGCTGCCGACATTTCTGTATACCTGATTAGCAATTATCTTCACGGCAGGGGTGGTTCGGGTGCACATACGTCGGCGACCGAAACGAAGTGTTTGATGACAACCACACGCTTCTTAACATCGGACTGGGCCAAGATCATCTCAGCTACCCAGTTAGTCATTTGGTTCGAGTGGTCAATAAGCGCCTTGATGTTCGGGGCCGGGGGCGGCTGCCCCTCGACCGTCTTCTTCTGGAATCGCTTGTTGAGGCATTCCGTGGGTTTGATCTTGCCATATAGCCGCGACTCAATGATTGTGAGCTGGCGCGCAAACTCGGTGGGATCGATGTCAAGGAACTTGAGTTTCTTCATGTTCTTGGGCATAATGGGCGCGGGAGTTGGCTGACTTTGCGTCTGGATCAGCCTCCTGCCAACATCCTTGCCACTCAGTCGTTGGTCGAGAACAGCCATCAGAGGTGCTGAACCAGGAGTCTCTGTTGACTTGACCGTGTCCCTTGCAAAGTTGTATACGTCACGTATCAAGGTCTTCGTGTCCTCTTCTTGGTTGTCCTCCATCCAGAAAGTCTCAAACCAGTTCTTGAGGATGTTGACGACTCGGAAACGGATTGGACTCTGTTTCCTCTCCCGCCAGTTCTCAAAGTCGGATGGCGACAGTCCCTCGGGAGGCTGAATACCGAATCTGTGTACTAGTAGCTCAAAGAGTTCCCGAGCAGTTGTGAAGGATCGGTAAGTGAGAAGGAAGGTGTTGTTGAAGTTTGAGTCGAGCTTGTCGTGTCGGGTGAGCTGCTCCGCCAGGGCCATCAGGGAACCTCCCCTAATTGTGGGTGGTGTCATCTTGTAGTCCCATGCAAGCTCATGTTCGTACTCCAGTCGTAAGTAATCTGGAGTCTCATCCATTGCCGTCTGTTGCGGGGATCTTCTCCGAAGATCTTCTTGACCTTGGAGTAGGTTCCGGCACCCCTAGCCAGGTTATTCGCGATGTTGGAGTCGCCTTCGGTATACGATTGAGAAGTCATCAGAGGTGGCCTTGTTACCGCGCGTGAGTCTGTCCGGCCATGCGCCCCATAAGCCATTGTCTCTCCTCGAGTCAGCTGCTGTCGCTGAAGCTGTTCCTCTCTGGCACGGGTTTCTGCTTGCTGCTGAAGGTTGATCTGGACTTGCTCCGACAACAATTGCAAAGAGAACCCGATGTGGGACGAATTTGTCTCAAGAGCTCGGGCGCACTGCCTGACATACTCGAGTCTGTTCTCCAATGACTCCCCGCGGACCTCGGACCATTCATCGGCAAGCGGTCCTGCAACAGACTGGCAGCCCAGGATCAAGTCGGATATGTTGTCGTAGAGGCTTTGCTTGTTGATGCTGAAATCAGTAAGTTGAGGGGTCTGAAAGCTGTTCTCCAGCGAGGAGAGGTCGATGGATTCGATCATGGCTATCCAAGGCTTGAAGTTCTCAATCACTTTGCCTCCAGCGGCGCAGACATTGTTACTAACAATCTCGTGCTTGAACGGGGTGACGATCTTGTCTGGTATCACTAGCTGCTTGTCCAGCTCGCGGATCCCGGAGACCAGCATGCGCTTGAGTTCGTCCAGTCGTTCCAGGAGTTTGCCGTCGAGAAGCGCAGTCGGCTCTACCACGCCTTCCTCGTCCTCGAGGAAATTTGATGTGATGGGGTCGCGAGGGCCCAAACCGTTATTCTGCCAGCTGCCTCCAGTCGTGCTCCCTATCACAAACCCGGGGAACAGTCGGGGAATCTCTTCTCCTCTCTGCTGCCTTGCGACCTCCACGTAAGAGAATACGCCAAGCAACACCCCGTCAGCTTCTTGTAGACACTTTGGACCGGACTCGGGGGCCGGGAAATCGCTAGCGGCAATGTGGGACGAGACGACAAGCTTGGAGAATTTGGACATCATGTCCCTGAAGTGGGGGTAGAGCGCTTTGTTTGTTGAGATGATTGAAGGTTGGCCGGAGTGGTTGTCTGTAGTACCAGAGCCGGCTGCCAAGAGGAGCCGCAGATGATCTGAGATGTCTTCCGCCCGAGCTACGTATTCTGACTTGTTGCCATTGTTGATCGCCTCGCGGTAGCGGTCGATCGCCTTCTTCATGTTGGAGACCAGTCGGCTCCAAGTAAGCGGCGGCGTCTGTCCATCATCAAAGAAAGAGCGTGGGATGGTCGCGGCTGTAGGGAGGTTGAACGTTGCCCCGGCAGTGAAAGTCGGGGCCGAGTCCGTCGTCCGCGTTCCGGCTGGAGCTCCGTTACCTTTACCGAATGAGTATTGGCCGTGTATTGAGTCCAGCGATGGCGCGGGGGATATGCCATCCTTGCTCATCGAACGTCGATTCCTAGCCTATAAGTTGATACTGGTAAGCCGGCGTCCCTACTTTCGGACCAGAACGATATATAGGGTGGCGTTGTGGGTTCTCTTACCATGCGGCCAAACATGAGGTTCTCGCCCTCAAGTTCGGACGCGGAGGTTGCCTCGGAATCCTCGTCCTCATCCTGCGTCAGACCCCTGGCCATCATCTCCGGAGGTGGCCTTGTCCTATCGGGCATGTTGACGTTCATTCGGTCTCGTGGCCCAGTCTCGGTAGCAGACGACGGCGATTCCAAGGGCAACTCCGAGCTGCTCTCCCCTGTCATGGTGTTGTAGTAGAAAAGGCGGCCGTCAGGGGTGGCCTGCGGGATCCAGTAGTCTGCCTTGGACCTGTCGCCTGCACTCGTGCCTTCCAGCGGCAGTTCCTCCAGCTCTGACATGTCGGCCTCATCATTGTCGTCGTATGGATCCTCGTCGATGTCTTCTTCTACCGGTTCGCCAAAGGCGTTGTCTTGTTGCTCGGAGTCGGGAAGGTCGTCGGGGCTCGTGATGATCTGGCAGTAGTTGCTCGGGAACCAGCCTCGGACGCCATTGATGACGCCGTCCCACCAGCCGCTTTCCAACTGAGTGATGACCTGTATGACATCGCCCTCGTGGAAGCTGAGGCTCGTCCTGTCGTCGGCCTCGTAGTCGTAGAGGGCACGGACGTACATGGCACCCGGAGGTGCCGTGCCCACGATTCCGTTCATGGGGTAGGGCTGGAAGGAGTAGGTTGTTTTGGATTTGTTGCGATCGTGCGTCGACCAACGCCTGGCCGGTCGAGTGGTTGGATGGTGTGGTGTCAAGGTCGAAGCCGTCGGTCGCAGGCTGACCGCGTGTAGCGTAGGAGTTGTTCTGCTGACCCTGAGATAGTGCGGAGACTGCGGTCTGCGTCATAAGCATCGTGGCAATGGCCAGCCTGTCTGAGATGCGCTGAGACCTAGATGTGAGCCATCAAGCCGGGAGACCTTTGTAACTTGGGGGTTTCGTAGATAGGGCGGCCGTTGCAAGGAAGGCAGGATACGAGGGGAGATCGAGTCGAGCCGAGCGGGGCGGGGGAGGCGTCGTGGGATGCAAGTTCCGCGGCGTTGAAGGTCTTGCGAGGGAGGCGGCGGGCTGTGTCCTCGACAGACGATGGAGTGGTTCCGCTCTTGTCTGCTAGGGTCGGTTGCTGGAGACTCGGTGATTGAGGTCGAGCGGTTGACGCGCGAGAAGCGGATGTGAGTGGCCAGAGCTTTGTTCAGCGGGCGGGTAAGGAAATAGGCGATGAGTGGTACAATTCGCCAGACGGATCTCGGGTGCTCTCGTCTAGTCCAGTGCGGTCCAAGGTCTATCAGAGCTAAGGTAGGGCCTGTCCTGTCCCTGTCGAGCTGGGTTGGGTGAGGCGAGAGACAGACACAAAAAGGGGAGCCGGAGTGGAGGGGGAATGGGAACGAAGCGCCCGTTTATGTTTGGCAGGGAGCCCGTGTCGACAGGAGGCTGAGGTGAGGCGAGGTGAGGAATAGGAAAGCCGGAGGAGTGCGTGCGAGCGGTTGGGATGGAAGTCTCGTGTGTCCGGAGCAGAAGCAGAACAGGAACGGGAACCGGAGAGAACAAGAGTAGGGCGTCGTCCACTGTTGGGCACGGCGGTGCTATGTCTCAGCAAGTCTGCTCGCGTCAATCGATCTATCTGATCTGGGATGGGGCCAAGTCCAGAGTTCCAGAAGTGCAGACAGAGGTCCCAGTGCTCTCCTCGCCTGGAGATGCAGCAGTCCCAGTCGACAACGGTTGGTTGATCCGAGGGATTTTGCTTTCAGGGGGCTCTGGGCCAGAGGGACGGGCGGAAAAGCAGCAGCGGGCTGGGCCAGGGGGGCGGGTGGCCTCGAGCTGAGAGAGCGGGGTGCAGGTGCAGGCCTGAGGTGCAAGGGTGCAGGGAGCTGGGAGCTGGGTGCAGGGAGCAGGCAAGGTGCAGGGCAGAGGAGCTGCAGTAAAATACGCAGTAACACATTCCTCGCCTTGCATACTTCAAGGTTGTACATGCGGTGCCTACTGCTAGCACCGTGGGAGAGCTGCAGCAGTGGTAAGGAGACCTGGCGGCCTGGGAGGGAGTTAGTGCACACAGAGAGAGAGAGAGTCAGGTGGGGAAGACGGTGCCCACTGCCCGGTCTGTCATGCCAGGGTGGGGTCTTCCTTCGATCCAGAGACTACTGTACTACAGGACAATGCCCCGTGCTTGCTGCATAGTATATGTACCATACATAGGACTCCGTAGATAGATGCAAACATATCTATCGTGCACAGTATCTTGTGTGTGAGCAACGGACTATTCATTCCAGTGACAAGCCGGCCAGATTGCGTAGTAAGCAAAGCAGAGCAGAGCATAGGATAGAAAAGCACAGCACAACCCTGTACACTTTTCCCTCGCCTTATTACAGCACCCAGATCTGCATGCCACCAGCGCCGTTTCCAACCTGACACTTGCCCGCCTGTCCGCCTGGGCGGTGTTCCCTGTCGCTGAGGTTGCAATCCTTGGAATTTACCCGAGTGAGTTACCCTGGGATGGGGAATTTGGAGGAGGGGAAACTCGCATCTGCCCAGCAAAACGTGGAGATGCCCAGGCGGTGCTATGCGCAGGCAATATCCTTCCTGCCGGGCAAGAAGGGTCCTCGTTCCAGTTCAAGGCCCGGGTCCGGGTCCAGGCCTAGTCCAGGCCCAGGCCTCAGGGCAGAGAGAAGGCAGAGCCAGAGCCAGAGCCAGAGCCAGAGCCAGAGCCAGAGCCAGCTCGAGTATGAAGAGCATCAGGATCCAAGACAGCATTGGACTCCACAGAGCATCTACCGGGCGGTACGTGTGGACGGCAGCCACAATGATAACATACATCGACAGATCCTCATCAACCTCAGACGCTTGGGCCATCAGATCAAACCTGCCAAATCCTGGTTGCCGCTTCTCGAACGCATGTTGATCGAGGGTTTGCATTGTCCCGACACTGAGACCCCTGGCACTGGCCTGGCATTTGCCCGCCCTAGATCCTGGCCGCGCCAAACAACGGGAGTGGGAAACGAGCAACTAACTCTCTACCTCTGCTACCTCTTTCGAGCCTCACTCCTGCCCCCGCTGCCGCCGTCAGACACGGGTGCAATCTCCCACGGTACCTAGGCGGGCAGAAATCCCCTTACAGACGGGCCGTTCTCCCAGTCTCGGCTCCCAATTGCAGTCCCAGGCCAGCCAGTCAGTCCAGCCAAAGCTTTGAAGCATATGCATGTACGTACGCACGGCACACGCCCCTTCGGCTGCAATATCTGCCAGACACATATACGCTGCTGCGTCCGACGGGTTACAGCCCATGTCACGGCACGGCAGCGAAGCACCACGCCTCGGTATTTCGTGCTTACACGCCTGTCTCCACACACGTGGGAAATCTGGTTGCGAGCACGCCAACTCCTACTGCTCGGCCCGTCTCACGCTGATGCTGACACCCACGCTGACGCCCACGCTCACCGAGCCGGGTTCCCTGCCCTGCCCAGTCCTTCCAGGCGCCTATCGCGTGCACAAATTGTCCTGCCGATGAGGATACCGCTTCCAGGCCCCAACTGCCCACCGCGAGACCGTTGATCCTCACATAGGTACAGCACATCAACATGCCATCCCGACGGGCTGGGCGAGTCAGCACAAGCTCGTGCCTGCGGATCGGGCTTAACCATCGGACCCATCCCCTGCCAAAGTCTCGCTTCGATGGAGCTCCGCATACTACCAGTCAGCCAGTCGACACTGCCCATACTACCACCCCCCGGACATGAGGGCTCAAGGGTGCTGGTGGTGGTGTGCCCGCGTGGTATCGGCGGTGGGCCCACTATTCCCAGGTAACGGTAGCGGTCGCCGCCGGGCTGAGAATCTGATAAATAGATTTCACACCCACCCTCTCCCGCGTATCATCACTACAGACTGAGATAACGCATCACAAGGTAAATTGGCCCCGGCTCTCACCGGTGTGGGGTGGTTTCATTTCCACAAATGCCTCCCAGACCTACCCTAACAGGCCCCCCGCAGCGTCGTGGTGATGGCACCTTGCGGCAGATCACTGTCTTCTTTTGATGAACGGCGACCACAAGGCCGGTAAGTTTGATGGCTGGTGTCAGACTCGCATTGGACAAGTCTCCCATGACAGAGTTTCCATGGCGCGGCGACTACCAGTGGGCTGGCCCCAACGTCAACGATTAGCGACTCTGGTAGTTCCTGTTGGGAACCCTCCGACAGCAATAACACACGGCAGGATTCCATCGTGGGTCAGCAGGGTTTCCAGGGGCCCTCACAGCCCTCGACGGTTCCTAAACTTTCTAGAACAAAAGTACACCCGGCGATCCACCTCTGAGATCCTTGGGCGAGACCACCCCTGCGCGCCATACCCTCTATGGTATCCATATTCGACATTGGATTTGCCCATATCTCTAACGAGGAATATGATTTCATACTAGAAACCTAGAGTTCGACGCTTCGGCAGTTACCTCCTCTCTAGTATATGTCGCCTCACTTTCGATGTCAGGGATTCTGCAAGACAGGCAGGTAGTTGCGACCACTGTCGCGTCCGGCATGGACACTGATACAGCTCAACCAGAGTAAGGGTGAGCCCCAGGCTCACGGAGTTCAGTGTCCGCAGCGGAGCAACGAGCTTTTCGTGTGACCCAACAATAAATAATTTGGCACAGAAAGGCATCATCTCAACCCGTACATCCCACACTGATCCCTCATTCCCACAACATAGCACGCGAGAGAACTCCTTCCCTTTTCAGCCAGCTCCTGAAGGTCTAAACCGGACCGTTGGGAAATAACGCCGCGGCGTGCCCAGGGCACAGCAGCGCATCGCCCGCCCTCGTGGATCCCACAGGCCAGGCACGATGGGCGATCTCGAAACTAACCCCCACGGTCTGTCATGCATTGGGAGTGCCACTTTTTTGACGGACGCAAGGCCGGCGTGGGTTGCCCTGGCCCACATGGGAAAGAGGCAGGGCCAGACATGCTATCTCAGGAGGGGGCAGCCGAAGTCACGGTCGTCGCGGTCGTCCGAGAAAGGAAGGTCAAGGTCCCCACGTCAAACGCCCGACATGACTGAAGAAGTAATAGGAAACATGGCAATACAACGGGGGTCCCATCTGGGCGAGATCCACTTGCATGTGAACCTCGTGTGAGTCGACAGGCCCTGAGGAGCCTCATGTCAGTCAGTTCCTTGGTTATTCTGTTAAATCTTGCTGCCGGGGAGAAGGAGTTGGTTTATTGTTTATGCAAGATTCTCGCACAACCCTCAAGGTCCGTCGGTGTAGATCGGTGAAGCACAAGAGCAGGCAGCCAGATCCCTTCACAAGAGACCGCCACTGCCGTCGTAGATCTGTCACGGCAGTCAAGCGAAGTAGCAACCAGCATGGTTTCCCCGGCCTTGGTGACGGCCGCTGGGCTCGACACGGCGCGGTATCTGCCTTTGTTTTCTCTCCGTTGTCGGCTCAATCGCGACAGAAAAGTGGTGTATATTGTAGACGTTACCTACAATGCCCTGCCCATCGTGGGTATAAGCCGATGAATTTGCGCCGTTCCAAGTTTTGTCTTCGAACCCACGTGCCCTTCATGTTCTGTCGTCCCAACCATCGTGTAAGCCCGAGGGTGAGGATATCGGTGTAGCTACGTTGTGGACCGGGAAAGTTCTGCCACTCTTCCTTTCAGCCGACCGGCTTGAGGCCTGGACGGCCGCTTCAGACGTGAAGATCTGCTCGAGATCATCTCCGACGTGTCATCCCAGCGTGACCCGGCGGTCGGTCACAATACGAGTTCCTCTGAAACGAGAAGGGACAAGATACTCGCGAGGAGACAGTCGGAAACGCGAATGAACCAAACCTGTTTGTGCTCTAATGAAAGGGACCACTCGATCCGAATCC